TACTAGCTAAGTTAGTCTTCTTACTCTAATACCAAATGATAATTTTAAAAGGAATAAGGTATAAATGAGCCACAGGTCATTTTCTAATAACTATGTCTAGTGTCTAAAGGAATAAATATTTATTAAGGGTTCTTAATCTAAGGTACTATAGTTAATAATTATAAGTTAAAATATTATAGTAAACTCTGTTATTAGGTTATTATTAGGTTATACATATCTTGTATTTCTTTCTAATTTAGTTTCACCGTTAGCTTCGTCCTATCCTCACTAACTTTTAACAATAGATATTGTAATAATGGAAATTCTATAGATAATTTATAAAAATTATGACCTATTCAAAACTTGTATATTATAGTAGTTTTATCTGTCATTAAATAAATAATATTAACCTATTAACGATCTAGTAAATAGTATATAAGCTAATAATAAGACTTAGAACCTTAGATATATGCACCTAATAATTTGGAATATATTTTTAAAAAGGTTTAGTACATAGCTTATACTACGTTATCCTCTTGAGTACTTATCTTAAGTGATAAGATTCTCTATCTATTAAGAAAACTAAAATACTATTTATATATTAATTTACTAAGATATTAATACTAATAATCTAATATACCGTTTCTAAAACAAGAAAGGAAGCATAGTAATTCTTTACCATATAACCTTGAGTCTGTGGTAATCTATATCGAGATAGTACTATTATTATCCTTGTCTAAATATATAATATGTTAGCAGGCTTTTAAAGTAGATAGCTCTATCCAATTAACAAGTATATTAGACTACAAGGTACTATAATATCATTGATTGTCTTCATTTTACAATATATCTCTTATTCTAACAAATATCAGTAACTTTAGTATAGCTCTAAATGGAATTTATAAAATTATTATTAGTTAGATATTCTTCCCTTCTGATAAGCTAGGCTTTATGTATATCCCTAGTCTTGAAATATTCTTATAAATTATTATCGTTTTGAAACAGAGATTAGAGTAGATTTAAACTACTACTTATGATCCTATAATAGTAAGTAGATAAAATACTAATCCTGATAATCTCATAGTATAAGATAGCTTAAGAGCTTTAATAGTTTTATACTTGTCTTATAATATTAGAGTACCTTCTATAAAGCAATAAGATAGAGGGAGTCGTAATCTTTACTAGCTTATAATATAAACTTCAGGACTATATATAAGAATACAAAAAATAACTTGTAGACTAGGGTTCCAGTCTCCTTATAGATTCTTTCATATATATAATGGCTATTATTAAATTATCAGTAAGCAGCTACTAATTAAGCAATAATACCACTATTACAACCTTATAAAGTAAAATAAAGATAATAAACTATCTATTTAACTTACCTGATAAAGTAATAGTACCTATTGAAACCTGGCTACATAGTATTAAAAGGAATAATAACTATATTACTTTAAATATCATATATAGTGAATATTACATTATAGGGAAATGTAATGATCTAGAGGGGGAAATAATATAATTAGCTATACCCGCCCACCTAGTAATTAGTCGAGCCCTCACTGCTCTCGCTAGTGAGGGCTTCTCCCCAACCAAACTATAATATAGCAAACTCATAATTCTTCTCCTACCCACTAATTTTTTGTAGCTATTTACAACGTCTATTAATAGTATAAAGTGGCTAGCCGTCGTGCCTATTAACCTATTTAAGCTTTACCTCTGTTTTCTGATTTTCCTACTCTCTAATTTAGTCTCAGCAAGCCTATTCATCCCACTTTTATTTAGCTTTACGCTTATACTTCCCCTTTTATTTCTCTATGATGATATCACTAAGTCGGATAAGGGTATACCACGAGTCTCTAAAAAGATTCCTGGTGGTGCGACCATTATTCCAGCTACGCTCCATGGAAGCACAAGAGACGACGGGTTTTCTTTGACCTTGGACAAGGTTCTCTCGTAGAGTCATCAAACCCTTTACATAACTAGCGCTCAGTCTTTTTAGTATTAGCTTACTCTTAGTTCTCTTTGAATAAGGTTAGTAGATACCCTCTAGGCCGCCAGTTAGGCCTATAGAAGACTTCCCTCCTAAATTAGCTTAATAAAACGCCTTGTTTTATTTTAGCGATATTATTTATTATATAGGAAGTTCTCTCTTACTCTCTAATATTTTTTTATGATTTTATGACTATCGTTAGTAGTGAATTAATTATAGAACGTAGATAGCGTCCTAGGAAAAGATATATCTTTATACCCCCCCTTCTTTAACCAAGAAGCTATAGTTAAAATCCTGCTCTAGAAGCCCGTGTTCACTACCCCTATTGTAGATAACTAGATCTAGCCTATCGTCTGGTTATATATATTGTAAATAACTCTAGGATTGAAAGGGCTGAAGCCTATATAGTATTTAGCAGTATATTAGACTATTATAGTTATAAAAATCTATATTTAAACCACCTGGATCTACCAAAGAAAATCCCTTAGAGCATAAAGTAAGGAATATCCTTAAATATTGATCTCTTTCCTTAAGCAAATAGTATTAAGCTACTATGTTAGTAGTGGTTTAAAAGAGGGATTAATAATAGTACAGTTCTATGATTTTATTTTCAGGTTCTATTTACTAGTATTAGAGTATAATTGGTTAGTGGTATCTCTGGTACTTACCAATTCCTAGTAGGCTCTTAGGCTAGAAGATCTCTTGAGGATATAGGGTTAACTATGTATTATTGACTTATTAGGAGTATATTTAGCATCTTTCTAGTCTAGTTATAGGTACAGGGGGTGTTATTCCTTGCGTAACTAAAAGAGGAAGAATTATGGATATAAAAGAAATAAGTAGTCAGGTAAAAAATAATAATTTAGAAGGGTACTAGTATTGTGTAAAGGTTACTACGGTCGAAGTGATTTAGTCATAAGGATATAGTTAGTTAGTTCTTGAAAGGATTGGAATCTAACTATATTTTTTAATACTTATAAAACCAATAGGGCACCGTAAGTAGCATATGATGATACGTGATACAATTCCTAAATAGTACAATATGCCTGGTCTATAATAATGATCGAACAAAGTCCAGAGATATAGAGGTCTGGCTAGTCTAGCGAGCCAATTCAAACACACAAAGGTCAATAGGTAAACCTATATAATACACCTATAATAGAACGAAGCCTCCAGAACGGAGAATCAGCTGGGTAGGAAAGGAGAGACTAGTTAGTAGACTAAATATAAGGGAGGTGGAGAGACATGGCACAATGCCGCAATTAGGCATCACGACCTGGACTGTGACAAAGGGTTCCTTCTAGGACGATTCTACGTATAAGTAGCTAAAAGAATACAATTACTACTAGGATGAGCTTAAGAGGATTATAGGTAAGTGGGTCAAAAATATATCGAAAGTCAAGTAGTCATATCTTTTTCTACAAAATAGACATGGAACGATGGAATCCATTAGCGATAGCGCCAGGGCAAGGTATACTATGAATACTATAACTTCAAAGAAGTTCGAAGATTGGGTAATAACTGATCTTAGAAGTACTTGAGCGAAAAGAAGCGCGAGGAGGGGGAGTAGGGGACTATAAAATAGGGCCTAAATTAGCCCTTGTAGGAGGATATAAATAAACTTGTATGAGCCCTAGCCAAAATAAGTTTCAAGCTTTACGCTATTTCTCATAACTTACTAGTCATGTATAGAAGCTTAATAATATTAGTATAGTACCAATTATAGTCTCCTAAAACCTTTGTCTACCACCACTATACTCAGAGAGACGGCTACAGACCCATATCCTTTGTATAGACGAAGAATAGATTATAGACTATACTATACTTATAAACCGTTTAAAATCTTTATTTCCTACTAGCACCCTCCTGGCGCGTTGCTTACGACTTCTTGCAGGTTGAACGGACTTCTAGGCTCCCAATATTGAAGAACCACCAATGATGATTGCCAAGCCCCGAGATAAGGATGAGTACAACAAGTTGATTTGTTAACAGGTTGCTGAGGTTAGTTATTGTGCCTGGTGCAGTAAAAAAAAAGTATCGGACCAAATGTTCCTAGGAAAAATGAGCATTGACTCTGCGGTAATATTCTGGATTGCCTGTAAAAATGGGTCCAACTTCCCTCGCAAGGGAATATGTAATTTTCTAGGCACGGCTGTAATGAAATGCGACCGATTACAACTGGTAGTCTCCAACTGCGCTTAAATAGGCTTCCAAGGTGCATCGCTGCTTGTAGATAGATACCGATACCAAGGTTGCCCTTCACGCTGTTTCTGTGCCTTGAGAAGTAAATAGCAATCGAATCGTCTCATTCGCCCAGCAAGTTAGATGTTTGTGATAGAGTTCAGGTCCTAGACGAAGGCGAAATAGTAATGTGTGGATCTTTATGTAATAAAAATGAGCAGTTTAAGGGGACAATATAGTAGCAAGCAGTGTATATGACCTTTAGCCCAGAATAGTCTTTATAGGTAGCATCTTATAACCTTGCTTGAATCCAGGGCTTCGGTAATACCGGTTTAGTAGCATTTCTATAGAATTATTGCCAAAAGGAAAGAGGAAGAGAGAGGACCGAGAAAAATAAAAACAAAAACAAAAACAAGTACATCGTGGGCACTTGGGTTGAGACTGAGAGTCCGTGCCCACTAGTTAACTATCGGGCAACTCCTAACTAATCTCGGCCCGGAAGGACCCCCTCCACTCCTAACTTCTTCATCCTCTTCCTCCATTAATTTTTTTCCTGCCAGCCGGCGCCATGGTGCGCCCGCGAGGTCTGTCAAATGCTTCCTCCACTTCATCTGTTCCCGATCAGGACCAGGTATGTCGCCCTTTCCCATGTACTCACCGAGCTTGCCGCAATAGTTAACACATGCCAGGAACTGGGGAGTATGTACGATTACCTCGCCAAAGTCATCCTCCTGGGCCCGAGCGGTGCGGGAAAGTAAGTGACCCTGTGCAACGACCCCAGACTCTGCTGATATGTTTTCTCGGATACGAGCAGGTCCTGTGTACTCCATCGATTCGTGAAGAATGAATGTACGACCACCGCTTCCCCCGTTCCCCTGCCTTGGCTAACCCTCGGTCTCTTCTCCCAGGGCGTGTTCTGTCGTCGCAAACCATCGGCGTCGAGTTCTCTTCCCGTATTGTAAAGTTGGGATCGGGCTCCAGACGCAGGCGGATCAAGTTACAGCTCTGGGACACTGCTGGGACCGAGCGTTTCCGATCCGTTTCCCGGTCCTACTACCGCGGAGCCGCAGGCGCGATTCTCATCTACGACGTCGCCTCCCATAACTCTTTCGCGTCGCTCCCTACCTTCCTGATGGATGCGCGGGCACTAGCCTCCCCCAACCTGACCGTCATACTGGCTGGGAATAAGTCCGACCTGGCAGATTCCGCCCCGCAGTCCGAGTTGGTCGACGACTCTACTCGGCTCCCACCTACGCCATCCAGTACGTCGAGCAAGCAATCATCACTGCCATTTGAAACTAGTAGCTCGGTTCGGTCGGCGAGCCATTTGGGGTCAGGAACCAGGATGACTGCTACCTGGGCCCCCGAGGGGCGGGAAGTCAGCCTCGAGGAGACGTCGCGCTGGGCCGCCCAATCTAATATCCCTGTTGCCGTCGAGGTATCCGCTCTGACGGGGGATGGTGTTGAAGAGGTGTTTAACCGGCTCGCGCGCATCATTCTCACCAAGATTGAACTGGGCGAAATTGATCCAGATGACCCGCAGAGCGGCATCCAATATGGAGATGGTGGCCTTTACGGTCACGGCACCAGTGACGGCTCGAGCATCCGAAGCAGAGCTACGCTCGAGGACAACGCCCTGCCCCTTCAACGAAGAACCCCACGGCGGCGAGGCAAGGGGAGTGGCACCCAAGGCTGGAGGGGCGGAATGAGAGAATGGGAGGACGTGTTTCGCTTGGGCGGTTCTCAATCGCGGAGAAATCGAGGTTGTTGTTGATCTACAGATGATCTGGATTATTTTTTCCTGGCGACTGGTCTTTCGGTTCACTTCTTGATACCCCCCTCTGTTGTCGTTCTTTTATCCTTTCTACAGATGCTGGTGACAGCGCCCCGGGGATGGGCGCTTCTGCAGTGAAGCCAATTGAATCATTCATTTCCTTCTGCTTTTTGTTATGGATTCTAACTTGCCGCCAGAGGGGGGCTGCAAATTGCATAGACACTCTCACGCGTCGATGCCTGCGATGAGAGTCTTAATGCCCTTTCCGGCCTTGACCTCCTTAAAGGCCTGCTCGGCCTCCTCAAACTTGACGGTGCCGGTGATCAACTTCTTCACATCCACCTTGCCCGAGGAGACCAAGCCAACCGCCAGCTTGTAGTCCCCGCTTCCGTATCGGAAGCTGCCGTGGATACTCAACTCCTTGGAGCAAGCCGCCATGATCGGAAACTGGATCTCGCTCCGGCCCATACCGCCCTGCACATACGTGCCGCCATTTCGCAGGACGTGGATACCTGTATGCACCGAGGGTTCCGCACCCGAAGCATCGATCGCCACATCCGCACCAGCACCCAGTTCATTCTCTTCCTTCAGCCGATCAGCATTCATCATTGCCGACACTTTGCCGGGCAGAAAAGTCGCCGTCACGGCATACTGCTTGGCAAAGTCCAGGCGGGGCTGTTGGATATCCACCGCGATCACCTTAGACGCCCCAAATGCTGTTGCCACCGCGCAGCAGAGCAAACCCACGGGGCCAGCGCCGAACACCACGACCGATTGGCCGGGGCTCACGCGGGCCTGGCGGACGATATGCACAGCCACGCTCAAAGGCTCCATCAGAGCTCCCTCCTGCAGAGACAGATGGTCGGGAAGCTTGTAGCAGAAATCCTCCGGTAGCACATAATACTTGGCTAGCGTACCGTCATAAGGCGGAGTAGCTGCAAAGGCCATGTTCTCGCAGAGGTTGTACTTGCCCGCCTTACAGGGCTCGCACCGGCGGCAGGAGATGCCGGGCTCCATGGCGACGCGGTCGCCGACCTTTAGGGTGGTGACTGCGGACCCGACTTGGCTGATAATGCCGGCCGACTCGTGCCCGAGAACCATGGGATCCTTGACGACGAATTGGCCAATAGCGCCGTGCTCCCAATAGTGTACCTATGTCGGATTAGTTGCGGCGGCAGGAGGGAGGTCGTGCGATTGATGATACTTACATCGCTGCCACAGATGCCGGTGTATTTGACGTTGATGAGTACATCATGGGGGTTCTTCAATTCAGGGACTGGGCGGTCCTCGTACTTGACCTGATGGATGCCCTCGAGAATGAAGGAGAGGTTCTGCCCCGCCATCGATTGATTGATTAGCCGGGAGATAGGTGTGGGTCAGGGATAGATCGATACATACCTTGGCAGTTTGGGACGACATGGCTGGGGGAGGAAGAGAGAGTGTGAGAGAGAGAGAGTGAGAGCGAGAGATGAAAGGAAGAAGAGAGAAGAACGAGGGAAAGAAGTAGTTAATAGTAGAACCAAAAAAAAAAAGTGTCAAGTGATCCATGTTGGCTGTCGATTTAGCCGCCTTTTACCCGTGTGCTCGTCATCAAGGCGGTGTGTGCTCGCTCTATCTTGCCTACAACCGACGTCCTTCCCATGTACCCACAATTATTATTACATAGAGTACTGGGTTATCGTCTTCCATCCTCAATGCTCCCCGCCAATGCTGTCGCCCTCAGGGCGCTGCGTGGCGTTAGAGCAACTCCGCCTTCCCTGCACCCCCGACTCTTCAGTGTGTCGACCGTCCGCCCGAACGAAAAGCCGCAGCAGTCGTTCAAAAGCCAGCTGTATGAAAGCACCCAGCAGCGACTCAAGCGCGAGCGTGCCGAGCAGGAGCGATTCGCCCAATATCAGACTCAGTCCCCTGGCGGTCGCTATGCCGCCCTGATGTTCGGTATGCGCTTGTACCCCGGACCCGGACCTTCCCCATCCCGCTGACGTCGGTCCAGCCTTGGTCTTTTTCTCCGGCAGTGCGTACTATCTAGGGTCACTCAAGCCGGCAGCTCTCCCGAAGTCGTCAACAAGCTCGCTTGCGGATATCGACGCTCCCCAACACAATGTCTCGCCCTCCAACCTCCAGGCGGCGTGGGCGGATTTCATCGACATTCTCGGTAAGGAGAACGTGTCGACTGCGCTCGGGGACTTGGAAATGCACGCGGGTTCGGATTGGTCGTCTTATTCACGTGGGGAGAACGAAAAACCGTTTCTAATTTTATATCCGTCGAGCACTGAGGAAGTCTCTCGGATAATGAAAATCTGCCACCAACGCGTCATCCCCGTCACGCCATACTCGGGCGGCACGAGCTTGGAAGGCCATTTTGCCTCGACCAGGGGAGGGGTATGCATTGATTTTCGTCGTATGGATCGCATCCTGGGGCTTCACAAGCGCGATTTGGATGTGGTGGTGCAGCCGGCCGTCGGATGGGAGGAGTTGAACGAAGAGCTGTCCAAGGATGGCTTGTTCTTCCCCCTGACCCCGGGCCCGGGGCCATGATCGGAGGTATGGTGGGTACGGGCTGCTCCGGCACCAATGCTTACCGATACGGGACCATGCGTGAGTGGGTTCTCTCATTGACCGTTGTTCTCGCCGATGGAACAATCATCAAGACTCGACAGCGGCCTCGGAAGTCAAGCGCTGGCTATGATCTCACCAAAATTTTCATTGGGAGCGAGGGTACCCTCGGTCTCATCACGGAGGCTACGTTGAAGCTCACCGTGAAGCCTCAGAGTCAGAACGTTGCTGTTGCAAGCTTTCCCTCCATTCACAGTGCGGCCGAGTGTGTGACACAGGTGGTGGAGGCGGGCATCCCTGTCGCCGGATTAGAAATTCTGGACGACGTACAGATGAAGTGCATCAATGCCAGCCAGTCCACTAGCCGGCAGTGGAAGGAGTCGCCTACCTTGTTCTTTAAATTTGCCGGCACCCCCGTGGCAGTGAAAGAGCAGATCGGGCTGGTACAGAAGATTGTGTCTAAAACCGCCGGCCGATCATTTGAGTTCGCTCGCGGCGAAGAAGAAATGCAGGAGCTTTGGAGCGCTCGCAAACAGGCGCTGTGGAGTGTCATGGCGATGAAAAGGAGCCCTGATGACCATGTCTGGACAACAGACGTAGCAGTCCCGATGAGCAAACTCCCCGATATCATCGAGGCTACGAAAGAAGATTTGACGCAGAGCCGGCTGCTGGCCGGTATCTGTGGCCATGTTGGAGATGGCAATTTTCATGGTGAGCTTATTCTCCGTGTCGCGAGGTTTCCGAACCCAGCTAACTCGCATTTAGCCATTATTTTGTTCAGCGACAGCGAAAGGCAGGTTGCTGAGGGTGTCGTCCATCGAATGGTGAAACGGGCTGTGGAAATGGATGGCACAGTAACAGGAGAACATGGAGTTGGCCTTGTCAAACGAGACTATCTTGAGCACGAACTGGGCGAATCCACCGTGGATGCCATGCGCCGTGTAGGTCACATCTACAATACCTGTCTACGTCATGGAGAACATCAACTCTAACTATCTTGAACATTTTGCAGTTAAAACTGGCCTTCGATCCACTTCGTCTGCTTAATTGTGACAAGGTGGTCCGAACGGAGCAGCCCGCGGCCGGAGAAGTCAAAGAATGGTAATTGTCCCTGTCCTTCGGGGCTTCGAGTTCGACCTTTCAGTCCGAGCTTTCAGAGCCCGATCGGTCATGGCTATGGTGCCGCTGTCTGTGCTTTTTATGACGAGGGCGCCTTTCCTCATCACCACCATCGCTGTCGGACGTTCCACTGGAGCGTCGCTCATGTCGATGGTGTCGCTCGACATGATGCCCGGCGCGGTTGTCTGGTCCCTGCTCATACTCCTGGGATGGATAGCCAGGATTTTCATATTTATCATAGCCTCGCTGTGGTCTGCGTGCCATGGTAGGACGTTAATATATGATGATACTTCAGAATAAACATTTGACTCACCGGTCAACCCCTTCACGCATGTAGCTCCGATCCACATCGCTGTAAGCCTGCCTCTGCTCATGCTCATAGCGCTCCGTGCGCTCGTATTCCTGGCGGCCACCGTGGTAGATCTCCCGTCGTTCATGTTTATAGTAACCACCCTCTCCGCTGTCCTCTTGCTGGTGTTGGGGGTACTCCTCCCCTCTATAGTGCTCCACCGGGGGATACTCGTCGCGCCGTATTGGAGAGCGTCGTCCATAGTGCGCCGCTTCGCGCTGGTATTGAGGTACTTCCGTCTCGTATCGATCGGAATTGTCATGTCGAGGGTGAGGTAGGGCATGCTCTTTGTGCTCTTTGTGCTCTTTGTGCTCTTTGTGCTCTTTGTGCTCTTTGTGCTCTTTGTGCTCTTTGTGCTGTTTATGTCCCTTGCCATGTCGGGTAGCGTGATTTTCGCCTTTGGGGGACTCGGGAGTTCCTCGTCCAGACTGGTGACCAGGCTCGTCGAGGATCATATCGCCCATCCCCCCAACGAGCCCACCAACTATGCCTCCCAGTGCACCTCCGCCGACAGCCTCGAAGGCAAGCTTCTCAATACCGGCATCACCAGACTGGTGATTTCCACCACGCTTCCCTTGACCCTTGGGAAGTGCCAACGGCTTTCCACATCCATGTCCGGAGTCATGTACCCCTGCTTTGTGGTTTTTGCCCTTGAGAACACCATCCCGGCTCAGCTGTCCACGCAAGATGTCCCGCTCCTCCTCGTTCTTTTCTCGCCACCACTTCTCGACGGTCGAAAACATGATTTGGCGGATGTCGGCTGCTCCATCATCCCCATATTCACGCAGGGCAGGATGGTGAAAGACCCCAGAAATAATCCTGTTCAGGGTTCGATCGACATCGACATCCTCATTGTCCCAGCATTGCATCAATTGAGGAACAGTCCACTTGACCACGTTTGACGCAATGCGGCCCGCGGGCTCGTTGAGGACATTCGAGAAGTGGTCCTTGGAAAGCATGGAATGTGTCGGGTCTGACGCAGAGTCGTCATTGAAGACCATATGTTGCTGCTCTCTGCTGCTTTGGATTACCTCCGAAGAACCGGTCTCAAGCTCGGCTTTGACCTGGTTGATGATCGGGAGAACGTATGGTGCCAGGATGGAGAAGACGAAGACCGTAATTTGGTCCTGAATCTGCTCAATTAGTTCGGGTAGGACTGGTATCTGTTCAATGGCCTCGTGGATTGCCTTCAGCAGTTCATCGTGCCATTCCAAAACTGGGTAGACCTGCTGCTGAACGTTGTCCAGGTAGCGAGTCCACTGTTCAGGTTCACGTGGACTGACATGCTGGTTGGTTTTCCGCGCAATGTCGGCCTTGGTCTTGAAGTCATCCATCTGGTTTGCCTGGCTGGGACTGTCCCCGATCAGCCCACTCGGGATGTTGCTCAGCAAGTCCTGCAGGAAGCTCTTTGATGGGCCTTCGTTTTGTGATTTTGAGATGACCTCTTCCAGTGATTGGATTTCGGACTGCATGGTTTTATCCGACAGCTCCCCTAGCACGGAGTGGAAGAAGTCGACTCCGCCAAAGGTACCTGTCACAATGGGACAGACATAGTCGCGCGCACCACGAACTTGAAGCCTCGTATTCTGACCAACGTGGGCAAACACTTTGGTTTCGCCGATCTCAATCAGGCTCAGCTCGGTGTAGTTCGAATGCGCCGCGTAGTCTTCCAGGCAGTGTAGACCGGTGCCCATCAGTCGAAGGGCTTCATGTAGATCTTCATCCTTCCGTGACCGAGCATACTTGCGACCCAGCTGGATTGAACGACCCAGGACACGACGGACCAACGCCGCTGATGTAGGAATCCCAAGGTCTTCCGATGCGATGTAATTTTTCAAGCCTGCATGATTTCTCTTCCTTAGTTTAGCCCTCTTTTGGCAGGGTGAGTGCATACCTGTACGCGGATCTACTGCAAGCTCTCTCTCTTCGTCGACAGGGCCTCGGAGCCGACGGTCATAGCAGCGCGCATCTTCACCTTCTGCATATCCGAGAGGGTTATCAATGTGCTCAGTCGGCTGGTAACACCCTAGGCGCTCCGTCGTCACCTCGAATTCTCGAGTCCCGAAGCTGGTCAGCAGGCGTTAGCAAACACTCTCTTCCGATCATTCTGGACTTGCTTACCCAAAGCTCATGAAACCCAGCACCCAGATCAAGATCCGGATAGCTTCGGCGCTGACATATTTGACGGTGCCTACGTCAACGGCCTGGCTGTAGTCCCGCAGCCAGTTGCCAAAGTACACGCGCTTCACATCCAGCTTATTGAACTTCCGGCCGCCCGCCACTCGGGCCAGGAAAAGCGTTAACAAGGTATCCTCGATATCTCCATGGCGCCAGTTCTGTCCTTCGATTCGAGAGAGGGAGGCGATGTTTCCAGCGCCGAAGCCATGGGCGTGGCCGGAGATGAAGAGCAAGATTAAGAGGGAGAAGCACCAAGTCTGCGGCATTGTGTTTTAGTTGTTTTCTTCCAGGCGTTTGGTGGGTTGTGTGCTCTTTTTGGGCAGGATAGGGGGGGAACCCCACCTCGATCGGCAAAAGGCCAAGAGTTCATGGTAGTGGCTGGGCGTGCGTATATATACATGGTGAGGTCGCGATATATATATAGTCGCACGGTGGATAGGATGGACGGTTAGGGCTAGGAAGGGATGGGAGAAAGGATACCGGTCAACACTTGACCAGACCGAGGTATGTATGACCGTACGGAATCAAGCCATTTGACCCAGTCATAATAATTATCCATTGACTTGGTCGATACTACATGTATAGTGTATAGCAGTAGGCACCATACCATACTCCTAACCTACCGCATGCGGGCCTCTCCCACCGTCTGCGGCTTCACCGCTCCCCAACCTTATCTTTCTTCCTCTCACTCACTCACCCACCCACTCAACTCTCTTTTCTCCCTCTATTCTTTCTTTCTCCCTCCCATGCAGACATATTATTTCACACCCACTTTCTGTCTCTACCTGGCTGCATCCATCACTCTGGCTTCCTGACCGATTCTCCCTCAACCCCCGTCTTCCCCCTCGAGGTCGTCATTGTACCGTACGCCGATCCGAGAAGTGCTGTTCAAGTGTCAGTCTTCGATGGTGTCGCATCGCTTGATTATCCTCCAAGCCTCATCCCTCACCAATATTCGATCCTCCGTCCGTCGCAAACCATCCTGCCTCCTACGTGTGCAGCCACCGGCCGTCTCATCGTCTGACACCCCCGCCGATTCTCCGCTGCAACAAACAGACCCGAGCTACCACCATGCGCCGCGTAATTCATCTCTAAGACACCTGTTCCCTAGAGTTAGCCGCCGGAGGACGGGCATTGTTGTTCACAGCTGGTGATCATGACCCGTACGGACATCCACTATGCTCATGAGATGGCTCGTCCGATTTCACGGAGCCGTGCCTCGACCGATTCCGACTCGCCGTCACTCTCGAAGAAGAATAGCCTCCCAAGCGCCCGGAGAATCTCCAACGCCGAAGGCCGATGGACTGCTCCCCAGAATGACACTCTTCTGATGCCCCATGCCCCACTTGATCTGGATGGCGCGGCCCAAAAGTTGGCCCCGTCTCCTGCCCTCTCTGAACAGTCGCATTCCCCGCCCGATACCAAACGTCGCAGTTCGAGGACCTCGAGCAACCCTACGCCAGAGATTGGCGCAATTGGACAATCATGGAATCAAGATTCTCATCACCTGATGACGGCTTCCGATTTCAATACATCTTCCGATGCACTGGACTATCGATTACAGAAGGGCAGATCAGCCAAGACAAAAGTCCACATCAAACCGATACTCCGGAGGATGTCTCGGGATGATGCACCGTCGGCATCAATTGACCTCTCTCGGTCATCAACCGAGCAGGATGGGTTAGGCATTTATTGGAACCTCGATCGAGATCGGCGCCGGAGCGAGTCGCTCACGGGAAGTACGTACCGAAGAACAGCATCTGGTTTACATCATCGGTCTACCAGCGGGACATCTCAGTTTTCCACGGGCACCGGCTCGAGTATTAGCAAGCCGGGGTCGCAATACGTCCACCCTATGCGGCAGATGCCCAGCGCGTTCACGCCACCGCTAGGTCAGTCGTATCAGGCGTCGGCCCATGAAAGCGACCTCGAAGATGGTAGTCCCGAAACCGAATCTTCAGCTTTGCCCGGTTCGGAGACCCAGCGCACCCCGATGTATGCGTCCTCTTCGGGACCACCCCCACGACTGTCACTACACCTTCAAGATGATTCCTTTACACGTTTGCCAGGGATTTCACAAACCAACATCGCCAGCCGGCCTTCGTTTGGCTACTCCAGGGACAACGGGAGCACCTTGGACACCGCATCCCCGATCTCGAGGACGTCTCTTGACTTTGGCTTTCGATCGCGCACACGGACCAGCACCGACCCCATTTCTCGAGCGGCCGCAATCCAAGCCGCCCGCCAAGCGTTCGAGGAGAAGGAAGCTGCCAAGACTCGCCGGTTTGAGAAACAGCAGATCAAAGCGGAAGAAAGACAAACGCGGCGTCGGGAGAAGCGACATCTGTCCCCAAACCGCGACTCACTGGCTGTACATTCTGGTCAAGAGATGTCCGAGAAGGCCACCCAGCTCCCGCTAGCCAGCCCTCCGAAATCCCATGAACGGCAACCCTCAGCATCGTGGAAATCCCAGTCAAAGAGCACGTGGATGCTCTTCGTGACGTGGCTGCGGACCCGGGTGTTTAAGCTGCGACGGAAAGCACGAAAGCTTCGCTAGTTCCCTCTTTTCTCAATTTCTGTTAATAGCCCACTAGCGAGCGCGTTATTCCCTTTCTCTTCGGGGTCGGGGACGGTCGTCCGGCCATTGGTGGCCACTTTTAGTTTTATTTTTCCTTTTGCACAGCGCTCTTTCTTTTGGATGGGGGAGTTATTAAGTCGCAGGACGATAAACATTTCTTAAGACTCGAACAGTGCCTGGCTGTCCTACAGTTGTTTGTTCAAACAAATTCAATCCAGTTTAGTTGCCAACTTCTTAGGTGTAAACCCACCACGTGACCAAACTGCGCCTTGTGCGCCTCTGGCCTCCCTTCTTTCTTTGCTCTTTTCCCCTACGGCGCACCGCGACAACCACCACCACCTTGCTAGCTCCACACCAGCTCCTCGCTGCGTGGCTCCGCAAACACCTTCCTCCTTCGCCCGGGAGTCTCTTCCCACCAGCCACCATGGTGTACGACTGGGCGGGGAAGCGGGACATCTGCTACCAGATGTATATCCGGGACAAGAAGGCTCTGGAGGATATCATGGAGCACATGCGAACCGCCTATCAGTTTGCACCGAGGTGAGTTGAGACCTGCCTGCTGTCCGAGACTCGCCACTAAGAACATCATGTCATCTTCACAGTAAACGCGCCTTCCAAAACCAGTTCAAACGCTGGGGGTTCCCGTCGAAGCAGAATCCTGCCCACAAAAATGTCGAGCTTGTTGCGCGAATCAAACAGCTCTGGGAAACGAATACAACACAGCGCGACATGCTGCGGATCTTGAACGAGGAGGGCTTCGATATCAAAGAAAGAGAGTTGATGCGTGTGCGTGCAAAGAATCGCTGGCTTCTCCGTGTCCCCAATGGGATGAAGTCCCAGTCTAACGCTGGAACGCGAATTTCTCACCTAGAGGACGAAGGCTTGCTTGCACTACAACAGGAAGTATACAAGAATGATGATGGGTTCGACGATGACAACTCCCACCCTCCCGAATCAGCTGGTAATCATTCCACATCGCCTGGTTTGACGCCCGAGGTGATCGCGAAACGCAAAGAGCGCCTTGAACGTCTGAAGACAGAAAGTGCAGAGCGGTGGGCCTCGAGAAAGCGTCGCCGTCGTACTCGTGGTTGGGCCGGTTTGCCGGCGGACCCCCCTGGGCCTCCACGGTTTCCGTCGGAGACCACAATTGATGAGAGTAAGCAGTACCTCAGCCTAGACAACGCCATGTACCGTCAAGTGCGGGATCACTTCCAGCGAATCTGCGAGGAAGCCGGCTTTATTAAAAAAACAGCGGCGGGGCCAGAGCGATGGCAGGCCGCCAAGGATCGATTGATTCAAGAATCCTCCCATCTCCAACAAGTCTTCAACACCGAACCAAACCAACGCGATGCGAAAACCCTTGCCCTCGATGTGGTCTGCACTGACGTTACGAAACGCATGAGAACTCTGGAGCGTCGAATGACTATAGCGGAGGCTAAGAACGCCCTGGGAATCAATCCAGAGGAGAGCCGCCAGATTCGCAACGCATTCTATGATATTCTTAAAGCAGACCACTTTACTAGCAAGCTGGAGGCGGGCGATGAACACTGGCAGGCGATGAAAGAGCAGTGGATTCGGAACTCTGAGCTTCTGCAGCGGATTTTGGCACCGGGACCCGCAGACCCCGACCACACTACCGAAGTGAAGAAAGCCTTGGAAGTTCTTTGTCGCGACGTAATGAAACGACTTCGCGACGAACAGACGAAACGAGACCCTGCTCGCAAGCGATCCGGAGCGCGTACCGAGTCCCCGAATACCCCACTCACCAACAATCCTGTTGGGAACATGCTGGGCAATGGGATCAGTAATGGGATTAGCACTCTTGCATCCCAGGCGCTTGCGAGCGCGCCTATCACCGCAAATGAGATTGGGGATATGCAGATCGACCCTTCTTTACTCCAGGCGGCTAACGACCCATCCTTTTCAGCAAGTACCCAGCATGATCCGGGCAGTGCATTTGATTACGTGGACCCCATGCTTAATCCAAGTCTGCTCCATACTCCGATCTATCTACAAATCAGTCCCCAGAGCCAGGTGCCGGGGCTAGCATCCAAGACCTGGGCGGAAAAGTTAACCACTAGGTCAATCGACGAGTTGAGGCAATTCGTTGCTGCCCGGTATCCTTACTCAACTATCACCAAGATTGAAGGCATCGATCGGGATGAGCAGGGGAATGTGATCCCATTCCTCATTGACGAAGACCATGAACTGGACGCATACCTGACCCATGTGCATGGAAGAAAGGCGTCACTGGTTTTGACCTTGGGCCAGATTTAGGGAAGGATTGTTTTTGTACTGGCTGATGCGAAACCATCGCACTTATTCACGGGATATCATGATACACCCAGTCATTCACATAAAAATGCTCTTTCTACCCGAGCCAAATTAAAACATGTTCCACACCCCTGAGAGCCTGTAGACATCTTTCTTACATCATTGCCTGCCAATAATATGTACAATGATGCCGAGAATAGGGACAATCACTTTTGTAGGATCATGGTATATACAGAGAAGAATGAAGGGAAGGGGTCATAACTGCCCTATGCAGTAGAATTTTCACTCGGCGCGGAGAGACTGAACCACATTCCTAAAGAGAACGCTCATAGCAGGTAGAGAGAACGAGGGCGTGCTCCCAAATACACTTGCCAGCCCCTTGGCCTGTGATGGAGTATCCAGGTCGACAGGTTGTGCAGGATTGCGCTCATGTCCCCGACTGAAAAGGCTTGTTAATCCAGAATTGAGATGAAGAGATGGATCCCGATTCTGGGTACTTTTCCGGGCAGTTGTTTCCTCGCAGCCTAAGCGCTGCACATGAGCTACCGTATCGATGACAATGTAGTCGCCGGAAGAGGCATCCGAAAGCAATGCGAGTGGACGGTTTCGTAGATGGTCCTGGAATACCAATTGGAAGGACGGGACATCGTAGATGCGCATGTGAGACCGATTCTTGCGCCGTTTCTTGGTTGAATCACTCGAAGAACCATCGGCTCCCCGAGCTGCAACTGCAAACGTCTGATTGCGAGGGTTCACCGCGAGGAGCTGGGGGTTTCCAGAGGCGGATGCACCAGCCGATTCTGATGACTGAATGGCCCTGACAATGTCGTCGACTGTATCCCACACAGTTACTGAGTGGGTGGAAGAAATGATGAGATATTTGCCCAGGAAGCTCATCGTACAGGGCTCGCCATGGAAAGCCCCAGTTCTTCGGTACTGTACCGTACAAGTTCGCACATCAATCAGAAGGACCAGACCGCCAGTTGCAGAGAATTCTGCCGAAAGACAGATGGCAAGAACAGACCCATCCTCCGAGAAAGCGAGGCAAGCCGTGTCAAGAGATGTGGTTTGGGTGCCACCAAGGAAACCCTTCAAGTCAATAAGACCGCGGCACTTCCATGTATCTAATTGCACCTGGGGCTCATCGTTTGTCTTCAAGCCACTGCGATTCCTGGCAGTAGGGCACCAGAAACGAACAAAGGCATCTTCACCGATAGTCGCAAACTCATGAGCACCCGGGCGGGACACGAGACCCAATAGGGAAGAGTGGCGAGAGTCAGTGAAATGCGGTCCATCTATACGGGTGACCAATTCCCAGGTATCAGAGGAAGCGCTCCACTTCCAGAATTTCAGAAACACCTCCGAGCGACAAGGGTTGGCGGAAGCAACGCCTGGGACATTGAAATCGACGGCCTCGGCGTCTTGAGAACGAGGAGTCCAGGTATCGGTAGTCGCTAGCCACTTGCCATCATGCGCGACATCGAGATATTTGACATCTGGTGCCAGTATCGGAGACCCTTCTGGCCCAATGCTTAGTGTGGTGGCGTTGGTTCGCGTCAAAGCCTGGCGCGCAATATGGCAATTGGAGCGGATGTCGTAAGTTTGGAGCACGGCGCGACTTGCAGGCTGAGAATCATGTTGGGAAGATTGATGGGACGCTGGGACAGCCACGAGCAATTGTTCAGGGCGTTGCGGATGTAGCGCGGCAACAACCGGGGAACTGGTCGAAGACGGCTCCGGGCACAGCTGCAGACCGGTAACGGTAGCTGAAGGCTGAAGTTCTCGGGCCGATAAAACCATGACCGAGTTGTCGGCAAGTTTCACCACGTAGGAATCGCCTTCGGGGGAGACCACAATGTTGCATACTGGCGAGGAGAGGTGAGGCAGGAATTGCTTACGGCCCGTATCCAATTGCCATAGGACCATGACCGACTCTTCTCCCCCTGACATGATATAGTTACCTGAAAGGGATGGTTAGCAAAACGAACAAAAGAACGTTTCTATCAATACCAATGAGTGGGAGTGCACATACCATCTTTTGACCAGCGCACGGCATTTACGGGACCCCTATGCCAATGCAATTTCCGAGCAACAGATTTCTTTTCCATGTCGCGGCCGCTCTCCTGACCAAACAGTGTATTGAGAACATCTTGGTAGACCAAAATGGAACCACCACTTTCTCCCACGGCGAGGTCGAGCGGATTAGAGCCTTGAAGCGTGTTTCGGGCTTCTGGCGCACTGTCCCGTATATGGAAGCATTTTGCATGCACTGGGAGACTCGCCTCTTTCCAAGTATACTGTACAGACTGGATGCTCTCAAGGTCCAAGCTCGTGGTGGTGCCCATAATCAGATTATGGCCATCTGCCGCAACGATGACTCGACCCTCTCGAGCAATTGTGAAGGAACTGATCCGCTTGGTGGTCTGCATCACGACCGCGCCCTGAAGCTTTCCATCACCCAGAGCATTCACCACGATCTGCCGCTTTCCTTCCTTTTGCTGCAAGGAGAAGAACAAGACGTCAGGGTGGTCCGCACGTTCGTTCACAATCAAGTCACCCGAGATGGCCAGACAGTCGGTACCCCAACGCGCCAGCCGTTTCCCAGACTGCCAATGCCACTTGGTCACGAAGCCAGAGGATGTGAAAATATAGAGATGCTCGGGGTCGACCGGACAGATTCGGAACCCAATGACCTTGTGGCCGGCCTCCACTTGCAGAGTACGCAACAGGCGCGAGGTAGCGGTTGCATAGACCTGAACGGCGGTTTCGAGCCCGACAAAAAGATAACTATGGCCAAGATGATTAGCAGCATGCTCCCGAACAACCCAGAAAGACATCACTCACGCCTCGTCGGGCGTCACCAGAGGGTCCAGATTGGTGTAGCGCCCGCCCACCGGACGAGCAAACAGCCATGGCTGTGCCTTCTTGGGTTGGTCCGACGACTGGACGGCGGGCTTGTCGATCGAGATGGAGTTCTCAGAGAACCGACGTCGCTTGACACGGTCCCCATTGGGAGTAGGAGCTTTGTCAGAGGCGGCATCGCTGAGCCGAGAGCGTTTCTGTTTCCGTGCAGAGCCCGCCATCTTTGTTGCGACAACTACATGTAGTCTTTCCCGTTGACTTTTTTTTCCTCGTTGAAGGCGGACCCAGGCGGCAGAACCGAGATCTATTACGTAAGCCAGACCCGTGATCGGGCGAGGGTAAAAAAAAGCATCTTTCTCTTCCATCAGTCATAGTCGACTCAAACCCACGTTCAGCATGATCATTCCCGTCCGTTGCTTCTCCTGCGGCAAGGTATGTTGAACTAGTCTTCCTTGAGAGGTTCCTCCCCCAGCCGCTAACTCACGCACTAGGTCGTCGGCGACCTGTGGGAGCGCTACCTGCAGCTGCTGGATGATGGAGTGCCCGATGGGTGAATATCCCAAGTCCCATTCTGTTTGATCTCTTCTAACGTGCTCAGCGATGCTATGGACCAGCTCGGCTGCCGCCGCTACTGTTGTCGGCGGATGATCATGACCCACGTTGACCTGATCGAGAAGCTCCTTCGGTGAGTCTAGCCGTTGGCGCAGTCCTGTCCGAGCACCACACTCATCATTTCTTGCATAGGTACAATTCCGCCGACAAGGATCGGGCCAAAGCCGCCGTATAATCCTCCGCGATCGCCGGACTTTCCCCCTCCCCCTCGATGGAGCCCTAGGGTTTGACCTGGCCGACCATGAGTGGAGGAGCGCAACAAGACAGCAGTGTCGGGCTGGACAGGTCCGTCCGTCCATGCATTATTTTGGCGTTGGATCTGGCGTTGGGCAGGATGTGGTGTACTGAACAAGCGCCGTGATGCCCTAAGCGGCATAGTCCGGGGGCTCACCGCGCGGGCGCTGAGTGGCCCGAATGCATTGCTCGTCACGCCCCGGCGCCTAATCATGATTATTGTTCACCATTGCCAATACATTTATTATCTTTTTCTCTATCGACATAGTCTACCTAGGTACCTAGGCAGTGATAGTGGCCTGAGCTGTTAAGCGGGGAAGGAGGCAGTCAGCTCATTCTTCTCTGTTTCTCCTCTCTCTCATCCTTCCTCCCCCCGTCCCCGAGCAGGATGGCCGTCCAGTCCCCGCCTTCCGTCGTGTCCTATCGCGCCGAGTTGTCGATCGACACTCTTGCCACTTCAGAGTCGTCGTCGTCGTCGAATGGCGCGGTCAACGGAGCCGTGGAGACGAAGAGTAGCGAGAATGACCAGCCAGAGCTGACCGTATGTGCACGCACCAGCTGGCCCTCGATCCGTCTCTGACCAAGGAAATACTAGATTCAAACCTCGCCCACCTCTCGCAATAGATCGGATGACGATGAACCGCCCCAGTCGGTGATTCATGCCCCGCCGGGATTTGGCGACTTCGTAAGACCCCCCAGCAAAGATATGGGCATTGCTTACCGGAGTCTCATTTCCCCTAGACCAAGATGCAGGACGAGCCGACGGGTGCGGCCGACGAGGAGGAAGAACAGTCACCAAGCTCAGGACTCACCGGCTCGACGACGGTCTCGGATACGCCCAGGCGGGTGCGTCGTCTCATCCCGGAAAAACACACAGTCCACTGACCGGTTTTAGTATGGCTACAGTCCAGTGTCGCCGCCGCCGCTCACGACGACGATCACTGCCGCCCAAGATTGGTCAGACCGCGCGACGCCTCGGGCCCAAACAAGACATGAGTTTGAAGAAGCCGGGCGACGTACGCGCTCAAGCAGCCTGGAAGGTATGTGATCGCCACGATGCGGCAGGCTCTCCCCGTTACTGACCCAGTTTGAAGATATACCCGAAGGTGCGAAAGTTGCGACAATATCAGGACAAGGAATCTGACTGTTCGATAGGCAATTTTACTGGGAAAGAAGCCGAAATCAACGCGTTAAGGACGGCCCTCGCCGAATGCTGGACACTCTGCAATACGTTGGCTAGTTTAAGTTATATCAACCGAGAAAGGCTGCTCAAGTCCCATGAGGACGACATACAAGAGGATGCGTGGCGGTCATGTTGGCGGTTGTGCCAGAAACTATACGACACGCGTGATGATGATTATGCATCGCAGGTGAATCCCACCCTGGATCTGTGCCGAGACTTTTGTCAGGCGTTATTTGAAGTTCGTGTCCGCGATAGTGACCTGGCGGACTCGGTCTTGCGCGTGAGCTTTGAGCTCAATAATCACCTTTTTAATACGCACGACCGCAATCTGCCCGACGCGTTTCGAGAAAGAACGTTGGATTTTTACATTACCTTGTGCCATCGTCTCATGAAACAACGAACCCGGCTGACCGAAACCGACTCTCTCCTCAGCGCGTGTTGGTCCCTGGCAGAGATGTTGTTTAGCATCCGCCAGAGCAAACGAGAGGGCAGACCGCTGGATGAAGACCTGCTCGGGTCGGCGGTGCAAGCATGCTGGGAGCTCTGCGACATCTTCCGCGAGGGCTGGACGCTCCACAGCCTGCGCAATTCTGATCGGGGCACCCCGCGCCCCAGCCAGACGACGTTCACTCAGGCATTCCATCAAGCGACTCAGTCAGAGATGGATTTTGTAAATGACCCCTTGGGCCAAGCGGGCAATCCCGAGACTCCCACGACCATATTCGAAGATATGGCAACGATCTCCCCGGATGAGGCCCCCGTTCCAAATATCTTTGTGCTGGGGCACGGGAGCGGACACAGCGCGCATGCCAAATGGTCCTCCAATGCGTCGAGCATCTCAGAGAAGTCACGATCGTCTGGGCAGACAGCATCGTCCTCAAACACAGTGACCACTGTGTCCGAGGACCCCAACTTCATACGGCTCAAAATCCTGATCACCAAAGCCGCCATCAACAGTGGCTATCAACGGGGCGGCGCACAGAACCTCTCGTCTTTTGTCAAGTCTCTTTCGTCCGATGCGTTCGGGGCGGCGCCCTGGCAAACCGCATTGCTGAAGAACTATCGCAAGCTGGTGACGTTTGATCCCGCATTCCGCACGGCCGGCCAACAAGCCCGGGTCAGCGCGGTCGACGTCGCACATGCATGTCAAGCGATGGTGCACGGCGGGCAGTACTCCTGGCTGCGCGACCTGTATCGGCTGGTCTTCGGCTTCCACATGGAAGAAGCGATGGGGCGCAAAGGGGTCATGATCCAAACTTAACGCCGCCCCATTGTACAGTAGAAGGACCGGCTAACCCAAATTGTACTCGTAGTACCTAATAATGGGCCCAGGGCGCAAGAGTGGGTTGAGGCTGTCTCTCATGTTGTCTCGCCTCGGCTAATGAAGGGGATCCACCGCGGAAACAGTAATAATCTAACATGACTCCATCGGTTCGGAGGCTGTAACTATGTGCACATAATAATAATAATAATAATAATAATAATCCAATCAGCGCCAACCATGGCTGTTTGGCCTTGTCCGGAGTATATTATTGCCCTCCCGTGTCGACCAAGTCGAATGTGCCGAAATGATCATTCTTTGACGGCTGCGTGGTGGATATAGTGACGGCCCTTGTTCTGCTACCCCTGACGATCTCACGATCTCTCGGGCACGGTTCAATGAGTAGTAGTACTATGGACTGTCATTGAACAATCTCGAGATCGGCTTCTGGGGTTTCTTAGAATGCTTCTTCTGTCGGCATGCCGCGCACAGACAGACAAGATGTGCACGATTCACTAGTTAGCTACAGTACATAGTACATACCGATAGCCTTGTAGTAACTAAAACAACCCCCGATTCTGGAGCACCGAGAGGAACCGACCTCATGCCGTGCAAGGCTCCCGAGACCAATTGGTGTTCCAAACACAGCGCAGCAATTTCCTTCCTAGTCCCTTGCATATAGTACCTCTTCAAGAGGACGGCGGTTGAGTCCAAAAAAAAAAGGCACTGTTAGGACAGGCCACGCGAAGTGAGCTCGGTTTCATCCACTCTTTCGCCCTTGGATGCGATGCTTATCCACCTTGGGCGAGGTTGTCGCCGACACAGATTGCTGACGTCGGCCAAGACCGCGCCGGGAGAAGGAAATTTTTTTTTGCCCGATTTTTCTTTCATAATCAGAACTCCACTTCGTAACCCAGTGCATCGTGCCTGTTAAATTAGAGTTAAACGCTTGAGAGTTCGCTTACAGCATGAGCCGTAGTGGCAAACTATAGGAATTTTCTTTTCTTTTTGTTTTTCTTTTCCAAATCAAGGTGTTCTCGGATGGCGATTGGCGTAGCCATGTCCCGGACGCCGATGACGACTCGGCCGACGCAGTTAGTCGGGGGAGAGAATGAGGGGAGAATCTGGAGGGCCGGAGGGGGAGGGGGCAAAGTGGTGGGGCTCCACGGCCTCGTCGAACAGCGAGTCATTTCCGAAGCGACCCTGGATGTCGGGATCAAGAATCCGCTGGCCCAGTGAAAAGATTGGACATTCCCGCCGCCGCCGACGCCATCCTGCATTGGCAACCCCTCGGGGCCACCTCGGCATGTCGTTGAGAGTGGCTCGGACACCTCCGGGTCACCCTACCCTCTCTGGGCAACGGCGTCTAAAAGTGCTGTCCACGTCGGACCGGGAGCAGTCGGCCATCGGGACAACCCGGCCTGCCCTGGGAGGGCTGCCAGGGGTATCAATCCCGGTGGGGTGATTCGTGGGATTCCCAAGCCATCTACGACATGGCTTTGGCCCGTGAGCTCCACCGGGCTGGTGGATCATCTTCAGTAAAAGTTGTGCGTTCTGTTGGTCTTTTTTTCCTAGGTAGGACTGGCGAGACGGGAACGAAATCGGCTATTCACAATCAATAATCCCACTGCTGCAATCAGAGAGAGGCGTGTTGCGCCCTGTCTCTGCGGACCGCCGCCACCGTGGCACCAGATAAGATTGACTCCCGGAGGAGCAGCGGCTGTGGCTTTTGGTCCGGAGGCGGCATACTTTCCTTTGCCGGGCAGTGGTCGGAGCCGCAAGAGGAAAGTACGGCATGCACCATGGGTCGTCGCGCCACACACGCCTTAACCTCAGGGACTCCCACCGACCCACCGTGGCGACCCACCATCGCGTGCCAAGCGGCTGCTTTAGGAGTTCGGCAGCGAATGACGCTGGTCGGACGCGGAAGGTATGCCGCCACGCGGCTCCAGCGTCGTCATTTGGTGTTCCAACGCTGGCGTTTGAGTCGTCGGCGGCTGATGAGGCTCCACGCAGTGCAATAAGAGGGGGCGAAAATTCCCCGGTTCTATTATCGGCCGGGCGTAGAGGATGGCAGGCCACGAGAGAGGGCCGGGAAGGGGGATGGATGTTCTAAGAATAATGCATCGGGAAGGATGCACAAAATCATGAAGGCTATATTCATTGTATCGGGGAAGGAAGACGAGTGCGGGAACGGATAAAAGCCGGGGGCGAAGGTCAGCCGGGGGAGATGGCCGGGGGGGGGGGGGGGGGGGGGCGCGGGCGGGCAAGGGGAAAAACAGGCAACTCGGCCGGGACGGGAGCAGTCCGGGGCACCCGCACTTCCTTCACGGCGCTGCCTGTCTGCTCCCTGGAACATCTCTCCATCCAGACCGGCTCGATTCGCTTTTCTCGATGCTTGTAGGATTCGAATAATGAACTCTGATCGGATTCACCACCACCACGACTCCTCCTCCTCCTGCTGCTAAGGATGATCTCAAATAGGCTAGCAACCCGTCCCTTGCACCAATCACTATCCCAGTCCATCCTGCCGTCTCCGCCATGCCCCACTACAATAGTCCCAGAATTTTCAATGCCTTGGTTCGGGGGGCGAACTCCACTCGCATGTGGGAGTGGTTACAGGCTTTTTTCTTTTTTCTTTTTTCTTTTTTTTCTTTTTCGCCGGGGTTGGTTGGGTTGCGAGATCTATAAAGGAGGGGGATGCTGCCCTCCCCCGGAAACTGTTGATGTTGCATCCCCTACTTTCTTTTCTTTTTCTCTCCCATACCTAATACATAATACAGACGGTGTTCCCCCACACCCTTTGTATTATATCCTGTCCTTCTTTTCTTCTTCCTGTCCCTCCTGGGTAGAGTGGTCAAGGTTATCATCCGTCCAACATGTGGACAAACGCATCCGGCTTGCGGGGCCGCAAGCTCCGTCTCGCCATCACCTTCACCTCCGTCGTGGGCTTCTCCCTCTTCGGTTATGATCAGGGCTTGATGTCTGGTATCATCTCCGGTTCCCAGTTCATGAAGGAGTTCCCGCCGCTGGCCACTCCTGAGGACCCGGCCCTCCTCAACCATGTCTCGGTCCTCCGCGGTGCGGTGACCTCGTGTTATGAGCTGGGTTGTTTCTTTGGTGCCATCTTCACCCTCACCTACGGCGAACGGATTGGCCGCACGCCTCTGCTGGTGGCCGGTGGCCTCCTCATGATTCTCGGTACTGTGATTTCCACCGCTGCATTCGGCCCCCACTGGGGTCTCGGCCAGTTCGTCATCGGCCGTGTCATTTCCGGTATCGGAAACGGCATGGACACGGCCACCATTCCCGTCTGGCAGTCCGAGTGCTCCAAGGCTCACAACCGTGGGTTCCTCGTCTGTTTCGAGGGTGCCATCATCGCCGTCGGCACCTTCGTCGCCTACTGGATCGATTTTGGCCTCTCGTACGTGAACACATCGGCCCAGTGGCGCTTCCCCGTCGCTTTCCAGATTGTCTTCGCCATCATGGTGAGCGTCGGCGCTCTCATGTTGCCCGAGTCCCCGCGCTGGTTCGTCATCCGGGGCCATGACAAGGAGGCCTGCGAGGTGCTGGCCATGCTCAACGATAGTCAGCCCGACGCCGAGGATGTGCTCGCGGATTTCAACATGATGAAGGCCGATCTCAAGGCCACCGAGAGCAACAAGGCCAGCTGGAAGCAGCTGTTCACCTTTGGCAAGACCCAGGAATTCCAGCGCATGATGATCGGTTGCTCCGGCCAGTTCTTCCAACAGTTCACGGGCTGCAACGCTGCCATCTACTACTCGACGCTGCTTTTCCAGCAGAACCTGCACATGCACGGCAAGCTCTCGTTGGTCCTGGGCGGTGTTTTCGCCACGGTCTACGCTCTGGCTACGATCCCCTCCTTCTTCATGATTGAGAAGGTGGGCCGTCGCAACCTGTTCTTGATCGGTTTCATGGGCCAGGGTCTCAGTTTCATCATCACCATGGGCTGCCTGGTCAATGCCACCACGCAGACCTCCAAGGGAGCCGTCGTCGGTATTTTCCTGTTTATTGTCTTCTTCGCCTTCACCACGCTGCCGTTGCCCTGGATCTACCCGCCTGAGATCAACCCGCTTCGCACCCGTACCATGGCGGCGTCGGCCTCCACTTGCACCAACTGGATTACCAACTTCGCCGTGGTCATGTTCACGCCCGTCTTCTCTGCTGCCAGCCCCTGGGGTATCTATCTCTTCTTCGCTCTGGTTAACTTTGTCGCCGTTCCGTTTGCCTGGTTCTTCTACGTCGAGACCGCGGGCCGTGATCTGGAGGAGGTTGACATCATCTTCGCCAAGGCCCACATCGAGAAGAAGTGGCCGTACCAGGTCGCGAAGGAGCTGCCCAAGCTCACCGTTGAGCAGATCGCTCAGATGCAGCAAGAGCTGGGAATGGATATCCAGGATCTCCAGGTCGCTTCTGAAGCCGAGAAGGCGGAGATCGCCACGAGCAGTGGCGATAGCGACGAGAAGCATGCCTCGGAGTAAACGCCTACGGGGTGTCATCTGCATCCGGGCTCTTCTTTGCCTCGGAGTTCCATCCTGGAGACGGAACGCAGGAGCCACTCTGATGGATAGTCGAGTGCCTCGATCCTCGCATGTTTATTATTTCCTTGCTATTTGAATGATCATGGTCATCATGTCGGCATGTGATGGTGATTTATCACAGCCTTTTCCTTTTCCTGTCAGATACCTTTTTCTTTCCTTGTTGGCTTTGTATTGTCTGATGATTGGGACTGCTCTCAATTGCGAGCACGAAATTGGTGGATGAATCATCCTCGTTAATTATCATAACCTATAGATTTGGATCAATTTACCTGAACCGGTGTTGATTAAAACCTTTCTTTCCTGTAAATAATCATCCTTGTGTAAACAAAAACCCCTGGAATCATCGTGGCAGTGCCGCGGACGCCCGAGGGTGACTAGGCTATGTTGAGCGCGGACGAGGCTGTGTGGATGTTCCAGTGGTTGTTCGTGGCCGCTGAGCCACAACCCGGATACGAGATTTCTCGTAAAAGGGGTCCAACAGCCACTTTCTTTCTTTCCCGGTTTTCTCTTTCATTGTCTACTCTGACACCTCCGAATAACCCTATATTTTATCGGTCGGTATGAAGTTCTCCTGGCTACCCACGTTCCTGCTTCTCTCTTCCGGGGTCACGTCCCTATCGATCCCCAACCTGAATGACCTCGTCGCGCGTCATGCGGATCCCAACCCGGAGACCTCAGATCTGATTGACCTGGAGAAGCGACGGGGTGGCGGCGGCGGCGGAGGACGCTCTGGTGGCGGCTTTAGCAGCGGGGGAAGCGGTGGAGGGCGCACGAGCTCGTCCGGCAGCAGTCGAGGGGGCATCAGCAACAGTGGCAGCACGAGCTCATCCAGCAACCTGGGCGGCAGCACGAGTCACGGCTCCGGCGTCCAGCCCAAGTACGGCGGCGGTAGCTACTACGCCGGGGGCGCAACCACTCCCTATCGCTCCGGCAGCAAAACAGCCGGCGGCATCAGCCCTCACCTGGTGGCCGGCGCCGGACTGGGGTTTTTGGGGGGCGCCTGGCTGGCGCACAGCTACTACCTCTACCCTTATCCGCACGCTTACCTGTACAATGAGCAGTCGTACCCCGTGGAGTGCGTGTGCGCGCAGTACAGCGAGTGTGGCTGCGGCGACAACCAAAACCAGACTTACTACACCTCGCTCTTCCACGGGGAGCGGCCTGAGAACTCGACCAACGTACGCGTGCTGGATGTTAATGGCACCACGACCATCTATATCAATGGCACGCTGCCCAACGGGACCACGGCGGCATCCGGGGCGTCGCCCGCAGCCACGGTGCCCGCGCATCTGGGCGGTTATTTGGTCACGGTGGCCGTTGTGGCCGCCGCGGTGTGGGGGATTTAGTTCCCTGCGGATGGGATGGATGATGAATTAATGGCTGGATACCCTTGCTTGATGGTTCTTAGCTGCTACGGCTATGATGATGGTGCAAATAGGAGTTGTAGTAGTCGTACTAATAATAACAAACCCCCAAATTCCTTCCCTACCGTAACTATGCGTGTATCCTGATTCCCGTCGCACCAGCCCAAACGGGTTAGGCGCCGGCCCCCTAACAATCTCGTTTCCCCCTGAAACCCACTCGTTCCTCTCTGTCTTTTCTCTCTTCTTCTCTTCTCCTATCCCATACCATTCCATCCTTTTTTCCTGTCTCTGGACTCGCTCCAAACAGTGCCATTCATTTAACTCACCACCGGGCCCGCATTCTTTTCTATAGAAGCCCTAGTCACTCATTCGGTTTCTCTCCCACATTCCGGCGAGTAAACAACGTCTCCCAACCACAAACAACATCAATTTCCTACCACAACCACCATCATGCAGTTCACCAAGGCTCTGTTCTTCCTCTCGGCCATCGCGCCCGTCGCCTTCGCGGCTGAGGCCGCTCAGGCAGCTGCCCCAGCAGCCCAACACAAGACCCTCACTCTGTGGCCTGCGACCTACACGCCCACGCCTACCCCGACCAGCACGCCAACTCCTACCTGGACCCCGACGCCCACCCACACGCCCACCAGCACTCCGCTCGTGTCCAGCACCCCTTTCACCTCCGTCGCCTTGAAGGTCAGCCCCTCGGCGCCCGCGCCACCGGCCTCGACGCCCACCAACACCGCCAACGGCGCCTCGTCGCTCAAGCTGTCCGGCGCTGTGGCCGCTGGTGCGATGGCCGTTGCTGGATTTGTGCTGGCGTAAACGCGTCTCGCCACTTGACATGGATGTCCATATTTGATCTCGCGGGTGGATCTCGAAGATCTCTTCCTTGACAGGCTGGGCGTTGGACAGAGGGACACACAAGAACCCGTCCTAATCGGTGGTTGTGCGCACAATGGTCTTGCAAGCCCTTGGTTCCGCACCGAGGGGACTGTTTCTTTTGACTTCTTTTTCACATATTCTGCTTTTTTTCCATCGATATACTTCTTTCCCTGGGCCACGGTGATCCTTAACGAGTTCTCCGACTTCCTGATGCCTAGTATATACCCTTTTCGCTTCTCTTCCCCATTTTCAATCCGGCCAACCCAAGCTACGATGTTTTATATGCTTTGACTATGGGGATCCTGTTTTCTTCTTCTTTCTGCAGGATGCGTGCATCACTGCGGGCGCTTGGGTGTCATACATCTTTTGATATCACGAGTGTAGGACTGACGAGCTTTCTTTTACCTTTACTCTTTCTTGGGGGGTTTCTATGATCTCGCGGCCCAGTATTTGTACATTTAGGGATTGAACTTAATCCACCTTTTATTGGTACTTGTCTAAGCTTTTCCTGGCCAGCGCTATGCAGGCTTCCACTCGTAGATCGTACGACGATGAATCAACACATCAATCCAAAAAGTTATTTGATCTAGATCATACACGAACGCCTGGGGAGCGGAGGAGGGCTTGCATCCGCCAGAACTAAACAAATCTATCTACTTAATCCAAGAGTCCAACATATCATACAGTGTGCAAGTGGCCGCGCCTACTCTTTGAAAGTAGCCTCGTATCTGCAATTACCCAGTTAGTGTCCAGTTCTATCACACAACCCGCAAGAAAACATACCTCTTTCCTCGGAAAGCCCACAATCCCCAGTTCCCACACGAGATATCATGGGGATCGAGGTCATTCAGATCCCAGCGCAGACTGCGGAAGATATTCTCGCCCGGTTCCAGAAGCATATCAAACTCGCCAGCACATTTCTCATGGACCCAGTTGATATCGCGCTCCATATCGAACTGCGTATAACCCGTGCACAAAATGGGAACTTTAGTCTCCAGCAATTGGGGCAGCGTCTCCTCCCACTCGTGCGAACTAGCGGGATGACCCAGGCCAGGGTGGAAAAGCACGATGCAGTCGAGGTAGGGATCGAACGGCTGGAAATACTGTGCCTTGTACATGGTGTGGAAGTAGTCGACATATGTGCTGATCTTCATCTGGCCGCCCAGGCGATCTTCCACGATGGCGCCGAAGGGATTCTCAGGTGTGCGCTCGGGCAGCGGGAACTCAGAATCGCGGTTGGTCATGCTCTCGGGGCCGATGAAGATTAGGTGCAGCAATGCGCGCGGGAAGATGTTTTGTAACTGAAGCCACACTTCGCGAGGGAGGGAAGACTCGGCACGGGCGCCAAGGATGAAGATTCGGACTGGAGGAGCCTTGAGGCGTAGGCCCTTCATGTCGGTGCCTTCACCAGACTTGGGGGGATGCAGGGAGTAACGAAGAGCTAAGCACAAGAATTTAGCAGCTGCGAAACACGAATTGGGCAGACTTCCGACTTACCGGTTACGCTCTTAAGCCCTTCCGCTGTCAATCGCCCACTGTTGCGCAAGCTGTAGGGACTCAGTTCATGCAAGACACTAGCAATGGTTTGCGGGTAGGTCAGCATGCGGGTGACCTGACGCATGCTGCGATCGGAGTTGATAGCATCGAACTCGCGCGTGTAGAGAAAGGTATCCCAATTGGTCATGTTGATCACAAAATTCTCATCCTGCAGGCCGGGGTACGAGAACTCCGGGAAAAAGCGACCAGAGTGCAGGTCGTGGTCATCCTCGTTGATCTGGCGGATAGTGTCGCAGATCTCGAGATGGGCCTCAAAATCGTCCATCCAATGGCCCTCAGAGCAGTAAATGGGGACACCGCAGTCGGGACATTCGAAGTGAGAGTGCGCGGGGGCAAGACTTGTGTTGTCGGTCGATTTGCGCGCTTCCGGGTCGTGCGGTGAGACGGGGGCGCGGGTCTGCTCGTGACTCGGGTGAGGGCAAAAGGCATTCTGCTTAATGAATGCCGCACGCTGGCGGATGCCTGGAGCGGGCGAGTTGGAGAACGAGTGGAACAGGTTGTTTGGTTTCAGGAGTGCTCGCGGATCGACGGAGGAACCGGCTGTCGTGGAGGCTGCAGCGCGCTGGGCGAGCGAGGGTGTCGGGGTGGGTTTTAAGGACGTGCCTGACGCGCCGGAGACAGCCTTCCCTTGCTCTGGCAAGGTTGTACCCGGTGAGCGTCCATTGCGTTGGGAGCCAAAGCTGCGGACCCAAGACGGAGAGACGCTGCACCTTTGTCGGGAATGGGGCAAGTTTGAGAGACGAATGTGGTGTCTTGAGGCTTGAGGGCCCTTCCGGAGGCCCTGAAGGCACCGGGAACAGGTATAGCCACCTGTCATGGTTGAATGGAGGGTGGAAGAGCAACGAAGTGGATGCTGCTTCGGTGTTAGGGACTTCTTGCAGGGCACGTGATCTACGACAATATTTCAGCGTCTACACGCTTCATCATGAACACGAACAACACAGTTAATATTATTGATATGCGATGCAAGCCAATAGCATGTATGTGTGGCATCAGAATAAAATTGTACAAGTAAATAAAGAAACAATCTGAAAAAAAGTAAAACAGCCTCCCTCAGAAGATGTCTTGGGCTAGGCTCCAATCCTTGTTGTCTCGCGATTCCCAATACTTGCCATTGTGAGCCCAGTACTCCTCCCCGGTGATCGGTTCCCTAGCCCGAGTAAACCACTGCGGTTTGTACACCTCCCCACTGATCTCTCTCTCTTTCCGCTTGGCGCGTTGCTTCTCCTCCACACGATGCTTCTCACTGGCGGCAAGATCGTACTCACCGTCCTCCATGGCACGTTGATCAGGACGCAAACGAGTGTCGGTGGGCGGAAGCCACGGCCGCAGACTTTCGGTGACCGCGTTGAGCGTGAGCACGAAGGGTGTCAAGTTGAACGGGATACCAGTAGGACGCTCGTGAGCCTGCCAGACCAATAAAGTCTTGGCCGATTCCGGATCTTGACCAGACACCGTCGCCTCGAAGCCCGGGGTATGGCGGGCATAGATCTTGTCGTTCCATCGGCCGCCGATACTCCATCTGGGAGAGCCATCCTGGCCGACGACACGTCCGGTTACTTGGTAGGCGGAGGACGCCTTCCAGCCTCGAGGCTTGAAGTCAAGGTAGCAGACCTCACCCGTCGTCCAGTTCTTGATTTCCATCAGACCGTAGTTATCCACTGTGGGATTGCCAGTGATGATGCCGATGACGGACGAAGTGACCTTCTTCCAGGTGTACAGTTCTTCGCCGCCAGTGACGGGCCGCAATTTCAGAAACCAAGTGCCTAGCAGGTTAATGTCGAATGACTTGCCGTAGAATTTGGATTTCAGAGAAGATTCGCCCTGCGCAGTTGTGAGTATAATGCACCTCAGAATTCCAGCATCGACACTTACCCAGTAATCCCATTTGGGCGATTCAGCCCACGCAGCTCCAATTGGTGGATGATGGCTGACCTGTTCAACAAAGAACCGGTAGCCCTTGTCGGGTCGGACGTACTCGAAAGTCTCGCCAAGTAGAGGGTTGAAGGGCTTTGCCACACGCCCAATGGTCGAGGCATATTCACTTGCCGCATACGAGGCCACATAGACCAGACGCTCCATCGAGTCGGACCGATCCGCAGCGATATCAAGAAGGTCAGTATATTCCAAATCTTCAGCCACCCGCTGCAACAATGAAGTAGGCTCGTTGAAAGAGACCGGGAGAGTCATCTTCGTCATGTCCTTGCCGATCATAGATTTCAGGATGCCCTAGAAACAACAAGTGTGAGCGTTTTTATGTCCAATTGGAGCGGTACAAAAAACCCTTACCCAAAGGGAAATCTTGGGCCGATTGTCATTGTCCATCTTGAGCCGCTTCCGGATGGGTTCTTCGTAACCTTTGAAGGATGGTTCAACGATGGAATATTTGATAGCCCGAACCTCAGCACTCTCATTCTTCGGCTCTTGCTGATCTTTTGGCCCAACCTTGGTCAGGTCCTCCACCTCGATCTCTCCGGCCTCGATAGCATCGAAGAACTCGTCCCCATCAGACTCGGAATCGTAAAAATCGTCCATCTTGGAGAGCATAGAGGGCTTTCGGTGAATGGTGGATTCAACTGTCTGTTCCTCCGATTGGTTTGTCTCGGCCTCTGCCTCCGGAGCACGGACATCGGGTTGACTGCTTTCCATAGCACTCTGGCCTTCCGTCGGCGGGCGAAAGGGAGCGCCGCTGATGGAGCGGCTGCTCGCTGTTGCACTCTCCAAAGCCTCCTTCAGTGCTCTCTTCGTTCGTTTCCGCTTCTCTTCTGACTCGCCCATCTTGGACTGCAACTCTTCATGCTCCTGAGCGACTCGGGCCATGCTTTCCTCCCACATTTGGCGAAGGTGTTGCTCCCTGTTGAGGCGATATTGCCAATAGGAGTCTCGGTCTCGCGAGATCTTGAGTAGATTCTGCACCAAGCCCTTTAGACTGCTGACGGCTGCTTCATACGCACCAAGGGCCTGTACGACTGCAGGGTCTGCAATCGTCATGTCCGGATTCTTTGACCTCTCAGCCTGCAACGAAGCAGCCACGTTGGCCAGGAGATCCAGTTGAAGCTTGGCCGATTGTGCGGTGATATTGAGAGCATCTTTGTCGGTGGTGGGCATGTCGCGGCTGGAGGCATAGTCGCCATAGTCATCGTCGTCACCGTCAACATCGGGCGCCGTAGTGACATGGCTGATCACTCGGTTCACATCGTTCTGTGCAGTGCTTTGATCATACGAACCACCATAGGCACTCTCGTCGTCTCTATCAAGCGTCGTGCGAGATCCCTGCAAGCTGAGGCTCTCACTACCACCAGGCACCGGGGGTACTAGACCTTTGCCACTGGGTTTATGGGTGAGACCAGATTCAGATGGGCTTTCCGGCGCCCGTCCCTCGGACTGATCAAGTTTGGCCTGACGCAGCACCTCCGCGTTCTTCGACCGCTGGCGTTCTTCCTCCTTGGCCTCGTCCTTGGCCCACTGTATCGCATTGTTCAAGGCCCAAAACCAGCGCTTTGCCTCCACCACATGGTTTGCCTTGAGGTGGTATTTGACCGATGATTTGCCAAGGATTTCAAAGCGGGTCTTGTCCTGCGCATCCATACTAAGCCGTGCAATCTTCATGTTGATCGCACCCCGACAGGCAGAGCCGGCATCATCTCGGACAAATCAGTATCATCCGTCTGGTCCGGGTACGAGCAGCTTACCTTGATGCTTATAATAGCTCAGGACACCATCCTCCAGCACAAACCAGCGCAACTTGTAACCACTGGTGTAGTTCGTCCATTTCTTGAGATATCCCTTCATCTCCCGAGCATCTTTACCCGCAAGTGGCGCCTCACCCATCGAAACTCTCCCGGCAAGCCCTTGAGCGTTGTTGTTTCCAAGAATTGCCTTCTCCTGAATGCCTCGCTGCGCAATGACTGCAGCTGGTGATTTCTTCAGAATGGCCTTGGTCTTGTCGTCCTTGGTGACATCTTGGGGTAACTTCCCTTTCTTATCACGCCGGAAGGGGTCCGCTCCGTGGGTAAGTAGAATCTGGATGAGTTGTCCGTCCTTGTTTCGGGCACCTTCGTGCAGGAGAGTGCCACCCGACTGCAAAGTAGTCCGATCCGTCACCAGCTCCTGGCTGTTCACATCAATAATGCCTTCCACCCGAGGCTCTTCCAATAGCTTCTCAAGGTTCTCGTAGTCGCGCTTGGCAATCAGCGCTTGGATCTCCTGGGTCTTGCTATCAATGAACAGTGACCGAGACAGCTGCAGCTGCTGGAAGATCTCGGGCGTGCGGGCGACATCGAGGGCCATCTGGCCGCGATAGTTGATGATCGCGTCGTTGACCGAGGGCCGGCTCAGCAGGTCACGCACCAGCGGAACACGCCCCAACTGAGCGGCCAGGTGGAGGGGAGTGTTTCCTTCGCGATCACGCGCATTGATATCCTCGTCGTCCGCGGAAGACAGCACAAATTCCACCACCTCGGGCTCGGCACACTGGAGCGCCAAATGGACAGCCGTAGTTCCATATAGAGCATTCGCAGCTTGCGGGTCTTTGGTTTCCTTGATCGCTTTCGAGATTGCAGTGGTGTCTCCGCTGCGCAGAATCTCAAAGAACCGAAAGGTGCGAACAGACTGGTCGAGAGACATGCTGCCACTCTCTGGGATCACCGAGGGCACTTTTTCCATCGTGTCCGTGCTCTGGTTGGAGGGTGATTGTTCGAGGGGTTCTTGGGAGGAGCCGCGAGCCGAGCTGGCATCGAAATTGTGTTGCTTGCGACGATTATGGCGGCTGCCGCTGCGCATGTGTCTCAAGGAGCCATTCGAGGGCAAGGATCCGATCGACTGGCTGTCGGTGTCGTCGTCGACACTGTCCTTATCTTCACCCCTGGACTTGTCCCGGTGGAGCAGGGTCAGTGCCAACGCGCTGCGGGAGCGTTTGTGGCTAGGAAACGGTGGCATATCAGCAGAGTTTCGCAAAGGGGCAAAGGTAGGATGCTGCGACCGCCAGTGTGTCCACGCGCAGGCACACGAAGTGGTGATTGGAGACCGGCGAAAGCGACCGACAGCCTTCGAGCCGAGGTGGGGAGGACTCGATCTAGTCTGCGAACGATAGGGAACATAACAATAACCAGGACTCACCCTTCAGGTTTGTCAGACATGCTCCAACGGCGCGCCTGAACTTAAGGGGGGGGAATATGGAGAGAAAGAAAAGGGAGGAAGCGGTAGTGACGGGATGGTGTTGGTTAGTGTTTGGGGGGCAAAAGGTACTCTTGATCGCCGCCTTGGCAGTTCCTACTACGGGCTGTTCTACTATACATTTGGAAGGACCAGCAGGATCTCTCTCTATCGCCGCTCGCCGCTCACCAGCACCACCACGCTGCCCAGCTGCCGCTTCAGATCCTCCCAATCGACATCGTGCGTATCCTCGACTTCGCCCCACATGTCCGTCTGCCATTTCACCTCTAGATTCGATGCCTCGGCCGCCTCCTCGATTCCGAATTTCTTCTCAACCCGCTGCAGCGCCCGAAAATTCTCGCTCCACTCCACTAAGAGCCGGACCGCGATCAGCAGACTCTTGGACGCGAGGATCCCTCGCTCCAGCGCGGCCAGATCATGCGCTGAGAGTTCCGAGATCCAGGTGCGAATGCTGTCCTGGGTCCCCCGCGGCTGCGACACGGGCATAATGCTGTCGCTATCGAGGATGGGCTTGATCTCCAAGCCCGGCCACACCTTCGTAGACAAGAAACTCATGATCTCCTTGGCCACCCGCATCTGGATCTCCCGTAGACTCTCAATTCGTTCCCCGGTCTCCTGCTTCTCTAGTAGATGGGCCGCCCCGGGTTCCCGCTCCGGCTCCCAGCAGAGTAGTGTGTCGGTTTCGAGGTAGCGCATGGCCGTCTTGATGATCTGCTCTCGGGTGGTGGTGTGGCCCTGAGCATCTTCGCGCACAATGTCGGCCGCACGAGCAGACAGGGAAGTCAAGGGAATGAGATGGGTTTTGAGTGCCTGGTGGGCAGAGGTCATCACATCCCACTCGAGGGCGACCGCGTGTGCAAGGTGAGGCTTCGTCGGAGGAATGGAGAGAACTTCTTTGGTAGGCGTTCGTACGGGGCGCTTGTCAAGCAGAACTTGGTATTCCTCTGGACAAGGCCGACAGGGTCGATGGTTAGCGTCGGAGCGACGGTCGCAACACTAACAGTCAAGACATACCTGGCATCCCATGGACGTGGACATCCTTCCAGAACCGTTTTTTCAGCGCGCTGGTAGGCTTCGCGGGATTGGGTGTCTCCGCGGCTGGTTGTGCGGACTCTGGTTTTTCTGGTGGTGATGGGTGTTTCTTGAACTCTGATGATGGCGCCGGAGCTTTCGGAGGCGGGCCATGGGCCGTGGCTGGGTGTGCGACTGCTGCCTTTACGGGTGAGGAATGGATGTGCCGGCAGCGCGAGGTATTGAGCCGGGCAGACGAGAAGAGCCGCGACGGCAATGCAGCCGCGCGTGGGAGAGTTGCCATGTGCGATAGTTGGAGACAAGAAAACAAACACGGTGAATGGATGAGGATTGTAGAAATGGTCGTGGTGTTGGTTGATGTGTGTTGGGGTGCGCCAAGTGTGACAGAGGAAGAAGAGAGAAATCGAAGATTAGTGATACAGTCAGTCAGTCAGTCAAGTCTCGGCCCGATCGCCCCAACCACACCAGACTGCATACAAGTACGAGCACAAACTCGAACAGTCAGTTCCTAATACCAAATATTGCCGAGTTTAACTACGCTAGCACGGTCTCGCGCATTTAGACAGTCCGAATTGGGTACGAGTGGCGCTGCACAATTGCATCAAGTCCATGTACGATGACACACGATCAGCGTCTGGCGGGTGAGTTATTAGAGACTAGAAACAATCAAAAGCAGAATACCCTCCAATCGCGCATCTAGATCAGACGGAATGAAATGCGATCACGAACGGAGAAGCTGGTACATTCAAAACTTCGACAGCAAAAACAAAGCGTAAAGGAACAGGAAGACGCAAAACGACGACATCCGCCCATGCTTTTGTAATTTACAAATAGAAAAAACTCAAAGGCTCAAGAGGGACCACCTTTTTGAACAGCCATGATGTGCAAAGAAGAGAAAGAGACCAAAAAAGGAACATGAGCACATGGCTGGGACCGATGTGAAGAACGTCTCCGCCGACAGAACAGATGCGGGAAATATGCAGAAAAAGAAAGGTCAAAAACTGAAGATCCAAAGGCTAAGCCATGAATAGCAGCGTAGAACATCAAGCGCTGGACGGGACACATCTAGAAAGAGCTGCAAGCAAAATGGTAATTGTCGTTAGGGCATGGCGTGGTCAACATGCCACGCCGGATAGCAGGTGGCAAGAAACGAGGAGGGAAGAAGCTTTTCTCAGGACAAGGAATCGTTTCTGGACAGTCGGACTGGTCATTCGGTGAGGAAACTAGGATAATAGGGCTGCTTCATGCGGTCGAGATCGGTTCGTTTCTTCATGCGTTCGGCGTCGTAATCATCGGCGCCATCACGGCTACCCCATGTGGTCTGGAGAAGAAACAAAAAGGCATGTCAGCGATGTTCTTTGGAGTCAAAAAGCACCGATCGAGGCATGACGGGAAAGGAAGCCACGCCGAATCAACGCCGCACAACGCAAACGATCGACCGGCGCAGTGGGTAAAGCCCCAGCTGCACGAGGGTGAGGGAGGAGAATTGTGATCAAAGCGTACAAGGACCGGAGGGACGTGCGCGAACTAGTAGAATGAGACACTTACCACATTGAGGGTGAGCACCGCGTACACCTTGATGATGCCGTGGAAATACCCAAACAGCACCGAAACGGGCAGCAGCAGGACATCGACCGGGTAGCGGATGTAGTGACCAAGCAGCTTGATCCACTTGCTAGTGAACATCCACAGGTACAATGCCGTCATGGCCCGGCTGTGGGAGACATCTCCCCATGGGCCGGTCGCCTTGTGGCACAGCCAGACCAGCAGCAGGTCGCCCAGGAGGGCCGGAGGGGACAAGGTCGTCAAGTGAACGGCATAGGAACTCCATGGCTGCCGACTAGATGAGCACAATCCATTAGCATGCGAGGAAGCGGAAACGATGCGTAGGTCCCATTCGGAAGAAAAGCTGTGGAAAAGCTGTGGCTTTGCCGGATCACTCACGCTCCCCAAGCCCTCGCCTCCAGGGCGCTCCTCTCAACGGGTAGAAATGCCCGCGTGCAGGGAGACTCGTGTAGGACAGGCCGTGTCTTGGAAAGGAGGATAGATCCATTGGGGCTGAACGAGGGTAAACACTTACTACCAGATGTGCTTCTCATGGAACATGCTGGTGAGATTGCTGCGCCAGTTGCTGCGCGACCAGCGGGCACATTGTTTCAGAAACCGTGGGTTGTCCTCGAGCGTGGTGAGCACCTCTGCCTCCGGGTGATACTGCATATAGGTTTCCCAGCCATGCGAGACCATCCACCGCGTGATGAAGTTGTCGTCGTCGGCGTTGAGCTGGTACTTGCCCCACCACCACTCCTCGTTGGTGAAGGAGTAGGTGAATCCTTCATCCTGGAGGATCTTGGTCCGGTAGGCCACGGTCCGTCCCGACATACACGGCAGGCCGCCGTCGATATGAGTCGTGGCGCCGCAGTCGAAGTTGCGCCGTTCCAGATACAGGGCGCCGAGAAACCCCCAGATGCGTTCCGACAGAGTCGGCGCAATGGCGCGGCGCAGTCGCTGACAGGTCACCACGCCTCCATACATCTCATCCTTCTCGAATGGGGCCAGGATCCAGGGCAATACCGTCCGCGGCCAACTTACATCATCATCCGCCAGAATGGTGATGGCCGTCCGCACTTCGGGGATGGCTCTTGTCATCTGCCGGCGCTTGTTGGGATGCGTGACGGTGAACAAGCGGATTCGCGATTGAGATGCTGGCATCGCACTCAACATCTTTTCGGCCTTCTTCCGATTGGCTTCAATGGTGACCAGCAGCACCTCGAAGGGCTGATTGTCGAGGATGGTCCGGACCGTCTCGAAAAGCTCATCGCCGCAGCCCTCCAGCGAGGGAATAATTACCGAGACATCTTGCGAGGTCAGTTTCGGGTTCTCCGGTGGCGGGATCGGCTTAAACGTCCAGAAGGAAAACAAATTGACGACGAGGCGGAAATAGCGGTACACGCTGCTGGTGTCAGCCGGGGGCTTTCTAATTTGATGATATTCAGAACTCACAAGAGCGCGACGAAGGCCCGCAAAAAAGGAAAGGCCATGGTTTTTTTGTCTCTTTTTTTCCTGCCCCTCTCCCCGTGGGATTGTTTGGGTTCCAATTAGGATATCCACTGAACCACCTACCAAGTCAGATCGAGTACTCAGGTGAGAAAAAAAAGTCTTGTGTACCGTATTTTGACTTGGCCGGAAGTCCCCGCCCGGCGGTCCTGCAAATGGGCTGGTGGAAGAGATCGAGGAAGGAAAGAGAACGAATGTCAGGGAGACAATGCTTCCTCTACCAGCCCAGAGAACAGGAACAGAGAGAAAAGGAAAAGAAAAAGGAAAGGAACGGGGCGAGGCAACCAGGGTTTGTAGTAATCGTCAGAGTCAGCATATGCAGGGAATTTATGATTATTGTCGTTTTGAGGATGCTGCAGGTGTAGTTTTGCCTCGTGCGTCAGAGACCCTGGATCTAGATGGAGGCAGCCGACGGTGGAGACGGATGGGCAGCGGCCCATGCAGTGAGTGACATGGACAAAGTGGAGTGGTGTATGAGTGTAATAATAGGTAATACTGCTGATGATTATTCTTGATGATTATTCTCAGCCCCTCCGCGGAAACAGGCTCAGTCGCGAGGCGGGGAATTATTATTCTTAGGGTATAGAGTTCGCCCAGGACATTCCAGCCTACGAGGATGCCGATGGCCCGAGGGCGAACGCAAATGAGGGGGGCAAAAGCTACTCAGCCCGATCAGCTGGATGGCAAAAATACCAGATTCGCCCTTATCTGTCGCAGGTACCATCGACGGGCTAACAGGGCCTGTACTCGGGTAAACCCCGTGCGTGGAGAGAGAGAGAGAGCCCCGCCCATACATAACTCACAGCGATCACCCTCCGATTCTTTCTTCAGAGGTCGTGTGCATGAGGAGACCTAGGGGAAAACGGCAATCCTGGCGGCGATCGCCATACCCCGTGGAAATCCGTGCAGCCGCTGTTGCTTCCTGTGGTGGGGGGAGAGTTAGGGTTGACCCGGGATGAAACCAAACATGGGCTGTTGGAATCGGGGCAAAAAAAAAAAAAAAGGCAACGGTCCCTGGAGTGAACACGACTCCTTCCTTTCTGGCGACACCCTGGAATCCTGACCTGTTTGGCCGGGGGCTGATGCGCGCCAGTCGCTTTGGCGTCTAACGATCCTCGTGCTGACCAGCCCTAGCGGGCCACCCATGGCTCGCATCTGCAAAAGGCCCCATTGGGATTCCCTCGCTCTGCCGCACGACATAATACGAACGACCCTCAGGCAGCGCAATCCGGTACTTTGATCCGCTGTGGCAAGGGCTGACTGTGCTCCCGCCGAGACGGTCGAGGGCCCGTCTCTCCAGTGTCGGATTGTTCATTCGGAGAGTAGTTCTCTCAAGTGAAACGGACGCGTACTCACTATCTCTCTTGGCTGCACGGACACCAGGCCAGCCCCGGCTCCACCGGCCCATAATAACCATATTTTCGCACTACCTCTCCAGTCCTGGTGTCTAGTTCCCTCCACGCATGGATCTCTCTTCGGCCAAATTTCAAAATAAAAAAAAAGGAGAATTTGGAAGTGGGGAGAAGCGTGGTTATATCACCGTCGGCGGCGTGGCCACTCAGACGACGGCGCCCAACTGTCAAGAACGGAAGACGGATGACATGCAGCTCGAGCGGTCGATCAGATGCAAGCCCGGCCTTCCCCTCTCATGCAATACCGGAATCATTTCGGGCTACTGACTGATGTGATCCCCCCTGGTCGAATGAGACGGAAAGGAGCCCACTTCCGCTGCATCGCCAGGCCCTAAACCCGACCTACATACACGACGACCCCCACGATGTGGTGTTGCGAGCAGGAACACAATCCAGATCGTCTTCCCGGGAGTGGGGCGTGATGGTAGTGCGTTACAAGCGCAGTAACACTGGTGGATCGGGGCGCCTGGAGGCATCTTCGGAGACCGGGACCCCCTCGTGGGCTGCCTGAAAACAACTCCGCTCCACCATGTCTGACCTGGATGTCGTGATATCCTACCGTGTCGCATCAAGACAGGCCCAGGCGGCACGATCTGGTGGTAACGGCCCTCCACCTGCGAGCGCCGTGCTGATGAGCCGGTTCGATTGGCGTAGGGGTTCGGTAGCTTTTTCCCACCCACGCCCGCGACTCTTAGCTGCAGCCACGCCGCCAAGTATTGTCTGGATCTACTGCATTGGCTTGCAGCCGTAGCTCGGTCCTTGCCCGCCTTCGGGGCTCTTCGGTTTCGTGTAATTATTCTTTACTGATTAATAATAGCGAGTTCCTAAGTATCTGTTCCCGAGACTGGAAATAGGCGAGCCTGCTTGTACACCTATTGCGAGCGACAGTATTGTGCATGCATACAGATGGTCAACACGGAAGCTCCTACCAATCGATCCTGGTTTCTCCTCACGCGGTTCCCCACGACGCCCGAGCGTATCTGTCAGTGCGCATGCCATGCAACTACTGTAGGTCAAGGCGCTGCCCAGAAAACCACGACTGGCTCGGACTTCATTTGCATTCCTGCCGAGAGGTTCAGCCTCGTGTTCCTCTCCTATTCAATCATCATAATCAGAATCATCATCATCATCGTTTGCCTGCCCGTAAAGATGAAATGACCCCTCCTTCATGACGTCAAGAATGTAGTATCGCATACATACTGTACCTGATAACTACTACTATGTACCTTCCAAGCTATGTTCTGCATCCTGGCTATGGATTGCATGAGCACTTGCCCTTTCTTACCTCCGGTGCATACGATGAAACTGTTGGACGCATCACGGAACTGCACCTCGTGCTTCCCCCGAAGCCACTAATGCGCACAATTTTGGGGGCAGTTAGGCCCACCGTTTCGAGAACCGGGATGCGTCCGATGAAGGAGCTTGTGCAGCTGGTTAGACGCCATCGGCAGGGCTCTTATTGACGTTTGGATATAGTAATAATGGATTTATACTCATTCTTGATGTAAAAATCCCCAAAACTCTTCCAAGAGAGAAGACTCAGCTCAAAAGCTACCGCCGTGCGAAGCAAATTCGCCAGAGATACTTTGTATAGCAAACGGTCAAAAGAGCCAATCTCAGCCTTATGCTAATACCCGCCATGTCCCCTAGGGCCTCCAGCGCCAGCCTGTAGGGCTAAAGCAGGCTTTGAAGTCAACACCCCCAAACAGACCAATGGCCCCGTACAGATCATAGTCTCCTTCTAAGCCTTCGACGCTCCCAGATTCCGCATCCACCTCTTCATGCAGATCCCACTCCCCTACCCTTCGTCCATCGCGAGTGAAAAACACCTTAACCTTGCATCTCCTCCGGTCTTTCGAGTCAGCACTTATCTTGTCTGGTAGAGTAAACACCATGCCGACGCCAACGGTCTCGCCAACATTAAAGGGATTTGTGAAATCGCGCCCGCCAAATGAATCATTCACGAAGCGACAGCCATCATCCGAGCAGACTCCCAGACTTCCTCGTTCCCAGCCGGGGGAGCGCCACGAGGGATAGGGCTGCGCGGCAAACCCGATGGAAAACCCGCTCTGGTCTGCACCAGGTCCAGCGCGGAGACCAAGTAGCGTCACCTCGAAATAGATGGTTTTGCTTGTTTCTCGCTCAAACGGCGAGTCCACTGCGGCGAAGTAGAGAGGCAGATGCGTCAAAATCACACAGTCGCGATTGCGGTCTGCAGTTGCTCCTTTCCATTCGCGTGCCGGCGGGGGCCGGGGACGACCCACCCGCTGAGCTCCCGGGGCTGCACAGGTCGGATGTCATACTCTTGCACCGCACGATATACGGCAGGTGAGGGCATCACGGGCTTCCACAAGGGCGTGTTGTCACAGAACGCATGGGCCCGGTCCGCATCGTCGCTGGATGCATTTCCGGTACCTGAAGCGTAGTAACCCGACACTGGCGGCGGGGGGAACGTCGCCGTATCTGGGACGGCCTCTTGCCAGTTGTGATAAGGGGGTGCCTGGTGCTGGGCCTGGGACTCATCGTAGCTGGGCGGAGCAGACATGGTGGTCAGTGGCAATGCGGACTTACTGGAGCGGAGAGGTGAAACCAGAGAAAGCGAGATATCGACTCCGTGATCTCCCCAAAAGGCCAAGGCTGATTTATCCGGACACCTCAGGCATTTACATCATTTTTCAGGTTGACTTGGTTCTTCTTCCTCATATCTATGTAGAATGACCTCGGGATGTTAGAAAAAGACCGGTAGTAATTGGACTCGGAATCGCGGTGGATTGGAGGGTGCACAACAAACAATGCAGGTCTTAGCTGTGCAACCAGTGGCGATTCAAATGCCTGTCTTTTCCTCCTTTCCTTCTCTCTTTCTCCTTCGGCATTATCTGTCAACGGTTCCTCCCACCTGCTCTTTCTTCTCATCCGGTCTGCGCCGTCGCCGCCTCCTAACCCACCATGTCAGTCGAGCCCCGCAGACGACGGCGATCGTCGATCTCGTCGATCTCGGAGCAGATCCGGCGTGTTTTCCATGTTGACCGGTCAGCAAAGGTGAATCCCCCAACTAACACCCATGGAGTACCATCAAGCGCTGACATCTGCAGAGAGGGCAGAGCTTCAGCGTGATTAGAAACAACGATGTGGTTCCTGATCAACAGCCAGAACCCATCGCTGACATCTCCACAAGACACTCGATGGACCATCAAACAGAGCCCAATTCACTCTCCCATTCACCACGGAACTCACAGGTGTTGTTACCCGCAAACCCGGCCGATTCAATCCAACCTGTCGCATTCGCCTTCGAGAATAATGCGGTGCAGGACCAGATAACCAAAGATATCGACGAGGTCACAAATAACATCCGTGTTTCTCCAAGCTGGGACAAAAACACATCCCGCAAAGAGAAGCGAGCCACGCGACGCCTGGAAGCAGAAAGACAAGAGCTCGAAAAAAGGCTGCTACACCTAGACGAAGCCCAAGCCCGACTGGATAGTGGCGTCTACGACAGAAATTCGCGCCGCTTGACAAAGAAGCAGCCGTCCAGCAGGTCTTCTAGTGTCAGTGCTGCTCAGACGCGGTCGTCGAGTGGGCCTTTTTCATCTCTCTTCTCGAATTTCAGACGGAGCTCACGATCTCGGTCAAACTCTGTGAATGGAGGCGACCGGAGCTTGGCTAGGCACCTGTCTGCCGATGTTTCCTCTGAAATGCCTTCGGGGCCGCCATATTTGGCGTTGACGTTGCCGGAACGCTTTGGAGCAGCCATAACCAGAGAGCTGGAGTCCAGACAGAGCTCTTTTATGATGAATCAAGCACCTTCTAGCCATTGCCAGCGCACTCTTCATACGATTACCAAAGTAGATGATCTCCGGGAAAATTGGAAGGCGGCGCAGGCCTGGCAGAGTAGGAATGTCAGCGTACATGAAGCGAGCAGAGAGGTATCTGGGAAAGGCAATGATGATAAAGACGCTTCTGGTCATCCCAGCCAGAACCGTGGAGCTTCCCCAGTGACAAAGCTTGCGGCAAATCTTGACAGTGAATTGTCTGTTGCTGCTCTCAGGCATGAGAGGCGTGCTCCTGGAGTTGGCTTCATGGATTCCTCTATTCCATCTGAAACGAGTTCCTCTCGAGCTTCGTTACAACCTTCGACAAAAACAGCACAAGTTAATTCTTCCCAGGATGTGCATCTGGAGCCGGGACCTAGCTCCAAGGTCACGACGCCTCAGCAGTTTTATAAACGTGGATCTTCTGAAAGCGAGAAAAGTTCACTTGCAGAGAATGCTCTCTCATCTTCAAATTCTGTGAATGGCAACCACGTTTCTCACCGAGGCCAGATAGAAGCAGGCCCGCACGGCTACCAAAGGATATACAAATCGTCCCCCCTTGCGGCCAGTCCTACGACCACAGAGAACATCGATCGAAATGAGACTGCGACTAAAAGAGTCTCAGTGGTGCAAAAACAGTCGCCTCGCTTCTCCACGTCCTTTCAAAACGAGGAATACCGAGGAAGAAGTCCGCGTCCGGTGTCATCAAATCACACATACGAGACTTCAAGTCAGACAGAAGCCATACAGAATGAAATCGGGCACCCACCACCTCAGTTACCTATAAAAAACAGCAGGAGGCAGCACAACTATTGGCACCAGAGGGACTCCTCATTTGATCATCTGCAACAGCATAGAGATGGGACAACACCGAGATCGTCAAATCAAATAAAGGCCAATGCCTCGGAAATTCCAAAAATCTGGGTGAACGGCGAGGGCAAGAGCAAAGTTCCTGGCAGCATGACGAATGGAACACCAAGGCGTCGCACAGCAAACGAAAATTCCTGGGAGGAATCATTTCGAAGGGACCATCATGGACCAAACAAGACACGCAGCCGTTCATCATCCCTGAATTCGTCTCGCTCCGATTACGATACTGCCGACGAAGAAGCCCCGGATTCGTCCAAATCAGATCCTCGCGCTGTGCAGACCCGGGCTCCTGACACCCAGTCACAAAGTCCTGCTCCCGGTACTTCTATGGCGAATGGACACCCGGTCATTCAGCATAGCGGCCTGCTCTCTCCACGAAATGGCCCCGCGAATGTACTGCGGCGAGAGTCCATCCAGAAGCTGAAAGCTCAACAAAAGGGTCAAGTTGTTGCCAAGGTCTTTGTAATTTGTTGCAAATGTCGATATTGGCACGACATGCCGTCCGAGGTCTATTCCAAGCTAGCTTGTCCGGACCGGCTGCTCACTGGGTCTCGGTCTGGCCACTTCAGTCGCAGAACAGAGCCGTCAGTGTCTCCTAGTCACACGAAGCTACCAGTATCTAGAAAAGTTCAGCCGTTTAGTGACCTGCCCGGTTCACCGGCTCCGCCATTGCGCTCATCACCTCTCTCCGAGCCTTCTGGTTTGCAATGCTGCTGGTGTGGGCATACCATGGGTAAAAAGTGCTGTCAAGGCTGGACCACAATTGTGCAAATGCATGAGAGACATCATTGATGGTGGAGATGGGAAATAATCTTCTTTGCTTTTCTGTTAGTTAGGGCAGCCGGGCACAAATAAATCCGACCCGCCCCGTCAATTTTCCTCCGCCTCAACTTCCAACTTCTTTTCTTCCGCTTCCACCATTGACAATTGTCCAGAATCTAATGGCGCATTCTGCATTTATCATTTTCGTGAATAATAATAAACATACTAATGGATTGAATACACAGACCATGTCATCCGCAATCTCTCCCTCCAGCTGTCCCCGTCCCTCCGGACATTCCACGGACCCTTCCTAGGACGGTCGACACAAGTTCCACGTCTTGTGGCTGTGTCTGACTGGAGCTGGACTGCGAGCGGACCTTGTTGTCCATGTTGCCAGAGCAAGACTACCAACAGGGCCTTCATAGTTCATGTTTCACTTGCTCGAGTTTCCACTCAATCTCTACGAGAGCATGACTCCTTGCGCACCTACAGACTATATTCAGTCCCAATCTATATTGCTTAATCTCCGTATATACATACATACACGTAAGACGTCTCCCTCATAGCCGGCTCTTCGCCTTCTCGTCACCCACGACATTCACCACCACCTTGCCCCAGGTCTCGCGACTACCCAGCGCATGCAGGGCCCGCGGCACACTTTCCAGACCAGAAAAGCTCTCATCCTTGAAGGCCGTCCCCTTGAACTTGCCCTGAGCCACCAGATCAAAGATCCCCTTCCAGACAGTCCCCACAGTCTCGGTCTCGAACCGGGCATACTGGCCCCAGTGCAAGCCGACGAGGCTCACGTTCTTCAGCAGCACTCGATTCAGCGCGACCTTCTCAATATTTCCGGCTGCAAACCCAATGACCAGCAAGCGCGCATTCCATGCCACGCACTTGAGGCTGGCGTCGATCATGCCGACGGGATCATAGACAATATCCACACCCGCCTTGCCATTGCCCGTACGATGTGCCGCACACAACTTCTTCACCTCCTCGGGCCAACTCTTCTCCCGGTAATCTATCACATAGTCTGCGCCAAACTCCTGCGCAATCTCGCGCTTGCGCTGCGTGCCCGCCGTAGCAATCACCGTCGCACCCTTGGCCTTGGCCACCTGCACAGCAGCGAGACCAACACCACCTGCTGCAGCATGGACCAGAACCCAATCTCCAGCCTTGACACCGGCACGGTGCACAAGACCGCCGTACGAAGTCGGCGCCGTAACAAAAAGTCCCGCAGCATCCTCGAAACTCCACCCGTTTGGAACAGGGAGCAGCGTCTGCTCACTCGCCAGGACATGCGTCGCATACGCACCCTGGTTAGCACCAAAGACGCGATCACCGACGCGGTACTTTGACGGTGTCTTCGAGGCCGTCGGCGTGGCGAGCACTGTGCCGGCAAACTCCATGCCGCCCACCCATGGCAGCGGCGGCTGGTGCTGGTATTTGCCTTGAATTTGGAGGATGTCGAAGAAGTTGGTCCCCGCGGAGTGAATCTCAATCAAGTATTTGTCCGGCGAGGGGGTTGGTGTTGGGACATCGCTGACCTTTAGATCCAGGGGACCCTAGATTGATTGAGGTTCTTTAGCTACCAAGCTGATGGAGATGGAATTAGAGGATTCCGACGGCGTACCTTGACGTATTCACTGATTTGCACTGCTTTCATTGTCAATGGAGATGAAGTTCCAGGGCAAACCAAGTAGCCTTGTCTGGAATAATAAATAGTTGAAGTGGTTGAAAGAATGCGGAGTCGGCTTTGGTGGTTCCCCGCGTGGCAAAGATGCCGAGGTTGCAGCTCGGATAACTTAAGCATCCTTGGCAATAGTTCAACTTTTTCGTAATTAATTCAATGAATAGTAACCATAAAGACAAAATTGCATCGGGTATAGAAACAGTTAAATGAAAGGAGCCGCCCTCGAACGCCGTCTGCTGAAGACACGAACCCAAAATACAGACAGCCACCATATGTAGACAGACGTCCAATAGGAAAAGAAAGAACCAGAAAACTAGTACCCAACACCTGAAGTCTTTTGCACCAGATGATCCTGGCTAACATAGAAGCCTGGCACACACGACGGGCCCGTATGTTGCAGCTCCATTTCCGGCATCGGGTTGTACTGCAGGGACATGGCGCGTTTCCATGTCCTTGGTTCAGCGTAGTCGTACGCAAATCCAGGCATTTCACTCGGATATTGTGTGAATGGAGGAAAATAACCGTGATCCGGAGATGGAGGGACCACGACAGGCATCTGTCCTACTATCGGGGCGCTTAGGGGAGCGGCGGAATGGGATGAACAAAGCGGGGGCGTGATGACTCCCAAGGTCGAGTACCAAGTTGACGCGCTGACGGCAGGGTTGAGACCAAAGTCGACAGAGAGAGAACGAGTTGGCCATGGCATTCCCGGCGGCGCAGTGGCCGTACTCGAGATCGGGAGGCACAGGTCGGGAGAAAGAGGATAGCCCGGGCTCGGATAGGCGCAGGTAGAAGTATTAAGCATGAGGTCCTCGCTGGCCGAAGATGTTTGATTAAAAGGACTGTCATGCGGGATTGGGCCGGCGAAGGAAGTACGAGAGCTCAGATCCGTAAAGGAGTTGTTAGCCCGGGTCTGTTGCCCTGATGAAGGACTCGGGGTCAATGGCTGTGCCGGCAATGACAACTTGGGCTGCGTATAGACGGGAAGGTTCACAGTCCACTCGGTCGGCGCCGACGACACTTCAGTAGAGGAGGCCGACGGCGGTTGGGGTTCTTTTGGCCGCGGCGAGGATCGACGTTTGTTGTTCTTTTTGGCATCGGGATCATGCTTGGAGCGTGTTGGGGCTTGAGGCTTATTGCGTATTTGACGCGATGGCTTGGTGACTCGCCATTTCTTTAACCTGCTGCGTAGCTGCGTTTCACTAGACGCGTGTTAGAAAGAGAAAATGGTGGAAATGAAGAGCACTGACCTCGGATTGAAGTCATCAGACCGAATCTGCTTAATGACCTGTTTGAGTGGCCACTCCTCCTCCATGTATAGTCGAGAGATCAATGCTTTCTTGGTCTCCCAGACATCGGACGAGATGGAGGTTTTCATCTCGAGGGATATAGTGCAAAGCAGGGGGCGAGAGGGAGAGAGAATGGAGAGAAGGAACAGAGGGCAAAGGAATCAAAGAGCCGGACGAGGGCCACTATTAATATGGTATTAGGGCTAGACCTTCCTTGGCCATCTCCACGGCTGCCATTGTCTCGGGTTAGTAGTCTGTCACTCGCCCAGGGCACTCAGTCCGTTGTGGCCTAGGGTCGATCCGCGCCATGACGATAACTCCGAATGGATCAACCGGATCGCCCTGTCATGGATCTTTCTTTCACACACTCTCTCTTTCTCTGTCTCGTTAAGCGCTCGGCGCAGCGCACTACCATATGTTGCTCTCACGCAACTCAACCTGTCCACACCCGACACACAAGACAAGGCCGGGATAGGCAAAATCAAACACCAGTTCCACTCGTGATGAGACTAACTGACCTGAATCTCCAACGCCAAGGTGGCCGCCGATCACATCGCCTCGTCAAATTGATCCCAAGCCTTTGGGACGGTCTCCGAACCCGGAGCATGTGTTAAGCCGGGCAGTTCGCGGAGGACAGAGGGTGGGGGCCCGTAAACAGGAATGGCGATCCTGCCGCGGAGATAGACATTTTTGCCTGCTGCCCAAGACGCTCCTGATGAACGGGTGCTCTTTGTTCAAAGACTAACCAGGGGTAAGGTCACTACGGCTCCGGGGCTCTTCATCCGAACGCTGGCCAAGGCCGATGGTCTCTGGACTAGTCCGCCACCCCTTGTCGATTTAGACCAATGGCCATATTCCCCGTGGAGAAGCTGTCCAAGAGAGAGCGCCATTGGATCTCGGTGAGGATCCACGATCTGCCCGGCTCCTCGATAGTGGGCATAGCGCGTACCCGCAGCCGGAGTATCACCCTCCCGGTTCCTCTATCGTATCACGACACGATGGCAAAGCATTGGATGTTTTCTTTGACATTTCTTGTATCCACTTGCTAGACTCATGCATAGACCGGGGCTCTGCATCTATGATTTGCCTCGCGTTCGCAGCATCTGTCACATCCTTGGTGTATTCTGCCTAAAAAGGTAGCAAGGTTTTTTTCCGAGCGATCCTTATTTATCAATTGGCCCATGACCAACGAAATTAATATAAATCGGCAACTGCGCCTGTTTACATATTAAAATCTCGATGGCTCCATTTCTATGCCGCTCAGTCTCAGCTCTCGTGCCGTGCCGTGCCGCGGGTGGTAGGCACCGAAACCTAATCTCTTTGTCTCAATGCACGGGGGTAGGTCGCACTAATGTACGTACGTACGCATAATATGAACGGGTTACTCGACAGACTATGGGTCGGCGGTACCAGCGGGACCTTCCAGTGATGCTTGGATCATAGGAAGCACGTCAAATTACAGCAGTACGTTTAGCCTGGTTAAAACAGGGCGGACGGGAAGATGGAAGTGAAATAAAATAAATGACAGGCTGCGAAAATTACTCAGGATTATTCCAGCTCAATTGGTGCTTCGGCCCCCTTTAAATCGATTTTAGTTCCTGAACCTAAGCAGGCAACCTCGAGGATTCCCTGGCCGGCGCATATATGTCGTAGTTAGGAAGGAGTCCAACACAGGGCTAGAGAATCTGCCGGGTCTCCGTACCCACCAGACTTAAGAGAGTTTCGCCGGACTCATAGTTTTTACTCCGTGTGGTATCTCTTGACTCGCAAATATGGCCCTAGCACCTTACCGCGGGACCTCAACCCCCGGAGCTATCCTGCTTAGGAAATACCCGCCATACATAGCTCTCACCTTCGCAGGAGTGTAGAGGGCCATGAATGGGTACTGCGAATGAGTGGCAAAACGCGGGCTGTCTGGAGAAGAGATAGCTAGACCGCGAAGGACCAGGTGAATATTCGCGGATGTTACCATTTACATTGTTTCTCCTACCGGACCCCTGCAGAAGACGAACCGTGGTCAATTGCAACACTATATACAAACCGTTCAAAAAAGAGTAATCCATTCCCAAAATAAGCTCAGCTCGTCATCGCGCCCGTGAGGAGACAAAACAAACGATCCGCACGGGGGCCGACCCGGTGCTACGGGCACGGGACATCCTTGGCAAGGGTTTTAATCCTGCGGGAAGATTACATTTTCTACGGGATGACAGCAACATGTGTTTGGGGGCGTAGAAAGAGGAAAAGGGTGCTAGAAAAGCTGCTTGCACATACATACACATATATTATCACGTCATCGCCTTCCCTTGCCAGCGGTGCTGAACGTAGGATGCAGGCTGCTATTCACCGGACCACGAAGATCAACGGGCTTATTTCCGGCCCCAGGGCATGATGATCGGCGGTGTTCCAACGATCAGATCTGAAGGAGAAACCTCCACCAAAATGATCCACTTGTCAAGTCGAGTATATTCCCCGTGTCGGCTTGATTTAAAGTATTTGTCAAGACTTGATGATCGGCTGGAGGTCCCATATTGGACTGAGAGTTCGGAATGTCCTAAGAGGACCAAGATCCATATTACTGGAGAGGGTTGAACGTTGATAGAGTGATAAAGGTACAGAGAGAAAAACGAGGGAGAGTAAGAAAAGGAGAATTAAAAAGGAGAAAAAAAAAAACAACGCTCTCAATCCTAACCCAACAGTAGTATACATAAATACACAGATTGATTCTCATTTAGCCGGTATCACACCCAAGTCTTGTGGCTTCTTCATCCTCGTGCTCCTCACTGCCAGGGCAATGCACCCAGAGAGTGGATTGTGAAATGATGACCTGCACAGGGCCTAATGTAGAGTCATCAGCGGCGCCTCTTGCTTAGACGGTGCTCTTTGCCCTTTTTGGACTTCTTTTTGCTCTTGTCGCGAGGCAGCACCAGTGGTTCATCCCGCATGTTCCACTCCATGAACCGGAGAAGGTAGTCGTCGATGTGGGCAGGCTCCGGTTCACGGGCAAGCTCATCGGCCAGCTTCTGCGAGGCAGCGCCAGCAGCAGCAGTAGCGTCTTCTGCTCCCGAGGTCATCGGGGTGCCGGCCTGAGCAGGCGTCCCATGTGATACACTGCGGTCCTCAAAGTCGCCATCGTCGGCATGCTCCAGCTCCTTCTGTGCATTCTTAGCGGCGTCAATATCTTCCTTGTCTTCGGCTTGCTCGAATGCACGCGTTGCAGTTGGGACGCGGTTGCCGAGCACGCGATCCATGGCGGCACTCGCTTCGTCGTGGCCGTCCAGCTCATCGCTTTGTTCCATGCCTTGAACATCCAGCCGGGTGAAGTAGTCGGTGGTGAATTCACCTTCTTGTATGATCACATCATCCAGCATGCGCTTCTGGTTGGCTTTGCGTAAAATGTTGGATTCAATGGTGTACTCGGACACGAACCGATAGATGTGAACATCGCGTGTTTGCCCAATGCGATGGCAACGATCTTGACATTGCTTGTCCATAGCCGGGTTCCAGTCCAGATCGTAGAAGATGACGGTATCGGCGCCAGTCAAGTTGATTCCAAGACCGCCGGATCGACTGGATAGAATAAACGCCAGAATCCGCGGGTCGCTGTTGAACCGCTCTGTGAGCAGTTGTCGCTGTTCCACCTTTGTAGTTCCGTCCAGTCGAAGATAGCGATGCCCATGGATGTTGAGGAACTGTTCCAGGATGTCAAGCATCTTTGTCATTTGCGTGAAGATCAGGGCGCGATGACCTCCTGCCTTGAGATCACGGAGCAGTTTGTCGAGCCGTTGCAGTTTACCGCAGTCGTACTGGAGCAAGCGTTTGTCCGGGAATGCAATTGACAGCCGCATCTGCGCTTCGTGGAATGGGTCGTAGGGCTGGTCCTTCTTGGTATTCGTCAATAGGCGCGTATCGACAGGAGTGAGAGCAGCTTCGGTCATGCCAGCAGCGACGGCAGCAGGAGTGACGCAGGCGAATCTCTGGACATAGCCATCCATCTCAATGGAGCGTTCTTCAATGGACATGATCATCGATGCGAGGACAGAGGAGCGGCTCGACAGCCAGTCGGCCATGGAGCGCTTTCGCAAAGGCGCGTTGGAGAGAGCGTGTTCCTTGGTCCCGGCTCTGAGGAACTCGACGAGACTGCTGCCGTAAATCGGCCGGCGGCCGTGGCGTTTGGACTCAAAGTACAAACAACGTTCAAGCTCGGCCATCCTCCTCATTCGGCAGGCATTCTCCAGAGAATCCAAAATGCTCTGCATATTGGACCCATCGAAACCCATCTGCCAGTTGGTTCGTTGGTACTGACGCTCCCGAAGAATTTTGAAGGGACGAGAAGCCATGAGTCGAATGCTATCGTCTGCCAGACGCCGGGAGATTTCCTCTCTAGAAATTGGTGCTAGGTTCAGAAAATCCAGGTCGATCTTGGTGAGAGGATGTTCGAAGAGCAGCCTTCGGCGCACGAGGGACTCCTTCATGTTGAAGTTCGTCACTGCGGATCGGGGCATGGCGAACGAGGTCGAAATGGGACGGGTTTCGAACAGATCGGGATGGTTGCAAACCTTGCGAAGTTGCATGAGACAGTGGATAATCGAGAGGAAATTCCCCGACGCAAGTGTTTCTTTGGTCTGAGCCATGGACATGAACCCATCGTACAAAAACCGCTGCCGCTTTGAGAGCCTGCAGTACATCACATGCTCAAATTTTCCGGGCATCTGTTTCTCAACATCGGCTTTGAGGCGACGCAAGATGTACGGACGAAGGACAGTGTGGAGTTTGGTAACTACCCGCTTAGCTTCATCATCCATCGTCTCCCGTCCATGTTCCAAGATCTGCTCCACGGGTCGACGGAACCACTCCGAGAAGTCTCGGAGGTCAGCAAAACCATCAATGCCATTTCCATTTCCATCGGAAGGCATCAAGAAGAACAGGAGAGACCACAGCTCGGTCAAGTTGTTCTGCAGAGGAGTACCGGTAAGGAGAAGCCGAGCCCGGGTCTTGAACGTCAGAAGAGCTTGCCACCGTTGTGACCGGAAGTTTTTGATGTTGTGCGCCTCGTCGAGAACCATGTAGTGCCAGTTTCTGCGCTTGAGAGACGACTGGTCCTGCAGGACTAGTTGATATGATGTGATCAACACGTTCCAGGCATTGTCATCCGTCCAGCCTCGGCGTTTAGCTTTGCGCTCTTCCTGGTTACCATAGTAGGTCATGATCTTGAAACCCGGGCACCATTTCTTGAATTCCATCTCCCAGTTGAGCATGACGCTGGTTGGTACAACCACTAGGTGTGGGCCCCACACTCCATGATCGACAGCAAGGTGGGCAAGGAGAGCAATTGTCTGGATCGTTTTACCGAGACCCATCTCATCGGCCAGGATGCCGTTGATGTGGTTGTTGTAGAGGCCCGCAAGCCAGTCCAGTCCATAGTGCTGATACTCACGTAGAGTGCCACGTAAGAGGTGTGGGATTGGTGTCTTCAAGCCAGGTGCAGGAGAGTGGCCTGTCTGCAAGGACTTTTCTGCGGCAGGTTCGTAGGAAGAGACAGATTCGGGTTCGGAGGGCTTGGTCGCGAAGGTCCCGGGAGAAGCTTCACTGGACAATTCGCCGCTTGGCCGGGTATCGAGGACATGTTCCACCTCATCCGCCGATTCGGAGACGTCAGGAACAGTGGTATCGGCCAATGCAGATTCGGAAGTCTCATTGTACTCGATGTTTTCAGACAAAGGAGTTTCCCCGTCGGCTATGGCAGAGGCTTCGGAGGCTTCAACAACTTCTGGGGGCGTGCCTTCTGCTTCTGAACCGTGTTCGTCGGCCGTTAGTCCATTGGGGATGAGCGAGAAGTCATCGGGATCTTGAAAGTCGTTATCATCACCAGCTTCAGATCCCAACTTGACGTCTTCAACGCTCTCAGTATCAACGACCGCCTCTCCACCATCTTGAGGGACAGCAATGTCTTTAGGCGCGAAGAAGCCGAGCAAACCAGGCCCATCATCGCTTTCCTCGTCAGACTCTTCGTCTTCGTCAGAGTCTGCGTCTTCGTCACTGTCGCCCATGTCATCATCCATGTCGGTCGACTGATCGCTATCTTCCATGAGAACCGAGTCCACGTCGTCTAATTGCGAATCTTCTGCCGGCTGAGAATCCATTCTGGTTGGAGCACTTTCTCGGCGGGGACCATTGCTGTAATTGGTGACAGCTGTGCTGTCCGATGCCACTGACATGCGATCCAAAGCCTCATCGGCCGGCAAGTTGGCGTATTTTAATCGTAGCTCCTCCGCCGTCAACGCCGCATCTTCATCCACCTGCTCATCCACATTGGCTTCATCATCCCCTTCAGACTCGGAGGTCGACATATTGCTCTCATCGTCCTCATCTGAATCGGTAGAGGTATCTGTTTCGGCATCTTCTTCCTCACTCGAAGCGGGGGCATCGCTAGGGACTTCGCCCAAGATCTCCGATCGTCTCTTTTCAAACAGGGCCGTAGACTTTTTGATCGCGCTGTCGAGAGCCTGCTGGTTTTCCACTTTCCGTTCTTCCTCCCAGCGGGCCAAACGCCTTCGATCAATTTCAGCACGTGCCAGATCAAACATCTTCTGGAGGTCCTTGGCCAGCTGCCTGCGTTTTCCGCGCATCTCTTCTTGCTGCTCTCGCAGGATATCTTCCGGATCCTTGTTGCGCTTCCTCCAGGCATCTGCGCACCATTGCGCAAACAGTTTGGCCATTTGTCGGTGGCGCTTGTGTTCCTTATCCAAAAGCTTTTGGAAATACAATGCATGTGCCACCAGATGATCGTGATGCGAGTACTGGGGAGGCGGCTCTTCCTGTTGCTCCGTGATATATGCAGAGCAAAGGTCTGAGCTCAGTGGGCCACCAGGTTCAGCAGCTTTCTCAACTTCGCGTCGTCTCCGAGCCTCTTTGATAGCTTCCGCGGCAGACAGTATGCCTTCGCCACCAATATTCGCATCCTCACTGTCAACCCATTCCCGGAACGATCCATATTTTCGAGGAGCAGGCACATGGCCGGGGTGTTGTAAAGAGAGGGTTGGCTTCTTCACCTTTATCCGCAGCCGTGAAACCTTCACTCCCTGGTCCTGTTCTTCTTGACGGGTCTCGAGGCCACCGGTAGACGTAGCCGAAAGGGATGCACGGTCTCGCAGAGGACGAGGGCTGAAACCATTTACATTGGCACCAGAGCTGCGAGACCTCGCGCGCGCGTGGCTCGGTTTGGGCGCAGGTGATTGGGATACGCGCGGTTGCTTGACAGTGGCATGTCTTTTGGGAACCGTCTTGGGCGACCCGTTCGCTGTTACCTTGCCACCAAGTTTTCCATTGGCCTGCGCACGCGACTGAGTGACCGACAGCGGGGAAGAGGTTGCCGGTTTGGAGCCATGGGGACTTCCCTTGGTTATGTGCTGCTGCTGAGCTGCTCGGGTTTGTCTCTTGTCTGATGGAGGCTGCTGCTCAAGGGGTACCGTGTTTGTGCGCGATGACCTGCGTTTGCCTTCTGAGAGGAATGACGTTGGCCCCTCGAAGCCAAATCTCTTCCAAGGGGGCGAAGGGGCACGGGGTGTCAATCGTTGCGAATCAGTCAGTCGTCGTTTCTTGGACGGAGGGCCTTCGGTTTCAGGGACAGCTTCGTCGAGGTTCGGCTCGGAAGGGATCTGCTCGCGGGTGCCAGAATCGGCGGATTCTTGTGGGAGTGACGCGTCAAGAGGCGTAGAATCAAAGTCCGGCATCACGCGCTCATCTTGGATCGATGGGCCATTCGGGCTACCGTTTTGCATGGCTTGTAGCCGCAGACGACAGGGGCCTTCTGGACAGCTGACCCCAGTGTTCGCAACGATGGCGCAGAAAAAATTGACGATTTGGGCATCAACGAGTCGGCAGGATCGAGTAGAGGGGCCAGGTAAAGTTTGGCATACTTATCGGCTCGGGGGCGTGGATGGTGATGAAAAACAGGGCAGGGAGGGTGAAATGCGTGACGATGGGGTTTTTTGGTTTGGGGCGGACGAAGACGACGGGAGTGTTTGGTAAGCGCGTCAGTAGCTTAACTAAGTTCGCTGGTCCAGTGACTATTAAAGCCTGAGGCATCAACATTCCGCAAACCTCCATCCACTAATGCTCTCGACCCTCTCCAGACACTCCTCACTCATTACCTACCACCCCCTCCACTCTCTGGCTCCGATTGCTCCAGCAGTGTACGTCTCTATCCGCGTGGTTCATGCCACTGCTGTCTGTCAATTTCTCCTTCGGGCTTCCCTCTGACTTCTCTCTCCTAGATGCTGCCCCATCAGATCGTGGCTCGGCGCCTCCCCCAGGTTGCGGCTCGCTTCGCTACCGTCCCCCGCGCCTCCTTCTCCCAGGCTCGAGTCCTCAAAGCTGCCGAAATCGAAGATCCTCTCCAGGTACGGCCCCGTTACAGGACAATTGCATCACAATTCACCGCTAGCTCCTCTCCCCTCCCCCGATGGCAATGATGTCTAATTGGATAGCAGAACGGCGGCTACCAAAACCCTCCTCGAGTGAAGCGTCAGTTCAGAGACCCCTACGGCGGATGGTGGGATGCGCAGGAGAAGCGGAACTTCGGGGAGCCCGTCCACGAGGAGAACGAAATCCTGGGTGTGTTCAGCCCGGAGCAGTACACCCACGTTTCCCCCCGCAAGGGTTTCTTCCACCTCGGCGTGTTCGTTGCAACCTTCCTGTCACTCTGTGGAGTTGTGAGTCTCTACTATCCCGACAGGCCGAGTGCCCCGAAGACCTATGAAGGTGGTTTGGAGAAGGAGCTGGGCGGTCCGAATGCTCTGCCGGTAGGTCATGACCTGCACCCCTTTGATGCGTCGTAAAATCGAGTTTTATATCTGACAATTGACCCTAGGCTCGCAAGCCCAGTGAGGACAAGTGGTGATTATTGATCTTCAGTTTCATTCTTTGTCTGTGTGTGTAAATACCAATACGATTTCTTATGTTCGGCGTCACTTGAAGATCTGATATCGATCCGCTGCCACTGTCCCAGTCTTTTTATTTCTGCAAATAAAGCCGGAGTCCCGGTCAGTGATCCAGGTCGACTGCCAACATTTGTAGCTTCTGGAAGTGATGTCGGGAAGCCCAACTGGCCAGCTCTCACACTATTATTGATCAGTGAAGACAATTTTCCTGACTTTTCATAGTGTGAAGATAGTCCCATAGATGCTTGTAGTAGTGGTCAATAATAGTCGTGTTCGCCCTTGCGCTCCCTTGGCCCCCGGTGCGGGTAAACCGATGATCGCAACCAAAGACAAGGATAGTGTGGGACCGAAAGCTAGACAAACGCAGTCATAGAAATCAAAACAAAGACCAGCGATGATAAAAAAATCATAATAATGGGGTGTATAGTTAACTAGGTCGTTCTATAGAGTGTCTAGTGTGTTTGCGCGGCTACGTCAGTGCCCAACTGTTTCATCTACCCCCCCCTCCTCTCCCTCCGCCTCCTTTCTGCGCTATAAACAACATACTTGCCTCCAACGTCGTATCCCTCCCTCCCGCCATTCAACACCCAGCAACGGGACTCACTTTTCCAACAGTTGATTCTGCCTGGTGCTCTGCCCTCTCCCATGGTCCTTGGTCGCGCTGTCCCTTCCGACTGCTGCTGCCGCCGCCGCACCATCTCCGACCAACCGCTACCACCACACCCCACCACCCCATGTCGACAGCATCCAGCCGGTCCCGAGGAGTCAACCGTCGGATCAACAGCATCCAGAATGAAGGTCAGCATTCTCGCACCTCCTCCTCGGCCTCGCGCCGCCGCCCCCTCAACGCCAACGTCGCTTGCTCCCATGCTCTCCGGGTAGCTTACCTGGCCTATCTGCTCAACCCCCATTCACGCCGCCTTCAGAATGCCTCCGCTGCACCCGCGCGCCAAAGAAAAGCTTCGACCTCCATTCACGACTTGATGGGCGACTTCTCTTTGGTCAGGGACTCCAAGAGCACAAGGATTCCACATGGATTCGTGGCCGAGCTCGAAAAGCGGCTGACGGGAGTGTTGATGGGAAAAGAAAAGCGAAAAGAGTATCAGGACCAATTGGTGGTGCGCACATTTGCTGTCTTCCTCAATGCGCTCAAGGAGCAATCATTCCGAAGGCGCATGGAAAAGGATCGGCGAGCTGAGGATCTGGTGCTCATTTTCTATTCGAATGCCATCAAGGAGCTGAGCAAGGGCAAGGAACATGACGATGACAGCTGGAAGCTCATGGTGGATCGACACGTTGCGCTTTTCGTCCGTCTGCTTGCGCTCATCCTGAAGAGCAATGACTGGGATAAAGACCGCCCAGAGCTGGCCAACCGACTGTCGGTCTTGGAGAACAAACTTCTGGTGCAGGATCAGGACCTGATGGAGGTGAATGGCTCTGCAGCGACGGGAGTTATAGCTCCGCTGAGCTACGATGTGAAGGACATGCCGCTAGTGCAACATGTGGCGAAGATATTTGGGATGACACCGGCGCAAGCGCAGTCCGAAATTGACAAGCACAAGACAATCTGGACGGAAAAGGCGGCTCTGCAAGATCTCAAGACATACCAAGCCCATCTGAATCTTCAGACTCGAAAAACCCTGGCGAGAGAAGACTTTGAGACGGACGAGGCATATGAAAACTGGAAGAAGGGCGAAGGCCCCGATTTATCGCAAATGATGCTTGCGATTGTACAGTCGAATCCCGAGCTGGCCAAAAGCACTCCGGGAACTCTTCCCCAGTTCAACCCGTCCCCCGTCGAAGATGCCAACTTGTCACGGACATCTTCCGGCCAGACAAACAGAACATCGTACGTCATTGACCAACCGTTCGATCTCAGCTCTCTGTCGCTCGGTGGGTCAGATGGTGACTCGGAGGAGTCAGATACCTACACTTTCATTCCGTTAGACCCCAGAGAGATGTACAAGTTCATCTTGGGCTACACCCTGAGCTACGATATGCGCGATCGAGAGCTCGAAGCTTCCCAAGCCACAGCTAATACGCCTTCGACAAAGTTGCTCTCGAAGCAGTCCACGGAATTTCTGAATGAAATATGTCTCCGCTGGCGGATTCCCAACTTCTCCCGGATTGTACTGTTTCTCGATGTGATTCAAGCCAAGTTCGTGGACAACGAAATCGATCTCAACACCCTGGACTCGGCCTTCACCTTTGTGAAGGAATCGCCTCCTACCGAAGGCAGGAGTAAACGGAGCAGCTTCATGCCTTCAGCCGTGTTGGATCGACAGCGGTGGACTGTGCAAGATGTTTACATGATGCAGCAACTGCTATCCAAACTCCACGAGGCCCTCCTGCGGGAGCTGTACGATGTCATGATGGACTGCTTCGAAGCGAAACCACGTCCAATTGGGCCAGTGATGTATATCCTCGAGAATCACATCCAGCTCGATCCCAACTATATCGAGGACCCTGAGGATATCAACCGCTTTTCTTCTTATGTGCAAGACGGACTCGCCCAGAAGGCAACGGCAAAGTATCAGTCTCTTCTTAGCCAGTTAATACCGGTGCAGCAGCACGCATGGCAGGTCGACAATGTCATCCAACTAGGTGATGCCATCTCAAAGCTGGCGCAAAAGATCCAGAAGCGGTACAGGAATAACCCGGAGATCATGGGGTATGTTTTGAATGCTTTGGTTTTTTTGGTCATGTCTAACCCCGAAACAGTGTGAACCCCTATATCACTCTCTGCTCCAATGTGTTGCCTATGTTCGCTGAAGACGCGCATGAGATGATTATCAGAATCATTGAACAAGCAAAAGAAAGGGGGGAAGAGATCGATGTCGAGGACGGCTTTGACCTTTACCGGAAGCTTGCCACGGTCCGACGTATTTTTTCCACTGCTCTTCCCGAGTACGAGACCTCCAAGTTTTGTCATGTTGGACATGTACTAATTTCAGTTAGGGTACCTTTTCCATTCCATGTGGAAAGTCTGCTAGAGGAATTTGTCTGGCGTTGGCTTCGCTTGACCGACCAGAGTATCATGGAATGGGTCAACCAGGCTACCAGACAGGACGCCTTCATTGTCCGAGTCGACCAAATGAATGATATGGCTTCAGAGGATGCTCGGCATAGTGTCTCGGCTATCGATATCTTCCGGTCATTCAATAAGGTGGTAGAAGACTTGGTGCACCTGGAGTGGGATGATGATTTCCAGTATGCCAAGTTCATGACGGCTCTATCCAGCTCGATTAGCAAGGGCGTGGCAAAGTATTGCGAAACTCTAGAGCAGATTTTCTCCCGCGAGATGGACCGTCTCACTCCGGATCAAGAAGCAGCCTTAAACCAAACTACCCAGGAAAAGCTCATGCAGTTCGCCAAGGACACATGGACGAGCAAGGAGAAGATTGAACCCTTCCAGTTCTCCTCAGAGGTACGTACTCACAACCCAATTGCCATCTTTTGTTCTGACTCGCTAGTAGTCTTTAGTGAAATTGAACAATGTCGAGTATGCACTCTCCCAATTGGACGGATTGGAGCGTGAGATCAATGTCGATGGCTGCGCCGATGTCATTGCGCAGAACACCCCTCCACAGCTCAAGAAGACGCGCAAGGCTACAACGTATGTCTTCACGATCAAGGTCGTGGAAGGCGAAGATCTCAAGGCGTGCGACATCAATGGAGCCAGTGACCCGTACGTCGTCTTGACGGACGAATATCAAAAGCGGATCACAAAGACCCGGATTATCTACAACAATCTCAATCCGAGGTGGGAGGACGCAGTGGATATCACGACTCAAGGACCGCTCAATATTATCGCGACCATTTGGGACTGGGATGCCGTCGGTGATCACGACTACGTTGGTCGAACCTCGATCAAATTGGACCCGGTGCATTTCAGCGATTTCTTGCCCCGAGAGTACTGGCTCGATCTAGACACACAAGGCCGGCTTCTGCTCCGTGTCAGCATGGAAGGCGAGCGGGATGACATCCAGTTCTACTTTGGCAAGGCTTTCCGCACACTTAAGCGCACTGAAAGGGACATGACGCGCAAGATCACGGAGAAGCTTTCCGCATACATCAACTACAGTTTGTCTCGTCGGACTTTGAAGTCTCTGCTGTCTCGTGGGATCAGCTCCACCGTATCCAATTTCTTGAACCGAAACCGAGCACAAACAACCTCCGTTGCGCCCTCGCAGGCAGACATTGAAAATGCGCTGACTCCGCTGTTCAACTACTTCAACGATAACTTTGCTATCATGAACAAGACCCTTACCTCGGAAGCGATGCGGATGGTGATGGCCCGTCTGTGGAAGGAAGTGCTTGCTACCATTGAGAGTTTGCTGGTCCCGCCCTTGTCGGACAAACCTTCCCACCAGAAGCCCCTGACGGTTCAAGAAGTCGACATTGTATCGCGCTGGCTCGTGCTACTTTTGAATTTCTTCAACGCCGTGGACGAGGAGACAGGCGATGCCAACGGCGTCCCGATTGACGTTCTAAAGTCTCCCAAGTACCACGAGATCCAGAGCCTGAATTTCTTCTACTTCGAGCCAACCGATAACCTGATCCGGACGTCGGAGCGGATGGCTTCCGCCAACGTGAATCGGCAGCATGCAAACCGCAACCGCCTTTCTGCACCCGCACACCTCGGTGCCACTGGGTCCGGGTACGGTGGTCTCGGAGTCCCTGCTGCACGCCGCGCTAAGAGCATCATGCTCTCCCGCAACCTGGGCACGATGAAGAAGGTCAAGGAGGAGAAGCGGCGAGAGGCTCAAGCCGATCCGAACGATGACATGATCCTGCGCATCCTGCGCATGCGCCCCGAAGCAGCGGGTTACCTACGTGACCGGAGCCGTCAAAAGGAAAGACTCGCCGCTGCAGCAGCGGCGGATGCCATCGTGAAGCAGAGCTTGATGGCCGGTGCTGGAAGCAGAATGAGCGGGTCCATTCCACGGCGCTGACCTATCTACCCATGGAGGATGAAGCGTTCACTGTCTTGAATTTACTACCAGGGCTTTCTCCCCCTTGCCTTTTCCTATGCATACATCACACTATTCCTTGCCCCCTTTTTTCTTTTCTGCTTCGTCTGCGGTGATTCCCATCTTGGCCTGTTCACAGTTTGCATTCGTCCATTCCACTATACTACGGGAGGAATGAAATAATCGTATTGAAACCATCACTCTACTAACACAACAATATACCTTCTATTCCATTCAATTGATTTCATTTTTTATAAATCCATCCATTCTAATAACAGACAAATTTACTCAAGAGCAATGCACTCAATCTCAACCGGCACACCCTTGGGCAACTGCGCAACAGCCACACAGCTACGAGCCGGCTTGTGGGTGAAGAACTTCTCGTAGGTGGCGTTCATCTCGGCGAAGTTGGCCATGTCAGTGAGGAAGACCTACATGTCCCAATCATTAGCTCTCAATTCCTCCTCCGGGTGGTAGGGATCGTGCCCTCCGGGAGGTCAAAGCGTACGTTAACCTTAACAATCTTGTTCACGCTGGATCCTGCCGCAGTCACGATAGCCTTGATGTTATCGCAGCATGCCTGGGTCTTCTCGCCGATGTTACCCTCGACGAGGTTTCCCGACGTGTCGGCGGGGATTTGGCCGGAGACGAAGATCTGGCCGTTGGCGCGGATTGCCTGGGACTATACAGGGTATTAGTTGGAACGTACATTTGGCTTTGGGTTTGTATTTGTATGTAAATTGAATTGGGGTGAAAGGAGTGTGGTCATTGAGGGTTTGATTAAGGGTGGGATTCGATGACGCGGGCTTGTTCGGGTCCCATTCAAGGTGGGGGGGAAGCTATTGTCGCTGGAAGAAGAACAAGGAGGGAGAACGTACGTAGGGGCCAGCAGCTAGAGAATCGAAAATGTTAGCGATTGACTCTGCGGGTGAGGAGGAAGCAAGAGAGAGCTGCGCGATTGATCGCCCTGGTGAGATCATTCATAACTTACGCGGGCAGGCGTCCTTAGCGGAGACGATGGACATATCGGCAGACATTGTGATTGGAAATCTGGGGACGGACAGCGGTGATGGCTTAAGACGGAGGGTGGGTGTAGTGAACAGAAGAGGACGAGAGAGACAGAAGATGCGAGAACGCATGGTTGTTGAGGCAGAGAGGCAAGTCAACTGCCCCGCCGGGTGGGGTGGAGTTTTCCGAGGAAAACAACAGAATAAGATTCGTAAGAGAATGGTTAATAATATAATGATAATAATAATAATAATAATAATAATAATAATAATAATAACAATGGCTACAGGCTATGTATGTACAGGGTAATTAATTCACTGCTCAAGTCGTCTCGTCGTCACGCATGATGGAAACTTCACGATTTCCCCAAGAGGCCAAGCTGCTGCATCAGACTGGCTGTCTGCTCGGCGCTGTAGCCAAAGAACACCGGTCCGTTAAATGTGACATTCGCCGGGACCGAGTTTGCTTCGCTTTGAGCCGTGTCTAGTTCTTGCGCTTTTGGTTTCGGGGCCCCGGCATCCAGCTTGATGCCCTGGGCCGCGGGAAGCTCGGACTCGGCAGTCTCTGCGCTCGGTTTCGGAGCATCATGACCAAAGGGACAGCGGCCAGCCGGTTTAGTAGGTGGTTCGGTGGTTTCAGAGGGTTTGGGTGGAGGATCAACGGAGCCGGAGAACGGCACCGAGGCCGGGGGTGGATGGGTGAAGGGGACAGGAATACCCCAAGGCCGGCTTGGGGATTCCCCGACGCGGACCTCACGCAGGGGACGGTCGAAGTGGCCCTGTCTATTATCGTCCTCGTTCTGTAGACCCGGGGTGACCGGGTCCACGTCGTCGGCCCATTTCTCGACGAGTTCAGGCGACGCAGAACCTGGGACATCACCTCCGCCTTCGCCATCTGTCTGGCGGTTAGGCAGGAATGCCTGGTGCTTGACACTGAGACCGTTAATCATGTTGATCAGGCCTCCATATTTGGCATCAAGCTGCCGCATGTTCTGCGGGTCGCGCTGGTACCGCTTGACACAGATGGCATGGCTGCGCGGGATCTCATGTTTGTGCTGCTCCACATATTCCGCAATTTCCTCCGGGGAGTGTTGGTCCAAGAAGCGGATGGGACATCGGGACACGGGGCATTGGTTGTTAGACGACCTGATAGACGGGGTGTGACTGGACCGTCGCTCTTCCTGCTCGGCTTTGATCGGGTCCAAGTCTTCATGGCCACAGGTGTCCCCAATTTGGACTTTTGGCAAATCTCCATTCCCGTTCTCTGCCTCCGAATGCGCCCGGCTAGCTTTGGAAAGGGGGCAGCGCAGGTTGCCCTGGGTGCCGTTGGTGGTGAAGTCTTCCTCCAGCGGAACAGATGGACTCGGGCTGCGAGCCAGGATGCACGAGTTATCCTGGAGGCTGCCCTGGGAGCGAATCAGAGACTTGCAGCTCTTAAAGCCGGCCACGATGGCCTTGAGTGTGTTTTCGTCTACGTTTTGGTTGTCCGTGAGCGTCTTGATTACATCCGTTGGACTTAGGGACTGGGTCTCGACTGAGGAGTCGTTGGAATGCCGATTCAAGGCAAGGAACTTCTTCGAAATGCCCTCAAAGGGAAGTACATGTTCCCCGGGCATCTGGTTCAGGACCTCGAGGAGCTGCATAATGGGTGTTAGCATGTCTTTGAAAACACCAAAACAAACAAGCAGTGCCATGTCTCATCAGATAATACATGATGTTTCTGTCAGCGCCACAAAATTGTGACTCTTGATCTAGAGCTAATCATTTTTTCTCATCATATGAGACTGGACGCTGCAAAGAAGAAGAATAGTATATGTACCTCGTGGTGGATTTCTGAGGACCTTTCCCTCAGTTCATTGGTCCTGCAGCTGAGTCGGTATACGGTTAGTAGCAGCGCATCGAAAGCTTTGCCCACGGCCTGGAGCTGGTCATGGTGCAGATCCTGCTGCATCTCCGGGGTGACCGGGGCTGGTGACATGGTGCAAGCCAAGAGATTACAAGATCATGGGATAGTCATAGGGAGAAGGACTGCACTCGACAGTGGGGGGTAGTGTAAATAGTATTCAGAGAGACACAGAGTGAGTGGGTGAGACTGATGAAGAGAGAGAAAAGAACGAACACTATTTATGGCCGCCTGCGGAGTCCGGAAAAACGGAAAAACGTTAAGCGAAGACGCCACGTGATAATGCTTGTCTATCCAGGTTGTATTCCTTCTGCTTCAAGCATTCAAAATCCACCTAATCCTCCAATCCAGAAAAAAGAAAAAAACTAACGAATAGATGAAAGGTCTGCTGCGTACTGCCTGCTGAAGTGGCTTAATCGCATTACCCCTGATTCCCTTGGTAGGATGCAGCTCTAATATACTATTCGCTTTGCATATTGCCTGTGTGTTGAATATTTATTGTGCATTGTGACAGAGATCTGAAGGTGTGCATGGGACTTCTAGACAGATAGTATCTCCTGGTTTAGCCTTACATTTATGTTTTAAATGGTTACATATTATGGTTGATGTAAGGACCAGCACATCTATATATTTCTGACCTGAAAAAGCATCCAGCACATACCAGCATGGTTGTCCACAAAAAAGAAAGCTTGTCTTGGGGACAAAGAAACGTTCACCCCTTATCTTATCATCAAAATCCAAAAATTCCCAATCCCAGTGTCGACCTTCTACACAACACCATTCCTCCCAAGTCTTCGCCGGGCGCTTCGCCTTATCCTGGTGCTATGCTATAGCATCTCTAGCATTCTTTTTCAACGTCCTATAAGCCCTGCCGGGCTAGCTCAATCGGTAGAGCGTGAGACTCTTAATCTCAAGGCTGCGGGTTCGACCCCCGCGTTCGGCTATTCCTTCAATCAGCTTGAGATCTTTTTATTTTTGGAGTCTTTCTTTTTTTTTTTTTTTTTTTTTTTTTTTTTTTTTTTGCACAATATGGAAAGGTGCAAAGTCTGCCTCGCGCGAAGGTTAAATGAAAAACTCGACATGGCACACACAGCATGGGAGCGGCGGCGGAGCGTCCAACCAAAAATGGTCAAGAAGTATGAACAGTCACACCTGTAAAAGTATTAAGGTCAGTGGTAGAACCTCAGGGTGCTCGAGTTAATATCAACAACATCTTTATTTCAGTCGATGGTTTGTTAAGATTCTTCGTTCTGCAAAACTTTTCCTGGCCTGCTGGCCCTCACTCCATCGACCTCCCTTTTACAAGCAACGAGCAAGATCGAGTGGAAAGTTCCCAGATTGGCGAAGAACCAGAGTGCGCCTATGATATGTGGCACCCTAGAAGTCCCACTGGACTACGCAGATCAAACCTTCATCAAAACCCTAACTCCCCAGCTTGTCAAGATACCTGCCATCCAGAAACCACACGGGAATTCAGTTCTGCTCAACTTCGGTGGCCCGAGAGAGGACTCCACGGTCTATACGGCTGCTCTTGGAACTGAGATTCAAGCGTAAGTTCGACAAAATGGCAGGTTCAAGCGTAAGTTCGACAAAATGGCAGGTGGCAAGACATTTATACGGATGTGCCTGATAGTGTCCTTGGTGGCTCGTCCGATCTCCATCACCTTTAATGCTCGGCACATCCCCAGGTTCTCGGCGAATTCAAACCCAAAACTGATCGTCTATTAGTGGCGTCGGCAGGACTGTACCGTTCTCAATGCTACAAAACCCTGGTTGAGAGAGTGATTGCAAGCATGGAAGCTCCGTCCTATGACAAGGCGTCCAACACAGTCTTGGGGTGGCTCTGGGCGGCGGGAACCAATTATGCGAATGCATGCTATGCGCGCATGAACGAGACTGGTAGTTCCCAGACAGAACGGGTAGAGTGAATCTGGACGGAGTGCTGAGCTCACCCCAGCATTTCCACGGATAGTAAGTGGGATCTGTTCTTAATCGCCTCCAGCGACAACCAGGAGCGATATTCCATGCCATCTATAATCCAGCGGACTGGCCAGACCTACTGGACTCGCTCTCTACTGTGATGACCCGAGAAGTAAACGTCAGGGCTTCGTTGTCCCACTCCAGAACCCGCTCCGGGGCATCAAGTGTGGCGACAAGACGCGGTGAACCCTATGTGTTGGCGCAAAACGTGAGCGATGGTCTGGAGAGGAGTGTTCTTCGGCCTAATGGATACAAAGTAAGTGCCCATAATATTTGTTACTGGCATGTTTCAGGCTAACGCAGTGTCCACAGCATGGCTCTATCGCGCATCTGCATGAGCATGGTGGTCCGGAGCTATTTCCTGCATGGCAGGTTGCCCCCGAAAGGGAAGGTTTGCCAGCCGAGCCTGTTCTCGACCGACGCCTCACTCGGGCCCTGGACTATAGCCCTAGACCAAATATTAGCTATAAGAATAATAACATCCGAAGAACAATAACAATACGACTCTCGCTCACACACACCCTCTTTCTCTCCCCTCCCAGTGGATCAATGGCTGTCTGTCGATCGCGCCCCGCCGAGTCTAGCCCGCGCAGTTGTCCAGCCTCGGGTTGTGATACGCCCGTCTCCCTGCATGTGCGGATTCTAGAAACCGCATGGCGTGACGGTATTGACGGGTGGTACACCGCCAATTGAGACAGAGTAAGAAATAAGAATCAAGATAGTAGGGAGAATAGGGGAATACAGTACCTAGTATAACCGTGGAAGATGGATGATAAGCTATCGCAAACCGTACCGTACTGATTTTTCCCGCCATCCCTCACACTTTTTTTCGCTCTCCTGCATCCTGATCTGACCCCGCCCTTTTTCTTCCTTTCTTCCTGCTTTCCTTTCTTTTCTTCTTTCTTCTCTCATCATGTCCACCTCCACCCCCGATGCCGCCGCCCAAGTCGCCGGACACGCCGCCGCCCATCCCTCCCGCTCCGCCGAACTCGCCGGTCTTAAAGTAAGGCTGCGCGCCGCCCTGCGCCAGTTCCCGGACTTCCCCTCGCCGGGCATTCTGTTCGAGGATATCCTGCCCATCTTCGCCGACCCGACGCTGCACGAGGCCCTCCTCCGCTGCCTCGAGCTGCACATCCTCGCCTCCTACGATGGCCAGAAGCCCGATGTCATCGTCGGCCTCGAGGCCCGCGGCTTTCTGATCGGTCCCAGTCTGGCGCTGCGTCTCGGTGCGAGCTTTGTCCCTGTGCGCAAGCAGGGAAAGCTACCCGGTCCCTGTGAGACGCAGTCCTATGAGAAGGAGTATGGCCAGGACTTCTTCCAGATGCAGGCCGATTCGATCAAGCCCGGCCAGAAGGTCATTGTCGTTGACGATATTATTGCCACGGGTCGGTTTTCCTTGCCTCTCTCTCCGTCTCTATATACACAGTACTGATGTGATTAGGTGGCTCCGCATGTGCCTCCGGCGAACTGATCAAAAAGATGGGCGGCGACCTGCTCGGCTTCGTTTTCATTCTCGAATTGGAATTCCTCAAGGGACGCGATAAGCTGCCGGCCCCGGTGTACACGCTTCTTACGGGTCAAGCCTAGATTTATTTAATGTCTCTGCACAAAAATGTTTCTTTCTGTCATTGGGACGAACCCGACCGACCGACGGATGAACCCGACCCGAGAGCCTTGAACCATCCTGTCCGGAGTGGAGTGGACGGTCTTTTCTCCAGCTCCACATTGGAACCCCAAAAAAAAAAAATCAGAATCCAGCGGGACAAGAAGGGAGAACTAAAAATATAAATGATAGACAGTTGATACCTCGGCGATGAATGATGTGTTTCTTGGGTACCTTGCTTTAATGAATGTTATAATCTCGCTAATGCCATCACCACCACTACATATATACATTTAGGTCTCAGGAGGAATAAACCTCCTCATCGTGCTCTCCACCCACTGCGCCGGTAATCCCAGCCTTTCGCTCTCTCGAACACCCCGGTTCATGCGCCTAATGTACTCTGTCTTGGGCGGACCTTCTCTAACCCGCTCCTCGTCAACATAAACCAGCACGCGGACTGTCTTTTCCTGGCGAGATGGAACGAGCCAGCGCACGATCCGCGCATCGACATACCATTTGTTGTAGCAGCCATCGCCCTGTGCACGGGGTCGAATAGTCCCGTAACCATCTTCACCTTTCTTAGCCTCCTCAGACCTAGTCTCAGTGGCACATTCAAGACCCTCCAATGAGGCCGCATCATGATCCACACCCTCATACATATCCAGCTCCTCCTCATCCAGCGGATGCATAGCATATAGCACCCCGTAAACCCCCTCATCCTCCTCATCCTTTCCTGCCTCCTCTGTCAAGGGAACAAAAGCCGACTGCGATCCCACCCGCAACGCTTTCGGCGGAAGCACATTTGCGTACCCCCGTTGACAGATAAACCAGCGCCAGTGCGGGAGGACGGCGATGGCGAGTGGTTTCGCGGAGTGAGCTGGGTTGTAGACGCAGCGGTGGTGCATTTGGGTCGGGGACAGGTTGGAGCCGTAGGCGAAATAGAACGGCCTTTCTCCTTCTTGTTTTATTGAAGATGCACCATCTTGGAGCTGGGGAGCTGCAGATGCTCCTGTTCCGATGGTCTCTGGAGGGTCGGTGAGGTGCATGTTTCTGGGATGTGAGGAAGTTGGGAGATGGTAAACCCCGCAGAGGGAGAGTTGAGTTGCCAGTCGTATATGTACGTATATCTCGAGGCACCGATTTGACTGCATATACAGCGCATGTTCTATTTTATTTGCTATGTACAAGCACATCCAAAATGAAAAGAAAAAGACTAAAGGATATATACGTTTTTAACCGGCACTCCCTGCGAGTGGATCATGTACCGTCTCCTTATACCAATGCCCGTCGCATGCCGCAGGAGCTCGTACGTCTCGTCCCCCCCGCCAAGCATGACCAGGCTAATAGGATGCGGACGCGGAATCCCGCCGGCAGTGATCTGGCTTTCTTCCAGGTGTGGACGGACGAGGAACGGCTCGGCGCGGACGGCGGCGAGAGTCGCATCATCCACTGGATAGCTTGTTGGACCTTCGTCATATGAGACAATGATGACGAGCTTCAGTGCTGAGCGCGATGGCCGGAATGCGGCGATGTTGCGCAATTTCTCGGAGAAGCTGCACCCGCCGCGCTTGATGACGAGCACCTCATGGGTCTGTGCGACCTCCCGCAGGACGCGTTCGTGGCATAGTTCGCCGGCGAAGTAGACGGTGGACCACGAGAGACGACTGAGAGGTATGAGGGGAGCGATCGAAACGGTGGTGGCATCCTCAACGTCGGGCATTGGAGCTGCTCCGACGCCCGTGGCCATACTGGCCGGTAAACTGAGACGGACCGTGTCCGTCGATGGCTCATCTTGGAAAAAGGACGACATGGAATTGACCAGTGACGAAAGCATAGTTTTCATGGCCGAGTCCGGCCCGGCGTCGACGATGGAGGGAGCGGGTTTGCGGCGCCCGAACTGAGCCTCTCCGGATTCTGGACGTTCTGCCGCAGACCGTTGAGGTCGTGCAGCATTCGAACCATTGCGTCGGCGAGCGGGTTCTGGAAGAACGTCAATGACGAGATCAAGCATGGAGGTGTCGCGGACCCGGGTGAAGTTGGGATCGGAGGGATCGACGACATCAAACGTGATCTCGCGCGAGAGGTATACCTTCTCATCTTTGCCCAGAGGCATGTTGTTGACCACTTGCACCCGGTATGCTTCCTCGTTTCCGTGATGGTTCGTATCATACGGGCCATCCTGGACCATGCTGAGCCTCAGACCACCAATTGTTTTGACAAACACCCCGTCCCGAACTCGTTCCAACGCGCCGGGCCCTAAATTGACGCCGCCTGGCAAAGACGGGAACGATATGTCGAGCGTGGGACGAAGAGCCATTGGCGCACTGGTTGCGTTGAAAGGCACGAGCTGCGGTGGCAGCGTCCATGGGTAGAAGGTGTAGTTGCTTGGGGACGACAGATCGGACACCGACACACTCGGGTGATCCGGTGAGTCCTCCAGAATAGGACCCTCGGCTACACCTCGAGTCGGCATGAGATCCAAACGGGCCAAGTGGGCGGCATGGAACAAATCAGAACGAGAGGCAGTAGATGAGATACCAAGTGCCAGAGGAGGGCTGACCGGACACATGTCAGTCACTTTCCAATCTGGTCGCTCTTGCTGGGAACGGGGCTGGCGTGAGGCCGTTGTTCTCTTTGGAATAACGAGCGGATGGCCCTCGGTAGAAAACACCCAGGGGGCGTCGATGTGATTGAGCGGATGGTCCGGATCAAAAAGCAGAAACAGGTACTTGGCCGTCTCGCCCAGGAAAAAACTCTCCATCCGGTTAATGAGTTCACCGGTCAGGACGTCAAGGATGCCGGCCCAACCACACTTGGTCCAGCACCGTCGCTTGATGTCGCGAAGTACCATTTCCCCAACATGTAGATACCAGGGATCTTGAGTGGCCCGGTAGATATAATAAGTGGACTCGATAAATTCGGGCCGACCACCGTACCACGAAAGGCCGCCCTCGATTTCGCCCGTGGCCACGTTCCACCGCTCGGGAAGACCAGAGTAACGCGTCCAGACGGCCGTTGCCAGCAGATGCACTTCGATGGCCTCGTCCACCCTACCAGCTAGGGCGAGAAGCCCTGGATAGTAAGCACTGAGGCTGTCGATCCAGAAAGCGCGAGTAGCACCCGTGAGGACATCCCCCAGAATAAAATGGGGATACTGGTAGCCCTCGCCTCGATACAGATGGCGATTGATGGACTCTCGAGATTCTTCCCAGACATCCAAAAATGCATCCGCTGAGTGCTGCTGTTCTTTCAAGGGCACATAATAATCATCCATAGCCACCCAAGGATTGCTGGTATCAAACGGTTGATGCTCTCCAGCGGACAGAAGGACGTGGGACTTGAATGCATACTCAAAAAAGCTGTCCGTCCCAGCACCAATCTGAAGAGTTTATTAGTACTTTTGTTTGTGTGATCCTTGGGGAGATACATACCCCCGAGTATGGACTCATCCATTTACCCGACTCGGCATCGATTCCAAACCCAATCAGACCAATTACACTTCGGCGAACCCAAACCGCCCAAAAAGCCCGTTTTGCTAGATCCTCATATCGGCCATCCCCCGTGAGCCTGCTTAGGACAGTCATCTCGAGCACCAAGCTACCCGCGCCGGCGCTGCATGTTTCCGTAGCCTCCTCCTCCGACTCTTTCTTGGAATTGCGCGAGTTGGCATTGAGAGGAGAGTTTGTGTAGAACGGCACCCCATGCCGTAGATTCACACGAGGGTACGGGAGGCCCGTCTCGGTATAGAACGCTGGCAGGATACGATTGGCCAGATCCACCGCGAGGCGAAGAAGCTGACCATCGTAGATCAAGCCGTTGCCCCACGTAATGCCATGATCTGATTTGGAAAATGCGGATTTATCCCATGCGTTCGCAAAAGCCACTTCACGTTCTGGTGGATCGTAGGTGGTGATGGGGAGGTCGCCCACCGCGAAGAGATGGGCACTGAGCAGGCCACCTAACCCTCGAATGACGGTTTCAAACACCTGCACCTTGCTATCCAGATCAAACCCCCTTGATCGCTCTCCCTGACCAGCAGGACCATCCGACCCATCTCCATACAATTTGACCAGATCCCGAACTCCATTCTGGAAATGCGACAAGGACTTTTCTCCGCTCTCGGGACTCGACGACAGGATTGCCAGTGTCGACAGACTGTCAATCAAAGTCAATGAATAATTGCCCAGGACATCGGTCAGCGCGCTATCGGTGGGGGTCTGCCCGCGAGTGAGAGGGTCGCAGGTCAATGGGCGCAGTTCGTCTTCGGGGAACGCGTGGGCCAGGTAGTTGTCGAAGCCATGGTAGAACAACTGCTCCGTTTCTTGCCTGTCCAGGTAAAGAGTCAGCTCGGGGCTCGGGAGTAGCTAGAGACCCAATTCTCACCTCAACTGTTTGATCTGATGCTCTCGCATGCCTTTGGCCAGGCCCAGCCAGAGCAACAGTAGCACGGCCCAGACGCCCATCCTCCGCGCCCACCCGCATGGCGTGCGCATCACCAAACAGACACAGGGACCGGGGGCATGAGAAATAGACAATAAGAAGATTTCCTATGTACCGTTGTTCGTCTCTGCCGACCACCCGGAGTGAAAAGTGGAGGGAGAAGGGATGCGGGATTGGGGCCAGATAAGCTGGTTGATTGCGCATGGACCATCGGATACAACTTTTGGTATTATTTGATAGTTGGTTATCGTACAAAAACACAACGCCAGATTATTGACTCCATGAATGCCAGAGAAATCCTCATCAGACCAAACATAGGAAGGGACCATCATCACGAACTCTCGGCCGCGCGTGCTCATTTGCCCAGCTCGCCGAGCATCAAGTTTCGGTCGGAGGAGCACGAGACCACTGTAGAACATTAGCAAAAGTACACCACCTCCACAAGGTCGACTACTCACCGATAGGCTCGTCGTTGGGAGAGAACTGCACGTCGTTGACGGTGCCCTTGTGTCCGGGAAGCTTGTACAGAAGCTTGCCCGTCTTGGCCTCCCACACCACCACGCTGCGATCGCCACTTCCCGCAGCAATCTTCTCACCCTTGGGATCCCAGCTGGCACGGATGAGATTCTTCTCTAACCCCACAGGCGCGCCGTCGTACGTCTTCAGCTGTCGATTGGTCGGTGCGAACGGCCGGATGTCCCATGTACGAACCGTCGAGTCATGCGAGTTGGACAGGAGAGTCTGCGAGTCCGGAGAAACTTGTAACGAAGTAATAGTGTCTGTGTGTCCGGCCATCGAGTAGACCACCGCCTTCTTCCGAAGATCCCATACGTGAATGGTGTTGTCAATGCCACCGCTGTAGATCTCGTTGCCGGCCTCGGAGAGGGCCACGGCCGTGATGGGCAGCTCCGTCTCCAGGTATTCCAGAGCGTCCTTCTGTCGCGCATCCCATATGCCGATACACCCATCATCACTGCCACTGACCAGCAGCTCCTGGCCTCTCTTGCTGATGTCGAGACAGTTGACGATTTCCTCATGGCCGATATGGCGACGCAATCGCTCCCCAGTCTCTATATCCCAGCTGCCCAGTGTCATATCTGCAGATGCGGAGAAGAGGGCCCTGGAGTCCCGCGACCATTGCAGATCCAACACTGCGCCCCGATGTCCTGTCAATTGTCCGTAATTTTCGCATTGTCCGTAGGTATTCCAAAGCACTATCACGCAGAGGGCGGTCAGTTGAGGCTATCCAAGGTGGGCGACCGACATACGGATAGATCGATCCATTGAACCAGATGCGATGTGCTGAGCAGTCGGATCAAAGCGAACCGTGAAGACTTCTCCCGAGTGGCCTTGATATTGTTAGCTTCATGATGGCCGACAGCACTGCCGAAGATCCTACCTGACAATTCCATGATGGGGGCATCCAGCCCGCTGGTGCGAGGTACCTGAAATCCCATGTTAGCCAGACCTGTGCATACCGTGGGGTGGTGTACGCACTGCTTGAACCAGCGTTCCATTTTGCGCTGAGCTCTTGACGACGGCGGTGCCCGCATTGAGACCGGCGTCGGACTTCTTCCGCTTCACCACCTGGCTAGAGGAGCCAAAGTCCTCTTGCGCAGGACGTTTCTCCCCAGACATCATGGCGCTGGCGATTGTGTAGAGAAAGGTTCTGGTGAGAGCGGAATGAGACCCAGAGGAAGAAAGATGATCCCACCCACTTTGTATGGGCGGGCGGTGAGCCTGTATTGCCCAACCTTGGGGAACTCCTAACCGTATCGACACACTCTCTTTGCTTGTCTCTGCCGTGGGCGCTTGTTTTCTCGACCGATAATCAGGCGAATTACACCAGCAGTCATGTCATCGACGACGAAAGCTTCAAGAATAGGAGAAGAGTACGTGCTCGCGGGTGGCCTGTCTGGACTATGCTAACATATGCCGTCTCTCATAGGATCTGGAAGTCAGTAAGCTGCGGCACCCTTTTTGTTTTCACCGATTGACCTGGCCATTGCGCTGTCATGGAAGTGCGACTGACCATACCCATCACCACTCAGGACGCGGGTCGATAAAGTCAATGCGGAGCTGGTCACATTAACCTACGGGACAATCGTGGCGCAATTATGCCAGGACTACGATAGCGACTACCAAGAGGTCAACAAGCAGCTGGACAAGATGGGCTATAACATCGGCATGCGGCTGATCGAGGACTTTCTGGCCAAATCAGGCGTGGGGCGATGCACCAACTTTCGGGAGACGGCCGATATGATTGCCAAGGTGCGTCCCCGTCATCCGAAATGGATAGATACCTGTCTGGTGGCTAACACTCCCCAATAGGTGGGCTTTAAGATCTTCCTGAATGTGACGCCAACCGTCACGAATTGGACGAGCGACAACAACCAGTTCTCGCTCATCTTCGACGAAAACCCGCTGGCCGACTTTGTTGAGCTGCCAGATGACGGGCGCTCGCAGGACGAGCTGTGGTTCTCCAACATTCTGTGCGGCGTTCTGCGCGGCGCACTAGAGATGGTATGTGCTCATCGGTCGACAGGGACCCCGGTCAATTCTGCTACCCCGGGTCCGATCGCTGACCCGATTTCCAGGTTCAAATGCAGATCGAGGCGCACTTTGTTAGTGATGTGCTGCGTGGTGATGATACGACGGAGATGCGAGTGTCCCTAGTGCGGTATATTGAGGACGAGATGCCGCCGGAAGAAGAGTAGATAGCGAACCTGTCAACAACACCACGGGCGTTTGGGGTTCTTTATTGGTTATGGTTTATTATTCCTCTTCCGTTGTTTCGTGTAGGATATCTACTCTCTCCGCTGTATGGTCGGTTGGTTTTCCAAGAAATCACCATTAGGCTTTCTGATCTATCGGCGGGTTTGCCCGCCACGCGATGGATCCAGTATATTATTGTTTTCTTCTCGGATAGAAAACTCGACTGTTCTCTGAGGTACCAGCCTGTATTTAACAATCGCCATCATCAACGGTGAGACTTATCGGCGACGGAAGTGCTCGTTTGGGGAGAACCAGATACCGGTACGGCGAAAGAACAATACCTGACCGAATACCTGGGCCGAATATTACCACACCGCAGGGTTCTGACCATGTTCATAACCGGCCCAAACGATTCTGCCTGTATTGTACTACCGACTCGCCCCTCGCCATCTTTCGTTCTCTACAGATCCAAATTCTTTTCCACTGCGCTTCTCTTGCCTCGACTCGTCCTCCATTTGCATCATCGCAGCAGATCCATTGATCCCGCCATCCATTGGCTTGATCCCCCCCAATCGCGCGATCAGCCCTGCATCCGTGGTCGCTGACAGCCACCCTGTCGTTGCCCGACATACTTTAGTCTCCCGCTGGGATCCATCGTAGGGCCCATCGCAGGTATCAACCCCCAACCATCTCCTTTTGTTGTCTGATCGTGGCCACCCGTGTGTTTCTCTGATTCCTACCCTCTTCCCCCACACCTGTCTTCTGGTCTGGCCCTGTCAAACGGTCAATGAGTATCAACCACCGCGGTGCATGCCCAGAAATACGCCTGCCAGCGCCATCCCCAGCCCCGGGTTCCGAACAAGTTGATCCGTTCCGAACAAGCGACCGACCTGCGCTCGCTCTGTCTCTGCCAGCGGCGCATCTCCCTCCCACCCGCCCGCCCCCCGGCCTCCCTCCCATCCTTTCCCCTTCCACTCTTGAGATCCACCTTCCCTCTCATCCTCTTGTCGACTCATCTCTCTCCAATACCTTTTTTCTTTCTTTTTCTTTTCTTCGGTTCTTGCATGTCAAATTATTTGGTCTCATTCTGTTCGTCTCTCCCCCCTCGACCTGGCCCTGTTCGGGCTGCCAGAGAAGCCCCAGCCCAACCTCCCCCAGCCTGTGCGCCTCCCGCCTCCTCGTACCTCCGTCATCGCACTCCCAGCCCATCCTATCCACCGCGCATACTCCCCTGCACTTTGATCACTCGCGGCTTTTGTCTTGCGACCGTCGCTTATCTAGATCATCCATCCAGTCCCTGGCCCTAGACGCCCTTCCTGACCGCCCCCGAACTCCCGACGGATCCTCGCATTTTTCCTCGTCGCGCGCTTCGCGGACGAAGCGTCTCTCACCCCCGTGAATTCATCGATCGCGACTCGACATCTTGCGACATCGGACACGATCGGCGGCCCTTTCACGCCCGTTCCGTCGTACTTTACTTCGAAGAAGCGCTGACCGCTTCTTCCTTTCTCGGTTCCCTCGCATCGCTCCTGTCCACTCCACCTGAGGCCTCGCTGCCTGTAAAGGTGGATGCGCGCCGGACCTCCGCATCCTCGATTTGAAGAATCTTAACCACAGGCAAGGGTGGCTGCAGTCCCACCGTTCGCCACCATGAACCAGATGAACGTTGCTGGGATGAACCCCGGGGTCGGTGGCCCCGTTGGCGGTGTCCCGATGATCAACAACGGCTCGACAGCTCCTCGTAACGACGGCAACATGAACAACCCCGAGATCATGATCAACAATCTCAACACCTATATCTACGACTATTTCCTTAAACGCGGTTACCACGACTGTGCTCGCGCCCTCGTCCAGGATGAATCTATCAAGCTGAACACCGACTCCGGGAAGACCAGTCCGGGTAGTCGCGACATGAATGGCGTTGACGATATGATGACCGACGGCAAGGACGGCGAGAAGATAAAGATCCCAGATGATCTTCCTCGGCCAAGCCTTCCCAGCGAAGGCCAACAGTCTTCTTTCCTCCTCGACTGGTTTAGTCTCTTTTGGGATTTCTTCTGGGCTCAACGGAAGAAGGGGAACAGCAACGACGTGAGACAGTATCTTCAGCACACTCAGGTATGCTCGTATGCTTCTTACTGTGTGGATCGACTCTGACCCTCGTTCAGAATATCATGCGTATGCGGGAACAGCAGCACAACCAGCTGTTGCGGCAGCAACCCATGATGCCCGGCCAAATGAATCCGATGAATATGCGCCCCCGCAATGGCATGGTCCCCCCTAATCTGCAGAAGACAGTGCTCCAGAACAACTCGCTGTAAGTGTATGATATATGCGTGAGTGATCTAATGCTAATTATTGTCCTACAGATCTCCGCAGCAGATCGCGCAGTTGCAGAAGAACCAGCAGATGCAGATCATGCAGCACCAGATGCAAAGGGACCAGTCTGATATGGACATGAACGGGCATCGACCGCAATCACCTGCGTCCGCTGACAATGCCCCGTCGCCGTCGAAACGCCCACGCCTGGAAGGTGGTCCTAATGGCCAGCAGTTGGCACCGAACGGACAACGTCAAGGCCAAGGGATGCCAGGCCAGCCGAACCCGCAGATGGTCATGCAGAATGGTCCCATGGCCCAGAGAGGCATGAACCAGGCTCAGTTCCAGCAGTTCCAGGGACAGCCTGGACAGCAGAAGAACATGCAGGTAAGTGCCCAAAATTTCGCCTTTTATCACTCTCGCTTAGCATCACCCCAGGGTATGCCGAATGGTGGCTTGATGAACGCTGGTGTCATGCCCAACCAAGATCTTATGCCGATGCCGGACGGCCAAGGAATGTACCCCATGGGTCCTGAGTACTTCGGCGCCAACGGTCAGATGGGCCAGGTCCGACCTGGAATGCAGACGCCTGGCGCTCAGCCCGGCAACCATGCTCTCCAGGATTATCAAATGCAACTGATGCTTCTCGAGCAACAGAACAAGCGACGTCTGATGATGGCCCGTCAGGAGCAGGACAACATGACCCGTACTGATGGCCAGCCCCCGATGCCCGGACAGGGACTGCCCCCAGGCACCTCTCCTCAGGGTAGTCGGGCCGGTGCATCCCCGAATCCGAACGATCAGATGAAGCGGGGTACGCCGAAGATGCCTCAGAGCGGCCTTCCTGGATCGCCCAGTGCTGGCGACGCAATGGGTCAGAACCGTGGCTCGCCGGGCTCCATGAATCTGAATGGTGGCCAGATGGTTCCGGACATGGCAGGCCAGTTCTTCCCACAGAACATGCGGCCTCCGAGCTCCAACCCGGCGTTTACCGGAGCGCAGATGGGCCAGCCTATTCCCGCAAACGCTGGCCAACGAATGCCTAGCGGAAGCTGGCAGCCGGGCGCCCAGGGCCAGCCTATGGCTCCACAGCAGTCTCCTGTAAACCAGGTTCAGGCGGGCACCCCACAAGAGCGTGGCGCGATGCCACCTCCCCAGGCACCACCTGGTGCCGGAGCCAACGCTGGCCGTACTCAACCGGCCTCTCCCCAGACCGGTGGCAATGCACCTCCGACGCCCCAGCAGTCCTCCAAACCCGCGCCCAAGGGCGGCAAGAAGGCTGCGAACGCAAAGGTATGTCGTCTCCCCACACTGATTTTCGGGAGGCTGTTGCTAACATTCCACCCAAGCGACCTAAGGGGAAGAACGCGAACGCGGCTGCTGCGACGCCATCCTCTGAAGCGGCGACAGCAGAGCCGCCTACTCCCCAGACGCCCTCCACGCCCCAGCATCCTCAGTCCTTCAGCAAGACTGGGGGGAACGCAACCACGGGTGCGCAGGCGCCGCCCACCACAGCCGCGGCTCCACCGCCAATGGTCCACCAACCGCCGGATCAGAGCCAGCAAACCTTCCAAGATCTCAGCATCCCTGATGTTTCCGCCTTCAACCTCAACTTCAGCCCACTGGAGAACCAGGATCTCCTGGAGAACTTTGATTTCGACACGTTCCTCAATACAGACGCGGACACTGCTGGTTTCGGCTTTGATCCGAATATCTCCTACCCGGCGGACGGTGTTGAGACGGGGGCCGACGGCCTGTGAAGGTGTAAAAGTCTTGACGGTTGCTTCTGGTCTTTACTATCCTTCGATATACCCTTGTTTTTGTACATTTGATCATCATCGTTGCAGTGTTTTCCGCGCGCGGTCTGTCGATTTCTCGTCTCTTGATTGCTTACCTGGTTATGTGCGTGCGCATGTATCGGGAGGTTGGCGTTAGTGTGATCTGCATTTCTCCCTCCCTGACCATCTCTCAGCTTTCCCTTGATCTACTACTCGGCTGGAGCTTCTTTCTGTATTTGAGATTTATAAGTGCACTGTGACCTACGAGTTTTGTTCCTTCTTTTTGTTTCTCCACTTTCATTTCTCTTCTTTCTTTCTATTACTATTTATTATTACTTTCTGGATGTGGTTACTTAATTCTTGCTTCGTCTGCACAAGCACCAAGTTGATACTCCCGGTATAAGTCAAGCTCCCTGTCACAGTCTTTATCGACTTTTCTCTTTGTTTTGCCATTTTCAGACTCTTCTTTCTCTTTCTTTCCTTTCTATACTTGCTCGCCCTCTCGACAGAGATACCGAATACTCTTGAGAGAGAGCAGATGGGGAGATGGGAGACGCTGGAAAGTCTCTGGAAAGTCTCGGAGGTTACTCTGTTTTGTTCTGTCCGTCGGTGTTGGAAATCGGTGTTTGCCTGCGTCTGTTTGCCTTTGCGTTTGCGTACATTTGTGCGTGGTGTGCGGGTGTGGAGGTTGACTGGGTGGGACAGGACCAGGTCCCACAACTGCTCTTGTGTCTATCTGCGTTCGATTGATGCCTTGATGCGTTTTTTTTGCCATATCTCCCCACACTGTGGATGTTTTCTCTTTCTCTGGAGCCGAATCCATATATCCTGGGCTGTTTTCTTGATTTGATTCTTTCAGGACTGCGTAGACAACCTAGTCCTTAGACTGTATATTGTGTCTGTGGTCGACACTTACTTCATGAGGATAGAGTTGGGTTCATTACAACTATGCAAGGATGGGTTGCCGAGCAAGACTTGCTCTTTGTGCTCCATCAAATTCTTCAACTCGAAAACGCAATCAAGAGTCATTCATTTCACGTCAATTCGTACAGGCAAACCATTAGCCTTCTCGTCGTCTTCCTACACCAGCAGCTGGTGGAATGCAACGTGCGCAACTGTTTGCTGGGCTTCATGCAGCGAGATACACTGCCGGCAGGTGCTCAGCTTCTCGCCGTTGATCAAGACATCGCAATAAAACTCATGCCGGGGGATATACTTCGGACCCGGTAGACCGTTCTGCGCGCAGTGTTCTATAATAAAATCACACTCAGCATCAGCGATACATGCCAATGACCCAATAGGTCTGCCTCGTCTCACCTTCCAGAAGCTGAGTCCAGTTCCAAGCAACATCAGTTCGGCCCTCCGTCGGCTCAGCGGGGAGTGGCCACTGGGGATTATACTCCCTGAGCTCCGCAAGCGCCTGCCGACACGCGGCCGCCTTGGCTCCGCGCGCGGTGGCATACCGAGTCTCGATCGAAATGGTATGACCATAGAAAATGAGCAGAACCCCGACTCTGTGGACATGCTGAAACCCGTGCTTGAAGGTGAACCGGGGGTTGAGATTGGCCTTTGTGGCCAGCACACCGAAGTAAAACAGCGCTTGGCTGTTTGTCAGGCGCGGCGTGACAACGTCCTTCAAGGTTTTCTGTAGCGAGCTGTCAGAAACGGAAATCAGGAAGACATACAGAGAATCAGGATCCGTGAGGACTCTCTCTCTCTCTCTCTCTCCCTCCACTTACTTGAGATTCGAATGTCTGAGGAAGCTGGTCAAATTGACCGGGGGCTCCGGACACACATCGGCTGAGCCTATCCGGTCCTGTGGAAACATCCCGGTTGACCACCAGCTCGTCCAGAGAAGAAAACCGAGCGAAACCCCGCGAAGCAGCAACAGTAGAAGAAGACGAAGAAGCCAACGGCTTTGAATACTCAATGCTTGAAGAACCAAGAGCCGCAAAACCAGCAGCAGGTGTGGATGTGGACGTGGATGGAGATGTATGAGAAGGAGAGAAGTGAGTTGTTGCTGCAGGCTTCTCCTGCTTCACTGAAGCCACGATGGTGCCAAAGGCCGAGATGCCAAAGACAGGATGCTGGGGGTGGCTTGTGTTGGCGAACACTGAGACGCTTCGCTGGATTGGGCCTGCAGTCAAGGCAGTCCCAGACGGGCCAGGAAACGGCGTGACGGCTTCAGTGGGGGTCGTGGGAAACATGCTGCGAACAAAGGGAATGAGAAAGATGAACGGAAATAGAGCGTGTTGGGATGAAAGAAGTAAAGGGGATAGAAGCACAGAGGAGGAAGGAACGCCCTTGACATGGCTGAGCGTCAACACCATCAACTTCTATTTGATTGAGTAGAGCTGAGTAATGCTTGAGGTCATTTCATCTAGAAAAGACGCACGATGAAGTTTGAAATAATATAACTAATTGGATGGTGGAATCCTAATTTATACCAGAGACCTATCACGGGTACCATACCTCTTTGCCCTAATCTATACCAGCATACTAATACTGTCAGCGAGCGAACAAGGCGATGCCGTCGATCAGTGTAAAATATACTTCATCAGTCAATCTCTGTGAGGACAGAGCTCTTCTCACTGACAGTCTCGAGGTCATCAAATGCCCCCGACATGCTCTTGATGCTGTTGTCACTGGTGACACGCGGCTTGGTGGGAGTGGCATCGACAAGAGCAGCAGCAGCCGCGGCAGCGGTGGCAGCAGACTTCCGCGCCTTCTCGCTCGACTTCTCAACACTTCCACTCGTGCGACGCTTGCTCGTCGAAGGCGGCGTGCACTTCTTTCCAGAAGTTCGGCGAGGCGTTTGGTTATCATCTCCATTCTCCTTGTTATCAGGTCCCTCCTTCCGGCTCTTGACATTGCCGCTTGGACTGACATGCGGTTTGGAAGGCGTGGTTGTTTCCAGCGTGGGATCGGCCGGGGCATTCGATTTCATGCTCGACCCAGAGACTTCCCGGGTGCTGGGCTGCGAGACCTCACGCAGAGCCGAACGGGTAGCAGTACTGGTCCGAGCATAGCTTGCAGTGCGGGCGTCAGCTGCGGCCGAGAGTTTCGTGCCCATTGGTACGATTGCGGACGAGGAAGTCGACGTAACATGACCATCGGGGAGTGTCCTGTTAGGGCTGAGCGTCTGGATCAGCTGGTGATACTGATCGTCATCCATCAGAGCAATGATGCTGGGCTGCTTGCTGTGTTCGTAGCTGATGCCAGTCATGCTGGAGATCGCACGGCTGCCAGACGAGTTTGATCCGGTGTAGTCGGGCATGGGAACGTCTTCGCGAGAGGAACGGGCGCCTCGTTGGCGCCAGGTAACTTCAGAGATATAGGGATCAATCGCAATCGCCGGTCCCGGGTGCGGCGGCTCGTGGTATCCCCCCCATCGCGGGTCTCGCTGATACGGCCACTGCGTCATGGACATGGGAAAGTCCCGACCAGGGGCCCAGGCGTTGTAGACCCTCATTTGGCCACCAATTTGGCCGCTGGAGTGGCTGTTCGTCGTGGCCATGATTTGACCCTGCTTGCTTGGCGAATGAGTATGAGCATCCTCTGGTTCAAACTCGCTGTATCCACTGGCCGAGCTGTACTTGAAGGCATTCCGTGGTGCCGGAGTCCACATCGACGAATTTGGCCAGGCAATGTTGGAGTATTCCAGCACATCTGACATCAGGATAAGAGAGAGAGAAGCAATGAAGGGAATTCTAGAAGCTTACCAATCGGCGCATGCTGAAACGAGAGCGCAATAGCATCCTTCACCCGCTCGAAGGGAGGGTCGCGATGCGGACGAGCGAAACCTTCAGAAATGACCACTCTGATCCTGCCCTGCATGTCCTCGGCATTCCAACCACGCTGTTCGAGTATGTCAGGGTGGAACGGCGGGAATCGTAGGAAGTCTTGGTTGCCATTTCGATCGATGCGCGAGCTGAGGTCTGTCAAACGGATTAGTCCAAGTATGCCAATCTCCCATACAGGGAATCTTACCAATAACATGGGGCCAAGCAGTCCGCTGGCCGAAAATGCTTCCCCTACACCCAAATCAGCATCAGTCCAAACAAAGTCCACTCAGTCCACAGCCCAAAAGGTTAAAACTCACGCGGTGCAAAGCCCATCCACAAAGACTCTCGCTTCAAAGAGCAACAGATCATCCGGCTGCATGAGAGATTCGATAAACCGACTGGGTCGTGGTTTCTCCCATGAATGAATCGAGACTCGGAACGGGGCGTCAGGCGGAAGACTCGGGATAAATGTTGTCAGGATGGGCAGCTGGCCGAAATTTCCCTGGGCGGCGTAGTAAGACGATGGGGTGACAATGCTGGGGGTGTGGAGATAGGGAGATTCTATGTATGCTCGTGGTGTTAGTCTGAATGATTGGAAGAATGCAAGAATCAGGGCAGCAGGGGCCAGCCAACCTCTGTCTTTGGTAACGAAGCACTGGGTTTTGAACTCTTGCATGGGGGTCTTGCACGTCTCCGGGAAGAGGAGCACGTCCCAGTTTTCGTAACGCATGATGATGGACGGAGAGAGGAAGATGAAGGAGAAAGAGAGAGCCGACTGGTCCACACCAGGGCCAGTAGTCACTCCTGCCGTGGAGAGGGAAGGAAGGAAGGAAGTATACAGAGAAGACGCAACAGGGTTTATTGATTACTCCTCATTAAAGCAACAACAGACAAAAGAGGAATCAGAAAGACAGACTGACGCCCACCATCAAATCAATCACTTACGAACAACAAACGGGCAATACGCCTATCCCACAGAACAGGAATCGTGGCTACGACGAGGCCAGCACGAGTCGGATCCAGTTCCTTTCGCCCACAAGGGAAAATTGACGGGCACAGGACAATGCAAGACAGAGAACAAACCACGGCGAAAGAGCTGGGAATCGACAAACGCCGGAGGCGCACGAAACAGAGAGCGTGTTGTACAAGTCAAGTCGTAAGGCAGTCTAACAGAAAGAGAGAAAGAATGAAAACAGACAGAATTCAATTTGGCTGCTTGATGGGAAAGGAAAGACAAAAGGAAAATAAGAGAACGGCGAGGGGGAGATATGAAACTTTTCGCAGAATGCCTACCCAAGGGAGTATAGGGAGAAAAGCATGAAACAATTCAGACGTCCGTTACACGCAAAACACAAAAGGCCCAGGGCGGGAAAACACGAAAGCATCAGACAGAGGGCACGAAACACCAACAACAACAGTACGGATCAGCGGAAATGGGAGAGAAGCTCAGATCTGCTAAATGAAAAAAGCGCTCACGTAGAACGGAATGCGTAGCCCAGAAGAGGAGATGCTCATCAAGAGCTATAGAGCCGAGCCTCGGACAGAAACCAGAGCAAATTTGTTATGACACACAAAGGGAACCATCATTGGGAATGACGCAAACAACTCCTGCTGGTGCTTTCAATTAAAGGGAACGCTTACTGTGGCGAGTGTCAGCCCAAGTCCTTTCAGGTGCGATCCGGTGCCGGGCTGCCTGGGTGACTGCTAACCTTCATCGGAGCGAAACCGCCGTACTGGTGAGCCGGGGGCATGCCCATGGAGGGGTACATCGGGGGCGGCGGGGGAGCCGGGCGGTAGGGGCTGCCGGCCGGGCCGGAGTTGTTCTGCGAACGACCCCAGCTCAGACGGACGCGCGAGTTACCGATGGGGTAGCCCTGCATCTGGTTGATGGCCATCTCGGCGGCGTGGCGCTGGACGAACTGGACGAACCCGCAGCCCTTGCCTGGGGGGATCTTGACGTAGGTGATCTCGCCGAAGCCCTGGAAGAACGAGCGGAGCTCATCCTCGGTAACGTAGCCCGAAAGACCACCGACAAACACCGTGGTGTTGTTGGGGTCGGTGAACTGGTTCATGGGCTGGGGAGCGCCGTAGAAGCCCATGGGGGGACCGCCCATGGGAGGGTACATGCCAGCGGGGCCGGGCATACCACCCATGCCAGCTTGGCCACCGCCAAGAGCCGGGCCCTTGTTCTTCGGGGTCGCGGTGGAGATGCGCATGGGGCGGTTGCCGCAGTAGACACCCTGCATCTCGGTGAGGGCGCGCTGCTGGTCGTTCTCGTCGGAGAAGCGGACGAATCCATAGCCACGGGACATGCCGCTGATGGGGTCGGTCATGATCTTGGCGGACTTGCAGGACGGGAAGCGGCTCTGGAAGAGCGAAACGAGAACGTATTCGTTAACCTCCGGGCCGAGATCACCGACAAAGATGGAGTACTCGGGGCCACGGTCATCGCGGCTAGAAGGTGGGTTAGTAATTGCATGGGAGATGATCAAGAGCATGCTCACCTGCGGTCGGCAAGGCCGCCGCCAGTCGCCCAGTTCAGCTTGAAAACCCGGTTGGTGTTAGGCATGGGGGTGCCGTTCAGAGAGAGGGCCTTGGCGGCGGCAGCCGCAGAGGCAAAGTCCACGAAGCAGTAGCCAGCATTGCTCCTACTACCAACATTAGGATCATTTGGGACACTTTTGAAGAGAAGGGTCAGGTCCTACCCAGAGAACTTGTCACGGATCATCTTGACGTTGACCTGCTCACCCATCTGGAACCACAGGTTGCGGATGAAGTTCTCATCAATCCAGGGCTCGAGCTCACCCATCCAGAGAGTGGTCTTGCCATCGGCACCCTGCTGGGGCACGGCGCCAGCGGCCGGCTCACCAGGAGCAGGACCCTGGAAGCCAGCGGCCGCGGGGTCAGTCTGACCGGTCATGGTGGTGTCGGCAGGGGCCGGAGCACCAGCAGCGGCAGCACCGCCGTCGGCCTGGTTCGGGAAGGAATCGAAGTTCTGGAACGACATTTTGGCGAAGAGATCAAGAAAATCGACGTAACGATAGAAGGCGACTAAGACTTCGTAGGGTCGTTAAGGAAGGACCGGCGTAAGATTGAAGAACCCGGAAAAAAACAGACGCGGAGCGCGAGGTTTCCTGCAAAAAGGCTAATGTTAGAAAAAGATGGGTATGAAAGAAAATGAGAAAATGTTGTGGAGCGGGCTCGTCGGGAACCCCAGCACATTCAAGGCAAAGATCGCAGCGCCAGATCCGAGCTCAGCCGCAGGGTGCATTGTCACGCCGGAAATCGCCAAGGCCAGTCTTCAGGAACATCGTGTACGGGGCCGTCGTCGATCGGAGATTTCGAGGGCGATCGCATCGCCTGGCAACGCGCGATTAGGTTGTTCGATTCGAATGCGCGAGACCCATCTCTCCCCCGTTCCGGCTCGCCGCCCACCCGCAATCGCCATGCGCACACCGTTTTCGGCCAAATCCATTCCCATATCGGCGCGATTCCGCCATCTCCATCTCCGATCCTCGAATTCCTCAAAAATCGTGGGGCGCATCACGCGGCAAGCTGAGAGTGGGTGCTTCCACGATGGCGACGAGTGCAGCAAGACGAGTCCTGGACGGTGGTGGATGGAGCGCGACTCCGCGACCGGGCGAGCGAAGCGACGGCGCGGTGTTCCTGACGCTGGCGATGATTTGGAAGTGCAGACAAGCGATTGCGTGGCTGAGAATCGAACCGAACACTGCGATCAAGCTATTCGGTCGTGTGTGCTGAGCGGGTTGTTGGGGCGTTGCGCCCGCACGCTGGCGATGATGAACCCGGACAGCGACTCCGGGGGATGAGGGGCAGGAAGGACGACCGGGGGACAGTGATGAAGGGGCACCGGACGATGCGACTGATGATGGGGACGCGAGAGACTCACCCAGATAAAGCTACCGTGGATTTCCGCCGAAAGAGACGAGATGCGACGACGAAGGGCGAGGAGAAGCTAAACAGCAAAGACAAACTCCCGAGCGAAAAAAACGGCAGGACGACAGAAACGAAATCCGCAAACCGTGAATAATGAAACGAGAAAAAGGGAGAGAGGGGTGAGAGAAGGAAAGAGGAAAGAAGAAGAAGAGAAGAAGAGGGGCAGAAGAATGGAAATCTCAGGCTGTAACAATACCGTACACCCCGTAAACTACTATGTATAATCATGAAGGCCCTCTTGTTTTCTACTGCGATCTCTATCGTATTGAATCCTATTATTACTCCTATTATTACTATTCCCGAATCCATCCTCCTGTAGCTCGCTCTCCCTATGCAAGGATACCTCTCCTGTCGCGGCCCCGACAGAATCTGACTCGTCACTTTTCCTGGAATCGATCACCGCTGGGCTGAGGTAATCGTGCCGTTCGCAGGCTGCAGCTGAAGAGAGGAACAAACGGAACAGACGACTCCACCACACGCCACGGAACCATGGAAAGACCCAAATAATCAACCCGGGCAAGCCTACCTACCCAAGCTTCCTCGAGGCAAGGTTTTTGGTGCTGTCTGGTGGGATTTCTCGGGTCACCGCAGTGCAGCCCACGAAGCAAGGACGCCGTTGTTTGTGCTTCGGCATCGAGATACGTCACGTCACAGGCCTTGGCTCAGCCGGGTGGCCGACTCCATCATCGACCAGAACCAGAACCATGGGAGTGCGGGAGGCCGTCCCAGCCTGCTTATTGGCTGGGCTGGATGGGCCGATGGCTCGTATTAGAATTACGGCCCAAGCAGAGATTTCGCACTCCATCTTCAGCTTCTTGTCAACAGTCGTAGAAAGCTGTCAGGATGATTGACGGACTGCGAAGAGGAGCAAGGGGGTGGTGAGAGGATCAGTTGATCTCCTCCGGTTGCATAACGGCACACCTTGCATGGCTCCCTCAGTAGATATCCCTATGTCCCCGTCTGTGCTGGATAACACAACCGTGATGACCTGCCCAATGATCTACCCAACACCCCCGAACCATGGAAAGCAGCCCCGAGCTGGCCCCAACAACGACGACAACCACCGATGCTCGGAGAAGCTCCCAGAAACAATGACTGATGCGAGGCATTATTATTCCTCGGCAGGCGGACATCACTAGCCGACCTAGCCTTGGGGCGGAGCAGAGTAGGGTAGCGTAGGATCCACTTTCAGGGCTCAGCCCATTATTATGTATTGTGATAGTTATGAGTGCATCAGTTGGAATATAGGAAGTTTCATACAGTGATGTATAAAAGGACGGTACCATTACTTCAAGATTGGCTGCCTGATTGAGCTTATAAAAGACCAGATACCCAGTATCTGCAGCCAGCATGGTTTCTCCGTGGACATCATGTGATTGGCCTGGAAGTATACCAGGACACAGCTAACATTTCCCAAATGTTGTGGCAGAGCCTGGTGTTCTGTTCGATTGGCTCATACTCAACAAGCAGTCTCACATTCCGGTGACGATCCTGGCCATCCGTTTAGCCCTAGATCCCCGATGGGCTGCGGTACTGGGAAATCCTCTGCTGCCACAGCTACGCCAGGCCCTTCCAAACTTCTCTCCGATTAGGACCGTCAACGAGGTCTACAAAGAGAATGTTCTGAACACCTTTCCGATGGATGCTGCTCTTGGACCCGGTCCGATCTCCCGCGCCTTCGTGTGTATCCATCCTCCAGGACAACACCACTGGTCCGCCCTCTGGCTGTTGCTAGAAATTGTTTGAGAACTTGGGTAATCCGGACGATTCTGTTATTGAGGCGTTGCAACTGTCTATTCGACATCGCCAAAACCTGGTGATCATCTGGAACCGAGTGCCGCGCCCAGCTCGAGAGGAATTTAAATTCAACTGAATCTGCTAACTAACGACATGGAAGAAATACAAATAGCCCCATTTCACCTTGGAAGATGTAGCATTTACGCCTGCATAAAAAGAAAAAAGCAAGTCCCACGTCATTTCAGACTGGAAAAGTAGACAGCAATGCGCTGCAAAGGAGTCCCAACTCAATGAAGGTACAAGTAGATGTTAGGGTTGCGGCTCTGGGCACCATTCAGAATGCACTGCTTCAGACACCAGTAATAGAAATACTGGGTGCTATGTCAAGGCGATAATGTTAGAAAAGAAGACCAGCAGATGTCTACCTCGAAGAACGACAAAGAAAGGAAAGGGAAAGGGAAAGTCCGCCCAACACTCCGAAGAATGCTTACTGAGTCTCGTTCGAAAAGACGTTATCCCCCAGCAGGGTAATGGTCTTGACGTAGACGGCGCTCGACTCAAGATACCAGCGACTCACCCCGCCATTCGAATTAAAATCGAGCTTGCGGTCACGGTCGTAGAAGTCGATTTCGTCCTGGGATGCGTCCGGGAAGTCCAGGCGGGGGTCATAGAGCTCCTCGGCCTGGTTATCGGGGAGGCGCGACATGACAGTGGCGCGACCTCGCTCGGCCACGCTCCGGATGCGAACCCTCAGCGTCTGGTTCACCAGGGGCTGCCCGGATTCGCTGCCGGGTAGGGGGTCGCCGGTGAGAGGGTGCACGCCTGTAATTAGGGCGGAGAAGACCACGTCAAGTTTGTTGAACAGCCACAGGGTGTGGTAGCTGTCGAAGCAGAAGTACTTGAGATACGCAGTGCACTGATCGGCGACGCCGAGCAAGGGCCAGATTTGGAGAGAAGCTGGACACGTATATTCCCATCAGCAACGAAGGAAGTTATCAGTGGATACATGCGAAGAAGGCTTACCGGTTCCACAGGCCCAGATCTTGTCAATGACCTTGTCCATATCCAGCGCCAGTTCCTTGTAGGTTTCGTAGGCGCGCTGAGACGGCGGGGCGTTGGGAACACGAATACCCAGTCTGGTCTTCGAAGCGCGATAGATGACTTTCTCAATTTCCTTTTCGAGGCGGTTCCGCGTCTGGGTCTCCTCGTCCGAGCCCGCTGGGATAGGCTGCTCCCGCTGGGGCGGGAGGGAGATGGGCTTGGCTACCCACATGTCTCCCGGCGGGAAGTCGGGCGGAGGCCGAACAGGGTGTGTATCCGAGCTGGTCGGATGCATCTTCAGGGTCAGGAAAGGATCTGTCATGATGTTGACATCGGGATTGTTCGGCACGTGCTTATGTCTGATGGGCACGTCCTCCCACGCCAGGTCCTCCTCGGAGTCGTGGGTTTCCGACATTTCGAGAGAAATGAATTAAGCAGATGAGAAGGATGCGAGAGTCGAGAGAAGAGCAATGTGTCTATGCAGTCAAAATGAATAGATTGTCGTGCGCTTCGTCAGCGCCGAGGATGTCGTTGATCGAGTGCCTCAGGCCGTGTGGGAGCCCTAACCCCGACAACTAGATGCCATTTTGAGATCAGGTGATAACAGGAGTTCTGAATTATCTTTGACGCTCTGTGAATTATTGACGGGCAGTGTGAGGGTTAGTTCCTCTATGTCATGATGCAGGAAGTGTAGTTGGTTGGCGGCGGTGAAGATGTCATGCCAAGCCTAGCTCCTCATTGGTCTGTGCGGGAGTGCCAGAGTATAGATTTTAGGTGAATAACATCATGTTCATTGACTGATAGTATGTAGTAGTGACAGGAGATAAAATAGACACAATAGAACCGAAGTATGTGAACTAGCAAACCATTAGTATATGCCACAAATAAGATTCTGTCGCCAAAACGCAATGTAGACTCCAGGTCAGACAAGGTGAGAAGATTGGAATAATCGCTGGTGTTTGCAGGCATGGCATGACAGCGCACACGGCGCGTCTTGCTACTCTGGCCCCAGCGGACTCATCCTTGGAGATTTAACAGGAACGGGGAAAAAAAAAGAATGACTTACTCATACGCAGCTAAACACCCTAAACGCCATCCATGCCAAATAGCACACCTCACTCAGGCTGCACAGACTGGTTAGTACCTGCAGAATGAACAAGAGAAAGAAAGACTTACCCTGATCTTTCCCCTCCGGTCCTTGATATCCCGCAACTTCCGCTTATCCTCGTCAAACCGCCGAAGCAACTCATTCTGCCTTGCCTTCCTCTTCTCCCTAGACTGGAACCGATAAAAGTCCTCCAGACCCGCATTCTTCTGCTTCTGCTTCTCGATCAACTCCTTGACCTCATCCTCACGCGCAACAGAGTTCAACTTCGGTCCATGCGTGACAGTGACGAATCCATCCTCGTCTGGCTCCTGGGTCTTCTTCATTTCCTCGCGCTTCCGCGCCTCAGAGACCTCTGCGAAGGCGGTCATGTACTCGTTCACTGTGCGCAGCAGCGTCGCGCGATCGGGGTACCGCATGCGCTCGTGACTCGAATACCGGTGCGACCCGAGCTCGGGCACGCGGTCCTCTGGGATTCCATCACCCCAGATGATCTTCGGCCCCCGTTTGCCTGCTTTCGCCGCGGCTTTAAGGCTAGATTCCATGCTGGGTTTGTCGGCGAAGACGACGATGGCGTGTGCGCCGCTCTTTTGAAGCCGCCGGTTCCAGGTGGAGGGGAGAGTGATGCTGTCTAGGGTGGACTGGAGGTCGTCGGCCGTGATGCGCTTGCGTTTCTTGTTGCGGTGCGAGAGTTTGCCCTCCGTGGCGGCTTCGGCGGAGTGCTTTTTCGTCGGCACATCTTCGAAATGCACCCTCTCAACGCGACCGGCGGATAATTGTGTTCCGAACAGATGGCGCAGATGTGTTTCTGTTGTGTCGATGGGAATATTGACGACGAAGAGCGACCGAGAGGAATCTGGGTCGGGGATGCGAGGCTCGTGGGGGCGCAGGTAGAGATAATGGGTTGCCGACTTGGGGAATGTGCGAGTTTCTGGGAAAAGCAGGGGGAGGGTGGTATACCCTGCTATCTCCACGGATTCTCCCTTCATTTTTGGTTTGGGAGTGGTTCGTTGTTGAGGCGAGCAGCTTTTTTTCTGCGGCAAAATTCTGCCTGTCTATGGACGGAGCGGAAGTCAAGGCGGTGGATCCATCAACATCTATGTTAGGGCTTGCAAGGCCCTACTATGCTTCTGGAATAAGTAAAAGATACATTGAATTGGTGTAAAAATACAGGATTGGCAATCATCTTGGAAAATAAAAAATAAATCACAGCAGTTGCAACCGCTACTCCCTTCAGAAATTCAGATCGATCATCCATCCATCCGTCGTCACATCTTGTCAGGATCATTGATGCCTCCGTTCGTGATCACGTAGGTGGCCTCTCGCTCAGGGCAATCTGGGAAGGATCAATAAATGACAGTACTCAACACCGGTGATCTTACCAGGGGAATCCTGGATTTTAGCCACCCGCTCGTCGCCTCGGCCTTTGCGGAGCAGAACTCGGGTCGTGGAGGCATGGGCAAGAACGTGTCCACCAACAGGCTTGCGGCCATCGGCTCCAGCAAAGAGGGAACTTGCACCAGGGTCACTCTGGACTTGGTTCGTCTGGGACAAATCTCAGTAATATGATCTGAGAAGGTAAATGGGAAATCAGAAACAACCATCAGAACACAGATATTGAATTCTGCAAGTAGAGTAAGCAAGCACCCAAGAAAGACTCATGAGGTTTCCGAGAGAATTCACCTTCAGCCATATGTGCCAGCTTCATCAGAAACTGATTCAGCTTCTGCTGTCGATCCGCCAACTCGCCGCGTCCACAGAAATCCACCCGGAAACAATTCATAATGCTATCAATGATCAGCAGACGATACTCGCCCGCGGCAAACTCGCGACTGAGCATATTGAGCAGCTCCAGCTGGTGCTCGCTGTTGAGCGCGCGCGCGTACGCGATATTCTCCTGCGCCATGTCCGGGTCGATGCTGAAGCGCTCGGCGATTTGAGCAATGCGTTCAGGCCGGAACGTGCCCTCCGTGTCGATGTACGCGACTTTGCCCTCCGCGCCGCCCATTTCCTTGGGCAGCTGCACGACTACGGACATGGTGTGCGAGAGCTGGGTTTTGCCACAGCGGAATTCGCCGAAGACTTCGCTGATGCTCATGCTTTGGAAGCCGCTGGAGATTGTGTTAAGAGACGATCGTGCAGGGAGTTGGGTGATATATTCACCCTCCGAGGATCGAGTCAAACTGCTTGCTCCCAGTTGAGATGCGCACGACTTTCTTCCGCTGGTGCAGCAATTCCATGGCTGTGATGAACCCCGACGCAGACGGCTATACCGTATCAGAAACTTTGTACCTGACATTTTTGGGATACGGGGGCAATTGACCAGGCACTTCTGAATTGCCTCCTTGATCTTTTCGACCTTGATCTCGCTGAAACCCTTGATCTTCATGAGTGTCTTGCGCGTGGCGCCGTGGACGGACTGAAGCGTGCGTCAGGATGGCAGGGTGCATTCCACTTGACTGGGGATATACTTACTGCGACAGTGTAGAAGCCATTGGCTTTCAGCTTGGTGATATCAGCTGCGCCGATGCCGTGGGCTTGGATGCTGTCGATGTCCACGATGAAGCTCTGTGCAGCCTGTGTTAGATAACTGATGGGTTGGGGATGGATAGAGGAAGGGGGATGTACCTCATCGTTGAAATCGTCGTTGGAGTCGGAGTCTGGCATTTTGATTGATGGGACGGGAGGAATGGATGAAAAGAGATGGGATTGGGAATGATGGGAAGGGAAGAAGGGAAAAGGGTGTGTATCGAGAGACACCAAGTCACGGGGACTTGACTACTGTATAGAAATATAAAAAGTAAACTCATGGAAATTCGTTGGATTCGCGCTTCGAATGATCTCAGCCAGGACATCTGCCCGTCACCCATCTGGATACAAAACACACATGCCATTCATCATTCGCTTTCTCTCTCCACACATCATTCCCCACCCGATCTGCTCGTGCTCCTCTCGTTGTTGCTGCTGCTCTCTTTCTCTTCTCTCTCTCTCTTCCTCGCTCTCGCTCTCTCGTTCCTTGGCCCATTCGGGGGAATCGCAACCAATCAGAGGGTAAGAAGGGTGTTTTATAGTTCATCAAAATCGAGAAAGATCATCCGGAGAAACAATCGACAAAAGACGCCAATTCGTAAGACGGGACCCTGCGGAGAAGAGGGACATCATAACAGAACAGAAAGACTTTTCCTTGTTCGTCGTATACATAAAAAAAAAGATTCAATCAAAGCCAAGACCGTCCCAAGAGGGGGTGGGGTTTTTAAAAATATGCACAGGAAGAAATAACGGGTGGAGAGAAAGTCGCGCTCGTTTTGGAGGAAGAAGTAAGGACCGACCGGGGCGTTGAAGGCAATGTGGATCGTAATACAGAATAATCAGGTGAAGGAAATGGGAATCCGGGCGATTCCAGGAGGAGACAAGGTCGGAACCCGCGCGTTTATGCGACGGCGGTGGTGGGAGCCGCGACCGCAACGGGGGCAGCCTCGGTGCTGGCCTCAGCGGCGGTGGCAGCAGCAGGGGCAGCAGCAGCAGGAGCAACAGGGGCAGCGACAGGGGTAACAGCAGCGGCAGCATCAACGGGAGGCTGGGCGGCGGCCTCGTTGGTCGGGCAGTCGCGAGAAATGTGGCCGGCCTGGGCGCACTTGTAGCAGACCTTGCCGGCGGAGCTGAGGGGGGCCACCGTTGGGAGCAGTGCAGTCCCGGGAGATGTGGCCCAGCTTACCGCAGGCGTAGCACTTCATGGCCTGGGCCTGGCAGTCCCGGGCGAAGTGGTTGGGGCCACCGCACTTGTAGCAAGTCGCGGCGCGAGGGTAGCCACCCTGGAAGCCGCCGCGGAAACCACCCTGGAAACGAGGGCCCGCGGGGCGGCCAGCACCAGCACCGGGAGCGGCCGGGTTGGGGCAGTTGCGCTGGGCTTGGAATTAGCATTGCACTGGATATATGGGAATATGATTCAACGTACAGCGAGGTGGCCGGGCTGGTTGCAGTTGTAGCAGCGGCCATTGGCACCACCGTTCACGCGGAGCGTGGGGCAGTCAGCCTGAACGTGGCCGAGACCCTGGCAGTTGTAGCACTGCTTGGCTGGAGGATTGTCAGACGGAGTCATTGATAAACAGAAGAAGAGAATGCTTACTCTCGGTCGTGCGAGGACGAGGGCAGCTGCTGGACTCATGGCCAGGCTGCTTGCAGTTGTAGCAGAGACGCTCCGAGGACGAGCAGACCTCTACACAGAGATTAGTCTGAGGCGCTGATGAGAGGTACCCTTCAATACTAACCCGCATAGTGGCCGATATTGCCACACTTGTAGCACGCGCGACGGGACAACATCATCTTGTCGAGAATCTACCCAGGACGAGAGTCAGCACTGGATGACCAGTCGAGTATCGCCATATCCATCCGCGCCCTTCCGCTCAAGTCCACTTGGATGGGATCCATGCTCGGCATCACGCTCATCGCCGTGGTAGATGGATGACAGGAAGCATCACCGATGCAGGGACCGAGGGCGGGCGAAACGGCCGATCCGCGGGGTTAAAAAAGCAGAGCGACAGGACGAAACGAGCAGCGTGGAGGGTACTCACTCAGCCTTTCCTAAACAAATCAGAGTCGATCTCTTGAAGTCAGGTCAGCAATCAGAATAATGAGAACCTTGGGGTCAAAAGAAAAACGAGCATGTTCTGGCCAGCCCACCGACACCAAAATAAATTTGCACAAAAAAAAAAAAAAAAAAAAAAAGAAAAAGCGGGCTGGCAACACTCAAACGCACAAAAAAAGCCGGATGGACTTACAACACAACAACCAGAAGGAAAACCACTTCTCAGCACTCACACACCGGGCCAGCAGAGAGAATCGATCAAGAGAATTGGATTGCAGGGAAGCCGAGAGATGACAAGCGAAGACGAGGGAAATGGTGGGCGCGTGCAAACCAGGCAAACCGCCGTTTAGCTCCCGGGCCTTTCCGTATTGCCTAAGGCGAGCTACCTATATAGAGACGACTACGACCAGGCGATAGTTATACTACGAGACTCTTGATAGGTAGAGCTTTAGGTAGAGTTCGGGAAAAGGAGAAGTATTTCTGACCCTGCATTCCGGGATCTCCCAGAAATGGCAGTGGTAGATCCATTCCAGAGCAATACAATCATTCATTTCTTGCTTTCATTTCTTTGTAACAGCACAGCAGTTGTATACCAATCGAGATGTCCCCCCGGTATGCTAAGCCAGACATTGCTTCCGAGACGACGCCGTTTTTCAAGGTGGTCGGTTTTACTCCTCCTTCTCCAGGATCGCCGGGGCCTTGATCTCCCGCCCGCGAAGAAATTCGAGGTTCTCGCCGCCCTAGCACGAGTCAGTATGATCAGATAATCGGATGGGGGAGGGCCATTCATCACGGTAACATACGTAGCTAATCAGCGGGGACACCTCCACCCCGAACGCATCTCCCTCCGTAATCACCACACCGCCGGCCTTCTCAACCCACCGCTGTCCCTGCTTCATGATGTCGGCCCGGCTGGTGTCCGGGTCATCTTGACCCGTGCCGCGTGCGTTCTTCAGCGGAGAAAACTCCTCCTCGCGCAGAACTTCGAGGCATGCAAACTTATCCAGGGGAGTCAGGGGGAACACGTCAAAGACGAATTGTTCCAGCTTGACGCCATTCGGCTTCTCAGGCTTGACCGCGTCGCCAGTGTCCGTATCGAGACAGGGAATCTTCTTGCGCGCCACGTGGTGCGGCAGCTTGTGCGCCCAGTTCTCAACGGACTCGAGGAAGCGGAAGCTGTAGCAGTGGTTGACGATATTTGCGGCGCGGTACTTGAGCACATCCGGTTGCTTGGGGTCCTTAGCCTCGGCGGTTTCCTTGTCAATTTCCGAGTATTCGACCACGTCTGGCTTGCCGTTCTTCTGCAGGATCAGGCCCACGGACTCGGTTGCGTTGCGCTTCCGCACCACCTTCGTGGCAATGTCCACGTCCTTGGACGCGGCGAATCCAATAAACACGGGGTCGGCCACCTTGACCAGGCAGTTGTCCACCCCGTAGACGTGAATGTGCTGGATGCCTCGGCGGCGCATGTCCTCGCGTGCGCCGGAGGTCAGGATGGCTTGGTAAATACCGCCGTTGCCGTCAGGAGCCACAGCAACCTAGAGGCATGTGTCAGAGCTTGCTGGGATTGCACAGGATCGCACTCACCTTAGTCTTGCTCTCCATCATAATCTTGCCCTCGTTAGAGATACACGGGAGCACGCCCTGCTCAAAGACAAACACGTTCTTCTTATCCAGGCCAAAGAAATTATTTTTCGCAAAAAACTCCTCTGTAGGCTTCCGCGTCGGCCCACTGGTCATGATATACCAGGGGATGGTCGACTGCGCAACGCCATGAGTCTTCTGCGCCAGGGACTGCAGCTTCGCAATCCGCTCCGCCTGCAACTGGAACAGGGACTTCTGGCTCAGCAGCCCGATATCGAAGCAACCCTTGGGCGCCGAGCTGCCCAGACGGGTGCCCTGCCCACCGGCCATGAGCACGACCGCCACGGTGTTCTGGGAGACCTGCTTCAAGCCCTCGTCATACCATTTCTGGAGATCGGCGGGGTCGGAGTCGAGGATCGACGCAGTCGCCACATCGGGAAGGGGCTCCAGCGAGGCGGCGGTCTGTTCGGCGGTGGTGGGGGGAGGGTTGAGGGCGGTGGTGGCCAGCTCGTTGATGCGGGTGGGGTTGAAGGTGGCCAGCTGGTGGAAGAGCCGGGACTTCTCGACGGGGCTCAATTCGTCGAAGAAGGCAAAGACATGCCCTTGGCCGGCGTCGGAGTACTGCTTCTGGAGCGTCTGCAGTTCTTCAGCGGAGGGTTCGCGGGGCGCATCCTCGGCGGGGCCTTGGAACTTTTCGATCAACTGGGAGACAGTCTCCTTGATGGCTGCCATGATGGCTTATTAACGAAAGTGGAAACTTGGAGACACGGAGGTAGTTAAACAAAGGAAAGGAGAGGGAGGTGAAGGTCGAGTAAGGTATGTAGTAGGTAGGATCGGTGTAAGGGGGAAAAGAAGGAAGGAAGAGTGGCAAGTAAATTAATCGCGGAGAAGCTCAGCTCCCTAACCGGGCTTAGTTAACTAGTTTGAAGAATGAATGGGTAAAAATAACTTGAGTGTCTGAGACATGTTCGAGTCTTCATTGGGTATTCCGCCCGGCCAGCGGGGCCTGATCCAGAATTTTTCTTTTCCCTGTTTGGGGTACCAGGTATACAAGGTACAGACAGAATCTAGTATAGTTACATTTTTCTACCGCTTGTGCTGTCGCTTATCCCAGTAGCGATCTCGATCCCGATCTTGATCTCTGCGCGAGTTCCGCCCAGGACTCCGACTGTACGATCGCCGTCGGTGATCATCTCGTCGTCGAGGACTACGACTCCGTCGCCGATCGCGACGAGAATCGCGGCGAGGACTGCGGTCAGGACGGCCTTCACGACGTTCGGATTGTTGTTGCTGTTGCTGTTCCCGGCGGCGTCGGTCAAAGACCATCCCGTACCCGTCCTCTTTATCCTCATCTGCGTGGGCATCATCCAATGCCCGGTATTGCCGTTTCTTTTCCAGGTCGGCCACACCTCCGAAGCCGCCTCGTTGTCGGCGCTTCGAGACGGTAGCATTTCGCCAGCTTTCGGACAGTTTGGAAACCTGTTGGCGTGTGAGCAGAATCCTTGAAAGGAGATAGATAGAGCGGGGACGTACACTCTGTGAGAAGTCCACATGTATCCGATGGTCATCAATGAGGACTCCTTGCATCTTGAAATAGGCTTGTTCACAGTCCTTCTGGTTTTCAAACTCAATGAAGGCATACTGTAAGCTATCACCGGTGCGCTTGTCCCGGATGACCTCGCAAGACAGGATTTGCCCAAAGCGGCTGAAGATTAAATGGAGATCCTCATCTATAGAATGGCCATTAGTAGACCGCAACAGACAGGGCAAGTAAAACAACATACCTTGTGTGACCGGGTTCAACTTGCATACAAAAAGGATATTCTCGGGGGGTTTGACCTCAGCGAAGGGAAGATCTCCCACCATTTCCAAGGTCAGCGCCTGCGCACGGGCTTCGCGCTCTCGGCGCAATTTCTCCATTGCATCCTCGTCCATGTTATCGTCTAAATCCTCATCGTCTGCGATCCTCACCGTGGCCAGCTGGGCCTTGGATGGCAGGGGGCTCTCGGGCGGTTCCACCAGGCCTGACGGATCCTCGAACGGATCGTCGAGCACAACAGTGTGGCGAATCCGGATATCTTTCAATGGTCGGCCCCGGTCGTCGATGAAGGAGTCATTGATCTTTTCCAGCACGTCGAATCCCTCCACGACCTTGCCGAAAATGGCGGCCTTCCCATCCAGATAATCAAGATTGTCACCCAGCGTAATCAGAAACTGGCTCCCCGCTAGTCGCTGGTCTGGGTCGTTCGTTGCTGGGACGGTCGCCAGGCTGACGGTGCCGCGTTCGGTGTGTTTCAATTTCGGGGGGAGCTCGACTGGGAAGGTTCTCTTGGCTGGACCGTCCAGCACACCCCAGATGGAAGACCCGCCATCGCTTTCGGGGGCATCCGGGCCTAGGGGGTCACCTGTTTGGAAGGAGAAGTTCTTCTGGACGCTGTGGATGGGCGAGAAGTTGTAGTATTTGACCTTGCAGAGCTTCAGAAAACTGCGGTTGTCAGTGTTAGCCAGTCAATGCGGCAGGCACAGGCAGGGTCACTCACTTCTCACAAGCCTTGGGCGACTCGTCGACCAGCAGGTCAATGACGATGTCCCCCAATGAGGTCTCCAGCAGCGCGCTCATAATCGTGGCGTGGGTTGCGATCAGTCGCGTGTTGGAAGTGAGAAAGTGATCAGCCGCCAATCAGCGTCATCAACGGTGAGCCCTCTATACCACACCCTATGTCTCCCTATAATTCTACACCAATCTATACTATACTCATTCCTGTCCGTAACCCTAAGCCAAGTCCAAGTACATTACCTACTTGAGTGAGTTACCTAAGTTAGTTAACTAGTTAGTTAACTATAGAAATGCGTCCACTGCATTACTCATTCCCAGTCAGGGCAAGATTCCTCGGATGATCGACCCGGTGCCTCTCTGTGCAACGCTCCCTTGTCAATCGAGCGGCATATCTTCCGAGCGTCCCCGTTGGATCATTGAGTATTAAGGGGTTGACCTGGGGCTGTTTGCTGCGCTCACCGGCTTCTCAGAAAGGGAACGAGGCCAATGCAGCAGCAGGCCCAGCCAAAAGAGCTAGAACGTCGGCCTCTTCTTCTTCCCCGGACCAGACACCGCTGGTGAGTTTCACCGGCTGTTCCACCGCAGAGCAAGACGTTGGGGCAGCAAAACGGGCGGCCTCCTGCAGCAGGACCCAACGGCATCTCATCGCTGGGCCTCGTGGATGTGATGGGATGAGATCCCATCTCCCCTTTTGGCCATCGCTCGATGCCATTCTTCCTGCCGATCAGGCTGCTCGGTCTCAATCTCAACACGAGTCAGCTGGCTTGCCACTCGAAGTGTCGTGCATCGTCAGACCGTGAGTGGCGTGGTTGGAACTCGTCCATTGAGAATGGTCCTCTTCCCTTCCCCACGGACCCAGAGGACCATCCAGATACGATCCCGTGTGATTTTCTTCCCCGTGGAGCGAGAGGTTCCTGTGCGAGGGTCGTAAATTATTCTGATTTTTGGTTTCTCATCGCATGCCCCTGTTTGGCCATCCTTGTGGCCGAAGCAAAAACAAAGGAAACCTGGGAAAAAGGCCGCATAGACCCTACAAGACATAGTGGAAGATCGTGATCCGCATTCGATCAAGCGCGGAAAATCAAATCAAAGACTTCCGACTAGCGGCTCTAGTGGCCAGAGCAGATTGGATGTATCCTAGACGCGCTGGGATGATTGCTTCTTTTCTGTCGTTTCCGTTTCCATCGAGCTGCACCGCGGCGGCGGAAACGCTAGAGCAGCGACCAGGCTGATCTACTGATCGACGACATGGATGTGTCGTCGATCAGGACCGCAACCTTATAGATCCCTGCTAGCTGCGCTTTTTTAAAGCGCGCTTCGCGGAGGTCAAAAGTACCTAACTACCTGAAGGAAATGACAGGTGCCAGAAAAAAAGAAGCGTGCCAATTATTTATCCACCTATTGGTGAAATGATAAGACATGGCAAACTTCCAGCCCCCCCTCAACACTCCGAGACATTACGAAGAGAGAGAAAAGAAGACAAGCGGCGTTTGTTGTCTTGATGGGCGCTTGTTCCAGACTTACCCCCAATTAACCTCAGTCCTTTTCTCCTTTTCCCCGTGTCTGGGCCGATCTCGGGCTGCTTTAGGGCTTTTTGTTGGTCTGTTTGGCCTGGCCCGACCCCAGAAAAGCCGGAGTTGCAGCAGCCACACCAATCAGTGTCTGGACTGGCTTCCCCGATCCAGCCAGGTAGCAAACATTCACCCATTTTCTGGATCTTCGCCTCTATCGGTCCACTGGCGTCGGAAGGAGTAGACCCGGATCGGCTTCTGGGTCCTTTTTGCAAACGTAGGGCGGCAGTTGTCCGCCGCTATCCACTCCAACCTGGCCAGAAGTATTATATGTGTAAGTAAATAATGTGGGAGTTAATCTGACGGTAGCAAAAAAAAGGAGAAGAGCAGCTGGAGAAGATTCTGAAACATTCGCCAGCAGTGAGAAGACTCCAATCTCCCCGGCTGGACTCTCGTCATGATGGGTTATCAGGTCATGTCCCTCCGTGTGACGTTACGTTGTGAAACCAAGTCTCTAAAACGCCCGGGACACTCCTGCTGCTGGTCTTTCATCATCATGCCTATCTCTCTCTCCTCTCTCTCCAGGCCGGGGAATCTGGCTTGGGGTTACCGCGGAACTCTGCATATCATTTCCCCTGGGTACAACAATAGCGAAGGCAAAAAGAAAGAAAAAATTACGAAACGGTGGACACGAAATAAATAAACGTTCTGACCAAAGCACTCTCCCATTGGTACTTTTGGCTCCCTGTATGTACTGGGTGCGTACGCCTCCCAATCCATGGGTTCTCCCCTCTCTACTGATCAGTAAATGGACGGATTGAGATAGGCATAGGCAAGAATTTTAGAAAATAATAATAATAAAATTGAGGCGGAAAAAAAAATTATCAGGGGCAACAACAGCGACCTACACACCGATTGTTATTAAAACATGCCTTAAGTCTAGCCCTACATCCAGCAGAGACAACTTCCTACCTGGCTTTAATTTTTCTCTTTCTTTCTTTCACTCTCAGGAAAATACCCAGATATGCTCACTACTCCCTTATAGCTTTCTGTTTTATACTCTCGAGGCATCTGTTGAAAAGACCATAGACAGCTGTTTATCAAGCGGTATACTTTGAAGCTTTCTCGCACAAACTGGATCCAGCTGACCCATTCAGCAGGATATGGCTCATCCGTACTATTCTGAGAGAGTCGGTCTTACTCAAGACTCGTCCCTTTCTGGTCCTCGTTCGATGCGGAGAATAAACCATCATGAGCTGAGTGATCGGCGCAACAGCAACTGCATCAGTCCCGTAGCCGAGTTGGACAGCAAGGTTCGCAACCCCCAGAGACGGCGGGTTCCTGTCGCAGTAAGTGATTTTCCATCCACAAATCAGGTTTAGTACTCACACTCCGTAGTGTGGCCGGTGCCGACGGAGAAAGATCAAATGCAGCGGTGACAACGGCGACGGTCATGCCTGCTCCAACTGCCGGAGTGCTGGCAATACGGACTGCCAGTTCTTGCGAGTAAGTCTGTATTCTCCAAAGCAACGGGACTTGTAAGCTAATGGTCGGCCAGATGAAAGCCAAGACGTTCAATGAGATGCATGAGATGCTTGTCACTTCCAATGAATGGCAATATTCCATAGGATCCTCGATTGCGCCCTCGCCCCGGCTAGGGATATACGCAGCTCACGCACCAGGCAAACCCACACTTCTCTCGATGGGCTCGCCCCAGACACGGATGGCTGGACTTGCTCATCCGGCCGAATACGACGCGGGCGCAGTCAACCAGCATGGGTTCCCGCGCTTGTCAGTTGGCGCAGACCATTCTCTTCACTACGACGACGAGCAGTCTGCCAACTACAGCGCTCACTCACAGCAGAACATGCTGCCCAGCAATATAATGGACTACGGGGCGTCAGCATGGAGTCCCAAGGCATGGAACTCCATGTTCAACACCAGCAGAGGCACCACGGGCGGATGTATCTACCCAGATTCCGAAACCAATGGGTCTATGTCTGGATACAACTACGTGCTTCCCAGCCACGGAAACCCGGTCACAGAGATGTCCCAGTCACCCATGACATCTGCCCCATCAGCAGAGGCCCCCGGGATAACTCTCCCCATGCCGACATGTCGGAGCCAGCAACTCCAGACCGGACTGAGCAGTCTCCCCGAGGGCATCTCCAACGTGCCTCTATCATCAGAATACAAGAACTCCTTCTGGAATCCCCGGTGCGACACATCTCTCACCCAACGAGCAACCCCCATGCTCCCCAGCAACGACACCTCCTTCAACACGAGTGCCTCATCCACCCGCATCAAGACCGACACCAGTAATGTCCCCGACCTCACCTTCGGATACCTCCCGACGCCAACCACTACCGACAACATCACTCCCTCTCTCTCGTCAGGCACACCCTCTTTGCCATCCTCCGCGAGCAGCAGCCACTGCCCCTATCCAGGCCTGGAGCAGATTGACTCCTCGTCTTCCTCACCAACAGACACCCGCATGACACGCAGTTTCTCTCGCGAACAGACAAGCAACAACAACAGCAGTGGCCAACAGCGCCACTTGGCTCTGAACACAGACTGCAACCTGGGGATTTACGGGTATGCCAGCAGCGAACGGAGTAAAAGGAACAGCACCGACGCTGGTGATACTCGTTGCTCAGCTCCGACGCTGTTAAATGGTCTGCCCTACAACCGAGTCCGGCACGCTGATCCGCCCAGCGCGGCGTTTTCGTTCAACCTCCTGCCCACGGATTCGCTGGCGGAGTATCCCCGTCCAGTGGCTGTGAGTATGCATCGACCTTCTGTTTCTCCTTTGGGGAATCAGGGTTATTGAGTGATTTCCATGGAGAACATGGAGATAGAATCTTGTGGGTTTTCCTTTGGCTTTCATCTTGTTTCTGTTTTCTGCTCTACCTCTCTATATCAATTCTTGTATTGCCACCACCAATCATACGACTATTACCCACATCCACACACGCCTAACCAATTGACTGATCCAGATAAGGGACAAGAAGGGGGGTGGTCCTGTTACACTACTTGGTCACCCAGACCCCATTGCGGAGGTTAGGTTGATATTTATATTTGGTATTTGTATTGTCTACAGTATCTGCTGTTGCGTGTCGTTTCTCTTTTTGTGTGTACGAAGAAGTGTGTGGTTGGCCATACCCTCCAGTGGCTGGGCCCTGCGAGGCTGAATCTGGCCCTGTTTGTGGTTCAGAGTGCAGGAGAGAAGATGCTGATTCTGGGCCACACTTACTCTCTTTCTCGGGGATTATTTGGGAGAATGGTTCGTTCTACCATATCCAGCCCTGTCCTTTCCTATCTCGTCGTGTCCTGGAGATGCCTGATTTGTCTGCTTTGGTTGGTTTTTGCTTTGAAGGAGAAGGAATGGAGGGAGGAAGGGTCTTTTGGGCTTGTTGTGACGGCCTTTTCTGATTTTCCAGTATTGTGTTCATGATGAATAACTGCTAATCCTGTTGACATATAGTTAGCTAATCCTACACCCTCTATTAGTATAGTATCTGCACCTGACTATCAAATGCCTACTTCTAGTACGAGCAGGGGTTCATCCAGTATACAGGAGCAGGTAACACGGAGAGAACAATAATTTGTCACTCTCATTTCCTCCCATCCTGGTCATCTCCCCGGATATTCTTCTCCTCTCACAGCCCATACACCACACCATCCTCACTATATATCTCCCAATTCCAACCCTAACGAAAGGAAACATGCAATCTTCCACCATTGAAAGACGGAGATTGAGAGCAAATTCTAGAAATTAAGGCTGTGCAATCACTAGCATGCCTTGCACAACCTGATCTGACACCTTTTCCCCCCATGCCTCGCCTCCCCGGAGGGTTCGAGTACCAGTCTGTACGAAGGTACACAAGAGATAAAGCCCTGCTGCCTGGTGATTTGGAATTCTCTAGGCTCCTGCGGAGCATGTGTGATTTGAGATACCTAACTTTATTTTTTGTCATGGGCGAGGAGGCTAGGTGAGGTCGTACTTGAGTTGAGTGTCCTGGGGATGAGGCAGGCACAATGGGACTACGAAGCAGAGCAGACAAGTGTACCAACGATACTACCAACAGGACAGACAATATTTGAGAAACAAGTAGTGAATTCATTCCAGGCCACAGCCTCAACCCGGATATTTCATGTGCCCTCATGTTGCGAGAAACTGATGATCCAAAAAACAAAGCAGCTAGATAATCCACACACAACACCACTTTTTGAAATATCCATTTGGAACCATCAGATCCAGCAGCACAGGAAGTTTTGTCCACGATCCACCTTCTTCAGCCGCGGGAATGGTAAAAGGCTGTCCATCCTCCAACAACGTACACGACCGAACACCAGCCCCAGGTACCGAACACACCACTCTCCCTTCGTTCTTCCATGATGATGATTGAGCGTAGGGGGTGAAGGCGTTTAGTCCTTGCTCTTCTTGGGGCCCTTGACCTTGGCAGTACCGCGGAACTTCTTGGAGCGGTTCTTCCGTTGCTTGCCTGTACGAAATCAAATCAGCATTGAAACTAAGTTACTGGGGGATGGGCGAGGGACGTACGCTGCTGTCGGCTGGGCTTCTCGATCTTCTCGCCGGCACCGATGCGGACCAGGCGGTAGTGAGGCTCGAACTTCTTCAGGGCCTCCTGCGAGTCGTAGACCAGAGCGAAGCCGGTGCTCTTGCCGCCACCGTACTGCGTGCGGAAACCGAAGACGGACACCTGGTCCTTGTTGGACTTGTACAGGTCGGCCAGCTTCTCGCGGAGCTCATCCTTGGAGACGTTGGGGCGGTTGGGGTGGAGGACGTCCCTGTAGAGAAGAATATCAGATCGCTGTTTCCAAATCGAATGTGTGTCTGTGTTTGTGTGTGCGGGCTCCTCGAATCCCTCCTCTTGTCGTGTATTGAATGTCCGGTCGAGTCGTCCATGCCAATCCACAAATCTCGAATTCCCACACACCGATCGCACAGTCCTGGCACAGGGGTGGAAAAAGGGAGTCTTACACGACCATCTGCTTGCGGGCCAGCAGAGGGTTGCGGATGAACTTGCGAGTCCGCAGGGTAACGTGAGCGTCGGCCATTTTGGTGGTGATGGTGATGGAGAGGACGGTTGGCGATTGTTTCTCGTTCAATTTTCGTGTGGGCTCGGCTACGACGGCGCTAGCCTATTGTGGGAGTGGTTATATAATCACATCACATGACGAGTTGCCCTTATCTAATCCCTCGCGATAACCAATCCCCCGAACAACAAATTCGAACTGCCATGATCCGCAAGCTGGTCGCCCAGTACTTCCAGCTCGTGGATCCCTCGGATCTGGCGCTTCCGGATGGCCCGGTCCTCGTGCGGCCCGATGTGCAGACTGCGCTGTACGAGCGCATGTTCGCGGAATCCGTGTTCCCACTGCCACCGGCCAACTACCGTGCGCGCGTGCTGAAGTTGATTCTGGCGCGCATTGAGGCGTCAATCCAGGATCCGGAGGAGGATGTAGGTTGATGCTCTTGTGCTTATACTCTATGTCAATGTTTTATCTGAATTGTTTTTTTCTTTTATGAACCACTCCATCTGACGTATGTCTTCCTGTAGGAGATCCTCGACGATCTCATGTCCAGCTGGAGCACGCTGGTCGCAACGCCCAAAACCCCAGCTCTGGAGCAAGCACAGCAACTGGAACTTGTAAAGTACACGGCCCCCGCGCAGCCCGATGCGACAGACAGCACACCAGAGCGTACGGTCATCACCTCTGAGTCGCGCGGACTGATTTACGGGTCTGGCACTACAGGATTCCGCACCTGGGAGGCAGCCCTCCATCTGGGGTCGTTCCTGGCGACTGGGATAGGCGAGGCTCTCCTACGCGGGAAACGAGTGATTGAGCTCGGCGCTGGCACGGGGTTCTTGTCGCTGCTATGTGCCCGACATCTCGGTGCTCATGCTGTTGTTGCGACCGATCGGGAAACTACTCTGATTGAGAATATGGACCGCTGTACTTCTCATAATCAGACCGGGGTTGCCACGGCACTTCCATTTTATCCGGCCGTTTGGGAGTGGGGGACTCCCCTGGACGTCAAGGGCGGCGGGAATGCGGTGTCCGAATGGAACAAGTTTGATGTCGCACTTGGTGCTGATCTGGTCTGTTTCCTTGCTCTTTTTGTCTGGTGCCTGCATTGACATCCCTCACCAGATCTACGATGCGGATCTTGTGCCACTCCTGTTGTCCACAGTGCAAGATCTGTTCGACAATTATGGACTCCAGCAGTTTATTATCGCCGCGACCGTGCGCAACGAAGATACCTTCCGGACGTTTTTGAGTGGTTGTGGTGAGTGCGATATCTCTACTTACTTGCTAGTTGCGAACTCTAATTCAATAGAATCCCACGCCTTCACCGTTGAGCAGCTCCCCTTTGAGTCTGTGCCGTCCGAATCCCAAACCGGATTCTTCCATTCGACAAGCACGCCCATCCGCACCTATCGCATTATGCCATCGTCATGAATGAGCAACTGGCTGAAGGTGCCGCTGCCCGTTGTCCCTAGCCCGATCTCCAATGTGGCGCTGGGTGGCGGCACGGGTTGTTTCTAATGGGGCTATCAGACGACTCCACCAATTATACTGCCATTTCCGGCATAATCGGAAGCGGCCGATTTTTTCTGCCGGACAAAAAGGGTGGTGTTGGGGGCACACCCCCATGGCTGCTTGCAGTACGCCAAGGTTACTTACACATGGCATCCATACAAATTAGCACTAGTGTATAATATAGGGTACTTTTGCCTAGGTACCATTCGTCGTTCTTGCCTTGTCATTTCATACACTAGTTTTTGCTCTTGAAAAGTCTCCCACCTGGACTCTCACAATTCCGCTAAATTTATCTATTCTAATGACTGAATAATCTACATAAGCGAAGTTCTCCCTTACATATGTTTTTAGAAAAGGCTCTCCCATTACTTGAATTCTACGCGAGCGAGGATTGTAATCATATGATGTCATGTGATCCGTTTGCATTGTTTGGCGCACATGGTAATTCGCCCCTCTTCTCTGTCCTTTGCTTTATCCTTTTCGAGATTCCGATCCAATGATATATTTATATGAAATGCACACGACGCTTTGGATGGGCTATTTTGAAGATCCAATGAGGATGACATGGAGTGGTTTTAGTATGGGAGATGAAAGTGTGAGGATCCCGTCCGAGGGCTAGTAATCCTCCTGTATAGGATGACCATGGGTACATGCGAGAAAGTAGGCCACAGGAACCTCTAGTACACAGGTGTATGAACACCATGTGAAAGTCGTCACCAGTGGTCCTGCAAGCAGCCGTGCACCCACCACCAGCCAGGGAAAAGGAGAGACACACTAAACCGGATCGGCGCGGCTCCGATAAGCAGTAACCACTCAGGTCGCAGCGAACGATCGATAGTGGTGGCTTGGCGCAGGCAGCATCCCAAAGGATCCGATGGTGAGATCAGAGGAACAGGAATACTCGATACTGGTCTATTAGTAACGGAGTACCATAGGATAGCACCCTAGTATAGTACCAGAATATACTGTCGTACCTAGTGGACCTGACCCAGCCCCGGGGCCCTCGGGTACCTCAATTTCTCCCAGTCTGGACCAAATCAAAGCCCGAACAAGAAAATCTCTGCCCTGATTGTGGCGCCAAGTCTATTTTTAATCCCTATCCATGACCGATCTCTAATCGCTTTTTCTCTCGATGCCATCGTTCATCATACATTACATCAGCTCCCTCTCTCTTTCATGTGCGGCGAGTTCTGGTCCTTCTTTCTCTCCCCATCACCACCATGAATGGCACCTATCGCTACGATCATGACTTCCCGGAAGAGACGATAGAGATGAATGCCCGTCATGGCAACAACCCTTACCTGTACCAGCAACAGCAATACTCTCAACCGCCCAGTCCATACTATGAAACTCACCACCACCACTACGGTTCCCAACCCATGTCGCCCATGCGACCGTCTCGCCCGCCATCAGACGAGTACGGCTCCCCCACAGGATGGCCACTGCCCGCACCGTCGTTCGTGCACAGTCCTTATGATTCCCGATCCGCTTCTCCCTCGCTGGTAAGAATTGCAATCATACTGCCCCTGACAGGAAACCATTCCTAAACTGTTGTCTAGTACCATCAGCAGCAAATCGACCAGAGCAACCTGTCCCTAACCAACCTCGTCACCCAATCGTCGTCTCCCGTCTTCGCGAAGGACTGGGTGCAGCCGGGCTCGATCGCCCGCATCTCCGATCGAGACGATGTAGACACTTGGAAAGGGTGGAAGCGCTTCCTCTTCAAATTCGTTCCATTCTTCACCTTCGCCAACTCGGGGTTGTACCTCTTCTACCTGGGTCTGCGCGTCTTCTGCGTCGTCGCGGCCCAAAAGGCTGCAGGCGAGAGCTATGCCGCCGCATGGGTGTTCATCGCGATCGAGATCGCGGTGGCGATCCCCTCTCAGCTGCACAACTGCTGGACCATGATGGCGATGAAGAAGAGAGGGCGACCAAAGCTGCGACTGATGGGTGATGATGTCCCCACGGTGGACGTCTTTGTCACCTGCTGCGGAGAGGAGGATGATGTTGTTCTTGATACTGTCCGTGGCGCGATCGACCAAGATTACCCCGTTCACCGGTTCCGGGTTATCGTGCTGGACGATGCCAAGTCGGCAACTCTCGAGTATTCCATCAACCAGCTCGCCCTGACCCATCCCAACGTGTTCTATATGGCTCGCGAGAAGATCCCCGGAAAGCCCCATCACTTCAAGGCGGGCAATCTCAACTACGGCCTGGACCAGGTGCGGTCTTTGCCGGGAGGGCCGGGCGAGTACATGGCGGCTCTCGATGCGGATATGGTGAGTAATAAACATTTTTAACGAGCATTCTTTTTACTGACATTCTTTACCCCAGATTCCGGAGCAGGAATGGCTGCGTGCCGTTCTCCCCCACCTGATTGCCGATCCCCTGATGGCCCTTGCATGCCCACCCCAGCTGTTCTATAATACTCCGGTCTCTGATCCCCTGGCACAGAGCTTGGACTTTTTCGTGCATGTCATTGAACCCATCAAGGATGCGCTCGGTGTGGCTTGGTGTACTGGGTCTGGGTATATCTGTCGGCGAGAGGCTCTCGATCAGATCGGTCATTTCCCGCTGGGTTCTTTGGCCGAGGATGTTGCCACATCTACGCTGATGCTGGGTAGGGGTTGGCGAACGGCATACATCCACGAGCCCCTTCAGTTTGGTACCGTTCCCGAGGACTACGGTGGCCACCTGAAGCAGCGAACGAGATGGGCTATCGGAACCGTGGACACTGCTTTCAAGCTAAAGTTTTGTCTCTGGGGTGATGCCGTCAAGAAGATGACGTTTGCCCAGCGCTTCTCGGGGTTCCTCTACGCCACGCTCAGTTTATATACCATCCTGGTCACGGCATCTCTCTTCGCGATCCCCATTATTCTCTTGTGGGGTAAGAAGCTGGTTGCCTATGCGGACGAGGAACAGCTGCACTGGCTCATCTGGGCGTGTTTCGCGGCCAGCATCATGAACCGCCTTTGCGAGTTTGTCCTGTTCAGTCCCGCGGGCTACCACACCGGACAGCGCGGTGCTCGATACCAAATGTGGATGTCGCCTTATATTGCGCTGTGCATTATCCGGTCCTTCATTCTGCCCCGGTGGCTGGGCGGCCAGACGCAAGCCTTCAAGCCCACTGGATCCTTGGGTTCAACTCTCAACGAGCGAGACCCGAAACAGCGGCGGCCCATGTTCGTTCGGTTGCCCGTGCTCTTGTTCAACTATATGGCCGTTTTCCATCTGGTCTTTGTCTACGTCACTCTGGCAGCGGTCGTCATCTCGACCTACCGGTGTTTTGCCCAGAACAGCGATTTCAAGGGGATCGTTATCTGTCTGATCACCCACGCCTTCTGGCCACCGATGGTATTCCTGTTCATCTGCACCTCCCTCTGGACCCCTCTCTCGTACATGATCGATCCCCCGAACATGCCAGACCGCGAGGATTTGTTGATCCGAGACCCCAAGACTGGGGTTGCGCACCCGACTGCGCGAAGCAAGAAGATCGGGTTCGGTGGTCAGGCCGCCTGGTTTGAGCTGGAGTACTCTCTCTCCACGGTGGCCACGGCATTGGTGTTTGTGTATTCGTGGTTTTTCTAGCCTAGCATGTACAACGTGTACAACCATGTAATATTATAGACAACGGGGCGTTCCGATTTTATGAGTGGATCAGGATGGTAATTACTTATGCATTTTGTCTCAGATTAATTCTTTCCAGAAATAGATTTTTCTTTAAGTCCCCTGAAAGGCGGTGGCAATGGCGGTGAAGATATCTTATCTGTGGCGTATCCTTTGTTACACTCTCTTTCTCTCGCCATTGCACCTTCAGCCACTCGAGTTATTGTCCGAGAAGATGGTTCTGCGATGGATCGTCAACGTCGGCCTCCTAGCCATCCCAATTGGGGGCACCATCGGCGCCATCCTGGGCATTGAAGCCCACCGCCAGGCAAACGGACAGGCACCTCTTTTCGCTGGCGGGGGTAACGATGGATCTGGAGGGGGCAGCACGGGTTCTCCAGGGAATGCCGGCCATCATTTCACTGATAATGGGGTCACCTATTCGCAGTATTGCCGAAAGTCATATGGTATTCCGCCGGAGTCGACGGGACAACACTTTACATGTGAGTCGGAGTCTCTGACCGTTATACTGTCATTCTGACTGACTGACTGTCTGCAGTTAACCCAAATCAGTGGGGCGTCACATCTAGCACCGTCGGAGGTTTATGTATGAATGTACGTCGACTGAGCCTGATGGCTGATCTGTTCCCGCATCGGAATCTAATCTCTATATACAACTTGTGCGGGCGAAAAAGTTAACTAACGTTGAATCCTTCCAGATCACAACCTTCGACAACCAAACCTACGCAACGAAATATACCGCTCCCGAGTTCTCCGCATCCTGGTACTACGCGCAAGGCGACGCGGACCAGCCTACGCACGCGTACCCCAACGTCATGGTGGACGACATCCTCCCCGTCGAGTTGCAGAAGATGTCAGCACTCAACCTTGACTTCGAGTGGGCGTACGGCGTGGGAAATACCACCGCCGCGTCAACTGACGTCGCTACTCTCACGACCGCTGGTCTCAACGGCAACGTTGCTATCGATATGTTTTTCGACGCCGACTCCACCACGGCGCAGGACAGCCAGAAGGCCAAGTACGAGGTTATGATCTGGTTTGCCGCGTTCGGGCCCGGCACTCAGCCTGTTGGGCCCGGGAATGTGGTGACCACTCATGTGTTGGACGGGACGAAATTGTAAGCACTTCCACTTCTTTTCATCCTTAACCAAATGTTGGACGCTAATCGGTTGTATTTAGTGAGCTCTTCAGCGGCGTAAACGGCATCGGCCAAACCGTCCTGACGTGGAACGCGACCCAGGTCACGGATACATTTAACGGGGACATTTCCCCACTCATCACGGATCTGTATAACCTGGGTGCCGAGGGGTACCCGGAGAAAACGGATTATCTGGGTGTGTTCCAGTTAGGCACGGAGGCGTTTTACTCGAATGGCTGGGTTACATTTTCGGTGCCCACTCTTTCGGTTGACATACAGGTTTAGTCGTTTTTCTCGGGGATTTATCTTTCTGTATAGATCTAGAGGCTGGAGTTTGGCGTTGAATCGGGCATTATTAACTATTCATAAATCCTTGCTGAGAAATAACAATTCAGTTCGAAATGGATTTTTTTTTATCCTGGAATTAGTTATGGCAGTAGTTGAGTAGCAGAAGTACGTAGTTACATGTCCTCTCAATCCTTAACGATTGTTACAAGTTGTGCCTGTGTCGTACTCCCTATTCCGGTAGGTCTGCGTCCGTTTTGGGATAAACATCATCTGCGGAAAGTCCCCAAGCTTCCCGATTGGTGCGGCTTTCGGCCCTACCACGGTATTGATTTCCTGTTGGCGACGCGTCCGGCTCCGGTTCAACTATTTCCCGTTTATACAGTCGCATGCACATATGGATGTATGGACTCTATAGGCTGCAAGAAATCCCGAGGGGTGGCGTCTGGGAGAGGGGAACGTTCCCCGGCTTCAATCCACCGAGCGAAGGGTCAGGCACAACTTGATAGCTAATAGGCACGTAGTAAGCAGACCGATTTGCAGTTCGACCAGCGGGCCGACTAGGTATCGAAGTCCTGACGTCCTGGTCCTTGACGCGTGGCTTTGCATTCCGACCAATCAGGTAGGGTTCAGCTGGACTGCGCTGATGGTTACTGCAGGCTCTATGCTGGTAGCTCGACATCTTGGCGAGGACTACTGTTGTCCATATGCTGGCCCTGTACTTTCGGAGATTGTTCCGGGTGCGTTCTTTATAGAAATTTGATCTGGTTATCTAGTCAGCTTTTCATGGGGCCCAATAAATACCCACGTAGTCTTAAGAATATTCGATTAACCACTGTCTTGATGCCTGTGTTACCATCAGCGTTGTTTGCTCTCTAATCCAATCAATATAAGCAGCCCATCACTCTCTCATTATCATCTTCTCCTCTCTCCTCCACGTGAAACGGTCTTCACAGAGTGTCTTATCAAGATGAAGAGATTAGTCCAAATCATCCCCGGAATTTTGCGTACTGTTCAAGTATAAACCCTCCTTCTTCTCAATTATTCATGATCCACCTTCACCACCAAGGAACTACAATGCTCATCCATAACTGCATAACAGGCCATCCTCGCTGTCTCAATCCTCGGTTTATCAATCAAGCTCGCAAAAGGCCAAATAATTAACTCTGTCCCGGGGACAATGGTCTTCGGCGCGTTCACGGGTGCATTCGGTATCATAGCCGCGCTGATAGGAGTGGCGGGGATATATATCCGTTCCTTGCAGGGGATTCTGTTCCTCATTTTGGATGGCGTGACCGTTATTATCTTTCTTGCTGGTGGGATTGTATGTCTTTATTTGCCTATCATGTACCTTCTCCCGGGCTGTATATCTATGACATCTACTGTAGGTGTGGTTCTTGATCTACTATGCTAACATTGCTGGGGAATAGGCATTCTCGGTGGCCCTCCGCGGAACACACTGCTCCAAACCCTCTTCTACGGGATCCAACCCCCTCCTCAGAGGCGGGTGCGTTTCCTTGAATGGGGATAGCGAGTGCTACTATGCTGCTTTGACGGATACATCTGAATTGAAAAGGAGATGCGAGTCAGCGGTGACTAGCGCCGCGCTCATGTTCGTGAGTGTTTTATTGTGGCTTGGGACCGCGTGCTTTTGGTTCTGGAGGAGACAAGGAAAAACGAGAATAAGACAACAGAAGAGCGAGAATGATCTGGCTCAATCTTCGGACCCCGACAAGGCTGTTGCGATCCCCGCTGAAGTGGATGGGCGGGATGCTTGTGTCGAGGTAGAGGGGAATGATGCTGTTACTAAATATACGGAGGCTGAGGGGAGCGAGGTGTTCAGGCCTTGTGAGCTTGGAGAGGGGTTTATTGCTGAGTTGCCGGCTTGTAATGAGTGTAGGAGGTCAGTTGATTCAGGTAGAACATAAAGATAATATCTGGTATTTGGGCTCAAGCACAACCAAGCTATGGGTGATATATTGTAGATGTATTTGATTATGACCGAAAATGAAAATGAAAGAATGAGTTTGTGTCGGGTATCATCATATCCATGCAACGCCTTCCAAACGCAATCACAAGTGCGTTGCAGACCAAAAGAAATGTGGCGTCATGCCATAATTGTCAAGATGAAAGTAAATCGCCAGAAAGACAAGATTGTAAAAATTGGATAGAAGAAAGACTAGCCATCTTCTTCGGCTAGACTCTCTCGTAGCAAGTCCTCGTCAAGTCCCTGGGCATGGATCGCTATCGGAGCTCGTGGTGGAGGTCGGTAGCCCATGATCGGACCTTTTGGTTCACGCCTGTGAACCGGAACCGGGGCGGAGCAGGGTCAACCGGGTTATGAAACCCTGCTGATGGGGTTGACGAGGACAGGGACGGTGAGGATTCCGGTCTGGTCTCGCCGTCAGAGGCTACTGCGGCCATGCCCCAGCGCCCTAATACCCAGCCGCCCATGCGACGGCCGAGTGTTGCCGACTTTCGAGGCGTTGCGGTCGAGCTGGTGCCGGCGCTCTCAGCAGAAATGATGGACGATGATTCCGTGGGGACATTATTGCCTGCAGCCACAGAAGCCAACAATGATCTGGACGTTTTCTCAGAGCTCTTCCCGCGGTCGACTGTAATTATAGGCGCTGATACGACAGGAGGCGTAGACACTAGCTCAACGCTGGGCGATACCATGCGCTGGGGTATGCGCATGCCAGCACGCCAGTCACCCATTCGGGAGAAACGGCTTGTCGGGGTATGAATGTCCATGCCGGCTACAGTGTCGAACAAGCTGTCATGGGAAGTGGATCTGCGTAGAGGCGTGAATGGCATTTGCATATCAAACACACCTTCGTCGGTGACTGGGATAGCGTGTTGGTAGGGTGCGGAGGAGGCTTCTTCCGACTCTTCTGGAATGACAGGCTGTTTGCCATCGGCTCGACTGAAATGCTCGTCATCAAAGGCCTGGGATGGGTCGTCCAGTGATGCGTCAATACTGTCGATCTCAGCTAGCGGTTGGAATGGCAGGTCGAAGCCCTTGACGTTGCGCGCCCCCATAATAGGAGACCCAAACACCGTACTGCCGGGACTGGTCGGCTGGGAATCGAATCCACGATCAACTCTGTCGAAGATTGAGGATGTGTGGAACGCAGATTGAGGAGAACTTGCAATAGAGTCAGCAGCCCGTGACTGCAGAGACAAGCGGCGGGACGAGGTAGGTGGCGGTATAGAGACAGAGGTCTGGGACAGAATTGTGGACGTGGAGGAGTTGGACAGTTGAGCGCGGTGGCCAGGTCTTCGAGGCGACTGTGTTCCTGAAGAAGAGCTTCCCATAACAGAACGTTTCTTTTTCACGCGACGGTTGAGCGAGCTCTTGTCTTTCTTCGCAGATGGGGAGTGGTAGTGATGATGGATATGGAATTCCTGAGAGACCCGTCGTCGCTCCTTGGCTTCCAGCTCTTCACTCAGGGTAGTGGACGAAGCCGGTATGGCATTATCGTCCTCACCGTCGCCGGCCAGCGGCTGGTGAGACATAACCTGCTCGCGCAGGTTTTGCACCTCCTGGTTTGAGCTCTCGAGCATCTCCCGGAGCTCTATGATACCCACTTGTAGGTTGGCGTTGTCCTGTAGAATATCTTTGACAAAGCGAGATACCACAGTCCCGTCAGGATTGCGATTGAGGTCGGAGGCAGCAGCCGCGCCCTTAAGACGTCCCGCAGCGTTATCCAATTCACGCTCCACAGCTCTCTTTCGCTCCATGCGCTGCACAAGATCTTCATGCCGCTCACGCTCTTCACGGGCCTCTTTCTCGATACGGTCGACTTGATCATGGAGATCTCGAAGTGTGGATTCTGCATTCTTCCACCGCTGCAATGCAGATTTCTCATCATCTTGTGTAGACAACAAGATGTCCTGGAGTCTGGACTGTTCGGTTTCCATCATGATCAACTGCGTCTCAAGCTCAGCCGCACGAGCCGCAGCCACGGTCAATTTCCGTAGTTCAGCTTGTGTGCTTTCCAACGTAAGGGCAAGCATCTTGGCTCGATCGTCGGACTCCGAGGCAGCCTGATTTAAACCGTCCAGCTGGTCAAGCAAGCTGCGGTTTTCTTCGACGATGCGAGCATTTTCGGCCTGAACCTGTCGTTTTTCGCGCTCCAACGCATCAATACTTGCGACTAGGCGCTGGCGGTCCTCTTCCGCCTCGGCCATGTAACTTTCATGGCGGTAGAGCAGGGCCTGCAAAGCAAAGGTCAGCGCCGAAGACCCTGCTGGTGCAGTATAATCTTGAGGGGAAGCCATGACGGACGCCAACGCAGCGAGAGAGAACGGGGGACCGCAAGACCGAGGCCATGAGAGAGAGGGAGGGGAGGATGTGTGTAGCAAGTGTGCCCCTGCAGTTCGCGGGGCATAGGGTGCGACAGGAAAAGCAAAGAACAGCGAAATTTTGGAATGCAAGTGTTATAGTTGATGTATCAACATGCATAGTTTGCGTCCGGCAGCCGCCCGTGCCCGTCAGACCGTCGATCAAAAAGAAAGCAAAAACCAAAAAAAAGGACGTACCTGACCTAACCTCGCCGCGGTCTCGAGATCCTTTTCGAGGCCCTCGAGAGCAACATTATTGTGCTCTAGCAGGGCGCAGTCATCGCGCCCGCAGCAGCAGCGCAGGGCGGTGGGTGATGCGCTTGAGTGTTTAGGAATGCTAGGGATATGGTCCGCGCCGCCCGGGGTATGCGGACGGGTATCCATGGGCGGCATGAGAATGCGAGGATAGCTAGCCCCTTGACGGAAGCGAAGAGGTGAAAGAAACCGCCAGAGACACGATGCGATGCAAGGTGCAAGTTTCACTGCACTGATAACGATGCGGAGAAAGATGCTCAGGTGACGCTGATGTAACAATCAGCCACGAGGAGTCGGCCCCTGTGCCTGAAGTTGGTGCCTGAATCTGGTGCCTGAATTATGCCTGATGGTTCAGGCGCCAATTTCGGCATGATTGCCGTACATGGAGAACTCCCTAAGCGAGGGATTCAGTAGTTTAGCCGGAAAGCAAAGCAGTCCCTGGAAAGCCACTTCCGAGTAGAGTCCTTCCTAGCTACTAATAACGACTCTCAATAACCGGCTCCTAGGCGCCACGAAACCTTATAGCTTATACCAATCACCATCTCCATATATCTAACCCACTTTATTGACCATCAAGTAAATGATGCAATAATGCTCAGTACCAATCCTGCTCGCTTCGGTTACTTCCCCGTATTCCCTCCATGTTTCCCCCGCACGGCAGGACTGGGGGTGGAGCTCACGAACGCTTACCCGGGACTAGGCTGAACTTCGTGCTCCCAGCGTGGGGGTATTTATAGTGAAGACACCCCGACATCGAGCCCCTTCCCCCTTCCTAGGTTGTTTATTGAGATCATTAGCTCAATTCTTGCGGCCCTCTATCTGCCATGACTGTTGCAACGGAGAAGAAGAAAAAGCCCTATTTCGGACTCACAGGAGGATGGCTCACCTTCTGGGTTACGGTGGCTTGCGCCACCGACATGTCTCTGTTTGGTTATGACCAGGGAGTCTTCAGTAAGTCAAACTCTGTGGGTGACAACACCGGATCCAATTGACATTGACATATCGCAGGCGGCGTGGTAATCACACAAAACTTCCTCGAGGTCCATGACCTTGTCGGACCTACAAAGACGACGGCCCTCTCCACAGTGACAGCTATTTATGACGTAGGATGTTTCTTCGGTGCCATCATCGCATTCACTATTGGCGAACGCCTAGGACGGAAAAAGGCAATTATGCTGGGAACTACGATTATGGCTATAGGCACCATCCTCCAGGCCAGCTCGTTCAGTCTACCGCAGATGTTTGTTGGACGGGTTATTCTGGGGTAAGTCAAGCTATTTGACAACGATCCTTTTCTAGCCTACGAACTTAACATCAATTCTTTTCTAACCCATAAATAGAGTTGGTAACGGAATCAACACGGCCACTGCTCCCATTTGGCAGACTGAGACGTCGCAGTTGAAATGGCGTGGGAAACTCGTCATCCTCGAGATGCAGATGAATATCGCCGGCTTTTGCCTCGTCAATTGGATCAATTATGGGTTCTCCTACGTTGGTGGTCCCGTCGCTTGGAGATTCCCGCTCGCCTTCCAATTTATCTTCTTCTTCGTTCTATGGTTTACAACACCCTGGCTCCCGGAGTCTCCTAGGTAAGTCCTTCACATCATGCTTGGTGCTGAGATGAAAAGATACCAAGTCTGAATCTAACTCTATGCAGATGGCTTATAGCCCATGGGAGAGAAGAAGAAGCTATGGAGGTACTCAGCTGTCTCGAAGCCAAGCCGATCGACGACCCTTTCATTATTGCCCAGCGTGACGAAATTGACTACAGTGTCCGTTACGAACGTGAGAATGCCGTGCGATGGCGCGATCTCTGGAAGTTACGGAAGCAGGAGAATGATACCAAGACACTCCGAAGACTGCTCCTCGGCGCCGGCAGCCAGTTCATGCAACAGTTCGGCGGTATTAACATTATGTCGTATTACCTGCCTACTGTGCTTATGAAGGTGAGTTATGGTTATCTTTTGCAGTTACTTGATTTGTGGTTTCTGTCTGGGGCGAGTATATACTAATGGGATATAGTCTGTCGGTCTTCCTGATAAGATTGCTCGATTACTCGCAGCTTGCAATGCTGTTTCCTATTTCTTTTTTGCTGGGCTTGCGGTTCTCCTCGTCGAAAGAATGGGCCGCCGAGGCTTGATGATTCTCTCGACAGCCAGCCAGTTTTTCTGCTTCCTAGTCATCACCATCCTACTTCGATTCTCTGAGGTAGGGGGCTCTGCAGGCCAAAAATACGCTTCGGCATCCGTTGCATTCTTTTTCCTTTACTACGGAGCATTTGGAATTGGTATGCTTGGAGTGCCATGGCTGTACCCGACTGAGATCAATTCCTTGCCAATGAGGACCAAGGGAGCTGCCCTTGCAACGGCTACAGATTGGTTTGTCTCTTCTCTTCTACTATTCTACAGGTCTATTCTAATTATTGATGTGTAGGATCACCAATTTTGCCATTGTGGAGGTCACTCCTATTGGAATCCAGAATATTGGATGGAAATTTTGGATTGTTTGGACTGTGACAAATGCGGCCTTCCTTCCAATCCTCTACTTCTTCTACCCAGAGACAGGTACGTTTCAGGATCCACAATAGTGACGGCCATATATGCTGACAGTGCTTTTTGCAGCCAACCGGAGTCTCGAAGACATGGATGCGTACTACAGAACTAATCCAGCTTTGATTGTGACCACAGACCCGGATGCCATCTCTCGAAAGCGCCCGCAGAAGTATATCGAGCGTGAAGGCCAGACTATTGAGAGAAGTGCTGCGAATAAAGGACTGAGACTGAGATCCTCTGTGGATGCAGCCCATGTCGAACAGATTGGTGAGGAGGAAACAAAGAACTGAGTTCTTCGCTTCTGGGCTGTTCTAACTTGGCTCGTGCGCTCGAATTTTGTGTGGTTTATGTAGAGAGTATATATGCCGATTTAGATGTTGTTAAATGAGATATAGGAGAAAGAACAGTGACCATACGTAAATTATCGCTGTAATAAACTGTGCTTTTTGCGCCATTGTATGAAACGGCAGCGAGATATATGAAAAATGAGGTTGAGCTGATTGGAAAGACTCAAAAGAGTCTTCTCTAAATGGGGTAAACATTGCCTTCGCCATCATTCGTCAAAATTTGCGTCATCCATATTAGCTACGTACTAGCCATCTCTTCCCTAATTATGGACTAGAGGCTAAAGAGCTCGGTGTGATTGCCTAGTTCAAATCCACCTAATCGTGTACAACGAGCCATGTCCCAATTAGGACTAGTGCCGCTTTCCATGCCTACGGAGGCACCGTCAAACGTGCTTTCCTCAACTATTTAAAGAGCTTGCTCGCCCACATCCTCTTCTTTTTGCATTCAGCTTTTGCCATCCTTCATCTCTGCTGTCAACAACCAAAATTACCGTTCACAGCTGAAATTCCGCCTTTGGCACTTTGTGACCTAGCGCCTTCGGTGGAACAGGATTGGCATGTTCACTTCAACCGACATGTTCCTCTGTTGGAGGACGGTCGGTAAGTTGGCTGCATTATTCTCTTGATCGCCACTTTGGCTGATATGTGTAGCTGTGGGCTTTGCTACAGGTCCCTTCCAATCGACTCTCCATCCAACCACAGGGAGTATATCTGAAAGGCCAAGGCAGGAGGCCTTGAAATCCATGTGGATCATGTCTGGACTGCCCCTTCCTGGTGGCTAGACTCCGAGCTAGGCTGTGGCCCGCTAAGCCTAACCTTCACCGTTGGGAAGACAAAATCCAGAGCAAAAGGCTGAACAAACCCCAACGTTCACAGTGCGTCGAAGGATGCCCTACACCAGACGGAGAGCGAGAGCGCAAACAGCCCGAAAAACATCAACATCCGCATCAACAAGGCTCTCCACATCAACCTCGATGGTCTGTCAAAGGATCCGTTCTCGACTTGACTGCGGCCGACGCCCACTCCTGACCGGACAATGCCCCGCACGGTTCCGTCCCATCGGCCGTCGCAATTACTTTATGGATTCATCATCATTCCATTGCGCTTCGTTGATTTGTTTTTTATCACTTGTGATTTCATGACTACACGCGACGGGGACGCTGCGATTAAATACATTGGTTTAGGGTTAGCAAGCCGGTCGAAAAAAAGCAGCGCAAAATTGGTCCTGCTCTCGACACGATTCGTGTTTTTGCGGACATGCTGTTTCAAACGGGACCCTAAGAATTCACGGCCAAGGCTGACAAGGGATATAAGAACTCGTTCCATTCGCCGCATATCTGAAGCACATCCGGGAGAACAAGCAGCGAAGCGATTCTAGCTCTACAAAAAGGGACAATGGAAAGCAAATATGGGAACATTCCAGCTTGTTCGAAAGGACCAACAAGAGATTTCGAAGATTACACAGGAAATCCCGTCAGAAAGGGAAACTCTTGCAAGGCCAAATCCGGTTTCTGTACGGGCAATTCTCCTATGCCCACGGCTTCCATGTTGCCTATGCAAGTTATGTCGACGCCAATTTCGCAACTGGTTTTCATGCAGTCCCCTGGCCGCCGTACGGCCTTGACACCTATGCAGGCCACTCCTGCATCTTCTGTTCGGGCCAGAAAACCTCCTCCTCATGTCAAGATCTATCAGTCTTCTGTGCAGCGAAAGGGGATCGCGAAACCTGGCGCCAAAATTGCCCTAGGGTGTGCAGCTAGCTCAAAACCGACTTCCAAGATATGTGTTTTCCAAGACAACCTTGAAGTGAAGGGCACAGACTTGATGTGTATTCTCATTTGGAGATGCAGTGTTCCTTCACCGCGTGGCAGTCATTCGTAGGGCTGCAGATGAGGCGACAGCAGCGACGACGACGACGAAGTGCCGTCGATCGATATGCGAAAGAACTATCTCGAACCATATTGCAAGGAGGCTCGTGATCAGGACGGCCTTACGCCTTTGCCTCCACCTACTAGTCACTATCCTGTCTCGATCGCCGCCTATCGCGTGGCCTATCTCGCGAAGCTTAGGACGTGCCTCCGCCTTCATATATTATTGTGCCTAAGGAGTATAAACTGGCAAAGTTCGTTAACCTACCTACGCGGCTCGTAGCCGCGTGACGCCCCTAAACGAGATATGGGTTATACCTATTTCACCTCCGCTAGGCTCTAAACTAGTATCAAACCGTGAACACCACTAGATCTTCTAGCCCGTCTTACGCGAAGTCCTCTAGCTAGCGTCCTAGACAGTTACTAGTTACAATACTACTATATCATGCGCCTCCCTGATTTAAGGTGAACTGGTTTGGGCACAATCTTCGCCTTTAGCATTTATCCTCTTCATGGAATCAACGTTATCAATTTCCACTGCTTTCTGAGTAGTATCACGGTCTCTACATTCGGCAACCTGTCGCCAGCCAGGTCGTGATACGGCTGACAGCAGCGGATCCTCCATTTAACCACTTCTGCCCTGTTTCAACTCTTGGATCCCATTCCAGCCTAAGGGCTCCTCTCCACCAATCCGCATCAGGGTCGGGAGTCCTGTGGGCCGGACTCGCAACAGGCCCATAGCCCTGCCTGGGACCCGGCAGAGCAGCTGGAATGCGAAGGCCCTCTGGCGCCGAGACAATGACATTTGGGCCGAGAGTGATTTAAACACCACGGTTGCTCTTATAGGTGTTAGTATGTCTATAGAGAGGGTAAACCTAGATGCGTTAAAGGCACATTGTGCTCTAAGGCGCTGGGGTAGATTTCGAAGTCGCGCGGCCATCTCCTAGGAAATGTAGCAATGGCTGCCAAGCAGATTCGTACCTATGACTCCTTTTCTTCACTCGCCCGGGGAATATGTTCCCCTTCTTTTATTTCCCCACATTCCCTGATGTGATCTTTGAAACTATCCAATGTATACCCTCGACGCCAATGAAGTGGTCGACCATAGTGATGCGCTTTGCAAGCGACGCAGTGAAAGCCCCACTCTGGGGATGCCGTTTGAAAGTTGAAGAACGGAGTACGAATGATACCCACGAAACGCTTAGGATTAGAACAGCGTCCATCAAAGAGATCTTCAGATCTAGGTCGGCGCAGATTCTTTCCATCTGTTCTGCAAAGAGACAATTTCTCATTGTAGGCCTCTAGCTTTTTGGAAGCCATTTCCGAAGCGTATTTTTCCATAGCGCTGATAGATCCGTGCACGGCAATTCCAGTTTGTCGTGCAACAGAATAATCGAGCAAGAGCTCTCGACGCCGACATTTGATTCCTCGAGGCGTATAGCGACCAGGGAAACTGTTCAAGCAGGGTAGATTTGCAAGTTGTTCAGAAGAAAGGCCAAATTTGCGCATGGCATCTTTCCGTTGGAGAGGAAGATAGTCGATTCTTTCGGTAAAACATAGGAAGCAAACGCGACGACAGGTTACGAGGTACAAGTACCCGCCGAAGTCGCCACAGCTGTCACATTCCGCTGTAGATAGTTTTTCGTACAAGTCCTGGCACGAAAAGAACTTTGCAGTCCCTATGTTGAGGCTAGCACGAATTGACGCTGGTGCATGAGCAAGAATAAGTCTGTACTGCGGGACCGAGTCTGTGACCAGTTTCGCACTCTTATTGACGCGTCGAAAATCAGTCAGCGACTGTACGTCAAGTCGGATGAGCGTCAGATGGATGATTTCAAGAGGGAGTCTATCGAGACCTCCAAGCCCGAAACGCGGGGTACTCAATTGACATTGATCACCCAAATAACAAAATTTGTCAATATCATCCAATGTATTGTCCCTGATGTCGAGGAAAATATATGTCGATTCGCTTGTCTTTTGAATTGCTGCCATAACAGTAGTAGTTGCTGGCTTTCCCGAAATTTCGCGGGTCTCTAGGCACATGAAATTCGAGACATGATAGGGCCTCGTTTCCAGTAAGTACCTCAAGAAGCAAGCCTCAAACAATAGGTACCAACAATTGCAGCGGGGGAAGGAAGGGGTGTCGACCTCGGGTTCAGCTCCACAGCAGGTGTTTCAATCACATGATGTTGTTATGCCCGGATTATCGTATTTCCATCTATGAAATGGTTCTTCTTCGCAGCGGGGGCGGCCGCGGAGCAGGGCACCCGGCACGGCCAACGCGAGGCACCGGTGGCAGTGACGCCAACTCCAGCGACGATGAGCGAGAAGCCTAAAACGGTGTCCATAGCTTTCTGGCCTACCATTTACCGTCTCATCGTTATGTGGAGTGTTTATCATATCTCTGTTGAGTAACAATATCCATCGAATTAGGGAATCTCAAGTATCTATCATAATCTATATGATGTGCATCTATCTCTATGTTATATATGCTTTTCTGGTGAAATGACTCCCTCACGACGCTGCAAGAAAAATATCAAAAATATAAACAATCGCTCACAGAAAAATTGACAAGCCAACACCACAACACCTAGCCATCCGTGGCAATCAGTCCACATACTTGGGCATCGTCTTCATGACGCCGTCCCGGGCAATATCCTCCATCGCCGTGGTGATCTCCTTGATGAACCGCGCGTCGCCGCGCAAGTCATCACCGAACAGGCTCTTGATGCTCAGCAGCTCGGCCGGGTTGGTCCCGCCAGCGTGAGCCTTGGCCTGGAGCACCTCGCGCATGGGATCATCGACCTCGAACGGCTTGCCGCTATCATCGACACCCTTCACGTAATGGAACCAGGCGGCTGCGACGAAGCACAGGCGGCGGAACGGGCCGGTCACCCAGATCGCCTCGGCGATCGAGGGCATAATGAACTGGGGGATCTTGCCCGATGCGTTGAGGCAGAGGCGCGGCAGCTGGTCCATGATGGTTGGGTTGGAGAAGCGCTCGATGAGCGTGTGGCAGTACTGGTCAATGTCGACGCCCGGAATCTCCGGCAGGAGGGGCTTCACGTCGTACTGCATCATTTGCCACACGAACTTGCTGAACAGCGGGTTCTCCATGGCCTCGTGGACGTATTTGAAGCCGGCCAACTGGCCGGGGTAGCCTAGCGCCGAGTGGCTGCCGTTCAGCAGGCGCAGCTTGTGCTTCTCGAACTGCTCGACGTCGTGCACATTCCGGACCACCTGGACCCCGACCTTCTCGAATGGTGGGCGGCCGTCGGCGAACTGGTCCTCGATGACCCACTGCATGAAGGGCTCCGTGACGACGGGCCATGAGTCCTCGATGCCAAAGGTGTCTGCGAGGGCCGTTTTGTCGGTGGCCGAGGTCTGCGGTGTGATGCGATCGACCATGGCGTTGGGGAACGCGCCTTGCTGGGCAATCCACTCGGCGATCTCTGGGTTGCGCAGGCGGGCGAAGGACTCGAGCATGTGGCGTGCGATGGAGCCGTTCTTCTGCATGTTGTCGCAGGACATGACGGTGAAGGGCTTGAGGCCCTGCTGGTGGCGGCGTGCCAGGGCGGCGTAGAGGAAACCGAACGTGGTGCGGGGGGACTTCTCGTTGGCCGGGTCGAGGTCGAACTGAATGTCCGGATGTTGATGTTGCAGCTCGTGTGTATTCTCGTTATAGTAGTAGCCGCTCTCGGTGATGGTGAGCGAGACAATGTGGGTATCTGGGTGGGCCATCTTGGCGATGACGGCCTCGCGGTCGTCCGGTGCAAAGAGGTAGGAGTTGATGCTGCCCACGACGTGAGCAAAGCTACCCTTGGCCGACCGCTCAATGACAGTGTAGAGGTGATCCTGCGATCCCAAGGCATCGCGCATGGCAGCGTCGAAGGGCTGCAAGCCAACACCGCAGATTGCATAGTCGGTCACACCATGCTTTTGCATCAATTGATCCACGTAGACCGCCAGATGAGCCCGGTGGAAGCCGCCCACGCCGACGTGGACGATTCCTTCCTTGACGGCGCCACCGCGCTGGTAGGTGGGGAGCTTCTTCACGGAGGCATCACCGGTCGCCTCAATGAGGGACAAATTTTGGTTGTTTAGCTTAAGGGGTGGTCGTGGAGCCATTGTGAATGTGATGGGAGGAATTGAATGTATGTACGTATGAAGAATAAAAAAAATAGACCAGGTCCGAAGGCGATTCAAATACCCCAAATTTCCCGCCACATCCAGGAATGAATTAGATAAGCTTTAAGATTTTTATTATGGGGCTCGGCTTGCTATCGGTCACGCTGGCCGATCAGCAGACCTTCCGGGGCGTTAGCCAGCCGCATCTGGCGGTCTGGCCCCTGGAAGATCCGGGAGTAGAGATATGTGCCTTTCCGAGCAGCTGAAAGCAGTCCATTGGTTTATTTTAAGACCTGATAAGGCGACCGGCTCGCTTCTCTGTCAATGACAGGCAGCGTTGGAGGGGCAAGGGAACGATCATCTTGGAATCAAGTTGCGTGGTTCCAAGGTGGATCTTGTCGCTCCACAGTGACGCTGATGCTCCAGAGTCTATTGCCCTGGAAAGTGGATCGCGAGGAAAGGAAGGAAGGAGGCGCGCGAAGAGCGCAGAAAGGGGCGTAGAATCTTACCGCATCCGGCTTAGTGGCGAAGAGCTTCTAGAACACATGATCTGTGAACGCCAAAAAAAAAGTCCCCCGAACGGATCTAGACGTCAAGCTCAATTTTGCGATGATCGCATGGGATTATTTTATAATTCATTAATTCATGGACTCATTATTGACCTACTACGCTTCCTGGAGATCTCGCGCCCGATATTTAGCTGCCCAGCCCAGTTCGTCTTCAATATCCTCCAACAGCCGGACGGCCGCTTTTCTCTCATCGGGGTCGCTAAAACAACACCCGGCTGCCAAAAATTCATGGTTAGCGCGGAAGGCGCCCAAGTCGGGGTACATGAGCACAGACCATAATAGATCGGCTGGACCGAATTGACACGACAGCTCCCATCGGGCTTACTTTGAGCAATTCCACAGATCTGTCTGGCATGGTAGAGGAGTTTGGTCTGTACATGTATCAGTATGCACCAAGAATGAGGGGATTGCCCTAACTTCGATTTTGCGAAAAGCCAGCACGCAGCTGCAGTCCTGGGAAGGACTGGTGGTCAAGAGAAAGATCTGGGCCAGGTGGAACATCTGCCAGGACGAGGCTGTAGGACAGGATTTGATTAGCGATTGTGTTTATGAGCAGTGTATAAGAGACATTACCGCAAACGCTTCTGGCAAACCAAATGGTTCGGAATACTTGACCGTCCTCCTCAAACTCAGAAACAGGATCCATGTAGCCCTTGCCCTTGACGGAGCTGCACCAATGATCAAGGAGGTTACACAGCTTACGCCACTCATGATTCCTTTCTGCCACGGACCTCCCTTCTGGGCAGGCCATGAAATTCACCACCTTGGCAAGAATCGTGAGAACTCTACAGATACGCCCATTAGCATTAACAGAAGCTCGAAGAGGAAAGTACTCACTGATTATTCACCAAGTCCTCACTGCCTTCCTGTCCAATATGATCAAGGTCCACTGCCCAAAAGTCGGGATCGAGTCTCAGCGTGGATCTATTGATAATCGCGCAGACCACTTCCTGCCGCGCGATCGACCAAAATCCCGCCTGTGCAATGCCCCCGGACGACCCATTCACTCGATGCACCCTCCCAAAAGAGAAGACCCCATCTAGATGCCTCTGCCAATCGGAAGTCGGCGCGTCCAGCATTTCATAACAGGAGCATATGACCGTCGCAGCAAACCCGTAGTCCGCAAACGGTTGATCCAGGTTGCCCAGCCGATTAATAAGAAGCGAGATGGCGGTATTATAATTCTTTCGCGCTATCTGCATGCCGTCCTGGAGCTTTCCGATGAGGAATTGCTGCTTTGCAGCACAGGCAATGCTAGCTGCTTTGAGGAGTGGGTCTTTCACAGCGAGCCGGCAGACTTTCTTTGCGAATGTTTCAGAGAGGTCAGAGAGGTCCATCCAGGTTCCTACTTCCGTGCTGAATTTGCGGAGCAGGTCTGCTTCTACCTTGGAAGTTAGCAGTCCCGGAGGAGCGAGTTCGTCCGAAGCTGCTAGCACGCCCACGCCTATGGGCGAGGCTATGGTATTCGGAGTCCATTCCTCGGGCGAGTGCTCGGATAAACAATACGAAGAGCTGGACACTGTAGTGCTGGGCTCTAAATCGTGGTTTCTCATGGACAGAAGGGCGTGAGCTCCTTCGTTCGCGGTCTCCGTGACAGGCTTGGCGGAAGAGGGCGTCGCGTTGGATGGTAACCTATACTCGGTAGGAAAGTTCTGAGGAGATACATGACTGGTAATATCTGGCGCATTATCAGGGGTGGCAGAGTGCTCGTCTGGTAGAGAAACCAGCCTATTATGCGGGGATACTGGACTTTCATGATTGTTCGATTGTGCAAAGTCCCAGTCTCTCAACTGTTCTTGTGGCAAGACAACTTCCGTCGAAGTTTTATTGGCATCATTCCTGGAATCCTCGTTGGTGTGCTCGGAGAGGACATTCTGATATTCAGCAGTTATGTCATTCGTCTCATCAATGAATTCGCCTATAAACTAGTAAGCGGCGACCCTGTATGTTTCAAGTATCAGGCCTCCTACAGTGCGGCTTAATGGCCACCCAGATATGGTCCGGCTGAAAGACACTGGACTCTCCATTCCCGGAATCATCGCTAATAGATGGATTCCGCCATTGTTTAAAAGAAACTAGATCACTGGAGATGCATTGGATGCGAGACTTCTCACAGTTATTGCACCGGGGCCGTCGCTCATCACACTTCACCTTTCGTGAGCGACATGTTAGGCTGGGAATGTGTTAGCTTATCAGTCAGTCAGTTTGGATAATTCAGTTGTCGCTTACCACCCTAGTGTCGTCAGTTAGTTCATACCAAGGCTTGTGAAAGCTGCCGAGTCGCTTACCGGTCCATGTACGCATCTTCCGTTCTGCTAGCCGATAGCAGCAACAGAAAGAGCTCGGTGAAATAAGCAGATATGCGGGCTATCCTGTGGGGAGATAGATGTTGCGAATCGGCAATCACGCCGAGGTCGCTTTGGTAACCGACTCGTAGCCGGAGTGGGGGAATCTGTCTCAGGGTTACCCGAGCGAGGACAGGGCATCCTGCCGGGCCATTTACCACGTCGGCCTTTTTACATACACCAATTACCAAGGTGTGCGCTCGGTTGAAATTCAGATAAATCCGAAGATACTGCCACGTTCTTTCATTTACCCATTCATCTGATCGGTTTGACTCTCACCATTTAAACACTAGCATCTATGAACAAAAAAGGAAGACCAAAGGCAAATCCAATCTGGATTAATAGTAGCTACCAACATCAGAGCCCCAAGGTATAAAGCATATCCCTCTTCCCCTCACACAGACAGACCTCTCTCTTCATGCATTTTCCAACTATCCCTTAGTACCAAAGCCCATCATTCGGCTTCAGCCCCTGCTTCCTGCAATGCTCATAATACAAGTGCGCATAACTAAAGATATCCATCGTATTCTTCAAGGTATCATCGTCATTGAAGAACTCCAGACTGCCCGAGATGGTGAACACGACCTCCGCGCCTTTGCTCATGTGCAGCGTGTGGATTGTGCCGGGGTTTTCGACGACATAGTCGCCTGGTTTGGCAACCCAGTCGTATCTATCAGAAACACAGTAAATCAGTGTTCAGTCAAATAACCAACTACCTAGATGGTTAATTAGTGGGGTAGAGGGAAATCATACTCCTTATAATTCCACTCCCCATTAACGGTAACAGCCGTAACGGTCCCACGATGCCGATGCTTACCGAGCCACGTATCCTCCGAGCTGCGAAGCACGACGACAAATGTGCCGGAGCGCGTTTCGAAGCGCAGGGGCTTGAGTTCCAGGTTTTCCATCCATGGGTGCCAGCAGGTGTCCTTTTCGCCGTTGATGTACACGTCTGGCGAGCTGAATTTGTCTGCGAGGGACAGTTCGGCTTTTTCGAGGGCGCTTAGTTTTGATTCTTCGGTACTGCTGCTTTTGATTTTGTCTGCGGGAGCGTCTTGGTTGGGGCTTGTTGTTGAGGGAGCCATGATGGGAAGTACGTCTTGAGGGTGGAGGGATGTAACTAGTATAGTAGTGGCTTTTGATCGTGATTAGGAGAAGAAATAGGGGATTGAGAGATATGACTGGGGTTATATATATCTTTTCATTTGGTCTAATATGCGGGAAGTTGGCTTGTTACACTCGTGAGGAGAGAGATGTATAGGCAAATTCTCGGTATGATTTCCACATTTATAGCGGGGGTCATCACACGACATTGAATATACAAGCTAAGTACTTGTTTCACATGATCATAGTAGATTGGGTTTGTAATTCAGAACTAGGCATTATTTCTTTCCCTCTCAAGATAGGCTACGAACAGGTTATGAGGCAAGGAAGGATAGAAATCTGGTGGCTCATTTCATATGAAGCAAAGAGGCCGAAGATATCCCAATCTCTCGAACATCATCAACTCGTTTGCCTTGATTATTATACGTAGCTACATTGCTCGCTATGGTATCTACGTTAAGAAATAACCATGGATGACCATTTACTCGAATCCCAGTCCAGAAATCCCGTTTCAAGGATAATCTAGGTAGGCCAGAGGTTTTATCTTGTATAGCGTCAAACAAATATAGTACCTACTTAACCTAAAACGTAAGACTGTAAAGAATAGAGTCAGATTCTCTATTTAAACCCTCCATCTGTCTGTCCGTCTGAAAAGGACGACCACACAGACAACAAGACAATCATCCGGAGCGCAAGAGCGCAATCTTCGGTGTAAACAGCAACGACCATATGAAAGCCGCGCATCCATCGATTGGGGCATACTTAAGAATAGGAAGGGTAAGGACAAGGCAAGCAGGATGAGTAAAACAGACAAATCACTGAACACAGCACATAACAGAAAGAGACCCGAACCTTGAGAGATAAAAAAAGTCGAAAGAAGAGTAATATAGATAATATCGAACATTCTGGCTAAAGAAAAGAGAAGAGAGAGAGAATGATGAAGAAAGAAGGAAACAAAAGACCCGACCCTCTGCTGTTTGCCGAATGAAGCATAAGAGAACATCCCAGCACCAGATATCAGATACCAGTATCAGCGCCGACCGAATCATAGCAAAAAGTCATTCCGAACATTGATGAACGCCCCGGCGCCGCCGTCTTCGCTGATTTCATTGACAAGGACTTCCGTTTGCTGGTATAGGCGCTCTAGCGCTGCTGCTGAGGATTTACCCAGACTCACTACATCAAAAAATCAGTACTGTCGAGAGAAAGAAAAAAAGGGTATTGACATACCGAGTATAGCCGAGTTCAACTCCTCAGCAACAGCGACTCTCCCCGCGGGATCGAGATAATGTCCATGCACCGAGCGCTTCGGATCCGCGTATGCAACCAGCGAAAAAATATCATCTAGCATCTTTTTGTCGCCGCCGTTCTCGTCAGACGGGTAGTCCATGTGCAGTTGCTGGCCGTATTGCACTGCCTCGGTGAGGAGCTCGTTAAACTGCATTGCGGTCTCAGGTTCTTGCTCTTCCGTATCCATCCCATCTGCAGCATCCCAGCCGTCGCTGGCGTCGTCGAGTTCCATTTCCTGGTCGAAGACGGCGTGTTCATCGGATATCCCGGGGCCGGTGGCTGCGCGGTGTCGTTTGGAGGATGACGCGGTTGCTGCGGCCGTGGCGGCGGCGAGCTCGTTGGAGCGGCGCATCATCTCGAGGAATTTGCGGCAGCGGAGTTTGAAGTGGATGTGTGGGTAGTCTTCGAGGACGTTGGCGTAGTACGCCTTGGTATGTTTGAGGGCTTTGTCAATGTCGCCGTCTAGGATGGCGGAGCGGATTTCTGGAGAGTCAGAGAATACCCAGAAACATCGGAGGAATGCTTACTATTGCGGTTAATGGCTTCTCTATCCTCCTCTACTTCATACTTTTTCAAGGGCTCGTCTCGCCCATTATGCAGAGCCGCCGTTTCGGTAGCCACCTCTTCAGCGAACGCGCGAGATGTCTCCACGTAGCCATCGTGAGCCAGAAACTGAGCGACCAGCTCCTGTAGTAATGCAGATTCATCAAGTGGTGGCTGGAGACTCGCTGTGCTGGTAGCGCTGATCTCCGAGTGGATGGAAGCTTTCTCTTGCTATTTACAGTCAGTTTCTGCTTTTCAATTTCCGGGAGAGTGACACACCCTGACCAAGCCGTCGATATCAAAAACGAACGGCTCCTGTCCAAAGTTCGCCCTCAGATGTACCGGCGGCTGCTTTTTCATTCCCACTGACGGGAAAAGTTTGACGTTGCGCAGCTCGTGAAACACATTCCCTAGAAGAGTTAATGAAATCCAGTATTCCACTTAGCAGTACATACCGAGAAAAACGCCATTCTTTGTAAAGAAAGCAGATCCCGTGGAAAAATTCACACCACATCCTACCGTGTCACCGACCCCAAAGGTCGGCCCATACGGCCTTCCTTGGCCTTGGCTCTCGCCGAAAAATGACTTGCCATCATCACCGTGGTAGGCCCAGGATTCCTGCTCCCAGCCGGGGAGTCTCTCAACCGATGCCTTGGTGCTTGAGAATCCAATCCCGATCATCCTGCGATATTGTGTCAATAGACGGTCAACATGGGGCAAACGCCTTTCACATACCCCTCCTTCGGTTTAGATTCGATCTTAACCTCAAAATAATATATCCCACATTGTGGCGGCATGGGATGATCAGCTCGCAACGCTGCCGCTTCATGATCATGCTTGTTCACAGGACCGGTGTATCGTACGTCGAGTCCATTATTCGAGATCTCTAGACCCGCGTACTTATCTGAGCTGCTCCACTGCGTCGGCAGGGGCATGGTCTGATCCGTCGTGGCTGGGGGTTCCTTCTCGATGATCTCATAGGCCATGCCCCGATGGGACGGGACCATGCGGGGCAAATGAACATGGCTAGACGAGGCGGAGAGGGGAGGATTCGAGGCAGAGGTGTTGGAGCCAGTCTCTCGCTGGAGGGCAGCGAGCTTGGCGCGATGGGCGGCGTCGAGGCGAGACATGTAGCGGGAGTTGCGGAGGTAGGACGGTGTGAAGAAGGAGGGACTGTCGGAGGCCAGGCTGCCCAGGCCGTGGGAGAAGTCTGTTTGTCGTAGGTAGCTGGCATATTTGCGGGAGTACGCCGGCAGGGAATCCGGGGATGCCGTTGGTCGCCAGGCTGCGTTTAGGTGCATGTCGGTGTCGCCGCCAGACCAGGGCCGGGAGAAACGGCCGTCGGGTAATGGGAAGGGCGGCGGGTAGGAGGAGACCGGGTTGGAGGCGGAGGAGGAGTTAAGGAGATGAGCGAGAGAGCCCGAAGTTGGAGGGGAGAGGGCTGCGCCTGAGACGACGGAGGCGTAGGAGGAGCGACGTTGGGTGGAGGAGATGCTGGGGCCGGGGTATGAGGTGTTTGAAGCTCCTCGAGCTCCACCGGCTGGGGGTGGAGGAGCGTCCATGGTGCCAGTCCGGGTCACCCGCCCGCCAGATCGATACCGAGAGGCTGATTCACTGGCTGTTTAAAAGCGAGGTGAGGCGAGAGTGGTGGTGGTGGTGTTGTCCGCTTGGAGGGGTTGTTGCGTTGAGGTTGCGTGACCAGCGGGTCACCCGCTGCTTTCGGCCAGCAACAAAGCAAGAAAAAAGAAGCACGGCGGATTCCGGGGACAGCAGTCAGTGGCTTGTCAGGACGGGAATAAATCTTATTATTTCTAGTGTAGGTAAGTAAGGAAGGTGGTCGCTTCCTGTTCGCAGGCGGTGTGACCTGCTGGCCACTGTCCGACCTGGTGTTATAGTTCAAAGAAGAATGAAGTGGTTTAAACCGACTACCTACACTATTTAAGTCAGTCAGACGAAGACCAACCCAGCCGGGGCTGCCGTTGTTGCGGGGAAGGGCTGTCACGAGGCCCCCTCCCTTGCTCGTACAGAGTAAGATACATAGGAGGATCCATGGTCGTATAGAGGAAGTGAAGCAGTCCGAGCATAGATGGAAGATGGAATAATCCAAGTAGAAAAAGAGTGAGCAATGCAGTTCCCGACATAGCTATGATACACAAATACAAAGCGACATTTCATCTCGACCAGGAGGTGTGTGCCATGGAAATCCCTCCTTGCACCCCCCCCAGAACACACAAACGCCGACCCCCAGGATTATCATGAGTACCCGAAAATAAAAACCAAAAATAGTGTACAGCAGTAAAGCATCGCAGAAACCCAATCACGTCACGCCGCCATGGCAATGGCCGGCGACGAGGCCTCCACGGGGTTCGACGGAGCGGGCGTGACATCCCCGGAATGGCTCTTTTCACTCGGCACCGCACTGCTGCCATTCATCTCCTGGTCCGGGATAGCGAGCGAGGGCTTAGTGTCGCTGTCGCCCGACTCCAGCGCGGCCACCGTGCCCTCTGGGTCTTCAGAGAGCTTGGAGGACTTGTAGCTGCGCCACGACGGCAGTTGCCAGAGGATGCCCGTAAAGCTGCGCAGCTGCAAAGGCTTGCGCTCCCAGCGACGACATGGCGCACCAGTGCGGTCCAGCGAGCGTAGATGGGCATTGATCGCGCCAGTGTTGGCCTTGGGGCCCAGTCGGGACGGAGCACCCGTCCGGCCAGAGGTTTCACCTCCTTCCTCCCTGCGATGAGCGTTAGCATGGTATCCTTTTGGTTTCTCGTTCAGACAAGCTTACAGTCGAGGCTTCTTCTTCGGGCCCGGCCGCCCCCTTGACCGCGCGCTCGACTCGGTCTGCCCGTTCGTGCGTTTGTTGCCCGGCTTGGGACCCGGAACGCCCTTCCGGCGAGGCGTGTCACCCCCCGCGTTCGCCCCCGTGGCCGGTGTTGAGACCGCGTCCGCATCGGAGCCATTGTCGGCCGAGGAAGGGCGGGCAGCAGGGAGGTCGGCCGCAGAGGATGAGGCCGGCGAGGAGCCCTTAATGTCTGGGGTGTTGTTTTCTTTCGTAGGGTTGACGAGGGCGCGAAGGGAGTCGGGTGTCATCTTGAGCACCACAACCAGCTTGCCCTTGGGCGAGCTCTTCGAGCCGGCGCCCCGGCCCGAGCGACCGTTGGTGGTGGACGAGGTGGTGCCGGCGGCAGGCATGATGATGGAAGATGGACTTTTTTTTTTTGGGTAGGTGAATTCGAACAGAAAGGAAGAGGGTGGAGGGAGAGACGAGGAGGGTGGTGTTGCGATGGGGCAATTCCCGTCCGGATGTGGTGAGGTGTCTCTTTTCCGCCCGAATTTGTTTTTCAGGCCCGGGGTTCTCAGACCGCGTTATCGAGAATAATCAAGGAGGAATCCGGTGAGGTGAGGAGCATAGTGTGGATGGATGGGTGATGGATGAGAAGGGGGGAGGATGAAGACGGAAGGGGGAGAAGGAAAGGGGGAAGCGGAAAGAAAGGGAGGCGGCAGGGAAAGGGATCGAGGGAGTGGATTTCATTGTGGTCTCGTCTATTATTCTGGGAGTGAGTGGAAGAGGTGGAAGCGTCTGGCGGCGATGAGCACAGTTCCGTCGTGTTTGCATACCGGTATTATATACCGGGATTACCCTGCCTGAGGCGACTCAGGGTGGGTGGGTGACAGTACATGACAGCGTGCTCTTTCGGAAGTTCTGGACAGGATGGTACATCCATTCGACACCTACTGACGCATCCTCGAGGGGCCGTTTTACTGCTCATCCCTGCTGGTGTTTCGTGGGGGGTTAGTTACTGCCTCGCATTGGTCGAGGACGAGGGTACATTCCAGACCCCCAACACAGACTGTTCCCAAACTATGGATAGCCCTAACGAACACACGGATGGATGGATCGACCACTTCAACGCACCCGCTGCCTCCCGAAAACATGAATGGCGATCCACCCTCGGCAGACACAGACCGGGTGACGAGGAGACTGGTCTGTCTGACTCATGTCTCACGCGTACACTGCTCACCCAAGGCTGATGATTGCCACCGGAGGGCATTTGCGCGACTAGTGAATTAAGTGATCCAACGGAAAAAGAAAATTGGTCATGTCCCGCGAATCAGGGATTGATTATTCCATGCTCCATCATCGAGTGCGATACATCTAAAAAGAGAGAGATTTTTTCTATATACGTGGTAAACTACCCATTCCTATACACATCTCCCTCCCATCGAGCAATCAATCGGCTTTCTCGGCCTTCCACCGCTCCGTCACCTGCGCGACAGCCCGCTGCACCTCCGGGCTGGATCGCACGCCAGCCAGGATCAGGCCCTCCTTCATGCCGCGGCGCAGCGTCGACACGATCTCGCGATCACCGCGGAACGGCACCAGGCCCAGCTGCAGGGTGCGGGTGGCCTCGACGTCTGCCGCGCGCGACAGCGCCACCACCTGGCCCAGCCGCTGCATGGTCTGCTGGGACAGCTTGTCGCCGGTGCCGGTAGCTGTGTCCATACGCGGTCCGATCTGAGAGATGAAAATGTGCATGGTGATCGAGGCGCGTCGGGCTAAGGTCAGGATCTGGAATGGAAGTAGATACCGTGTAGCGCCGGGAATCCATGACTGTAGTGCGGCGGGGAGGTAGGCTCCTGGCATGAACACGGCTTGCGGGTGAGTAATGATGAATAGCTCGAGCGTGAGCATCGCGGCCAAGGTGTAGAAGCGCCACTGCAGAATGGTTAGACCAGGACGTGTTGATTCGAGAGGTATGACTTACATAGCGCCCCCGATTCGGCCACCAGAGCCAGTTCAACACCATCATAAAGAGCAAACCACCGAAATACTGTGGGAAAATCGAGCGAGTAATCGACGTCATGATATAGTCCCGCATAGTCTTCTGGGGCCCCCAGTTCTGCATCTCAGGCCCGAACCGATCATACGCGAAGCGCTTGACCGGATCCACGAGGGTCTCCTGCGCGCCGCGCAGGAAGATGAAATACGCATCGGAATCATTGTCAAACCCCGTTTTGTCCGGGTGGTGCTGCGCAGCGAGTTTCCGGAACCGCGACTTGATGGTGCGCTCCTCGGCAAAGGGCGACACCTCTAGCACTTCGTAGAAGTCCCCATCGCTCTGGACTTGGCGGAAAGTCTCGAGTAGTGTATACAGGAGATAGCCGACGATCACGACGATGTAGATCCGGCGGCGATGTTTCTGGTAGCGGGGGGACTGTGGCGGAGGTCGTGGCTCGCCGGCGCGAATGGTGAGGCCATAGTAGATGCTCTGGAGGAAGGACGTGGCATACTGTAGGGTGGGTTTGTTAGACACGAAGATCGGTGCAATGGCCGATAGGACAAACTCACGCCGGGAAGAAATCCCCAGCCGATGAACGGCAGGATTGCCGACAGGGTGGAGGGCATGGTGGACGATTAGTTTGAAGCGCCTTGCATTCTTCCAACCTGTCCTGACCGAGTCTCCAGAGTCGATCCGCGGCCCCCATTTCCTATTGTTTGTCAACATCCCCGTCATTGCACTCCGCCCGGGACACCGCTTTCTACTTTGGGCTATACAGAGAAAAAAAAAAGTTCTCGACTCCATCGACCCCATTATTTCACGAGTTATCCCACACCTGCTCCGTCCGAGCGCAATTGCGTCCCCATGGCCGTCGACGCAATGGACATCGACAGCTCCTCGCTCGTCCACAAAGACGCCGAGCGCAAACGCAAACACAAGAACAAAGACAAGGTCTCATCACCGACCAAAAAGCGCAAGCATACGGATGCACCGCGAGAAAAGAGCAAAAAGACCAAAGCCCCCGAGTCGGCGGACTCCGAGTCTCCCTTCGCGCTCACCACCGCTACCCTCTACCTACCTCTCGCGCCCGTCTCCATTTCGCCGACGCATGCGCTCGCCTCGCTCCTGGCCGAGCATCTCTCCCCACTGCTGCTGACGTACTACCCCCCGCTGAAGGGGATCATTCTGGCCTACTCGAATGCCTCTATCTCCAGCAAGCCGCCCAATTCTGCTACCAGATCCTCCGCAGACCCGAACCCGCAACCGCTCACTCTCGCCACGAGCGCTGACGAGTACGGCGTCCTGTACGTGTACCTGACGGCCACGTTCCTGGTGTTTCGTCCCAAGCGCGGACAGACCCTGGACGGGTGGGTGAATGTGCAGTCCGAGGGATTCATGGGCGCAGTTGTGCTCAACTTGTTCTCTGTCGGCATTGAGCGCAAGCGCCTCCCGACGAACTGGAAGTGGGTGCCCCCGGGCGAAGAGGGCGGCAGCAAGACAATCAGCTCGGCCGCAGCTACAGACGATGAATCCTCTGATCATGAGACTGGCTTCGATCCCGCCAAAGAGCAGTTTCAGCCTGCTACAGTAGCCGCGGAGGAGATCCCGCTCGATGGCGATGACGAGGACGATGAGTCGGCGACGGGCTACTTCCAGTCTGTTTCAGGGCATCGTGTGCAGGGCTCTGTGAAGTTCCGTGTTGTGGATATCGATGTGATCCCCGGATCAGATCGGGATCGCGGGTTCATGAGTATTGAGGGGACAATGCTCTCTCCCGAGGAAGAGGAGAGACTGGTGGAGGCTGAACGGCAGGGTCATGCGATGCCGTTGTCATTTATCTCTTCGTCGAGGGCGAGCAGTGCCATTCCTATCACCAATGTGCCGCCAGCGTCGGCTGTACAGGATGTCTCCGTAGTGGAGATTGACGCCGACACAGACAAGAAGAAGAAGAGCAAGTCCAAGTCGAAGAAGAAGGAAAAGGAGAAGGCGAACTAGAGTCTGCATATATATATATATATCTGTCATTGTTATTTTTTGGAGGGCGTTCCGGTGCTTTGATGGGCCATGTGTACATGCTTGCTACTGAAAAACTCGAATTTTATAGTCAAAACAGAAACAGTTCATTCGTGTATTATCATTACTACATCTTCAGTCACGCCTTTACTCCCTCTGGCAGACCAACTTTGAGCACATCAACCCCATCCACAATCTCCTTCTTCGAAGGCATATTCCCACGCCGCATCAGCTCGGCCGACTTGGACATCACCGGATCCGCGCCCATCGTAGCCACCGCGACAATGGTATCTCCGCTACAGTAGTACGCCACGAACTTGGCATTCTCGGGCTCCCCACGGAGCAGGACGTCGTCATACCCACCCACAGTGTTTCCGCAGTAGCGCAGCTGGGCCCCGAGCGCAGACCAGAAGATGGGAATGAATGCCTTGGCCGGTAGGGATGAGAGCGAGCCGCGACGAGAATGGACAATCGCCCGCGCGACACCGCGGCCGGAGTTCTGCGCTACGTTCCAGTGCTCGATGCGCGTGGGCGAGCCGCCGTTGGCGACATCGGCGCCTGGGCCGCGGTAAGGGAATGTTGCGATATCACCGATTGCAAAGACATTGTTGTCCAAACCGGGCACGGCGAAGTGAGTGTCCGTGGCGATGGAGCCGTCCTTTTCCAGCGAGATGGACGAATTGTCGCGCAGGAAATCCGTCGCGGGCCGAACACCCACACCCAGAATGACCAGGTCGGCAGGCAGAACGGTTCCATCCTCGAGATGCACTGCGCCGACGGTCTGCGGATTCGAAGCCGAGCCCTCGGCCTTGGCCACACCCGCCGACATCTTGAAGTTCACCCCGTTCTTCTCGAGATTCTTCTGAAAGATCCGCCCGACCTCGGCACCCATCACTCGCTCCATGGGCGCGCTCTCCATCCCCACAATCGTAACGGCGTGGTCCTTGGACGACAGGCAATTGCCAACCTCCATGCCGATAAACGAGCTCCCAATCACAACAATGTTCTTCTTCCCCTCGCCCGCCGCGCCGAGAATGGCCTGCACATCTGCGACCCCGCGCAGCGTGAAGATATTGTTCAGCTCGCCGGCCTTGAAGCCTGGCAGAGAGAGGACACGCGGCACGCCGCCCGTCGCAAGAACCAGTTTCGTATATGGGATGTCTTTCCCGGAGCGGGTGGACACGGACTTCTTCTCGAAGTCCACGGCCGTCACATCGTCCGAGACTGTCTCGATCGCTGCCTCGGCGTACCATTCTTTGGGCCGCCATTGGATCTTGGATGCGTCTGCGATCAGGGCCTTGGAGAGCTTGGTCCGGTCGATAATGAGGTACGGCTCGCGCGAGATGATGGTGATGTGGCCCGGGTACTTGAGTTCGCGGAGGGCCTGCACAAGTCCCAAAGTGCCGCTTCCACTGGTTGGTTGTTAGAACAGGTAGGATGCGGTATAGAAACAGAAAGCCCAACATACCCGCCGACAATAACGACTCTCTCCTCCGGCTGCGACACACTGCACTTGACGACCGGGTTCCGCTGTCCGGCCTTGATATCTGCCTCCGTGCCGCGGATATATACGGCGCCGTTCTTCTCAAAAACATCAAACTTGTTCAGCGCGTTAGGCGCAGGCGCATCTTCCACGTCTCCAGTGCCAATGTTGAAACAGGCTGATCCATATCAATTAGCTTTTGTTCTCCCTTCTTTTCTTTCGTAATGACAAGAGGAGAGACCGGGAAGAGAAAACACACCTCCATGCCAAGGACAAGTAATCCTCCCATCAGGCGCCACAACACCCAGCTTCAAGGGCGCCCCGTAATGCGAACAGCGAGGACTGAGGGCATGCACCTGGCCGTCGAGCTTCAGCACGAGGACTTTTCCCTCCGGGACACCCTCGACCTCGCACTCGATTTTCTCCATGGGAGCAATGTCCGCGAAGGAGGTAATATCCTTCAATTTGTATTCTTGAGCCATTTTGGTGGATGGTGTATTTGTTGTTAATGTGCGAATGAATTTATTACGATGGAGAAAGGGCGAGGAAGAAGTTGAGGGAGAAGGTGCAGCAGAGAGGATTGGTAATAATACGCGTGAGGGGTTGGATGCAGTACCTAAAGACGAATAATGGCGGGGGGCACAACAGGGACAGGCGCAGCTGGGATTCTGGCGGCAGCTGTTACACCGGCCGCGTTGGGGAATTGAGGAACGGGTCTGGATGGAGAGATGACGTGAGCGGGGATGGATCTTAGTAGGTAGAGAGAATAGTGCTCTTCTCATGGTCAATTAGAGAGAGAGAGAAGAAGGAGAAAGGGAGAAAAACAGGTGATGCGAAGTCAAGGCAGTGATTCATATACTCGGGATGACATCACCCTGGATAGCTGCGGGAGCCAATCATGGAGACCGGGTTGTCAGACTAGTATAGAGCGGACAATCCTGCAATAATCCCACAGGAGAAGAAGAGAAGAGCTAATGATAACTATACATGATTATCCGGACAATGCTTTATACATGGATGATTGGTCCGATTTGAATGAGTGAATAAGATACACAAGAAAATATTAGAATACAAACGAAGGAAGGAATCCAGGTTAGCGACGGCCATGACTAGCCTGAGACAACCGCTGCACTTTGCCCGACGTCCTGGTTCGGCGTCTCGACGAGCGGCCGCTATCCTCATTGCTATTTGGTTGTGACTGTGACTGCTGTAAGTTCCCTGGCGGTGGACTGGAGGATAAGGTTAGGTCAACTGCGACAGACGTCTGCGATGGTTGGATCTGGGAGTTTCGGGATTCGCGAGAAGGGAGGGAGCGTCGGGAGCGAGAGCGGGTGGAGGCTGCCGGCGAGTCGAGATCGAGATCCGGCTGATGTTGAGAGGGAGTGGGAGTATCTTTTTGGCCGCTGGATGGGGATTTGCGCTTGGATGAGTTTGTCTTGGTCTTTGTTGATGGGTCTGGTGAGATGTTGAGGCCATCTCGACCCTGCTGGTCGAAGTCCGGGAGCGGACCATGTTCCTCCTCATTCTCATTCTCATCGTCATCCTCATCCTCATCCCCATCTTCCTCCGAGTCAGTCACGTTCCTCAAGGAGCCCAGAAGCGTGTCCCACGGACTCGACTTTGGACCGTTCTGCGTTGCCCCAAGCTCAGCCTGAGGCGCGCTCAGAGCTGCATCGTAGTACTCAACCTGAGACGACTGCATCTCCGAAGGATGAACGACTTCCTGATCGTCGACCTGGGCATCGGGTTCGCCAGACTGCCCGTTTGACAAGAATGAGATTTCCTGGTTGGAACTGTCTGCCGGAGCTAGCTGCGCCTCTCCGATAAGCGTCTGCCCATCAAGCATGCTTGTCTCGACCGGACGATGTCCTGACAATGAGCGCTGCGAGGAGTGCACTTCCACCTGGGGAGAGGGAAATCCCAGAAAAGCGGGCGATGATACCCGTGAACTTTGGCTGCGGTCATCGGTTCCGTTCGTTTGTACGGCGACAGGAGCCGGGGGTTGTTCAGACGGTGGCGCAGGATTAGATGGGGATGGTGGCTGTCCGCTGTCGGTGACAAGCGTATCCTCATCGACGTCCATTCCAGCCAGACCCGAAACAGGCTGGGCATTCGGCATAGAATCTTCAATTACAGATACAGGACTTGGGAACAAGTAAGCACGTGAACATTGCAAAGAATGTAGACGGGGAGAAAAGAAGAAATCAATTGACTGACACACTATTCTCCTGATCATGCAGCCTCGCAGGCTGCAGAAGCTTGGGATCGCTGAGTTCCGGAAAAGCAAGCTCCCGGAATCCATCATCCTCCTCTTCGTCGTCATCATATCCCGGCATTTCGAACCCACTGTATTGGCGGGGCTCGTCGTCCATGTCCGTTTCGACAGGCTTGGGTTTTCGATCGCGTTGCGCAAGTCGCACTTTGATCATGCCGTGATCACCCACCTCGTGGACTTCGGCGACTCGATACTCCGACATTCGCGGTTGCCAGTTGGTGGCTTTCGACATGTCAAGTTGCCGGAAGGCAATGATGACTCCGACTTTGACATCACTTGGCACGAGATTGGGGAGAGAACTCATGTCGCTCGGAAGAGCTGGGAGATCTTCAACATTCTCCTTGGGGTCTGCCTCCGTAGTTTCTGGCTCGGCATCATCATAATTGAGTTGATGATCACCTTCAAAGTAGGCCTCGTAATGGGCATTCCCATCTTCGTACTCATCTTCCGGACCGTTCTCGTAGACTTGAATTCGTTGCTTTCTTTTCCGCTTCTTGCCCCCGCCCTTGAGCTCCCGAATCATCGCATTCGCATCCGCATCCCAGCGTTGTTTGAACGGAAAAGGCGGCCCACTCAGTTCGACATCTTCAAAAACACACTCGGTTGCACGGATGACCAGCTTTTCTTGCCAATCTACATCCGACTCGCTCTCTTCTTCGATGGGTTGTTTCTCTTCTTCTTTCTTCTTCCGAGAATGAACGGTACTGGCCTGGGCAGCGAATTTGCGTCTTGCTGCCTCGTCTTCTTCCTTGTTCTTGGGCGTGCGTACCCCGAGTGACCCAAAGAGCATTCGACGAGAGCTTGCAATGTCCAGAGTGCGACGATGCGCCGGGGATCTTTCTTCAGCCGCTTTTCCACTGGCAGCTACCTCTTCATCAGCGACAGCGACAGATTGTCGGGGCGGCACATTCTCCTTTTCCGACGACCCGTCTACCTCAACGCCACCAGCCGCAAGATCCCGGAGCAGTTTCTGACGTCGAGCCTCGAATTCTGCCTCGGCTTCTTCCTTTTTCTGCTCCTTGCTCAAAGGCCGAGACACATCACTCGACTCGACGGGCACGTACCACCCTCCGTTGGCTTCCTCCCACTCGCGTAACGCGGCGAAATCTGCATCAGCGGACAGAACACCGAGCTCCTTCAATTTTGATAGCCGCCGACGAAGCTTGTAACGGGTATTGCTCTTTCGAGTTCGCACTGATCCATGGCCAGGTGGGTTGAGAATCGAGAGTCTCGCCTTCTTTGCAGGTGGAGAACTCTCGACCCTCTCCGATTCCTCCGAGCTAGACGCCTCCGAGCTAGAGCTATCCGAGTCACTGGATGAATCGGAGTCAGAGTCTTCGTCGGAAGAGTCGGCATCGGAAGAGTCACTGGAGTCGCTGGATGAGGATGCAGATGATTCGGAGACGGGAGATATGCGATCAATTGTCCCATTGGGTTGAGGCACATCGATCTGCGTGCCACCTCCGTTAAATCGCACGGCCTTTGATGTACGCGGAGAGGTATCCTCTCCATGGAATCGCTTGTTAGAAAGAGACGAAGTTGGTCGCAGCGAACTCCTGCGCTGCGTATCCGCCGAGGAGGGTCTCTTGGACGCCGAGCTCGAGCGCAAGGCATGCCGACTAACAGGTCGACCCTGGATTTCAGCATCGATCAACTGAGACGCAGGTCCTTCAAAATCTTCCTTCAAAGCTTGAAGTTCGTTCTCTAATTCCTCTTCTTCAAAATCAGGGTCGCGGTCGCTCTCCTCATCATCGTGGATAGGGTGCCGGATCACAGTCCCCAGATCAGATACTTCATGCTCGGCGGGTATGACGGAGAGTTCCTTGCCAAAACTCGACTCGCCCGCTGGCAGCCAGTCGCGATCTGCGCCTTCTTCGTCTGCATCCGTGTGAATCTGATCGGGCAGATACTGCGGGGAATAATCGGACTCCCAGCCCGAGAAAACCGTGCGCCGTTTCTTTCGCGGCGGGATATTTATGACAGGTCGAGTGGAAGCTGTCCGTCTCAGGTATGGAGACCCGAAGGGGACACCGTCGATGAGATGTTTGCCGTCATTCGAGATCTGGTGGCGTCCGCACATGCGCCTTGCTCGTAGATCTGACAGTTGAAGCGCTCGAATACTGTTGTAGGTTGAGTTAGCCAAGAACCCGTAGCGAAGGACAGATCCGGAACACATACACAACCTCATCGCCCTCCCGGAACAAACCCTCCACCTCCATGAAATGCAAACATTCCGAGCCACCTATCTCAACAACATAATCTTCCAGTCCCCATTGCCCGGTGGACTCCGCGTCGAAAAGAGCCGGCCCTGTCTCGAGCGGGACAATCTCGTTCACATCTTCCAGGAGCTGCGCAACTGTGTACCCGCCGTTTGCAAATGCGATGTTTGGATTGCGAGCTGACGAAATAGCCGAGGTGGACGCTGCGATTTGCGTGCCATACCCGCCTGCTGCGGAAGCCGGGGAGGTGGTTGTCCATAGGATGCGCGTGACGGGCAAGCCGTGGCGCGAGATGATAAGGTGGAAGCGCATGGTGTGTGTAGGAGACAGTGTGGCTAGACCATCGGGAACAATAGGTGAATAGGTGTTGTGTTCTTCAGGTTGTGTAGCTGTTCAAGATTGCGGTCTGCAGACTCGGGTCGGGGATTGAGGACGCGACACGGGATAGGGAACGACAAAAGAGGAGATTTAGGGCAGGAAGGGTTATGGCGACTGCCATGTAAGAGTCGGAGTTGGGTTGAACATGCTCCTCCGAGTAGTTTCTGGAGAGTCGAGAATGAAGTAGCGCAACGAAAGAATCAAACGGAGCTCGACCGCGTGGAGGCAGTGGCGCTAACCCGATGGGTAGATTGAATGCCCCAGGCCGAACTTTTACAGATCTATATTTTGGATGGATTATGAATATTCCATGCAATTGATTGATAGTCCAACAGCGCTAATAATGAATAATGCAAAACAAGATCATTTACGCGGCATTAAAATGGGGGTATCCGGTTTCAAACTGGCCTGCAAGGTCGAAAACCATGTCTGGATGTTCAATGACGTGCCTTCTATGTACGGCTGTACGCCTTGCATCCTCTGTTCCGTGTGTATCATTCAACAAGGTCACAATGTGAACAATGATGGGTAGAATTAGTATCACTGCTAAGCTCACTTTGGGCCAGAAGTACGTGGAACAGGCTTCCGGTTCGGAACGCCCAGATTAGGCCTCGATGGCCCGCGCTCCACCGCAGCCGGTGGTTGCAATTGATCATCCGCAACAGGCTGATACTGCGGCGGACTCTCGTCGTCATCGCGGTTATTCCGGGGGACTTTCATCGTACTGCGTGAGCGTGCGACGGGGGAGGTGGGAGGCGAAGGAGATTCGGGAGGGGTGGTGGGCAGCATATCAAAAGATTCCGAAGAGGAGCGGTTCTCGCGGTAGGCTGCGGATCCTGAAGTCCCCGCTGCCGCAGAACCATCCTCACCAACTGGCGACTTGGCATCAGCTCCAGATTCCATGGTGCTCCCCGAGGTGGTAGAGGAGCCGTCTGGTGGGTGATACTCGCGGCGGGGGCCATCCACCGGGCCGATATTTTCTGCCATTGCATCCTCATAGCTAGGGGGTGCCTCGTCGTAGACGTCTCCGACGCTGACTGCTGCTGGTAATGTGGCCGGACGTGGGGGCATAGGTGGCCGAGGCTGACCTGCGTTTGCTGACGAGCTGAGTTGGGAGGTCCGGGGTGACTGCGTATTCGGAGATGAAGGTTGTAAGGATGCCGCGGCTAGTGCGTCTAACAGGGCTTGCGGAGGAGCAATTCCGGAATAGACCTTGACCGGCATTCGCAAGGGAAGAACAATGAGCTGAGGCTATAACAAAGTTAGACAAATCCATGATAAAGTCAAGGAATACACGTACATTCATGCTCCCAGGACTGCCATGCGTCAGGCCTACCCGGACCTCCAACTCATACTTTCTCTCGATATTACATGTCTCGAAAGACGGAGCTACCGTGTTTGGTAGGGGCCAGCGATTCCATAAGCTCGCGTCAAGAGGCAACTCGGTGCCTACCGGTTCACCGGGTTTGCCCAAGGGCATATTCATGTTGCTGCGGCTCATGATGACCCAGGAGCCAGTTTCCGTGCGGTTGAGATCGTGCGCCAGAATCTTGGTGTAGGCAACTAGTTCCACTTGCAGCATCTGGAGGAATATGGTTTCGGAGGTTTCTGTGACCTTCCTAACGAGGAGCCGGAGCGGAACTGGTTCGTTGCAAGTGAGAATGGGAGGATTAGGAAGTCGTGCATCCACAGCCACGCGAGGAGGCTCCACATCCCGAGAGGATGAGCGTGAGAAGAGATTCTTCTTCTTCTGGCCTCCTGGGACCTTTGAGAATTGATGTTGTCGCCTGGCGTAGGTCTCTTCGTTGGGATTCCCGGTTCGCGGTGGTTCAATGGGGAGAAAGTTGAGGCCAACGGTCTGCCAGAAATCAAATCAGCGAGCCACTCCACCCCCATTCAGAAAATAACACTCACCGCTCTGATATTTTTACTGTAGAACTGCGGCCGGATGATCGTCACTTTCACGTAGTATTTGATATCTGCCATGCCGGGAAACCCGCTTAATGACGGAGGAAGAGACTTCTTGACATGACGGTTCGTATCGCGAGCCATCTCCACCCTCAGCCCGGCCAAGTTGACGTTGAGATTGGTGAGCATGCTATTGTGGGTACTGCAAGCATTATTGAAGGGGAACTTGAACTGGAACGGGTATTCGTAGGAGCCGGGCGCAAAGGTGTAGGCGGTTGCCGGAGAACCCGATTGCATGACCGCTGGCGTGGGGAAGACGGTCGCGACCTTGTAGAGGATCTGCACGCGATCAGTGTTGCTGGCCCGATCAAGCCCATGGGCCAACCCTCAACCCACCTTGTGAACCTCCAGCTCTGTCCGCTTCTTATCCGAGTGCACATTGTTGGGATTCCGGGGCCCGGAGAGACGCGTGCGACTCTCGCCCTCCAACTTGACCTGGATACCTCCGATCGCTGTTTCGGAGGGGAGGTTGAGAACAACTTTGCCGGAAATGTAGTCGAGGTTGGTGTAGTGCTTCTGCTGCTGGCTGGCTAGCAGGATGGTGGCGGACATGGCGGCGAGCGCCCGAGGCTCTGAGCGCGCGCGCTCTCACTGTCGCAGCCTCTTTGGATTTCCAGGTTGCCGAGCTCAGTTCGTGCGAGAGGGCCAATTTGGTCAGGGTCGATGGGCGGACAGCCCTCAGGAATTGGTGACTTGGGGAAGTGGGAGAAGAAGAACTAAAGCGGCTCAATGAGGAGCAAAGAAAGCAGGAATGACGTGGGGCGGATCATGGGGGGTTGCCGAGCTTGGTTTCTTCCACACCAACAAGAATAATCTTCTTCTTTCCTTTTGGTTCTAATAAATAATAGTTTGTCAAGAAGGAAAGACTGCGCCTTGTCGCTCAGCCACACGTGCCCATGGATGGGGATGTGCGATGGTGTTTGCCACGGAACTAGGCCGGGTGTTCGAATACATCGACGATCAGGACGGCAGCTATATAGTGCCAGCATGGGCAGGAGACGAGCTGATGCTCAAGGCTACCAGTATATACATTCCGCATTTAGTTCTTCCAAGAATAGATGATTACGTCGAGGATGTAGTTATCTCCATCCAGGGTATCTCCAGGCACCAGTGTTTCTCACAGGCCCGCCTTGGCCAGCATGTCTACGGCCGAGATCGTCAGCCCCCGGCCCGAAGGGTTGGGCCCCACGGTAGATCACATACCTGCGATGTCCAGGTAGAACGCAATCGCGTTGAACTGCTGTCGGTTACCGGTTACTTCCCCAGCTAGCCACTTGAGTCGGTTGGTCCAGTTGATCAAGTCGAGGTGGCTGACCCCCATCAGGGTTCCCTTGTACCCCAGCTCGCCTCCCCAGTGACTGCTGGCGACACTGACGAGGCCGTCATTGGGGCCTTCGGCTTCAGCTAGGATGCGATGGGAGAGCCGGAAGATGGACCAAATACTCGGTTCCACGGCGGCACCATACGAGAAATAGCTATTGAGCACTTTAGTAAAGGAGATCGCTGGTCATCTTCGATGAAACGCACCGGACAGTGTCTATGTCAGGCGTGTTCGGGTTAAAGGTTTCCCCCATGTACTTCCGGGTTAGTTGTTCAAAGGCACCCGTCTCAACCTTTAGACGGTCGAGTGCATAGTAGATCTGCGGAAGGCGATCGGCTGTAATGGTATGAGCTTCGGCGTTGAACAGACTGGATCGGGCAAACAAACCTCCTATCGTTTCAAACACATAGTCCGCCACGGCCGAGCCTGTCGCATAATTAGAGATGTCAGGGAAAGCGAACAACAATAACAGACCTCGATGCGGAGTCGCAATCGTGGTTAGCGACAGTACTTTGAATTTCTGGGGCTGGAGACGGCTGATCATATATCGTGAATCAAGCCCGCTTCGCACTTCTCATTAGCTGTTGCGCTGGAAGGTGAAAGCCAGTTGCGATAGTTATCTCACCCCTAGAGGATGAATCAGAGACAGTTTTCATTTCGCAGACAAGAGAATCCATACCATGCTATGTCTGTACGCAAAATCATCAGCATACCTACAGACCATATCGAAAGCAAAACGGGACATACGCAATGACATTGACGTCCTTCCTGCGCGCGTCAGTCTCAATGATTCGGGCCAGTTCCTCTGCGCGCGCCTCAATTGATGCGGATGGGGGCACTGTGGCCGTGATCACCTCAATTCCTCGCGCGGAGAGCGCCTCCTTTATTCCGCGCCAGTACTGGACACCGGGGAGATATGGACCGGCGAGGCGCAATTCACTGAATCCGAGCAGACCGTGCGCGAGAACGACGGGGTGTTTTGGCGCCGCTATATGGACGAACGGTGAGCAGAGAGCTTTGTGGCGCATGGGAAAGGGGAACGAACCGTAGTCATTGCGAATCACCGAGTATTCGTCGCGAATGACCTTACCATGATCTTCTAACCGGGGCTCAAGAACGGAGCTGTGTTTTATCGATGAGTGGATGCTCCTTCGCAATGGTATTCGCTTGGTCGCATTCAAGACGACAGCATGTCTCATCGTCCTGAGGGTGGTTGAAGCAGTTCGTGGATGTTCTGTTGTTGCCCGACGTCATCGGCTCATGTGACTGACTATGCTTCGCCCTGACTGCAAAATATACACTTTTCTTTCTGGCTTCATTTTCAAAAGAAACTGGCATACCGAACAGGACTTATTTGTTTCTCTGCGTAAGCCCATGAATTTTTACAACCATTTGCGCATCCATTATTTTGACGAGATTCGGTTTTGCTTCGTCTTGTGCCCAATTGTAGCCTTCTACCGGGATAAACATAAACCGAACAATAGAGTGGATTCAAACAATCATGCAGTCATAACGGTCGTAAACTAATATCAACTCTACTCCACGATCTTCACTATCACGAGCAACCCGTCATACTCATCAGAGGATGTAAGGTGTGGTTTTCCTCACAATATAGACCTCGCCAATCAGAACAGTGCACCCGACAACCATAGCAACAGCAATAATAGGCATATTGACACGGAAAAACTCAATGCTACCCACGCGGATATGCTTTCTCGCCAGGATATCGCGCCAGAGCAGACCAGCCAATGATGCACTGAACGTCGTGCTAAAGGCGCCGTAGTTCACACCCAGAGCCATGCTGTATACTGTAGCCCAGAAGTCGCGATCACTGATATGGATTCCGTTTTGTACATGGATTTCTTGCCAGGTTTGAATAACGCGGGAGAGGAGGATGGTTGTCCCGATGTTCGTTCCGGCAAACTGGACATAGCGAGAGGTTAGTCGGTCGAACGATGCAAATGTAGGATATCCTTGAGATACTCACGTTGCATAGGATCACAGACAAAAATCCCATACCGCCAATTGCCCCAACCGCCCCAGTCTTGCTGACCCAGTGATCCCATCCATAGGCAAATACAGGCACCCACCCTTTGGTCACAAGTGCTTGCACGAGGACGAACATGGACAGCGCAAATGGAATCAGCGGGAATGGTAGGTGAGACATCACTACTGTGACGGTGGGAAATGTCTCCTGTAGCCACCCGTAGATATCGGCAGCGAGTGATACCAAAGTTGTTGGTGATTTTTTCTCGGCGTTGTAAACAGCTCCTCGTGTCTCCTCATCAATCCCACCGGTTGGTGGTACGTCTAGGGCCTCAGGCGAAGACGTGAGAGCCCGTTCTTTCGAGCTAGTGAGGATTGTAGCTGGTGGCAGCATATCGGGGAAAGGCTCCTGCTCCTCCTTTTCAGCAATGACCGAAGCTGACACCGGCGTTTGACCGTCCAGATGAACTGTTTTCGTGTCGGTGCTTTCGTCGACGGGGGCGTCGAGTGATATTCCACCATTTGTGTGCTTTGTATCCGGGCTCTCTGAAATGTCATGTGTATTAGATTGCGTGCAATTGATTGCCATCTGTTCCGGCGAGGCAGAATTTGATTTTTGCCGTTCTCGAGCAATTTCTAGCTCCCGTCGGCCCTTGGCAGCAATTTCGCGTGTCTCGTGCCGATGAATCCACCCAAATGCAAGGTCCCAACAGAGCATGACAAAAGCGGCAGGTAGGGTTACCCAATACACTGGACGCTCATGGCCAGAGTCTGTAGCGGCGTTAAGCACGAGAAGGGTAATGAGAGTGGCGGCCATAATGACAGCACCAAAGGCGGCGCCTCCTTTATCCAAGAAAGGGTTCATAATCTCTTCTAGGGAAAGGGTTTTGGTCTGTCCGGGATTCTCCTCTTCGACCACCTCGTCGTTACCTCTGGCGTGAGGAATATTGGGATTCACGGGCTTCTTGGCCTTGGCCTCATCGGAGAGCTCGTGCATTTCAATAGAGAGCGGGATCAGAGATACGTCTGCAAAGATGATGTATAGCAAGAAGGGGAAAATGATGATGGCGGTTACTACCACTGGGACAATCATGTTGGCGGTGTACACGATGAATTTGATCTTAAAAGCACCAGCAAGCACCAAATTAGTTGGATTGGAGGAGACCAAAATGGCCGAGGCGATGTTGGCCACGGCGAACTGGCTATGGATCCAGGCTCTGGGGTGGACAATGTTTCTTGACACACGAGTCATGTAGGCGAGAAAGGCTGTGCCGGACAGAATAATGGGGTCGTTTCCAATGAAGCTGCCGAGCCCGAAGAAGAAGGCGTAGAGGAAGAAGAATAATCGGTGGCCCACGCCACCTCCTTTCTGAAGCACCTTGAAGGCCAGATATCTGATGAGGCCGGAAGCATCAATTGAGATGGCGATATAAGCCAATGTGAGGAAGAATGCCATAATATCGATGGGAGAAATGTTGTCCGAACCGATGGTTCCATCATGAACCTCTTTACGACCAATAGCTTGGATAGCCAGAAGAAAAAGATCTGCTATTAACGGCGCGGTAACGAAGTTGAGAGGTATGCTAAGCCGCACGAGCGAGCTTGGTTTTTTATCGGGCTGCGAGGTAATTTCGCGGCGGGGTATTATGCGCAATGCACCCAGACCATCCAGAATTGCGTTGGAAAGCCATCGTGGGATGTATATTGGGACGTGAAAAGGAAAAAGCACGACAATATCTGCACAGCGGCGACAAAAAAATCAAAAATTTAGGCTCAGAAGCAGACAATACCCAACCACTGAGCTCACTTACTTGTTAAAACAAAAGTGATGAGAGTTAAGATGGATCGCCAGTATTTGATTTGGTTGGTGTCTAGCTCTTGGGCCATTTTGGACCTTTCCCTCGTGCGGGGAAGACCTCAATGTGGGTGTTTGCGTGGGGATTCAGTCGCAGGGGCGAAATGGCACATGCATAGCGACAATACCTGTTGAGAAGCAGGTATCCTGTTAGGTTGTGATTGCGCGATTTGTGACCGCTGTGTGACACGATGATGCGCATACCAGAATGTGACTAGGAATCTTCGTTGACTTAGAATCTCGGACCTAGCCCAGAACCATTTTTCCCTGAGACTCCACACAAACAACTCAAAATAACATCAGCGATGGCAATATGCGAGCAGTTGGTCTGCGGGACCCTGCAGAGCGCCAAGGGAGGTGTTAGGAATGAGGTAGGAAAAATTTTGCCTCTGAAGCTGTAGAAAGGAGCGCTGGTTATCAACGCAAAAGCGCCGAGCAAAAGATCTTCGCCAAAATTCTAAGCCTCAAGGTTTAGCGAGCAATCAGACAGAATCAGAAGAGCACGAGCTTACTAGCCCTACACCTATTAGCCTGAAGCTGGCTCTCGAACAAAGCCTCGTTGGAAGAAATGTTAACAAAACTGCACACCAAGACCCAGCCAAGACTTGCCCAGCTCGACCCCGCCCGAGTCTTGAATTTTACGCGTGTTCTTTAATAAAAACAAATGTAGAATCCTTAGGTAGCTAACTTTCGAACTATTATTTAAACCCACAGCCCCGTTAATAAGACTTTTGGGTTAACTAGTTCTGATGGTCTGCCTAACTACCCACGATCGACCATTCCAGAGAAAAAAAAGTCCCCCCAAGATTCAATGGCGCGGGATTCCCCGGAGTGAAAAGGCCACCATGCAGACTATGCAGGCACAGCCACTGCGCGATTTCTGTATCAAGCGTAGGCTGCGTGAGACTCACCAATCAGGCCAGCCAACTATCGCCCCAACTCGTATTCCGACGCCCGACGCTAACTGCCACTAGATATGGGGCTACAGTCACGGGGACAGTTTCTTGATTCGAGAAATAACATGGGGAAGCTGAATGGAGAAAATATGAGGCTGACGACCCGTGTCATGCATGCTTCGCTGATGACGCTCAACCCGGGTAAGCGCCCGCTTCATCTGGGAGACTGCTTGAGACATGACTTTTGCTCATATTAATGTCTTCTCCCCTGACATCACATTACTGAGACAGGTGCAGGTGCCACTACTAGCTGACAAACCAGACCAGCGCCTTCGGATTGATACATGAGTTTTCAATTGCCCTCGTCTCAAAGACCACCTTCCCGCGACGACCGATGACGAGCTATGCCAGCGATTCCGTCGCCTACTGAGCTGCTAGAAAATATCCTCGTGCATCGCAACACCGACCCAACTTCCAACAACACGACTGCTCCAGTTTTAGAGGTTGTTTGCGCCTGGCCTGTGTCCGGGCAATATGGGCCCGGGACCCGAGTCCTGTATGACCAGAAACTCCCTCTCTTTCGTAAACAAGCCTGGCAGCGAATTGACGAATTCTGACCTTGGTTGCAGATACTATACTTTGATGGTAGCCTGCGTCATAGCTCGAAAAGAGGAATATATTCGTAATTCTTGTCTGGCGGCTGCGCTGCTTTTCCCTGCCGTCGCTGCTATCCACGGGATTGTCCTGGCCGCTGTCCATCGCGATGGTGAGTTGGTTTTTTACATACGGGAGACGTCAATACTCTCGTTTCAAGTTGATCACGCTGACTCGCTATCTTTAGGAGCGGTCGATATGGATGTTTACGGGGCTTTCCAGCTGTGCGCGATTGGTATTCTGACTGCGCCAGTGACCGTGAGACTCTCCAAGACATATTTCAACAATCCCGGTCGCGACATCATCTTCTTGTGGACGGGTCTTCTTCTAGCTGGGCTCCTTAGTTTGACCGTGGAATTCATTCGCCTTGCACCTACGCAATGCCCACCCGACAACTCGGCGACAAAGGAATGGATCTTAACAGGCCAATTCCCGTATAAGAGCAAATGCGGCATGATTTGTGGAGACAAAGGCGGCCCGGTTTCGCCTTTGCGGAAATACTCGGCTGACAACATCTACGTGATCCCAATGCCCCATGAAATCACTTTCAGTACAGCTACGCTCCTTGCAGCCGCATGCTGCATCCCCGCCATTCTGTCGCTGGTGTCTACATGGATCAAGATCCTTGAGAAAAATTGGGAGAAGCTTGCCCGTGGAGATCGGCAAACCGAGAATTCCGATGAACAACCGATTAAAGGCACCAATGGAGCCACCCCCGTGCAGATGTCGGGGATTGCAAAAAGGCTACGAGGCTGGCTCACGCTGATTGAGATTCCAGTCTTCGCCGTCGCAGTTCTGGCCATCCTGGTCAAGGGCGAGATGAATTTCTGGAGTGAGCCAGTCAAGTATCAAACGGAGCCAATAGCTAGTGTTGGTAAGTCTTCCCTGTCATATCGCCTTCGAGGCCTCTGTCACAAAACCATCACATTTACTGAACGAGACTTGCAACTCTTCTAGGCCAATGGGCACCGATTGTTGGTACTGCACTTGCCGCGATCGGATCTCTCTATCTTCTTCTTGCGGCTGACATGGAAGCCGAAAAGAAAGGCGAAATGCCGCCGGACGAGGAGCCCAAGAATCAGCCCGTCGGAAGATGCGCAAGATGTGATCAGTGTGCTATTTCTAGCGATAATGCAGATTCTAGTACAGGCTCACGACACAGTTCTCAAAGCAGCGACGAACGGCTATCACAGGGAGTGGCGAGAACAGAAACCCAGCCTTCTATATCCACAGCTAAGCGCACTATGACCAGTAAATCCGAAGGTTCCGATCCAGCTGGAAGACGGAAGGTGGCCCGTTTTCTTAACATGGCGAGCATGCGTGTGGCTGCCAAAGCAGGCAGTCAATTCAAAGATTCTGGTTTTAATCCTCAAGGGGGAGAGGGTTTTCCAGAAATCCCAGGCGAGGTGTTCCGAAACGAGAACTTGTCTAATATTCAAAAGGCCTACATCAACTCTCCGATAGCTCGGTCCAGAGCCAGCAGCTTTGTCGAAAGTATTCAATCCAATTCATCCAACGGCCAAGGAAATTCGAGCACGCCCTGGGGTCTTTCGAGGTATCTATCATTACCAGACCCAGCACGCACACCGACCCGCCCAAGGCACTCAAATACGTTGCCATCAATAGGGAGCTCATCCGAGCTCGCTAGCCATCACGATATCAGAATCTTGCGTGGCGATCCATCGACGTGGCCGCGGAGTATACCCGGGGGATCAACTCCGAACCAAGAACATGTTAGAGGAGCACCATCTATGTCTGAACCAAGCCCTACCGCCCTTACGCCTAGCTCTCAAGATCCACCCACAATAGTGGTTTCTCCGAACTAAAGAGCTGGACTTTTCTGTGGGTCTTTGCTCATTCTGTGAAGCCCACTGCGCCCGGTATGTTATGCTTTACGACTGAAATGAGAGTATGTAGCCAAGGGCATGTTTAAATACAGTGTATATAGATACTATAGATGTAAATCCATATTTCTTGAATAATTAACAGACTTTCAGCAACTTCTCAGCCAATCTGGTTGTACTAATTAATTGTGTTTCTCACACTAACGCTTCCCCTTGAGATTGACTAACATGCCACAGGATTGCGGGGCATGTCTAAGGATTTGCCAAGCTTCTTTCTTCCTTCCTTTACAGGTATACTTAGTGGGGATAGTAGCTTGTAGTTATCAAATCGCAAGGCAAGTGGGCACCAAAAGGACATCATTTTAGGCTAAATAACAGTAGTGCTAAACCAAGTAAAAAGAAGAAGGAGATGTTGATCGTTCTGAATACAAAGTGAAATAGGCTGCTTAGTAGTGATTGGTGCAGCAATTTATCATTTCTCCATCAATCAGAGATCTTATTTTGGGGGTGATTCTCCTTTATCCACACATGTTGAGTGACCGAATATATAGTGAGGGGACTCTATCCCAAGTGATTGTACTGGAGCATTTTCGGCCCTTTTCGTGCAAATATGCCAAGATCATTATCTACGGTTGTGCTTTTCAGCAGCCTTGCCTTGGCAAGTGCCAATGGTAGCAACAGCACGTACACCAATCCAATTCTTCCAGGCTTCCATCCCGATCCCAGCTGCATATTTGTTCCATCATGGGATGATACATATTTCTGTGCCTCTAGTAGCTTCAATGCTTTCCCAGGGATACCAATCCATGCATCCAAGGACTTGCGAAACTGGAAACTGATCGGAAATGCCCTTTCGAGACCAGAAATGCTGCCTGATTTGGCGACGACGGTTAAGTCGACTAGCGGCATATGGGCGCCGACACTCAGGTACCGTGAAGGAAGCGGACATAGAAAAGGCACTTTTTGGATCAGTACGACCTTGGTTTTTGATAACATGGCTATCAATGATACCTCGCGTTGGGAGAATTTTGTTATAAGCACAAACGACCCTTTCGACTCGAACAGCTGGACCGATCCCGTGCATTTTGAATTTGGTGGGTATGATACTTCTTTGTTTTGGGACAATGATGGCCAAGTCTACGTGACCGGGAGTCACGAATACCAAGTCTGGCCTGGTATTCAAACTGCGCCTATTGACTTGAAGACGGGCCACACAGGTCCATGGAGCAACCCTTGGAATGGAACGGGAGAATTGGCGCCAGAAGGACCGCACATATACAAGAAAGATGGATATTACTACCTGATGATCGCGGAAGGTGGAACGGGGTCAGGACACATGGTCACAATGGCACGATCGAAGAGTCTCAATGGGCACTATGAGCCCGCGCCTCACAATCCATTACTTACGGCGACGAACACAACGGCATTCTTTCAGACAGTGGGGCACGCTGATCTATTTCAGGATGTCAACGGCAAATGGTGGGCAGTCGCTTTGTCTACACGAGCTGGGCCCGAACTCAAAAACTCTCCGATGGGGAGGGAGACAGTCCTGACACCTGTTACCTGGAACAAGGGCGATTGGCCAATTTTTGAGCCTGTCAGCGGGTTAGAAAGTGGATGGGAACTTCCCTCAGAACCAATATTCGTCTCTCAAGGCGAGGGTCCTCTCGTGGATGCACCTGATCATTATAAATTTCCGCCAAACTCCAAACTGCCATTAGATCTGATTCATTGGCGACTCCCAACACCGGATACTTATCTTGTATCGCCACCGGGGTACAAAAACTCACTGGTTCTTCGTTCGTCAGTATTGAATTTAACCTCCCTCGATGGAGTGTCCACAGACGGCAAAGGACAGACATTCATCGGCAAACGGCAGACAGACAACATGTTCTCGTACACACTGGATATTGATCCTTCCAGTCTCAGTAACGAGGAAGATGAGGTGGGCGTCAGCGTCTTCTTGGTTCAAACATTCCATTTCGACCTAGGCATCGTTCTTCTTCCTCCGACAGGAGATACCGGCACGTCCGCTGGAACTGCACCCTTTTTCCGTTTCCGTGGAATGTCGCAGTTTCCTATTCCAGATACGGTGGTTCCCTTTCCATCATACATGTCTATTGACACACCAATCACCATCGAGGTTAAGGCATTGAACTGGACCCATTATTCATTTGCAGCAGGGCCGCGTGATGCTCAACATCTTATGCAGACGTACGGATTTGCACGCGGAGATCAGTTGAGTTGGGGGTTTACGGGGACATTGGTAGGTCCATATGCAACGACGAATGGTCGACCTGGGAGTCAGAATGGCGCATTCGAGGTCGCAGTTGGCAATTGGACATACCTTCCACAGGGGCAGGTTATCAACTGAGTTTAAACCTGAACAATATTCTACTATCCTAGAACAAATATCACTGGCAACCCAGGTGTCTTTATTTATTTCTATTGCCAGGCATTACATTCATTACAGTGAAATAGGGGCCGGTGCAATTTGCAAACTCGGATCCGCAGTTTGGTTGTAAGGAAGCAGTTTCAAATATCCGAGATCCCCGCCCCTTTACCGCACCTGAACATGAATGCTAACGACATGGGGTTAGTTTGATCCGCTTCTTAAGCGCATCTTAGCCAAATTTACTGTCTACTGTGGTGCTTTCCATCGCCTCGATGGCCTTTCTAATAACTTTGCGGACGCTTACGTAGTCCTCGAGCTCGTCCTGCAAACCGCCTCAATCAGTCATGGGTTTCCCTTAAACTAGGCAAGAATAGAGTCAAGACACAAGGCTGGAAACGACCCACATTTGTGTGGCGTTGGCTAACGATAGCACCACTCACAGCGCAAGCCATGCCACCACAGCTCGGTACCAGCTGCAGCTAATCCATCTCAATTTTTTTTTAACCTCGTGCTAGAGCAAATCTTGTTTGTGCGACTTCGACGCGAAAAACCACTCAATTCTGAAGTCCTTAGAAGCAGTTAGGCCGGTAGTCTATGCGGCCTCAATAGAGTCATCATTTCTTCGTGGTCCTCTATCCAATCGTGCACGTCGTGTTGACATTGCCATTATCTGTCGATCGAATGGCATCCGCTGATGATGAAGATACACTGAGCGTGCCATACTCTTCCGTCACAGGTGCTCCGATGACACTCCGTGGTCTTTGCGAAACAGCCGTGTGTACTCTTACTGGAAAGAGAACCGTACTGGAGCCAAAAAAGAGCTCAGAGAAAGGATAATTGCTAGCTAACCTTTCGGCTTAAGATGACCAATACAGTTGGAAATCTTTACTCCCCTAAGTCCGAAGATAAGGGCGGGTCTCTGCCGCCTATCCGAACAACAGCTCCACCACCGCGATTATCCCCAGGAACCAGATCGCACTCGTACCTGCGGACCATATATATCAGGCTTAAATTAAAGCAGTACCGCGTTAATCAAGTTATACGGCATAATGCCACTAGAATTAAATGGTTGCCCAAAGACAACACAGGTAAAGAAATTTTGGTGGAATGGACTAGGTAGATCCGTTTGTCGAACCCATGCTAGGAAAATAGACTTGCTTGGCAATAGGCGGGTTGAGCCGACTGATAGCTAGGCTACTTCGATACATATATAGCGGGCACCAGACCAAATCAGGAAGCACGAAATTTCGGGAGTATGGAATAGAACTCTCTATTAGTATTGCACATTTGAAGCCAGAGAGGATCAAGCGCTTGACTATGAAGGACAGAGACTTGTGCAAATTGAAAACTAACAACGCGGGGAGTTCATTCGAGCCCAAAAAAGAAATTATTGGGGAAATGTATAGTATGGGGTAACCCCGCTCGGCGAGATTTTGACGGCAAACTACCTTCCTCTTCAGGGCTAGTATTCGAGCACTACCTGCTCATGCCAGTGATAAGAAAAGTTAGAAGCAATAGTTAACAGCGTAGCTTATAAGAATAATCCAACACCCGGCATTTTTAATCTCGTATCCAAATCTGCTTCACCCAAAAAACTGCAGAGTTCGAGAAAACTCCGCACCAACTGAGCAGTTTGAGCTATTATTATTGGTTTCACTTATCATCTTAACATCCGAGATGGCACATATGCCCCAAGGGGCCGAGGGGCCTGCACAGAGCACACCGGCATTCCAAGAGGCTATTACCCCCGATGAAGTCAAGGACAGTGATGAAGCCCTCACTTTCCTACGGAAAGAGGAGGTTGGCGATGAAGCTCAATACGTCGATGAGAAAGCATTGCTCCGCAAAATTGACTGGATGGTCATGCCACTGATGTTCTGTTGTTATTTATTGGAATACCTGGACAAGAGTCTCTGTAAGCTCATGCGATCTGGAGGTTGAATTATTTACTGACCAAAGTGTGTATAGTGAATTATGCCTCTGTGATGGGTCTCCTGGACGACGCAGATCTCACCACAAACCAATTTGCCAATTTATCGCTTCTGTTCTACGTGGCATTCCTTGCATTCGAGCTCCCACATGCCTATTTAATGCAACGCTTCCCGGCGGCTAAATACCTGGGCGTCATGGTTATGTGCTGGGGTGCAGTTGTAGCCTGCACATCCGCCTGCAACAGCTACGGATCGCTGGTAGCTGTGCGGTTTCTGCTCGGCACGTTCGAATCTACTATCAGCCCATCGCTCATTATCATCACAACTATGTGGTATAAGACGAGTGAACAGCCCATCAGAGTAGGGTTGTGGTACATCGGAGTGGGCACAGGCTCTATCCTCGGCGCCTTGATATCTTTCGGCTTCCAGCACTATGAAAGCCAAACTTTCAAGAGCTGGCAGATCATGTTCTTGATTGTGGGTCTTCTCACTATGGTAATCGGTGGCCTCGTTGTCTGGCTGTTGCCCGACAACCCGATGTCCTCACGATTGTCCCATGCAGAAAAAATCATGGCCATCGAACGCATCAGAGGAAATAACACTGGTATCGAGAACAAGCACTTCAAACCATACCAGATTGCAGAATGCCTTCGAGACCCACAGATTCTATTGCTTTCTCTGTTAACAATAGCTGGCAGCGTCCCCAACGGAGCTGTGAGCTCGTTCCAGAGTATTGTGATTTCAAGCCTCGGCTTCTCTGACGAGCAAACAACACTCCTGCAGATCCCTAGCGGTGCTATTGCTGTCTTGAGTGTTCTCTCTGCCACGTGGCTGGCGAGCAAATACAATGCCAGAGGCCTCAATATTATTGCATGGTCAGCACTCGGAGGATTAGTTGGCGGTTCCCTCTTGGCATTCTTGCCTGACGATCAAAAGGCTGGTAAACTGGTCGGAAACTACCTTTGCCAGGTTGTTGGGGCATTCTTACCTTGTGCATACTCTTTTGCTGGAGCTAATTTTGCCGTAAGTTGCTCTTTTTACTACTGTCATGGTCAAACGCGATGAGACTTCTCCTGTGGCATATCAAATCCTTTCACAGAGTCAACTGACCGTTATTAGGGACATACTAAAAAAGTCACGGTGAACGCGATTCTCCTTATGAGCTTCTGTGTTGGCAATATTCTTGGTCCCCTTACATTCCGCGACAAAGATGCGCCAAATTACACGCCCGCGAAAATAACTATCGTGGCGGTGGATTCTGTCGCTATTGTGCTGACCACAATGCTCTTGCTATATTACAAATGGGAGAATAAGAGGCGAGACCAGAGAGCACAGGAGCACCAGGAGAACATCGAGTTTTTGGACTTGACGGATCGACAGAATAAAGAGTTCAGGTACAGATTCTGATTACGGTCAGTCTATTTGGCGAGTAATTATCAATTTGAATTTGAGGAACGGCGAGTGTTCAGTATGAGACATATTTATTCTAGCTTCATTCTTAATTATCCTTGCTAAACGTTCCTACGTTGTAGGGTAGATGTCTATTCTTTGAGCGTCTTCGAAATTGGCAAAAATGGCTTGACATCTATATTCCAACTTATATGTTGAGTAAAGCATACGCTAGCATGGAATGTGAGTGTAGAGCTGGGTTCAAGGCTTCTACATTTCATGCGCGTATTGCGCTGTCAACTTCACACAGGCATTTGTGATCGGGTGATGAGCAACCGGAGACTGTACGGGCATAATTATCACGCTGTGCTTGGGTTGGAGGGCCATGAGCTTCAAAGATCTTGTCAATTCGCTGCTGAACTTAAGGGTCTGTCAAATCCCAGGTGTGTCAAAGTGGCGCTTTAATAGACGACCAGGCAAACACGACATATCATGCGGCTCGGGACTTTGGCCTCATAAGACAAGGATGTTGTCACACCGCTTCTTCTCTATCTAGGAACTTCTTTATCTCAGCAGCCTCTTTTCTAGTTTCAGCCTCATAGCAAGACTCTCTCTGATCTTTCCCGGGCTCCTTAAAGTCGTTTTAGTACCCCTTTCACTATTCGATTCTTCAAACCTCACATCAGCCGCGACATATAAAAGAACATCAAAATGACCATGACTCAAATAAAGGGTTTGGACGACCTTGACTTCATATTGGAAACGTGCAATCCAGAGACAGGAGAGTTCCTGCATACATCCTTCGCAGTTTTCAATGACGAAAGCCTCTACTATGACCGGTTAAACATTCCACAAGCCAACGTCACTTTCGATCAGATATCTAACGCCCTTACTCATGTTCCCGACGACAAATTCTTTCCGAAATGGAAGGCCGCAGAGGTGGAACTCACAGAAGCTCCAGCAACTCTGACTTCGGATATCTACCTCAAGCGACCCCATCTGGAACTTTATGGAATCATGAAAGACCACGGCGTCACTAATGTGGAACAGCAACTATCGCAGCAATTTTTAGCTGAGGCTGAGGTGATGAACACACTTTCCAAAAATCCGCATCCGAACATCGTCTGCGATTACGGCTGCCGAGTTGCGAGAGGACATATCACCGGACTTGTCATGGATAGACATCCTCACGACCTCTACCGTTATCTCAAGGAAGGGGTGGGGAAGATTGATAAAGAACCATTCATGGCGGCACTCGGATCGGCTATCCAGCACCTTCACGCGCTTGGTTGGGCACATAACGATCTGACTCCTTACAATATCTTGGTAAACGGGGACGGCATGCCTGTGTTGATCGATTTCGGAGGGTGCCAGCTTGTTGGCACGCATTTGAAATACACTCGAGGAACGACAGACTGGATCGACGGTGAAGCTGGGGACTATCTTACCTCAGATGCGGAACATGATGTTGCTGCTCTTATCAAACTCGGGGCATGGTTGGACAAGCCGGTCTTTACGGTTTAGTGGATATTGTTTGACGCGGTATCAGTATGAATATAAGAGCATTCGCAACAACCCATTTACCAAAACGAACAGATAAATGAATAGCTGTAGATTAACCCAATAGGAAGTCATATTTTTCGAGAATTGGATATCGATAGGGTAGGTAGCCATGTCTCCTTCACAACCTCCCCAAAAAAACGAAAAGCAACAAATCTATGCTTTGACAACAATCTTCTCCGGCACCTCCGGCTTCACCTGCGTGGTAGCATGGATGAGATCCTGCACGACCTTGTCGCCCTTGTTCTTGCCGGCATCCTTGATCTCCTGGAGCTTAGCCTGGGCCTCATTGTTGGCGTCATCTTCGGCCTTCTTGAAGCCGCTCGAGTGCTACCGACACAACAATAGTCAGTCATCTTATTGCTAACCCGTAGCTCGCTGAATTGTAGCGCACCTCGGTCTCGAACTTCTTGAACTCTTCCTCCTTCTGCTTCCGGTACTCTTCAATCTCCTTCTGAGCCTCGGATTTGGCGTCTCTTATCCGCTTGGTGCGATCTGTATGGTCGGCATGTTATTGATTGTGCATGCCGAGAGGGGGAATTCGAAGAACGTACATTCTCTAGCTGGACGATGAAACCTGTCAGTGATCGGGAGTCTTGAGAGCGGAGTAGGGGTACCCACATTGCTGAACAATCTTCTGAGCCTCTCTCTCGGCCTAAAAGTCGTGCGTGCGATCAGTATCTACAAGCCATATCCGGAGTTCAATCCCGAAGACGTACGTCGAGGAGGGTCTGGATGCCCGCGGAGTTCTGAGCCGACTGTGCCATATTTGTTAGTCACCCGTCAAAACATCCGACAGTTCAAAGTCCTTCTCACCATGATTGCCCGAGAACCCTCTCAAAATTCCAAGGTCGAAAGTGGTTGTCAAATGAATGGTCAGACTGAGGGAGCTTCGAAGCCACGAATGACCCCCAAGGCGGTGGGGCACTTACTGCCGGGCGGTGAGGCACGTGGCCCTACTGGGCTAGGCCGATTCTTTTTGCTGCACCTCTTCCCAGGGATACTCTTGTCGTCGCAATGTCTCGCGCGTCCAAATTGACGCTGGCTGTCACCGGGCTGGGCACTGCCGGCATAGTCTACTTTGTCCACTGGGCACAGGAGCAAGACAGGGCGGTATGTATTCCAATTTGCCAGTTGCAACGACACGAAACTGACCAATTCGGTGGAATAGGCCATGCATAAAGGCGTGGAGCGAGACATGGAGAAGCAACGCATCCGAAAAGAGCGGCAAGCGGATTTTGAAATTCAGAAGCGTCTCGAGCAGGAATATCTCAAGCTACAGACGGTGCACAGCACCACCGACGAACAGAATCAACCGGGCAAAACCCATAATCCGGGGACATGACAGGACGAAGATGATAATATTGCAGAGTCTAGAGGACAGAGTCACTAGGATTGGATACTGCCTGCGTGTACTACGAGTATTACGGGCGACGACTGGTGGATGTCCACTGGTGCATCACGCGAGAGGGCAGAATATGCCACTTTGTATAGAGATATTATACGTACGATATACCCCGAAATGTACGATATGTTGATTGTCCATGATGTCTACTGCTGAAAGGATTATTGGACCAAAGTATGCTTCGATCCAGATCTCCAGGCCCAATTCCGAGCCTCGAAGGCCCCAGGAACGCTTTCCGTTGGTTAAACTCTGGGGTTTCTTTCGTATGACCATTAGAATAATAAGACAAGAGCTACGTCCCTTGGAAGGGACTGGTAGACCAGAGAGATCGCCCCTAGAGATCGCCCCTTTCAAAGACCCGAGGTTCCCATTTTGTAGTCTTAGGGAATGTCATTTTTCGGCAATGAGCTAATGCCGAATTTCTTGCATAACAGCATAACCGAGTGACGTTGCCTCATTACCGAAATATGCCATTCTCTAAGACTGGCCGGTCATTTAAGGATTATCTCACGCACTGTCTATCCCAGCATTGTTGTGCCAGTTCCGTCGTTTTGTTCTTATTTTATCATTTCTTTTCCCCAGTATGACTTCATCCCTCGAGACAAATCAACCCTTTGCCGCTCCACCAGGAGCTGTTGCAAGCCTTTATATGATTGATACGACTGGCACTATTGATAATATACCTTGTGGTAATTTGGTCACACCAGACTTGCCTACATTTGAAAAGTTCAACAAGATACCGAGTTGGGCATTTCTGATCGAAACCGATACCCCCCAAGGAGCACGAAGAGTGCTTTTTGATTTGGGAATCCCACAGGAGGTGTATAAGCTACCCCCGGTGATATCTGACAGGCTCAAAGCTAAAGGAACCATCATTGATGTGCCTAAGACCACCGCAAAGATTCTTCAGGAAAATAACGTCGACTTACGCAGTATAAAAGCAGTGATATGGAGGTACGAACAACTTTCCCTTTTTGGAAGCCTTCCTGCAGGAAAGTCAAGGACTCACAGTAAAATTCTAGCCACTGGCACTGGGACCATCAGGGCGACATTCAGCAGTTTCCCTCCTCCACAGACCTGGTTGTCGGCCCTGGCTTCACCGAAGAATTCCTCCCTGCCTACCCTACAGAGCCACAATCACCCATTCGGCACGATGACCTCAAGTAAGTCCTTCAAAATGTCATGGAATAATGTATCCCCACTTGGTTATGATTTAAGTATACTAAAACGTGCATAGAGGACGGAAGCTAGTAGAGCTCACGTTTGAAGATTCGGAGACGATCTCGATTGGTAAATACAGAGCCCTAGATTATTTCGGTGACGGATCCTTTTACATCCTAGACACCCCTGGTCATGCAGTGGGACATTTGGGGGGCCTTGTCCGCACGACGAACGATCCAGACACATTTGCGTTCCTCGGTGGAGATTTAACTCACCATGGAGGCGAGCTTCGTCCTTCTCAATACCTTAGCCTTGCATCTGCTGCGGCCAAGGTGTCCAAAAAGGGACGTGAGAATGAAGCAGCCAACGCCCTCGGATTGCTTCAAACATCGCGAGGTCGCAAAATCGATCAGGCGTTCTTTGATCCTGTCATAACTTGTGATTTTGACCAGGCCCTGAAAACAATCGCCTACGCGCAAGAGGCCGATGGGAAGGAAAATATTTTCTACATCGCAGCCCACGATGAGAATCTCAAGGGTGTGGTGGACGTCTTCCCCAGGAAGGTAAATGATTGGAAACGTCAGGGCTGGCGGGAGGAGACACTATGGAAGTTTCTGGGTGACTTTCGAAGGAGTGTTCAATCAAAAGATGCTTTCAATCGAGCCATTATGCAATACAATTGCTAGAAGGTGACGACAAATCATCGGAAGTCGATGGGTATGCTGTCAAAGGAGTTTTCAAACAGATCGAATAGCGCTTGATTGAATTCATCGGAAGTGAGTGGAAGACCTAAGGGGTCGGTCAAAGAGAGCAGTTCTTTGAAAAATGGCGTGGTTTCCGGATTTGCACCCGGAAAAAAGTTGAGAGAATTCTGGACAGCCGTTGCGGTCAGTGTGTTTGGGTCTACATGGCTCTGACCCTGATAACGAAAGCTGTCTAGTTTTTCCAATTGGCGCAGCTCCTGTGTATCTTGATCTTCTGTCTGTCTTGTTCTACCATCGGGTCTATCCCCACACGGAGAGCTCATCAAGTGCTCAATTCCATGGTGAAACATTTTTGCCGATGGCCAGCGCTCAGCCATGTCCTTCAATGCCACGCGGAGCACTCTGATAGGCCCGTCCGTAGTACTCGCGAAGGCAGGAATTTCTGTTGCTCGAATCAGGGCAAGTAAGGAGATAGTGATGTACCAGCCAGCCATACCCTGTAAAAATCGCAGAGATCCTCGAATCAATAAGTCCTCAAAGATTCTGGCAACACAAGATGAGGCGAGGATTGCCACAATGTCAACTCCCAAGTCCTGTTGTGACGACTTCCTTAGATCGAGCAAGATGAGACAACATAGGTATGGGAGATGTAACTGGCAAATGTCTCGATCGAAGTTGGAAAGAGAGCCTTCAAAATATGGCAGCCGGAGATCTTGGGGAAGATTTGCAATCCAGACCTTCAAGTCATCTAAAAGATCCCGGGCTCGATCTTTTGCTTCGGGGTGACGTCTGAGATGCTTTGCCACATGGCCAACTATCTCACAAAGCTTGACCCATTGGATGAAGATCTCGGCTTCTCGACGCTTTGAGCTAGGCCAGTCGGTAATTGTAGGCTTTTGGACATTGCAATCCTTGATATTGATAGTGCAAGGTCTACCCTGAGAGAGTGAGGTAAGCCTCTCGCGAGCCTAGATAGCTCAGATTAGCATGGACTCATGCAGTTGCCATAACATTGCTGACATACAAACAGAGTCCACCATATTCGTCGGCGGAGAGCCGGGGTATCTCCACTGGAAAGACAGTGATATGTTCTTGGCAGTCGGTGTAGGCCCATTTCTTGTGCCTGTCGGATGGCGATTCCGGTCCAGTACCAGGTTCCATTTGTACTCAACATGCTTGGAGAACATGTACTCCACCAATAGAAAAGCATGATCGAGATGAGTGAAGCAGTTGGGCTTGGCTCTGAGAATTTGTAAAACAAGTCCTTACTTTGGTTATAGAGAATAGCGGCATTATCACCATCCAGCAGCGACGGCTGGATTCTGCGGCTTACCAGGGTTAATGCCTTTTCAAGCAGCACCGATTGGCCGAATGCCTGATCTTCCAGAATAGTTCTATCAAGAATGGGACAGAACGTAAAGCAGTACTCATCAAATACCTGCAAGTGGTAATCGCGAACGGCTGTCGGTAACGGCCTCGCCGGCTCTTGCAGCCTGCTGGGAACGCTGCTTTCTGAAGAACGACTTGTGTTTCCTCGGACAAACATGGTAATGTACCCTGAATCACCCAAGTAGCTGGATACTCCCTCAGATTCATTCGATTCAACGATCTCGGACCTCGCATCTGCGGCGCCAACCTGTCCATCCTTTCCTAAACTGTCCGGGTCATTGTCCCTGGGCGAAGTTGACGCATCTGCTCCACGCGGTTGATCGAGAGGTATATCTGGCAGATGCAGCCTGGCGAATCCGGATCTGGTAATCTCTGAATCATAGCTACCAATCGATCCATTGGGTATATTGGTCATAGGAGGGTTCCATTGCGTAGAAACAGGTAGCGGTGGACGAAAGTGTTCGTTGTAAACGGATGACAGGCCGTTCGGATCACAAGATCTAACATTTCCTCCATTCTCTGGCTTTGGATTCTTCCTCCGAAGGTTTCTTCTCGAAGGACGAACTCTATCATAGAGAGGTACGTTAAGCTTAGTTATCCTGTTATCTGTCACCGGTTCTTGGAAGGCAAAACCAACCGGCACTCGATTTGAGCCTCTTGGCAGTTCAAGCAAGGCCCATTCGCGCCACTCTTAAGTCTTTGCTGGAGATCACATTTTACCTGAGACTATATTAGAAAGAATAACCGTATATGGAAGTCGATGGCCTAGGCACAAACCTTTTTCTCGTGGCAACGTTGACACGTCAGAGTAGCTCGACGCCGGCTTGCAGGCGGCTGTGGTGGATGTGCACGCCCACTCACGGGATACATCGCAATAATTTCGGTTGTTACTGTACATGTAAGATAGAAAACCCGGAGCCAACAGGTGCATAGGGCTGACTGCCAGCCTAAGTACAATGGGACCAAATCGTGTTCGGCTTCCGTGCGGGGTTTCGTCTGATTCAGCCACAATGGTGGTTGTAGTACTGTGATTAAACTGTCAGTTATAAGATAAGAAATTTATTTCAATGGCATGCAACATCTGCCAATAAATGCTCTATATCCTGCATCCCTTTTACGGACCTAGCTATACTATGTTTTACTATGATAAAGAAAAGAAAGCATAAATCCTCCATCCCTGCGGTGCATTGCGGGGCACAGTTCCGGGGTAAGTAAAGGAGATCAAATAAAAACGCAGCAGGCTTAGCATGCGCGGCGTGAGCTCAAAGACTCAGGTTCTCATATCTCTAAGCGGATGAAATTATAACAAGACATATCCATAACTTACCGTGTTAACCGAGTGATTGAAAAGTATTACCAACATCTTGGATCATGACGAACTTTGGTGGCCACTAGTGAATTCCGAAAGAGGGGGTGAATTGGTGCCTTCCCGACTACCGAGACGTTCATACCCGAGACAAATTGGGAAGCAAGGGGAACCTCTGTGATTAAAAGGGTGGCTGGCCATGACCTAGGGAGAGCTGATTGAAGGTCTTAATTGCACTAGATGGCAAATCCCACATAGTAGTTTGTAGCATTCGGCTCTGGCAACATTCTAGATCAGCACCTAATTGTGCCACTGACGAGTATCCGTAAAAGGGGATGACCTCGGCCGAATGGCAAGGTACGGTAGACTATTGGATACATGCTAGTGGGGTTTCGGCAAAGAAGTCTACAAGTATCGTACCCAACAACCTGCCTTGTAAGATATATTAGAGAGTTAGGATTTAAAACAGCGGCTTGATACCCAGAAATACAGACCACAGTGATCCAGGAAGTTCGTGATCTCTATTCAACGCAAACAACATGGCAAGTCTTGATGAGAAAACTATAATTGTCACTGGTGCAGTCTCTGGGTTTGGAAGAGGGGTATGTTTTCGCGTCCCTCCACTGCAAAAAGTCGGATAATTTAACGTGAGGTCATATCCAGATTGTCGCCCAGCTTCTATCTCGAGATGCGCGGGTAGTCGGAATAGATTTGAAAAAGCCAGATAATGACGAAAGCCCTGCCAAACTGCCGGGACGATACCATTTATTAACAGGCGATGTGACTTCTGAACAAACATGGCATGGCGCACTCCAGGCTGCTCAGGAACATTTTTCATCAATTCCAGACACAATCGTCAACTGTGCTGGTTTTGTCTATCTAGGCCAAGCTCCGGAAAGTGTACCTTTGGAAGATTTTGATCGTCTATGGCAAATCAACGTCAAACCTCTCTATCTAGGCGTCAAGCATATTGTGCCCCATTGGATCAGCAACCACATCAGTGGCCATTTTATTACCATAGGCAGCATCAGCTCTCAAAGACCTAGGCCATCCACCGTATGGTACGGTGCTAGCAAAGGCGCACTTGATACGGTATACCACCCTCTGCAAGGAATGTCTGTTCTGATCTGACAATGCAAAACAGGCAACCGAAGGACTTGCAGCCGCGTATGCAAAGGATGGTATTCGCTTTAACATTGTTCGCCCATCTATTGGCAACACTGCTATGTAAGAGGCCATGGTATTTCCACTAGCATTGACGCTCCGGCTAATTTTGGCCAGGCTTTCCCGAGTTCAAGGAGGAGTGGACACCGAAGAAGGACGAGCAAAACGGCTCAATACTATTCCTCTTGGCCGACTTTGTGAACCACAGGACGTCGCTCAGATGGTGGCTTTTCTTGCCTCAGATGAAGCGAATTATATTACGTGAGTGCTATCCCGGCTTCTTTCCATGAGTTTGATTTTAACTGAAATTTCTTTTCATAATAGCGGATCTGGATTTAATATAGATGGAGGACGGTTGGTGTCTTGACGATTACTGCCCTCTACACCTCACTGGCTATTCTCGTTTTCCCCGTGTTACACTCGTTATGCCAAGTTTGACCGAATAATAATTTCATTGCTGGGAATTCTCAGATATCTATTTCAAAATGGCAGGATGTTTGCGTCATAGTAGCCTTTTCAAGCAAGCAGATACGCAATGCAATCGGGGTCTACTTTTCAATATACCATGCCAAATCGTTGGCATCATCCAACTCATACTCTGTAAACCCATTTCCCATCATTTTGAAGCGATTCGGGCTTCGATACTGGATCTCAAAATCTTCTCCGCGTATCTCACTCACAAACCGCTTGAAAAGCAGCGCGCTGCCGGCAAATGCGGCCGTAACCCGTCCATCAACGCGGCCCTTTTTGTACCAGCTCCTGCAGCCGCCTGTCCAGGTCAGAGTTTTCTGGATCTCATCTCCGTATGTAACGAACTCGTCAACAACTTCTTGCTTTGGCGCGACAGCTTTGATATCCTCGGTAGAAATCTTTTTAATCCATTTGATCATATACTCGGCAACCCAACCGAGCCCTTCCACCAACGAACCGTGCCCCACGACGGCATTTGGACCGGTGAATATAAAGTAGTTGGGGAATTGAGGACATGCAAGCGAAAGATACGACTCTGGTTCTTCCGCCCATTTCTCAGCAAGGCTAGTCTGATCACGACCTATGACCGGATAATGCGGGCAGTGGGAGACATCAAATCCAGTTGCACAGACAACTACCGTTCAATTTGTTAGCGCATGTGCTGGAGGCAAACGGGAAGGAGCACTTACTGACGTCCACCTCCACAACTTGGCCATCAGCCGTGTGTATTGCATGCTCCGTAACATGCGTGATTGGACTTTGGGTAAGATGGACATTGGGTCTCAAGAAAGACTCCAAATAGCCTTCACCTGGCGTAATGCGTCGACAGCCCAATTCCCAGTCAGGTATCAGTTTTCTGCAGAGCTCTGGATCATTGCCAAGTTTATTTGACATCTGTTTCTTGGCAAACTCTGTGGCTTCCAGATTCGCAGGTGAACCTTTGACAAACTTGGATGGGTTAGTATTGAATTCAATGTAAGAACGGAACCAGGAAATACCATTCTGAAAGCCCTGTTAATACGATGGATCAGCTGCTTTCTGTACTCATTATGATACTTTGGATCTTCTGTAAACCGCCGTTTATCGTCTTCCGTATATTCGGGGTTCGGGCTTATATCATCGCGACCTAGGAGCTTTGCAGCTGACATTCGTGAGATGACCCAGGTGGGACCGCGTTGAATGCTAGTCACATCTGTGCCCTCCAGTTTGGCAAGTTGTGGCAGGATTTGAATTCCAGATGAGCCATTACCGATGACAGCAATTCGCTTGTCAGAGTAATCATATAAATGGTCCCATTCGGCCGAATGCACCTTTTTGCCCTTGAAAGATTCGAGTCCCTTGATGACAGGCCATTTCCAAAGACTGTATTCAAGGATAGCTATGTCAGTAAACGATAACCTATGACTGGAGTTGGGAGTTGGGTCACTCGTACTTGAGAAACCCTTGCCCTGAAATCAGGATCTCGGCATATTCTTCACGTTGAACTCCGTTATGTTCTACGACCACCTTCCATAAACCCTGTTGTTCCTGCCAGTAGGTCCCAATGACTTTCGTATTCAACTGGACATCGCGATCCAGATTCCATTTCATCACAGTCCGCTTTATGTAGTCATGGATTTCCGGCCCGCCGACGTAGAACTTACTCCATGAAGGATTGGGGTCAAATGGGAATGCCTGGGAACTTGGGTCAGTAAATGTTCTTGCTAGAAGGCTGGCAAAGAAGAGTAATGTGAGTGTTCTCTGCCATCGTGACATACGTAAATATGGGCTGGCACATCACATTGGACACCAGGATAGGTATTTACTAGCCATGTTCCTCCTATGTCAGAGCGTGCTTCGAATATTTTGTACGTCAGAATGTCCTCCATCTCCGGGTGTTGATGTCGCAACTTGTGCACGAGGGTTAGACTCGAGTAGCCCGCTCCAATGATAATGGCGCGCAACTTGCGTGGCGTAAAGCTTGGCTGATTATTCAACGGGATCGAGATCTTGGTTCGGTCTGAAACTTCGCCTATATTTAAGGCAGTGTGCATGTTGGGGTTGAGCGGAGCGTCCATTATCGAAATTTGTCGCTTCTCAAACCTAGTTCCTAGAAGCTAAAAGTACTACACCGAGAGTACTATAGTGAGGATTGAAATTGTGATCTAAGGCTAACGGGACTTGATGGCTTGGCCAGGTTTATAAAACTTGCTATTAGTCAAGAATCTAAAGCTCACAACGTGGCAAGAAAGGACGCATGTTATGTTTTTGCCGCTATAGCCCTGCAATGCCATCGGTTAGGAAAAAGACAACGTCGAGCCGATCTATGTACGGTGGTGTTCCAAAAGTCTGAAACTCTCTACCTACCGCCTAAGCGGGTAACAGGATTTAGACTTATGAAACACCACTGTACTAGAATTAAGTTCATTCGGTGTACCCGGCTCTGAAGCCAATGCCGAAAAGCCGACAGCCGGCATTGCCGTGGGCAAGGCACTAAATCCTACCCACACAAGCAAGATACAGTGACCATTTGGTCAGTTCGTAGTTAAAATAAATATGATAACTTAGTGATGTTCCATATATTATTAATCATTGTCAGTATTCCCTTTTCCTATAGAAGTTATATTCTGATAGTTTCTCATCAGCGGTCTATAGTGGTAGGTCTATAATGGTAGGTCTATAATGGTGACAATCTCGTCTCTTGCACATGAGAACCAGGAGAGGTTAATTACGGCTTGGCCCGGCCATCTCCACGGCGCTCTTGTCGTCGCTGTCATCAGAGCGATCCTCCAGGACGCAGAAGGCGTTGGAGCTCGGCCTGGATATCTAATGTACTTAGATATACTCGTCAGATAACCCAAACCGCCCAAGTTAAGGTTGCATTCGCAAGGTCGATGTTTATCAGGAAACTAGACTTCCTCGAGATCAACACTTACAAAAGAAGACCACTCCTATACTAAAGAAGAGAATTTACTTGCATTCAAGTCCATAGATCATTTGGCATTAACTCTAGAGCCCTAGCTTTTCATTTTCAATACATTGAGAGCTGTGCATAAATAGGAGGAATCTGCTCAGAAAAGAGCGGCAACAGCGAGGGCAGCGGCAGCACCCAGCGGAGCAGCAGTGATAAGGGCTCTGTGAGGGCCAGCAGCGGCATCAGGGGCCTCGGTTGCCTGAGGGGAGTTGAAAAGAGAAAGACCTCCAGTGACAGTGAGCGGCATATAGGTTACGTCACTGGCCGGGATGGTCTTGGTGCTAGACCTTGCCGTAGTCACGTCGCCGGAGGTGACCCCGATGGTTACAATGCACTTGGCAGATTCGGTAGTGTGGGTGAACGAGCATGCGATATTCTCGCTGACAGTCGCAGTAACACCGTAGCCAGAAAAGACGGAAGTCAGGGACGTGCTGAATGTGGTTGGGCCAGCGATGATGGTGTAGGGCTCGTCGATGCCGCAGTCCGACTTGGGCGCTCCTTTCATACAAGCGATCTTGTAGGTAGTTTCTTCCGCATTGATACCAACTACACTGCCAGCAACGCTAGTGCTTGTTGGGTATCGGGCGCTGTAATAAGGGTTTTCGATCTTGGCTTCGAAAACATTGATGACGGTGGTGCTCTGTGCTGCTGCCAAAGCCGCGAGGGCCGGGACCACGAGAGATGGGAAATGCATTGTGCGGTTATTCAGGTTGGGTTGGGCTTTATTCGAAAAATGTTTGAGAGGCCTTATGCACAGCCCGTGGAGAAAAATAGAGGAATTTTTGGTGTTGAGAGAGAGAGAGACAAACTCGGCAATCCAGGAGCAGAATCCTCTTTTAAGGCCTTACGGTTCCTTGGGCACGGGCAATTGCAGGCCTCCACACTCCTTTCTGCGTTTTAAGCCTCAATCCTGTGCTTGCTACGACAGAGGGTCAGCCTCTCACGTGGCCATCCTCGCGTATATTAGACCCTGTTCCAGGGCAGTGAGCCAAGTCGAGCTAAGTATGCTAAGTATAGTGCACGATATCGATTGATTGGTCGAGTAATAAAACCCTACAAATAAAGCGGCACCACAACCCCAAATTATTGCATCCTATGTCCACCAATTACTTGGCATCATCGCCAGGGTCACTCAGAATTGAGGCGTTGAAGTGCTAGCGTTGGTATTCGCGGTTCGGGTGAAACGGGAGCAAAAGAATACATCAGCGCTAGCACGGCTTGGCACGCTAGTGCATAAGAAAATAAATGTAATTTGGCATTTATAGCCGATCGGATTCACCATACAAAATTAAGCCAAGACGGGGTGGTCGGAACAATACTCTGCGATAAAAACCAGTGTGTTTGTTTTCATGAATGGCACAAAAGTTGAGCTATAGATATAGATGTCTCGTAGCCGCTCATCCAAATACTGCATAGCAACCGGAAGGACTGGTCTTGCTTTTGAGGTTAAAAATTCAATTGTGGATGTCTTGATGCTGGCGATGCCGCCTTTCATCACCGATCGTCTACAAATTCGGATCGCACAAAAGTGGTCAATATGTGACATTCTTCTTGACGGGATATACGTCACAAGAATCTTCGAGTACCTAATACTTCGAAACATATTTTGCATGCTATAACCATGTCAATTGCCAAGTTGAAGGAAAACCGTGGAGTGTCGCCCGAATAACGCAGTCAGGCGAAGAAGGCTTGCACGCGATAGTGCCAATCAAGAACACGATTGTTTTCGGGGACGGATTGCAAGGCACACCGAACCTTCCTACGGGCACTCCCTGATCATGCAGTATGAATAATTATTAGCTACCGTAGGTCATGTTGTCTGTGCAAAGCTTGAGTATTTCGTAACCCGATAAATTAGCGATTGGCATTTAAGAATTGGCTCCCCATCCCATCTCCAATCTCCAATCTTGTCTGGCTTCTCCAATTCCCCGAACAAGACCCACCACATGGTCAACAAATCCACCATCACCTCTGTTGACTCGCTCACGCCGCTCCCGTTCGGCCTCGGAGCCACCCCGATCCTGGAGACCAAGGAGCTGTTCCGTAGTCAACCCCTGGACGCGTTCCGCATCCATTCTTGTCAGAGTATCGGCCTGTCCACGTCTCCGACTCCACGCCATTCGTTTGACAGCCGGAGCCCAGAACTCTCCCAGGGTGACCTCGTCCCGTCCACGAGCGTAGGCTTTGACCAGACCAGAATCGGCACCACAGTCGAAAGAAGCATGCCAGCATGTGTGTACTGTTTCATACCGTTTCTCCAGGAACCAGATGATAGGCCACGTAATGATCCAGAGCTGGAGGATGACGAATATCCACCAGATGTAGCGGTTTGCGCGCATGCGGTTGATCCAGTGCGGAGAATAGATGGTGACCGATTGCTCGGCGACGTCGTAGTTGAAGTTGATTGAGCCGCGATAATTGAGAGAGCGGATGTGTGAGTCGAGGACATTGCGCATGGCCTTCCAATCGAAGCCTCTGATTTTGCGCTGGAGGGTGAACCTGTCCAAATGAACAGGAGGGTTAGTTAATTCGGAGTTTCGAGGATTTAAGAGGAGAAGAGCTTACGATTTGACCGAGGATGGGTCGTTGCAGAACCGCTCGCACCACAGCTTCAAATTAACCTGATTAGCCGTAGTTGGCTGGCCATTTGCATCATCAATGCCGAGGGTTTCTTCCGAAGCGAGAAGGGCATCGGTGTCCCCGGAACGAGGAACGCGGGATGAAGGCGCCTTATACGATCGCGACTTGACTCTTCCCCCGCGGTAGGCAGGTAGACAGTCCCCGTCGCTGCGCACTTCCTCTTCCACCCAATTAATGCTCATTACCCGTTCGCCCTCCCATCCTGTTAGCATGGTCTCCGCTAGATCGAGCTTGAATTCGAAGTCGGTAACGCTGTTATTGCCCTTTTTCTTTCCATCATTGGTCTGTTCGGTGTGTGAGCCACGAATATATAGGAGTGGTCGCGGGGGCAGCTTCATCTGCCTGCAGATGGTGTAGAAGAGCTCATCGCTGTTCACCGAGAGGGACGGCGCGAGGGAGACCGTCCGCTTATTGTCGCCTTTGAGACCGGAGTCGGGAAGAATGTAGGCTGAGTCCACGAGACGAAGATTGAGGGGTAAAGGGGCGACCCCGGGGGCAGATGTCAGAACGGGAGGAATGTCTTCGTCAGTGTAAGGGGGTGGCAGGTCGTCTTCGAGGGAATGAAGCGAGTGGGAAGAGACGCGATCGTCCGTCTGGAGGCGGCCCATGGTTCACCCAGTTGAAAATATAAGGAGAGTAAAATCAGATCAAAAAGTGAAGACTGAAGAACAAAAACTAAATGCGCTGGAAAGGGTCCAAGGAGAAAAAGAGAGAGAGAAGAAAAGAAAGTGAGGGCTACGTTTAGGCGGCAATAAGCAGAGCCTCGTATCCACTCCACTAATCTAGATCTGGGGATCTCGCGGAATGTGTCCCGATCGGGGTTATCAATCGCTACTAGACGCTTTCCAGTACATTTTTAAGCCTCATCGTCCTCACACACCCTGGTCAGCCGAAAAGGCGCATTTCGTAATGTTCTTTCCGAGTTGTCATCAGCCGGCCATGAAACCTCCACCTGGAAATCCGGAATCCAGTTCAGTTCCATCAGCGGCCCTAGGAGAATCTCTTCAGTCGGTGGTGCGTTATAGTCTCCGTACGCAAAGTACCATTCCCTCAAATAAAACCGTATTCGGACTCGGAGTCTGCGCAGTCCCTTCATTGTGGCGATGACATCCCATGTAGACTCGGGAAGTGGACCTTTCCACCGTTCGCAGTCTATCCAGCCCTTCGGGCAGTAGCTGATGTAATGCCGCCAATGGGAGAGGTTGATCGGGATCTCCAATGACCTTATAGCAAAGAAACGCTGAGGTAGCAAAACTCGTCGGAGTAGTGCTGGTATCTCAAATGCTTGCTTGTCAAAGTCCAAAAGCTGGATGGTGTTTTGAGTATAGAGAGTGTTAATAGCCTCCGAATAACTATTTGCTCAAAATTTAGCAAAATATTCTCTCTTCCAATGGCGACAAGAATTACGCACATTTCCCGACATGTCAAAAGTAGGGCAAGATTTCCATTTGCACGGTTAATAGGGCGAGGCTTTTTCCGGGGACCATCGGGTAGAAGTCGGCCATTAAGCCAGCCACGACGTTTCTTCACCACTTGCGTCGGGCATGAAGTATGCCCCAACTCATCAAAGGTTCTCCAGATCCGGACAACTTTGTTCCCAAGAACCTGGCGGTATATTTCCTCCCTGAGTTCCAAAGGGAGCTTCATAAGCAGACATTGCGTTTGCTCCTTGGTTTTTTGTTTGCGCCATTTGATCCAAGTCGGTTTCTCGGGCAATGGGAGAGTAAGAGCTCGTTTGCGCGGCAGAGGAGTCCGGATTTCTCGAAAATCCATCGTTGAAGAGGTCAAAGTTATCGAATCTGGTAAACAGAGGAAGAGCCTAGTTGTAGCGTGTTAATTGACCACCGCCCCCACTCTTGGCGTGCTCCCCTTTAAACGTGATTTCACTTTCTTTCTCATATGGTGTATGGAATGGAAAATAGCTGTATCCGCCCCCAATGTCGGGCAAGCAAAATAGAACCGTCAAAGCAGTTAGTCACGACGCCATGCGCGCAGTTTCGCACCCAGCCTGTCCATTCGGGCTGCAGATTGGTGATATGCTTGATGACCTTTGTCCAAACCCGAAGCTCTGTCAACATGGTCAACATAATTCCAGATATCCTGTCAATTTCGAAGGTTCGGTACGTCGACCGCAAAGACAACAAGACGAAAATATCGACCGGAAGTGCACGGTACTTCTGCTATCTCGAAAAGGTTCAATGCCCCGGCACCTCGTGGTCTTCCGAAGCGGGGTTCTGTTTTTCTAGGCAAATTGATGATACAAAACAGTCATGAGCCTGTGCATTTACATCCTGTTTTGAAATTATAAATCATCGGACTAAGACAATGGGTCCTAGTAGCTGCAGTAGGAATTGTATGAACCCGCTCGGCCCTGATGTTGAGGCTTTCCCACAAGAAGCACGATCGCTTTCATTTTGCTTACTGTATTCATTCGCGCATGTCATGCAGCGCACGGACATCGGGTGGTGCGAAATGAACATGACTGCTAGTGACACGGGTAGACTGATCACGAAAGTAGTAGTGCCAAGCTAGTGCATGAGTTATCACATTGGATTGCGACGTCCTACAGTGTTGTAAAGTAACCTCTTCTCCGCAGCAAAGAAGCGGTAACTCGTATGAAATCTCACCGACCCTTGGTATATGAATTTAGTAAGATCTGTCCTAAATCCATCTCTCCATCTATTCTCACAAGGCGACAGGCCCTATTGCGAAACATCTTTTCGACATGGATAGGATCATCATTATTGGAACTGGCCTATTCGGTCTCTCGACCGCGGACCACGTCCGCAAGAGATATCCTGCCACGCCAGTAAGTGCTGGACTATTTTTCCCTTCTGTCTTTTCATTACTTGCTGATCCGACCATACAGCTGTCGATCATTTCTCGACCGTCGCCCCTCGCTCCCAGTGACGATATTGCGAAGATTGTCCGCGTTGACTACAACAATGTGGATAGGATGACGGAGGCCGTAGAGCTTCAGAAGCAGTGGAACAATGACCATTTTACCGATGGCTATCGCAAAATCGGTCGTGTTACGATATTTGAGCACGGTGATTTCGCCACGATCGATCAAATCAACAAGGCACGGGAAAAACTTAGTCTTCCGAGGCGGGAGACGAGCGGTAATGAGCTCATGCAAGATCGGTTTGGGACCAAGACAGCTCCGGAATCGCTTATATATGTCTTCAACTCGGACGATGCGATTGTCGATTGGGAGCTCATTATTTCCCAAGCACGGGCGAGAGCTAGGGCGGCCTGTGTCGATAGCGGCGGGAGCTTCTACGAGAGCGAGGTCACAACCCTGGTCCACGACAACGACAAGGGTCGTATTATCGAAGTTGTGCTCAAGAACGGAGTCAGAATCCAAACGGAAACCGCTCAGGTCATCTTAGCCACGGGTCCGTGGCTTGGTCAAGACCTGGCTACGTCTGGTATTTCCCTTCCGCCTAGTGGGAGAACCCCGACGGCGAATGGATTGTTCGCATACGCCGTTCAGCTGAATGATGATCAAGCCGAATATTTCCGGAACAGGCCGATAGTCTCACATCAGGGAACAGCGGAGTTCCTCCCCCTCCTACAAACCATGGCTCCTATGGAAAGCTCACGTGGATAGAGCCTTTTACTAACCTGTGTGGTTCTCCTGCCACATAGCACGTCGAAGATCTTTCCAGTAGTGCTCTCGCGAAGAGCCACATGTATAAGGCGATCGCATGGGCACGAAAGTTCCTTCCTGCTCTCCGGGGCGCACGCATCACTTCTGTCACATCCTTTTGGTAAGCAACAACGGGCAGGTTCTGGACAGGATGAGCGAACTAAAAGCCTCTAGGGATGGCATCACCCAAACCCATGATCCCATAGTCGCCAGGCACCCACAGCTTCAGAATCTGGTCTGTGCCGCAGGCGGATCGTTCAACCGCGCCAAGGACCTTCCCACCATCGGCAACATTGTTGCTGACGTCCTTGATGGCCAGCCTGTCCATGATCGGTATGGCTGGGATCCAGAGATGCGGTATTCTCATCATGATGAGCCAAGCCTTTTGAGTAGGGGTGACTTTGCAGCAATGGACGAACAAGCCAAGGGCGACCTGGAGCAGGGTCCGGTGGTGCCGGAACAGTCATGCTTGGCGGTGATCTAGTGGCCATAGGCTTTTAGACCGTCGGCTATATCATCTATGGTAGGCTGCGGGCATCTTCTGGGGTTTCATGGTTATGGTGGAGGATTACAGACAAAGGTAGCTGATAAGTTTGTCGCTGCTTAGCCGAGCGAGTGCAAGGAAGGAGAAAGTGCGAAACCATTTCACATTAAGGGACAGCCACATACGAATCGTTATCCCTTTGGCCGTCTGGCTGAGATAGCTACTAAGCATGGCTTCGCCTACCTAGGGGTTGAACGAGGGCGGCAGCTTAGCTCCTTGTCCTACTCGAAGCCACTATACAGTATTCTTGCGAGGATACATGACGAGCCTACATAGTACAGCAACCGAAGGAACTATGTCTATTACATGGTTGGAATGTGATGTACAAGTCAAAAGAGGTGGAAAAGAAATTAGAAACGCACGGATATGAAAGAGTTGTGTCTGATAAAGAGAGCATAGTATGCACGTATGGAATCAGACTAGCAATGGTCGCTTTTCGCCTAGTATTACTCTGAATATCTGAAATGAAAGATGCTAAAGGATAGAGTGAGCCATACTGATGTGGACTGATTTCAACTGCCACAGCTTATCTCAGTCTGGAACAGACGATCATCAGGATCCGGCTGGTGGCTTTCGTTCCGGTCGTCACCAGCCATGTCCACATCACTCGATTGGTCCTGTATTTCTTGCTTCTTGTTCTTGCGGATCAGACTCAAACTCAGACTCTTCGTCAGGAGATATCGGGTCGTTAGAGAGATCATCTGAACTCCAACCCCATTTTCTTTGGCCGTTCACAGGATCCCTAGGCTGAAATTCCATATACCTCATTTTGAACCGCTTGCTCAGCTTTCGCGTCACTGTCTCGCCACTTTCGTCTGTTCGCCAGAATTTCTTCGCCATTTTTGGCCAAAGCGTAGCATTTAGACCAGCCCTCAGATCTGAACATTCCATCTGTAGATCTCGCTCTCCGATCTGAGAAACCCTTTGTATGGGGGACCTGCTCGAACGACTTGCGACATGTAGATAGCGAACTATCTCTCTGTCTCTTCGGACGGACTGCAATCGCAACATGTCCATACTATCCACTCCATGCGACCACGTCCTTCGGGGAAATACCCGGAGCAGCTCCTCCTTGGCCACGAAATATCCTCCAATGCAGGTCATAAAAAAGTCCCATTCGTCTTTTGCGGCAGCCTGCCGGATTAGTTCAGGGTCGATAATCTCACCGCCAATGAGCTCTCGAGACTCTTTGCAGTATTGGCGGTCTTTTTCGGGATCTTTGATAGATTCCAGTATGCGGGAATTCAGAACCGAAGGATCAAGGTCACTCAATCTGAGGGCATGCTCGAGCAAAAGTGTCATTAATGGGTAATCTGCGTGGGATTGGGCAATAACAAAAGGCGTCAGTCCTTGGTGGTTCTTTACATGTATATTCGCACCATTGTCGATAAGCTTTTCACAGATCTGTGTCCGAGGGTATGGATTGGAATTTGGCGGCTCTCGATCCAGTTGGCACCCTATCAGGAGTGGTGTATTGCCCCTGGCGTCCAAGGCATCCACTTGAAATCCATACGCCAACATCACTTCAATAAGCTCTGCTCGACGAACAGATGCCGCTTTGTGGACAGCGATTCTGGTCTCTTCGGAGTACACATGAGCGGCATTGCCCGTACTGAGTCCTGGACCGAAGGCTTTGTGCAAGTAAAGCTTCAATGCCGCGGGCTCGCCATTCTGAGCTGCAAAGTGTAAAGCTTTTATCTTGGTCTCCAATGGCAGCGTAATGAGCGTTGTGTGAATTTGGAACTTGTTCAGAATGGTGGCATTCGGCCAAGCCAGAGCCATATGGAAGGGGGAAGAGCCACGTTCGTCCTCAATGAAAGGGTCAGCTCCATTCTCAAACAACAAGCTGATCAAATCCAATCGACCCGCGTCCATTGCCACGAGGAGTGGCGTGCGGCCATGACTATCCTTTGCGTTGACTTTGACGCCCGCCTTCAAAAGAATCTCTGTCATCAAAAGGGACTTTCTTTGAACAGCACAATGTAGCGGGGCTCCAATTCCATTATCTCTGAGGTCCAAATTGGCTCCACCCTCAATAAGCGCGTGCAAGACTTCTTCTGTGCCTTTGCTTGTGGCTGCGTGAACAGGAGTAAAGCCCAGTTCATCCTTATGGTTGATATCAGCACCCCGCGAAAGTAGGGTCTTGACAATACCTGCACTGCGACAGAAGAATAAGGGAGTTTGGCCTCTACCATCCGTATCGTGACAGGTGGAGCCACGGTCCAGAAGGAAATTTATAATGCGAGTTGATGTACCCATGGCCGCAGCATGTATTGGCCAGACTGAAGAACTGTCTGGTCTCTTGATTGCTGTTGGGTCAAGATAGAGAATGGACTCCAAGATATGGACCGATTCTTCAGTGTCGCGAATCGAACCCATTTGCACGGCAAAATTCAGCGGGTATGTAAACATGGTACTTGGTCCCGGTTGGATAATCCTTTGGGCCGCAAGTTCAGGATGATGCTCCAGGATAACATCCACCGCATCCACATCTTCGAGATCGATTGCCTGCGTGATGGCGTTTTTACCCTCGGGGGATGACTGAGTCAACGCCTCCACTGGTAGCAGCTGAATTGTTTCTTGTAGTTTTCGTCTGTAGCTACTACCATGTATAGCAAGCCGTTCAGCATTAGTCATCAAGCTCAAGGCACAGGCAATGGGGAATCGACCCAAAGAATGAGCAAGATATAATCGATTTGCAGTAATCATTCTCTCCCCAAATGCTGCATGCCACATCATTTTTACCATTTCTGGGAAGTGGTAGCGTATAGCAAGGTGAATGGGCGTAAACTTTGAAGCCGAATCTCCATCATCATCGGCAAAGGCCGCAGCCGTCGGATCAGCCTTCAATTCCAGCAAGCTTTTCACAGAATCAATGCTTCCTGAGGCAACTGCAGTAGCTAGTGGAACGCCATATATTTGGAATGGCCATTGAGGGTGTAGGATGACCTTCTGGATAATAGCACTGTTCAGTGCCAGCTTGAGATCATCACGACGGTCTGCGTTGCGAAGCTGTTGTAGCACTTCAAACAAACTAGTCTCATCGAGGCAGAACAGCCAATGCAGAAGGCATGAACTTGTGGCATCGCGAGCAACAGGAACTCCTTCCTGTAGTAATCGATTCACGATGGACCCGTGACCACAACGGGCCGCTTGCACCAGTAAACATTCCCTAGTCTTCATCTCTTTTAACTTATCGCCAAGTATGGGCAGTATGCGGTTCACAAGTTCAATATCACCCTGCTGGATAGCAATTTCGAGGAGGCTGTAACGCTCGGAAGACAGGTTCAAGGAGAGTGAGATGGTCGTAATGTCGTCTTGGTCTACTCCCCCGAGATTGCCTTCATTATCAAAAGCTTCTCGCATAGTGATGTAATCTGCGAACTTGGTGGCCGATTCGCCATTGTGCACAGAGATGGTGGAGGACTGTTCACTCCGTCCCAATATACGAAATCCCGAAGCTAAAGTCTCGCTATACGTTTTGTGGCGACCAGAGGTACTCATTGAGAACCCATCGTATATTCGCAGACTCAAAATACAGGCCAGAAAGTGCCCTGACTCTTCGGCCTTATTAAGAAAATGTGAAGCCTTGGTCAGGTCTTTTGATGTCCCAAAAGCATTCACGTAGCATAGCATCGTTTGGAACGCAGTGGATCCGTTGATTTTCGGGGCCTCAGACTGTTGGGCCACAGTTTCAAAATCCTGCAGGAGTTGCTGCTGCTGCTCCCAGATAATATAGGGACCCCCATCCCTGCTGAAAATTGCATATCGGATGTCTCCAGATAGAGTGTAGGTGGCTAGATTTGATTTCAGAGAATGACCACCTGGAACGCTATTCCAAAATCCAATTATCGGCATTCGACTTAGATCTGATATTCGTTTGGCGGGATCGGTTTGTAGTGTGCCGTTCAGCAGGGGCCTGAGAAATCCTTTCTCGAACCCAATACCTGGGATCTTTATGTCTGCTAAAAATCCAACGGCAAGGCCCTTCAGATTACCAAGGTCGAAGTCGCCAAAGACATTTTGATCATCTTCGGCGGCGAAGTCTTCGTCATGGGGCTTGGAGCTCGCAGAAGAGGGTGTCGACATTGTATATGAGGGAAGGCGCCTATAAGCAGGGTCTCCCCGCCAGCTGCGCTTGAAATAGACTTGCCCATCTGCTAATATTTCCCACACACAGAGTCCGAACGCCCAAATGTCGCATTTATGAAGTTGTTCATATGGAATCGGCTGGTTCTTCTGCTCGGCCACTTCGGGCGCATTGTACCTGTAAGGTTAGCAGTTGTCCTTTCCAAAACTTGGGATGTCACTCACAGGGCTGTTCCAAAATATCGTGTTCTCCTTTCCGGTGCTGAGCTCTCGAGAATAGAATGCCCAAAGTCAGACAGTTTCGCAATCGACATGGACGGACGATCCAGTGTAGAAAAAACCACCACGTTATCGGCTTTCAGGTCCCCATGCACAATCCCACATTTATGCAGGGCTATGAGTCCTGCTCCGATATCTCCCATTAGGATCAGTTTGGTTCGAATCGTTCGTGGGCGCTCTTTCATAAACTCCCTTAATGAGCCAGCAGAGGCAAACTCCAGTGAAACAAAGGGTGAGAGCCGCTGCCTTTCCATGGACCACCCATATCCTAGAAGACTTATGATGTTGGGATGATGGGCGAGTGGTGGATGACACATAATTAGGATCTCACGTAGAACCGACTGTAGGCGCCGCTGGAAATGTTGACGTTCAGATCCCTTCCCGTCTTCATTCAGTCGGATGCGCTTAATGGCAACTACGGCCCCTTCATACTTGCACTGTGAGACGGAAAAAGTCTCCCCAGCAGCTATAAACCTGGTTTCTTCCAATCCCTCACTGCAAAACCTTTTAAGTTTCAACTGCTGTACCGTGTGAAGCAGGCTTTCGAGGCTGTTCATAGCATCGGTATCCATGTTTTCACTAAAGCCGAGACCGTCTGCGGTGGACACTCGGGATCTTGAAATAGATGCGGTCCATGCCAAAACATCGTTTTCCAGAGCATTTGCCGATTGGCCTGCAGTCTAGTCAGCTCGGATACCAGAGTGTTGAGTGACCCACGGAGCCTACATACACTGAACCCTGTCATCATCGAGGGTGGTGGCCGACATGGCCGCTCTCTGGACAAAGCTCCCCAGGATTTTCCAAGAAAAAAGAAAAATAGACTACTCCAGGTCAGCTCTAGAATTCTCCCAACTAGCCAGACCTTCCGCAGGGGCGCATAAGCCGCCCGTACTCTGGGGGATGATGTAAGATGAACTGTTAACTGGGCAATGTTTGTAGATGGGGCCTGATTATGTCACCAGGAACAACATGCTGATTTCGTGCCTCAGGCGAACAAATCTCATTGATTCAAATGTTTGCTCATTGAGCCTGCATTTAGACACTTCATCACCCACAATATGAATATCTACGCGCGCGCTCAGTCAAACGTACTGCCATGGATTCGTGACACACCTCTCCCAACCACAAGCCCTGAAGCTTATCCCAGATTCCAGTCCTGGCATCATTTCCATCATTCTACCCAAGGGTGGGTTCCTATTCGCACAAGTGACAATACGAGCAATAGCCCCGGCAACCTTCCTGAACAACCTAGTAGCAGTGATGGTCCATGTCATCTAGTGAACCTGACATGGAACATTGACGCAGGATCCGCCTGCGCGAGAGAACGCGCTAGAGACATTGTCACATATCTCACCCAACTGGATCCGAAGGTGGATATTATTTTCATCCAAGAGGTTTCAAAGTCGGCTTTGAGCCAAATTTTGATGGACGACCGGATTCGCGGCTCTTGGTTTTCCAGCGAGGGTGACGAAGCGGCATGGGGAACACAACGCTTTTCAATGATGACCTTGCTATCCAAGACACGATTTGCACCGTCTGATGACGCGAGTAACGCTGTTCTTGGGCCTATCTGGAGGGTTCGCTATCCAAGTCGCTATGGCAGAGATGCACTCTGCTGTGATATCTTCATCCCGTCTCTTGAGGAATCCTCTGCCACACGAATTCGCCTCGTCAACGTCCATCTGGATTCTCTACCTATTCAACCTTCCTGTCGGCCCCAGCAGCTGTCTATTGTTTCCCCTTTTCTGCGTAGTGCAGGCCGCGGATTGGTTGCTGGTGACTTTAACCAAGTTCTTGATGAAGACGCTACGCTTCTAGAAAAAAACGGGTTGGTAGATGCCTGGACAACTCTTCATCCCGAGGAACCCGGATATACATCGAGGAACGGACGGGAAGCAACGGTTTCCGCCAAATAGGCTGGATAAAGTTGCACTTGTTGGACTGAAAGCTCACACCATCAAAGTCCTGGCGCCAAAACGATTAGGTGAATTGGAGGAACAACAAAATACTCAAACTGACGGGGATACGTCCAAGTCCCAGCTGACCCAACCTACAGAAGACGCCCCATTCCGGAGCGATCACCATGGTCTGCTTTTCTCTTTCGGTCTAGCTGGCGAATAGTTGGTTTTCGTTGTCTCTATTTTTTTAACTCTGTCGTCTTGCTTTTGCTTGAGACTCCGCGCCTTTAGCTAACAAATAGCAAATTATGGATGATTTGATCTCCTACCAAGCTTTGTTAAATTCACTGCGATTCAAAATTTGGGTCTCACCTTTTCTAGGCGAACCACAGACAAAATTTTGTGGATTAAGGCAGGAAGGCCCCTCGAAGTGCGAGTTCGGTTAAAGTTCGTTAGTAGTAACACGTAAGAAATATAGCAGGTAGAGTATATGTGTAGTCAATACTACCTATGTCTGTATACAACAACGGAGAGTTTCAACCTAAACAACTATAGTGCCTTCGCGACAAACCACCGTTAGTAACCACAGATAAACTGAGGCCGGTTATTCACGGGCAAAGGCACTAGTCCGAGGTAAAAGCGCTCTGATTGGTCTGGCCGGAACCAAACCGGCCTCGTGGGGCGTTATCTAACCAATGATAGTTAGAACCTGGTCGATCCGTCTTGGCATTGGAGGCAATATAGAGAGGCCTGACATCAACGACTTGAGACTGACGCTACAGAGCACACCTTAGTGAACAGAGTGGAATATTTAAAATACTTTTAACATAGTCACTGAACCGTACAGCTTGGTATTAATCCATCATCGAGGACTAGATCGCAGATAAACCATACATGTCGGCTCACTTACCCAGCACTCGATCGGGCTTAGTGCGCTCCTTTGACTAATCTATGTTCTCCTTCACGGGGGATCTATATAGACCATCTGCGAGTACAGATAGTTGCCCTATAGCAGCTGGGAACGTCTATTTTATCTCAGTATCTTCATAGTTACCCCCAACATAACCACTGCACAGCCAAATTTCCCGATGTCACGGATCCGCGCCATCTTGTGGGCTCTTTCGTAATAGTATAGGCGAGGCCGGAATAAAAACCGGCCTCTGAGTATTATAAGAACGGGTTCCTCACCCGCCCAAAATCTGAAGTTTTCTGTTCTCCTTTTCATCCTGAAATTGCCTGGAAACCAAAATTCTGCTTTTTTGGCCCATTTCCCCTGCTTCCTTCCTTCCGGACTTGCTCCTTGGTCCCTTCTTACATATACCCCAAGCCTTCCCCTTATATCTGGCATACCTTCCTGTCCTCCTTTCACAAAGCATCTTGCCCTATACCCTTACATAACCATCTTGAGTTGATATACCTCGCTGTCGTTCATCATGACTCGGACCCAAGTCCCCTTCCCTTCCCCTACTACCCTGAAGAAGTTCCCCCATATCCATGAGGACCCTTCTACCCTGTCCCATGATATTGATCCCTTCACCATTACAACTTCTTCGGGCTTCCTGCCCTATGCTACGGCACCCACTACGTTGCCAAAGGCCTTCCAGCCCTTGGCTGATCTCCTTGACCGCCTGCCTGTAGTCAAGGATGACGGCAAGCCCGGTCTGCTGGCCACTTATGAGCTCGGCCCTGCTTGCAAGGACTTCCCGGACCTCACAGATGAAGTTGACAAACTTGTCACCGCTGATGGGTCGCCGGACCTCTTCAACATCACGGCCGTCTTCCGGGACTATACCTTCCTCGCCTCGTCGTACCTGCTCGAGCCGTGCTGGGAGAACTGGACCAAGAACCCGGATAACGGGTACGGTCTTGGTCGGGATGTTCTGCCCAAGGCTATTGCTCGCCCTATGTATCATGCTGCTCAGATGTATGTCTTTCCCACCTGGACCTTTCGGTCATCTCATGCCTAGTTGGTGCCGCTAACATCTTTCTTCTAGCTTGGACCTTCCACCCTTCATGTCCTATGCGGCCTCATATGCCCTGTTCAACTACCATCTCGCCGACCCGGCGAAGGGCCTGTCGGAGTATACTAACCTCCGCCTGACCCGCGCCTTTGAGCGTGGCCTGGACCCCAAGAGTTCTGAGGCCGGATTTATCCTGACCCATGTCGACATGGTGAAAGAGACAGGCGGACTCATCAACGGTGTCCTGAAAGTCGTCGACACTCTTGAGCAGCGTGGAGATCGTCAGGAAATCAATGATGGATTCCGTCAGATCCTGACAACCATGGAGAAGATTGAGGCATCCATGGAGAGTAAGCAGGTCCTCACCGATCTTCCTTCGAATATCTGCTAACCTTTCTTGTATAGCCATGTGGGGGAACTCGAAGCCAGCCGAGTATCTCTCTTTCCGCGTGTTCATCTTCGGCATCACCTCGCAGTCGATGTTCCCCAACGGTGTCATCTACGAGGGATGTGAGGACGACAAGCCCCTCAACTTCCGCGGCGAGAGCGGTGCCAACGACAGCATCGTATGTCACCTTACTTGCCTCAATTTCCCAAATAACACCACTGACATTTATTCCTGTAGATCCCCCTGCTCGACCACCTCTGCCAAATCCCCATGCCCTCTACGCCTCTAACCAAGATCCTGCACGAGTTCCGTGCCTACCGGCCCCTCCCCCACCGCACGTTCCTGACCTACATCCGCGAAAAGGCCGAGGAAATTGGCGTGCGCGACTACGCAGTCCAGGACTCCGAGACAGCTGTGCTGTTCCTCAAGACGCTGGACCATGTCCGCAGCTTCCGCTGGCGCCACTGGCTCTTTGCGCGGGAGTACATCATTCGTCGCACGCCGCACCCAACTGCCACTGGTGGAAGCCCCATTGTGACGGTAAGTAAACCCATCCATTGTGAATCGGGACCTCAGCTTATACATTGCTCTAGTGGCTGCCTAACCAGCTCTCGGCTGTCATGGACCTGATGGTCAGCATCTACGACACGTATCTTGCGCCGAAGGAGGGCGGCGCTGTTGTTCCGAATGGGGCCAACGGTACAAAGGATCTGATTGCCTCGCATCGGAAGCAGGTCGAGCCCATGATGGAGCAGGTGCGTGACCAGCGGGAGAAGCTGGCGAAGGAGGTCGAGCGCTGGTGCGCAGAGCGCGGGGTCTAAGTGGCGGCCTCTTCTCCTTTTTGTTGCATCTCAAAATTTATGCGGTAGTTATTACATATATCCAGGTTTAGACCATATTACTAGTTCATTGTTCGATGCACTCCCATGTAAAGATTGTGGGCTCATTGATCGCCCAGCGAGATGGAGATAGAAAATCGATCAACTTTCGGTTTGTTTGCTATCATTTGATTGTGGGTGGGTCTTGTCGGTGTTACAAGAATAAGAATAGCCGGTTCAAAGCGACACCTCACCGAGTCTTACGTACGGCTATCCCGACGTGACCCGCTCAGGCCCCGGCTTATCGTCTCGCGGGCATGAGTTCTATCTCTGCATTCATGTGCCCCTCGTAGGCTGGTTGGATTATCCATAAAGGCGCTGGTCACCTGAGTCTTATCACCTGGTACACGCATCGCACAGGCCTGTAACTAGTGTTCGGCAGAGCCGATAAGAGCAGCATACCTTGTGTTGACGAACCACCGACTTGTTGCAATCTGGTCTATGCATTTGTTTCCTCCGTCCATAGAAGTGTTGGACCATTTCAAGATAGGCAGATGAAAAATCTCGCAAAGTAGCAACGGGCTTCAACGGGTGATAATTTCCAACCCTCGTTCTCGGCCATATGCCACAGCATCCGAAGAGACTTCCTCGCAGCCTTGGACACACAGGCGTTCAAGCCGTGCTCCTTCATGGGAATCTGACGCGAGGGCTTCCGCGAACATGCGGATGCTGCAGCCTGTGATGTTCGTGAAACTCAGGTTGAGGACTTTCAGGTCAGGTAGATGGGTATGGAGATGTTGGACAACAGTATCATCGACACCAAACATGTGGAAGATGCTTAACTCGGTCAACTTGACGTCGGGGGCAGCACTCTTCATGAGGTGGAGAAACTCCTCGCCTGCGAGGTTGACGCAATCGTTAACGTGCAGTGTTTGAATAGGTGCCTGAGCCTGGGTTAGGAGCGCATCGAGGGTGTGGCTAGTGAGCCACTTGAGATCGACAAGCATGAGAGTGTGTAAATTAGGAAGCGTCTTCCCAGTGTCGTCTGTCCCGAAATTTGAAAATGTCCCGCCCTCAAGGTAGAGGTATTCAATGGTTGCGGGAAGGTCTGAATAAAAGGATTCACCAATCGACACACCGGTGAGACTTAATCGACGAAGCGGGGGAAGAGCACCTCCGCTCGATAATTGGGTGAATGAGTATGGGTCTAGTTTAGGTGGGTTCCAGTTCAGTCGGAGCTCTTCCAAGTTTGGGTATGTATGGGGCTCGAGGTCCTAAGCCAACTCAGTCAATGATAGATCGTCAAACATTTAAGGGGGCGTACTTCTGAAAGAGAGGGGATATAGATTGGGTATTCGTGATCGTGTCCCAAGGGTTGCTGAAACTTCCCGGCCAACGTAATGCTTTTCAAGTTTGGTAAAGAACTAGGCCATTTCCCGTCATGAACATGGCGAGGTGAATGCTTGACATTCAAAAGAGCAATACGCTCCAGAAGGGGAAAGCTGTTGATGAATTTGCCGAAATATTCCTGCGTGACGACCATGTCCGCGGAAATGATCAGAGTCTTCAGTCTTTTGCAACCTTGGAATTTTTTGTAAAACTCCCTGCAGTCGTATGTGACTCCGAGATCAAGGTATTCGAGTTGCGGGCATCGGCTCAGGATCTCTAGGCTCCTGGAGATCGATGCAGTTGCCAGGTTTTTGATTGTCGCATGTGTGATCCGAGCCTTTGATCGTCGGATATATGCTCGAAGGGCCGTCCACGGCACCTTGCCTCGAGCCCCGGAAAGATCCATGTTCATCCACAAGTTTGGCATTGAGGTGAAGAATCGGTCCCAAGTTTTGGAAACGCGAAGAATTGCCCTGGATATAGCCATGAGCCAACATGATCAGTCAACATCTTTCAGCATACTCACACAACTTGTTTGAAGGAAAAGTGCTTGAGAATCTCAAAGGCCACCTCGAGGGGCAGAGCCGTGAAAGGATCTCGACGATTGACAAACATCTTGTCGGAGAGTTTGTCGTGAAACTGTTGGAGAAACTGCAACATGATCACCAATTAATCCCACATCGTTACTCTCTCCGAGTTGGCTGTACATACCGAGCGTCGTGGATGATCAGGTGGGAGCACCTTCAAGCCATACGCGTAGATTTCAAGCGCCTTGTCCGCTTTCCCTTCCAGCAGAAGCACCTTGGCGCAACGCAAGTATCCCTGAATTCCATGCGTGAGAATAAACGTGGTAGAGGTTCAGAAATCAACACTTACACGTTCATCGCTGTTCTTGCCCAGTTTGATCATCTGCTTCGCGTCTCGACGCGCCTGGTCAAGCTGCTCGAGTTTGGAATAGGTCGCGGAACGATTGTCCAAAACACCAATAGTGTCCCCATTTTTCTGATTCAACGCCTGATACCGTTAGCTGAACAGTAGGGGACTAGTAGTGGGGCAGCTACCTCGCTGAAGGTCTCGATCGCGCCCTTGAAATCGCCCTTTTGGTATAATTTCTGGCCCCGCTGATGCAGGCTGGACACTGGATCCGAACAAAGTTGTCAGTTTTCGTGTCTCTAATACGTTAGAACCCCGAACGCACCTTGACGAGCCATGTCGACCGTGAAGTATGTAGTTCTCCTTGAGAACAAGCTTGGTGAAGGCTGCGCGTGGGCACGTGCCTCCGCGACTGCGCAGTTGGGTTTTGCGCCCACCCGTAGGCCCATGTTTACTTTCTTCCCCATTCGGGAATGCGCCCAATCCATCATCCGACCGCACAGCAACCAGCGACCAGTCCAACGGGCAGGCAGCTTCAACCATGGAGCCGCACAATTTGCAGGCAGCATCGACCTATGTCAACAACATTCTCCTGGCCCGAGGACTGCTGAAGAGTGGGGAGCCGATTGACTTCGCCGAGCCTGATAATGGCGAAGGAGGGACAGAGGCCACCATGGCCCGAGTGATCAACTTGGTCAATGATCTGGTCATCAGGAGAGACGTATGCGTGATACCCCAGTGGCATACTGGATTACTAAAGCTAACTGTGTATTACAGCGCGAATCTGATCACCGCGAGAACCTCGCGACAACGATCCGGACATTGCGCGCAAGCGAGTCGGAGCAGACTATGGAAATGGCATGTGCGCAATCCACTGATGGTAATTCAGGCTTCTAACTGTTATCTGTCTGTTTCTTGTAGGGAAAACTCAAGAACAAAACTTCCGAATTGGCGCGATCCCTGGCTCTAGCCGAAGCACAGGAACGTGCGCTCAAGTCAAATCTGGCCAGCGCCGAAGCTACGGCCAGAGGACTTAAAGAACAGGTTCAGCGCATGAAGACAACCGTCCAGCAAGTTCGCGCGCAATGTGCCAACGACATCCGCAAGCGGGACCTGGAGATGCAGAGACTCAAGTCACACCTGGCCGAGCGTCAACGGGGCAAGCGTGAAGGGCTGAGTGTGACCACCATCAATATCAATGCCAGTGCAGACAGATCGCAACTTAGGAATAGCGGCGGGGAACAGGTCAATGACCCTGGGTACAGTCTGAAGCAGGAGACGACCGAATTTTTGACTGAGCTGTGCCAGAATCTCAGTGATGAGAATGACCAGCTGATTGAGCTTGCGCGAAAGACAGTGCAAACGCTGAAGGAGCTGCAAGGATTGCCGCAATTTGAGGATGCTGGTGGTGACGAGGAAATGTCAGGAATGGCAAGTGTTGGACCTCTGAAATCGACTTCCGGTTCTGCCACTACACTTCCTACTTCGTGCGAAGATTTGTCAATCCGTATGGAGGCAGTGCTAGATCACCTGCGGACATTACTTACCAACCCGTCATTTGTGCCGCTCGAGGAAGTCGAGATCCGTGACGAGGAAATCAAACGGCTACGCGAAAGCTGGGAAAAGATGGAGAGCCGATGGAAGCAGGCTGTCACCATGATAGATGGCTGGCAGAGACGCCTGGCTAGCGGAGATTCAGTGCAAGCGGAAGAATTGAAGCGAGGCATGAATCTCGACTTCGTGAACTCATTGCAAGATACCAGCATGCAGGACCAGTCAGAAACCAAAGATATCTCGCCGATTCTCGAGGACGAACGGGAAGAAGACACAAGTGACTCGGAAGACCGACTACCAGAACCCGAAACATCCAACGACCAGACACGATCCAAGATCCGCAAAATACCTGTGCGTCCTGAGCGGGCATTGAGAGAACGCACCGACAACGCGCCAAAGCGTTTGACACGTAAAGTCTCCTTTACACCTGGCTTGCAAGGGTCACCGTCCGAACACGCGGGTACCGAAGAGGAAACACTTGAGATCAAACCTTACAAAGCCGCAACTGTGACACGCAGACCGTCGCGACGAAAGACAGAAACCAAGCCACCGCGTGAGGTGAGTGAAATGCACACAACTGACGGCAAGGATTCATACTTATGTACATTATTGAAGCAGGTCGTCCCCAAAGATACACGGAGCATCCCCCAAAAGCTCGCCGGGGCCGAAGATGATGCCCGAACCGCCGAACAATCACGCAAGGAGCGCGAATCTCGAAAGCGAAGCCGGCCTGACAAGGGAACTAGCAGGACAGGAGCCCGCCGCCGGAGTACCCTGGACAAGGATGAATTGAACGAACTGATGGGCAGGTCGACCCGGTGACATGACCATCTTCGCAAAGTGCTTGATACCCCTAATTTGTACTGTACATACATCGGATCCAGAGCGAGAGTGCATGTAAATAGCGTGTCCCGCAATTTGTTTATTGGGATACCGTGTCATTAGATAAATATGCATTTCGGTGTTGCTGTCTGCCCTTTCATTATTCATTCTTCGCTAAGTATCCTGCCATCCTTCGACGGTTAGTGCTTGCTAATCGGAGAAGGGGGTGCCTCTAAGTCGCCGACACTGAGGCAAAATGGATTTGCATAGACAGGCCGTGTCGAGGCGCAGCCGAGTCGAATGGATTGTACTCCTCGTCAACACTGCATGGCGGCTTGAGGAACCCTTTCTACGAGGTGGTCCACTTTCCGGAAGCAAAAAACAGTGTTGGAAAAGCCGGAATGGAAGAAAAATAATAAACTAGAAAAGCAAAAATGAAAGTCAAGGAAGGACCGAACAGCTGGTTTGAAGTTGTGAAAAGATCGGATGAGTGAACCCGAAGAAAATATATATAGTCTGGATTGGAGTCCCGACCCGGTTCTCTTCTCGAGATTATGAAATTAGTCTGCACGCAACATCTCAAGCGCTCCAAGCACGACCTCCCTTACGATGATGTTCATGCCCCTCCCCAGCCGGTTTCGCCTGTCCACCACCAGGAAGACGCACCGTCCTCCCTTTCAACCACTCATTTTCAGAAGCATTATAGTAAAGCGTATGTCCCCCGCTATAAATATTCTTCAGAGAAGAATCGGCATCCACAAACTTGTTCATTGTCGCATCGCGAGTCATGGACCAAGTACTTGTTTTATCGAGGCTGATGTCGATTATCACGCTCCCATACCCAGAATAGGCAGCTCCCGTCCAGGTACTGTAGTCACTCAGACTCCAGGAGATAAGGCTCCCGTTATAAGCCACCAGATCACCTTTCAGATCTGATTCCTTGACCTGGATTGTGACCTCTGCCGGTTTAAGATTGTTGTTATCGGGATACCCAGCATAGTAATCAAAGTCCTGTGTGATCTGGGAGTAATTGGCGACAACCAAAACATCAGACTTCGTGTCAATCTCCGCGTTAGTTAGATACGCGTTGGCAATGACATTGCCAAACCACAGTCCCGGCATCGTATTCCCCAGAGTCGTAAACTTGGTATTAGTGAGGTTTAACTTCGCACCACTGATCCGTGTGGCGCTGCTAAACATAGCAACACCGCCCAGCAGTCCCGCCGTCGCATCACAGTTAACCAGAGTGACAGTTTGAGCACCATCAGAAAAGACCACAGGTCCATTCTCAGAGAGACTGACAACATTATGCGCTTCAATAGTCCCAAGAGCATAGAACGTCGCAGATCCGATGCCCGCTGAGTGCGCAACACTGTCATAGACATAGATATCGCCTTTGGGCGAGTCACCCGAGAAACTGGATGAGCGCTTTCCGCCAGAGAAATGGGCCACGTTGTGTGCGATTATCGTCCCGTTCCCGCTGGCATATAACCCGTGACTGACTGGGCCAGAAGAGTATAGCCAGGCATTGTTGACGTGGACCACTGTGTCGCTGCCGTAGGAGTAGATGTTGGCTGCACCATTGTGAACCGTCACGTTGACATGGTGAAATGTTGCTGTCGAGGCATTGGCCTATATATTACTGTCAATTAGACCATGCTCAATTTCTCTAGATGGGAGTCCTATACTAACCACGTTGATGGCAGCATTGAATCCGTAGAAACTCGCATCGAGTAGGTTACTCGAGTACCCTTCCTTGACGATGTCTATGTAAAAGCCCTTAAACTCGGCTTCGTTTGCAACTAGAAGCACGCTCGTGTCATTTGCGTGGGCAGACCAGGAGATGTGGTCGAAGCTGATGCTCTCCCCGTTGACCTTGTGGATGGCCTTGACTATTCAACTATGTGAATACCTGACTTTAATTGACGTCAAGCCTACTTACTAGAGGAGGGCTGGGAGCTGACGAAGGGAACATTGTAGTCTGGTACGATGGCATTGTCCGTGGCCCACAATTCGGGGTTGATAATGTTCGAAGGATCTTCAATTGTGATGGATGCGAGGACGGCCAGCGGCCATAGCAGGAACAGAAATGAAGAAAAAGCCATGGTCAAGTTGTTTCTATCCGTTTGTCACTGCGCGACTGGGTGAACACTGGGAACAATCACCGACTTTATATCTCTATCCACTTCCCCATGGGGAAACCAAGACTGCACGGAACGGGTAGGGTAAATCATCGGAAGCAAGTGGAGAAAGAAGAAGAGACGCGTAGTGCATAATGACGGTACTGAGGGCACACATTCCGTCAAATTGGCGGGCCAGAAATCGATCTGACCAGAAACCCTCCACATCCCGACCTCACCTCTATATACCCTCGCCAAGAAAGTATACGCAAGCAAACAACGTGCTTCGGAGTATCCAGAAATGTTGACTGATTTTTTTTGGTATTATTAATAATTCTAAACCTCTGGGATATGGCTCAATTAAAGCAGAGAAGTAAACCCCCAAGTATGTATCATCCATGTGTGTAAACCTGAGATGTAAAGGCAGGCAATGGCATATTGCCTTTGCCACAAACAGAGGTCGAGGTCAAACATTTTAAAAAGCTATAAACAAATCCTATCGAAAAACGACACAAGTTTGAGCGCAGGCTAGTACTTGTGTGTTTGGATCTGCTAGCCAGAGGCCACAATATACATGGAAAGAGGCAACGGTTATTAAGTGGACGAAAAAGCAACTGACTCCATGGAACTTAAAGTAACCAACGAGGTATCGCACCAGGTCAGATAATTTTTACCAGTGATGCTATGCGGCTTTACGTTTACATTGTTTGCGTATTAATCATTCTCCTCTTTCATTTGCTTCTTCCTTAGTTCTTCTGCTCTCCAGCTTCAGAATTATCATGAATAACAAGCTTTTCCTTTAAAATTTACTCCCTGACGTGACCTTGAATTTTCTTTCTCTCTCTGATCTGACATAACACCGGGACGACAGAGAGATTTTGTGGCACTCGTCTTGTCGTGGGAGAGAAAAGAAGTTCGGTTGATTGGGCTGCATTCAGTAAGAGAGATAACTCTTCCGCTAGTTCATATTAATGAATTGCCAATGACTTGTTCACTTTCATGTTAGTCAATAATGGAGTAGTGGAGTCCCACGCCCTTCCTGACGCAAAATGCCAACCAAGTTTCCTCAAACAGAGGCATATTGTTGAGCATCTTTAGGTTGGTCGGCAAAATTGCATGTGACTCGGAAGCTTGTTTGGACCCGACTGTAACATCAAGGCGCTACACTCCGACTCAGCGTGCGGGGTCACAGGGGTCAAGACATCAGGAACAATTCGGATAAAACAGACTCAGTGGAGACATGCCGATCTGAATTGGCAGATCTTAATCATTGTGGGCAATTGTGGATTAGGACCTGAGAAGGACACAGAAAGCTACATGTTAAATAGCAAGGCTTACCAGTTCGCTCCATCCATTCGAGTTCAGAGTTTCTTGCTTCCCAACCATGGCTCTACTCAGGCTCTGGATATTAATTATTGCCAGCGCTGGCTTTCTGTCCTCTGCGCAGGCTAGTGCTCCATTCGGCTGGAATAATAACACTTTCCTCCTCCATGGCAAGCCCTACCGGATCATCGGCGGCCAGATGGACCCGCAGCGGGTGCCACACGAGCTGTGGGAAGACCGCCTGTCCAAGGCACGCGCTATGGGCTTGAATACTATCTTTTCGTACATCTACTGGGATCAGCTGGAACGTACCCCGGGCTCGTGGGACCCTAGCGGTAACAATGATATTGCGCGGTACTTCAAGATCGCACAAGAGCAAGGGCTGCATGTCGTTCTCCGCCCTGGCCCATATATTTGTGGTGAGCACGAATGGGGTGGATTTCCATCATGGCTCAGCGAGGTACCAGGCATGGTCGTCCGCACATACAACCAACCATTTCTCAACGCTACCCAGTCATATATCGGCCGTCTTGCAGAGCAACTGCAGTCGGTTCTGGTTACGAACGGTGGGCCAGTCTTGATGGTCCAGGTTGAGAATGAGTACGGATCCTATGGCGATAATCACCAATACGTTGCTGCCCTGCGAGACATCATTATAAACGCATTCGGTTTACCAGTGTACACCAACGATGGTGGTGAGAAATCGATGCTTGATGGTGGTCAAATTCCCGGTGCTCTTGCCGAAACAGATGGTGATCCGAAGACGGGCTTTGCTGCTCGCGACGCATACGTTACCGATCCTAGTAGCCTTGGTCCACAGCTTGACGGGGAGTACTACATCACTTGGCTCGACCAGTGGGCCAGCAATAACTCCTTCACCACAGATGTCGGAAACCAGGCGGCAATAGAATCTGCCACATCTGATCTTGACTGGATCCTATCCAACAACGGCTCGTTCAGTATCTATATGTTCCACGGCGGCACCAACTGGGGTTTCCAGAATGGAGCGGACTGGGGCGACTCACTGGAGCCTGTCATTACGAGCTATGACTATGGGGCACCTCTCGACGAAAGCGGCCGGACAAATGATATTTACTTTGCCGTGCGAAAGACTATCAGCTCTCATGTCGGTGCTGACAGCATCCCGCCTGTTCCGAAGAATAAGCCGCTTGTCACAGTTCCCGAAATTAAACTCACACCCGAAGTGACTATGTTTGACAGCCTCCCCAATCCCGTGTACAAAAAATACCCTGTCAATATGGAAGCAGTTGGCCAGGCATATGGGATGATTCTCTATCGGCACGTTGTTACATCCGCAGTTAATGGGACTCTTAAAACAGGTGATGCTCCTAGGGACCGAGTGCTCGTCTATGTGAATGGCCGTCGCGTCGGCGTGATTGATAGCACGTATGCAGCACCTAGCACAGTCAATTTGGCACTAAAACCGCATGACGTGTTAGATATTCTGATTGAGAATATGGGGCGTGTCAATTACGGATCCCTCATCATTGATCAGCGCAAGGGAATTGTGGGAAATGTAACAGTTGGAAGCAGTCTTCTTCCCAACTGGGAGATCTATTCTCTCCCTTTGAATGAACCGCCCTCTGGTCCATCCGATAAGGCGAAAACGACACATCTGTCAACAAGTTCCGGACCCGTCTTCTTTACTGGTTCATTTGATGTGGATACTGTTGGGGACACATTCCTTGAGCTTCCTGGCTGGACGAAGGGCGTCGTTTGGGTCAACGGTGTTAATCTTGGCCGATATTGGATTGTGGGCCCGCAGCAGACGCTCTACCTTCCCGGAGTTTATCTTCGCAAGAACCAGAACAAGATCACCGTCCTGGCTCTAGAGCCTACAGGAAATGAAGGAGCTGTCCGTGGAATCACCACGAGGAATTGGGGTAACCACCCGGATCCTGACGCTCCGTAATGTAGATAGTACGGTATAGCAAGAATCAATAAAGAAGTATGTGATAAGATGTTAGAAGAGAGTGGGCAGGAAATATGGCAATCTGATGTAGTCGTTTCAGATAAACGTGATGGTTATGGGCACTGTCAATGCTGAGATGCAAGTACTATAAGATAGGACGAGGGGAACTCTGATTGAACCTTCCAAAAGAAGCGTTCTATGAGATAATTCTGGAACGCCACGCGGAACGTAGACTCGCTTCGATGAATTAAAATAATTGTCGAGGTTGCCTTGCGATGAATTGCTCGGCTGCAACTCTCCGATCCAACTTTGCCGATCAGTGGAGAGCATTCGGATCTGGCCGCCGAGTCCATCCACCCTTGTACTTATTGACCCCTCGTGCACAGACTTCATAAATAGTTCGCCAGCTTATGATTTAGCTTCCCGAGCGACTTCCGTGTCGGCAGCATTCGCTTGGATGCCTACATCCAAGCCCAGGCCGAGATCCGGAACTTATGGAACTATTTACAGGCTCTAAGTTGCTTGGTGTGAATATGATTCAATCCTTGTGTCCATTGCGCCATGTTCAAATTGGACTAGTAGTTCCATTAAGATATACTACTATTTGAAAAGTATTTCTCCTGAAAGTTACGACCGAACAAGAAGATGATATCAAGAAGCATTTCAGCTCAATTATACCTCCTCGTCACTTTCCTTATTCGTGAATGCCTGGGAACCAATTATTACTTTGATAGCCGGTCTTCCGGTAGTAGGAATGGTGGGTGTTTGACACCTTTCAATAATCTATCAGCCTTAAGGTCCCTCGACATCGCGCCTGGAGATAATATCTTCTTGAAAAGAGGATCGAGGTTCTCTGACTCGTTGATATTGAACCAAAGTGGTTCTACCAACTTGCGAATTACCATTCAGGCGTATGGAGATCCCCAGCAAGCTAGCCCCGTTATTGATGCCGGTGACAATGTCTATCAACTCAATGCTGTTCTTCTAAATGGCACGTCACATGTAACGGTTCAAGACCTCGACATCACCAACCCGGGAGATAACAAGACCCCCCGACGAGGAATATACGTGTACGCCGAAAATTCAGGCGAAGTCCGAGATATCACACTGCAAAATCTGTTTATCCACGATGTTCGTGGGTGGATGCCGTCTACAACAGACACTGGAATTGGAACGGGCAAATATGCAAATGCCTCCGGAGCTATCGTTTTCGAGGCTAATGGAAATAGCACCGAAAGCTACTTCGCCGAAATTACTATCCAAGACAATGTCATTCGATCCGTTGACCGCCAGGGGATCTATACCTGGTCCAATTGGTGCCGTCGACCTGCTATGGCTTCATTCTGGGACACGCTCTGCTTCCAACCTTGGCATGCATCAAAAGGCCTTTTAGTGCAACGAAATCGCCTCTATGATATTGGAGGGGATGGAATCGTTGTTACTGGGAATGAAAATGCTCTAGTCCGCAATAATACCGTCATTGGATTCAATAATCGTTCCCGGTCCCCGAATGCGGGTATATGGACTGCCAATAGCGACGGGTCCTTGTTTCAATATAATGTTGTGTCTGGAGGTACCACAATTCAAGATGGTATGGCACTCCCATCTTTTTCACGGACGTGTGGAATGTGCGTTTCTGACTTTGTATTCAAGGAATGGCCTACGACGTGGACCATTCGACCTCCGGAACAATCTTCGAGTACAATGTGTCACACGATAACGAAGGCGGCTTCTTTCTCATATGCCCATACGATAAACCAACCAAGAACTTCACTATTCGCTATAATCTTTCTGTCAATGACCGGACACGGATTGTTGAAATTTGCGATGGCCAGCTTGTCAACGGCAAAATATACAAAAACACTATTTTTATCGGAGACGGCATATCACCTTTTATTGTCACGGAGGATACAAATGCCAGTCTGGATGTTCTTTTGACAGACAATATCATATACAAGACGGGCTCCGGAAACGGGCAATGGCAGTTGAACGACACTGTATTCTCGGTCAATCACAATCTTTTCTTCGGTCCAATCGATGAATATGATGAAGCGACAGGCAACACAACCTCGGCCGCCGGTCTGGCTGCTGCAGGATTGCGTGACCCCAAGGCATACCTGTTAATTCGGGACTCTGCGGCTTTTGATTCTGCAGTGGCGATTGCCGGGGATGCCCGCAAGGATTTCTTTTCGGATCCCACGGTAGCGCATAAAAACCTCGGGTTTTACTCTGGAGCTGCTACCAAGAAGCCAGTTTGGGTGGATGACTTCAACCAAAACAGCAGCTTGGCCTCAGGATGGTCCTCACAGGGCCAGGTAGCTCTTGTCGCAGATCCAGCAGGGGACTTGGGTCAATCGGTAAAGATGGGCCCTGCGTCGGCAATCTCCCACGCTCTCAACGTGACGTCTCCCTTCCGACTCAACGCAAGGATCTGGGTTGTCTCGCCTGATACCCATGATGGGGCCTTTCTGTCAATTTGTCTTCAGGGTGTGTCTTCGGCAATTGTCTTATCGAATTCTCCAGGGTTGCTTCCAGGGCAATGGCAAATAATTGAAGTCAATGTATCAAAAGAAAGAGCCCGACTGGAGGCTACGGCATCACTCGATGGAGAAAAATTTACCCTTTCGTTGAGAAAGAGCAAATTGTCTTGTGCCGGAGTCACTTTTAACTCCGGGGCAACTACACTATATGTTGACGATGTGTTCCTTACTCCCCTGTGATTACCGTGTCGTCGTTTCTCTCCATCCTCCATATAGCAATGTTTTTGCAAATAAACAGATAGCCCATTGGAATGTGTGCTTCGATTTACATTTCTCTCAACCTTTTCCATAGGCCGCCCGCCCCGTTCTAGTCGTGAGCATATTGTGGAGCCTCAAATTTCCCGTATATCTCTTTCATGTGTCATTCAATTATCCGATTTTATTACCCGCTCATTGGTGATTTAGATTTTCAGGATTATGTACAGAGTATGCACACTAGGAGTTGGCCATAGCTTCTCGGCAAACCCATTGGCTTTTATCCTAAGAAAGCAACGTTTAGTATTACCCCGCAAGCTACCTACGTTTTTCCAATTCGAATCCCAGGGACGAAATTGGAATAGTTACGTTACAGCGCTTATTACCTTATTTCGCGTCAGGGACAATGTCGCGCTCCTTTGCAACCATTAAAGAATATAAACACCCACATTCCCGGGGCTTTGAGCAGCGTACGGCACTTCAAGTTCACAAAGTTAAACCTTGACCATGAAATTCGCTCCTCATATCCTTGCCGGTTTCTCGTTGCTGGCGAGCACCTCGGCCAGCAGTGCTACCACGCCTTACAAGCCCAAGTACCGCGTCTCCCCAATCGATGGATCGAAGATTGCTCTGCCGACAAAGGAGCAACTAGCTTTCCAAGACAAGGAAATTGGCGTTCTCATCCACTTCAACCTCGCCACTTATCTCAGCATTGACGGGTGCAACAACGTCCCTAACCTTGTACCCAAAGTGTCATTGTTCGACCCGACCCTGCTTAACACGGACCAGTGGATGGACACTATCTCCTCCCTGGGAGCCAAATACGCCACGCTGGTTGCCAAACACAATTGCGGATTTACCACCTGGCCCAGTGATGTTACTTTCACGGATCGAGAGAACAAAACTGTTTCCTATAACTACACCGTCGCTCAGTCGCCTGTACACGGCGAAAACATCGTCCGGAGCTTTGTGGATTCAGCTGAGAAGTATAACGTCGGGCATGGGTTTTACTACAGCGTTGTCGTCAACAACTATCTGAATGTGCAAAATTCCGAGGTTCGTCCTAATACCTGGGCTCAGGGGCAGGTCAACATCACAAATGGAACGTATGACCAAATTGTGTATGATCAATTGACCGAGCTGTGGACCAACTATGGGAAATTGACCGAGGTACGCAAGTTGAGATCTATTTTACCGACGGTCTTGCTAATGCAATGGTCTCCCGTGATAGATTTGGTTCGATGGTGGTTACAGCGCCACCCAGCAGAACAGGATTCAGGGCCTCTTGGAAGAGAAGCAGCCCCAAGCTGTCATTTTCAACGGATGCGACACCAATGGAACTTGCATCTCAGAGAATTCCAGTGCGTATAATGGTTCGGATGCCCTAATACCTCATTTCGCTAACATATCTTCATAGTTCGCTGGATTGGAACCGAGGCGGGGCAGGCGCCGGAAGAAAACTGGTCAACGTGAGTATTTAGCCTTATACACTCCGAGCTGCATACTGAAAACAACCTTTGTAGTGGTGTAACAAACGACGGGGGCGATCCTACAAGCCCGTACTTCTGCCCAGCAGAATGCGACACGACGCTTCAAACAGACGACCGCTGGTTCTTTGGAGTCGACCAGCCCCTGCGTTCTATTGAAGAAATGATTGATGTCTACCACAAGACCGTGGGACGAAACTGTCTTCTCGAATTGGATTTAACGCCAGACCGCAGTGGACTGATCCCCGCAACCTACGCGGCGCGATACAAGCAGCTTGGCGATTTCATCAGTTCCTGTTATGACAAGCCCGTTGCGCCAACAGCCAAGCATACCTCAAACAAGAAGGGAGTCTACTCCATCAAATTTGATTACCCGACCTCAATCGATCGAATTGTCATGATGGAAGATCAGACAGATGGCCAGGTGATCCGGTCGTACCAGGTTCATGCCAAGATTGTTGATGCCCTTGATGCAAACGGCACACTGGCCGTGCCATTCTCTCTTGTTTCAAATGGCACCAGTATCGGTCATAAGAAGATTGATATTTTTGAAAAAGCCCACACTGTGACTGAGGTCATGATCAAGACCACCTATGTCGATACGCCGAAATGGCGGTCGGTCTCCGTTCATCTCTGTGACCGTCTAGCGGCTAATGGCACTAACACTGAGGCGGATTAGAAGAGAATGCATGGCATACCGGTCGATTCAGAGAAGGTTGGGTAGATGCTATACCCTTTTGAAGTGCAACTTATGATATTTGGTAATACAATACGAATGTTGTGCATTTCTCCAGATATGTTGTTGGACAGTGGGTTCACTTAAGCCGTACTAAAAATGCACTTGAGCCGTACTAAAAACATAGAAAGGTACTGAATCATCGACTCCTCCAAGTTCTCGTGGCTCAGGTTTATGGGTACATTTGGTTCCTGTGGAATGCAAGAGACCGTGGATTTCGGTTATATTGGTTTGAGCTAGGTAATTATGCAAAGAGCAGAGATTCAATAAAAGTGAGGTAGATTCAAAACAAGACTTAGTATCTCCAATGAGCTATACTGTCCGATGATTTACGTGGGTCGCTGCCATCTTCTTATACATTGGTGCAGAAGCGATTCTAGCTTTCTTGCCCCATATTAGGAGGGGAACTGGGATCAGGTAAACGACAAAGGCAACGACCGCGCAAAGGATATGGAGATTTTGAATGCCCATTCCGTCCACCCAGGGAGTCAAAACAAAAAGGACGATGACGCTGATGATGTTTCTCATAAATATGACTCCTACCAATGCATCTCCGATAATCTGGTCAGAAATCAGAATGGTCCGTAAAGACTAGTGGAAGCGAAAGAAGAGATTACTTACGTCTTGGTAACAGTCCATAAGATATGAGAGCGAGATGCTGCCGATAGAGGCCAACGTGAAGCCAAAGAATCCAAAGCCCACAGCAAGAAGCGCCCAATGTATTCCCTAGAACGAAGTTAACTCAAGTCCGATGGCGTTGAGGCAATGCGAGACACTCACATAAGCGAGCCCCAGACCAAACATGAGGATTGATGCAGGACCAAGGATGGCCGCAGGGAGGGCAAGCCAGAGTCGCATTTCAGGCTCGTAAATACCGCCATTCTTCTTGGACAGCCACAGTATGGACTTATCACTCAGGTATCCACCACAGGGGAATCCCAAGATCGCGCCAACGAAAGGGGCAATATTCATAAGCCCGATACCTATAGCATCAAAATTGTACGGTGGATATAGCATATAGGACGCTTGCAAAGAGGTCATTATAGCAAACCAGGCCAGCGTAGAGCCATATGTGAGGGCAGCATATGCCACTGCTGGGAAGGTAAAAAGAGTGACGATTGGAATCCAGAAGTGCGGCCAAAGAGACTCCTTGGTTGGCGTGACCCAGGCCAGTCTCTGCCAATATGTCTTGGGCTTGATGTCGACATTGGTGGCCAATCGACTAGCTACCACTTCGGAGGTGGCACTTTTGTCGTTTGTTGATGTTTTGTCTTTGATGTCTTTAGTATGCTCCGCTGAGCTGACGTGGGCCGTAGGCGAAACGCTTTGGCCGCTCAAGACGGGGACAAATTTCGATTCCTCAAAGAGGAAAATGACACAGACCAGTGTGACCCCGAAAAAGATCACACACCACCACCACATCCACCGCCACCCTTGTGAGTTCACAATGTAACCCGACGCTACGGGGCCAAGGAATGCACCTAAAGACTGGAAAATGACAAACCATCCATTCATGGTGGCATGCTGGTGGACAAAGAACATATCTGCCACCGTGATCTGCACCACGATCTCGCTGATCGCGCCGCCCAGGCCAGAAATCAGGTTTGCCCCGATGAAACCCCCCACTGTATATATCTCCGCTTGCCAGACGCAGGATGCAAACTGCAAAGCCGAACTGAAGATGTAGATGGGACGTCGGCCATACTTATGTACCAAAGGAATGAAAAAGAAGCACCCGATAGCCAGACCGCCGTAGTTGACAGCGGCACCTGCATTGAGAATGTCGACTGAGAATCCAAGCTCCGATTCCATAGGACCCCATGCAGTGAAGCCGATATCGAGCTGGACAAACGTCCACAAGACAAAGAAGCTGACGAGGGTGAAATTGAGGGCCTTGCGAGCCGTAGACCAATTGAGGGGATCATTGGGGTCGGCCGAAGGGGTAGGAAAGAGAACTAGCTGGTCTCGGGTGCGGTGGACTGGAGGAGTCAGTTTGATCCTATCCGATCCGTGAGGGCTCTTACCATCTTCGAGGGCAACCGTCCCCGGAGCCCAGAAGGTCTCGTCTGCGTCGTGGTGTTCATCCACCATGCCTGATTTTATTTGCGAGATTTCAATTCAGTTCAGTCGGTGGGCAAGAATCAGCTCAAGGAACACGACGCCGCTGGGACGAGCCCGGCCATGACTTTAAGTTTCGTCCGCCATCTCCAAGGCTACGCACTGGCGTGCGGAGATACACGCGACCGAGAGCGTTATCTTGGGATCCAGAGGGCTGGTGCGGGGAAACAATGGCAGCGATAGCCTGGCATCAAATCAGAAGCCTCGAAACGGGTCGGCTTGGCGTGGATGATAAGGGGGATCGAGCAGTGTTGCGACAAGCGCATCTCCACTAAATCTTATCCTGGACGGGGAATGGTTGATCGGCTGGACTAGCTTGATCAGGTGCAGCCAATGGCTTCTAATTGCGCCGGCGATCTCGTGAGCCCCAGCGGGCTCATTCCGCCAGCGAGCTATACCCTCCTACCATCCAGTCATCCTCCGGCACTCGTCGCCTAACAAGACCTACCGCCAGCTCTCCCGATGGCCGCGTTAGCTATCATCCATTCCCGATTCTCTGTTCGATCAAACTTTTTACGCAATCGAAAGCAAACAGAGGCCATATCATATATCATCAACCCCTGCATCGGGATCAAACGATGCCACAGCATATTCCGATAGTTCCCGGTCTTTTTTGTCATCTTAAACCTTTCGAAGAGGACACAGAAGTCTACGAGAGATCAAAACATTAATTCAATGCATTCCAGGTCAAACCGTCAACTCAGGGGTATTGAGAGACTTCTGACACTGTGCCCCGCCAACGACTCGCGAGTTTGCTAGGTTCCTAGCTGACGCTGTCGAACGGGAAAACCTCAAATGTTGGGCCCCTTGAGCACAATCTTCCCATGAGCGTGCCCCGTCTCGCCCTTCTTGAAGGCGTTTACTACATCGTCAAATTCATAAACGGAGTCGACGACCGCCTTCAGCTTGCCCTCGTCGATCAAGCTCCCAATCTTCACTAACTGCTCCGCATTCATGTCAACAATAAAGAAGACCACCTTCTGGCCAGCCTCTTTGCTGAGGTCACCGGCCGTTGTGTCCACGATGCTGACAAGCGTGCCGTCTTTGCCGAGAGTTTTCAAGGCCTGCTTCGTCGTGTCACCGCCTACCGCATCAAAGACAACGTCGACATTCTCCAGAGCAGAGTCTAGCTTGACTTCCTTGTAGTTCAGGACCTGGTCCACTCCCAACGACTTGAGGAGCTCGAAGCTTCCTTCGGATGACGCCGTGCCGATAACTCGAGCCCCGACCATCTTACCCATCTGGACGGCCCAGATCGCAGTCGGACCAGCCGCTCCGGTGACCAGCAGGGTCTGTCCAGCTGCGAGCTTTGCGTGGTCAAACAAGCCCTGCCATGCCGTGAGAGCGGAAAGTGGAACCGATGCAGCGTCGGTGAGGCTTAGACTTTGGGGCTTGCGGACCATTTTGGAGAAGTGAGCTTTCGCATAGCCCGCCATGCCGCCGTCAATGCTTCGCTTGGTGGGGAAGGCCTTGCTCATGAAGACCATGACTTCGGTGCCCACTTGGAGGCCGCTTTCATGTGGCACCTTGGACCCCACCTTTGCTATAACACCCGAGTAGTCCTCTCCGGGGATAGGTGTTTTGTAGGTACCGTCCTCCTTCTGGTAGATCGGCCAGTAGAGCTCCATCCAGATAACGCTGGCAGCGTGTACTTTGACCAGGACCTCATCGTCATCGATCTCTGGTATGTCTTCTTGGACGATTCTGAGCTTGTCAGTGCCGCCGGGAGGGTGATGGCGCACAGCTTGCATCGTGCAAAGAGTGGGGATAAGATTTCAATGAGGCCACGAAAGCTTTGAGAGTGCTGGATTAGAGGGGCTGCAGGTCTTTGGTACTCCTGCTATATTCAATTTATGGCTGCAAAGCTAGTCTTCCACGTCGTTTCCTTGGCTTTTATGCTTTCTGGGGTCTGAGTTGTCCGATTCAGTGGCGCCGATCTCAGTTAGCTACGGATGCGTCGGTTACACGAAGTCACATGGCCGAGCAACTGCAATGCCAAAGAAGCCGCAACCTCCATCTTCTCAAGCGAATGAGGCTCGACATACGGACATAAATCAGAAATTATTGGATAGCATTCGATGGATACATCCATCTGCAGCTTCTCACTTATTCATTTTCCTAAACTCAATCATAACCTTTTTTATGACGCAACCGTAGGCCTATGCCAAGCAAGAGTTTCCTGAAATACATATATCCTCTATGTATTTCCCTACGCGGATCAGCCCGGAACCACATTTTGCTAGTGTACAAATGCAGAATTGAAATAATGTAATTCCCAACAGAGCCGCCCAGGTCCAGTAGACCGTGCCTGTAGCTATTCAAGCAACCAGTAATATTAACGAGAGTAACATGCTAATAGCTATACGCTATCTTAAAGGTTAGGAAGTTACTTTAATTAAGTAAATAGTATCTACTCCGTAGACCCTGGAGAGGTGTGCTTAGATTTTATATTTCCAAATGTAAAGCCAACAATATACTCTATAGGCTTTGTTCCATGCTCTATTAGCAGAGTAATGATTTTAGTAAGTTTTTGATCATCACGGCCTAGACTTGAAATAAGCCCCGACGTAATAAGCCTTGATTCATAAGCCGGATGACTTGAGGATTACGTTAACCAAAACTTGAATTGCTACATGGTCCGTAATTGATCTGTGATCTAATAGGAACCGCTAATAATAAGAACATACAAACTGCGCTTGTCTGTAGCTCGACGGCTCAGGGAATCTTTTTAGTGCTCAGTATAAGTATATCTAATTGGCTGATCTAAGTTTATCTCTACCTATCTCTTTAGAGCAATTAAGATAAGCGCTTCGACCTTATTCGTATTGGATGAGCTGATGGCGGTCGAAAACTTTGGTGGTGCCACTATGCACTTGGTGAAGTTAGGCACACGCGAAGATCATGTAAATAGATACAATCACTTGACTTATTTCATTAATGTTACTAATTTCACAGATAAAAGTTGTGGTGCCCCAGGAAAGCTGCGGTGTCCTTAGCAATTCCCAAAGGTGCAGGGAATTGAATAAGCTACTTTAGCCTTGTGCGGAGGAGACGTGATATCAAAGGTAGGCCCGGTGGCACACAATACTTGGACCATGGATACCAACGTATGATCCACTCATACGTTGGGTCCACAATCCTAAGCCGGATGCCGCGGGAAACTCTTGAGGGCCAAATTCGGGAATAAATAGACGGCCTTCCCTTCCCAAGATAAAGATTCCTTCCTCAATTTAATAGACCTTTGTATTGCGATCCTTCTCTTCCATGCTCTACGTTGGAGAACGTATCGACGTAAAAATCCGTCAAATATACATAAGCACCCCGCAACCAAGCCAGCTATACTTCACACCGGCCTAAAAAGTACTTGTGCAGAGGTACAACATTCTCATGATGCAAGAACCAGTCTACAACCCTGAGTAGGTCCCTAGAAATCATAATACCCTCAAGCCTCGCAATAACCTAAAATTTCACTAGGTCTCCTCTGGCAAAAACCACCGTGACTTACCAGTATGAGCTAGTCAACTGTCCCGGAAAGACCATAGTAGGAATGCTTGTCGAATATCCTCCGAACGGTGCGACGCCACCTCACAGACACAGAGGCGCTTCCGTCTCCGCCTATGTGATCCACGGCTCTGTCTTGAATAAGATGAATAATAATCCGATGACGACAATCGAGGAGGGCGGTTCCTGGTATGAGGCACCAGGCTGCCATCACCGGATTAGCGCCAATGCGAGCCAGGCGAAGCCGGCGGTGTTCTTCGTGACTTTTGTGATCGACTCAGAGACTTTAGAGCGAGAGGGCCCATCGGTACTTGTGCAATATGATGTAGAGTATCAGGAGATTGTCGCAAAGAAAATGCATTCATAAATATGGATTGCTGGTGAATGCTTGTTCATTAATTCGTAGTCAATGCCAATGAATTACACCTAATTGTCTTTACTTTGTAGTCCATGCTCTACCATTAGAGATTATTGGGCAATAGATATCACTGGAATTCTTGGCTGTATTGAATCCTTGCAATCGGCAGAGACTCGAAGCATCCATCTGACATGGCCAAACGCGAGGTTTTGGATGATACGATAGTGGCGCCGAGGAAAGAAAGACCTTTGTGAGAGAGGGAGACCATATTACTCATGCGCCAAAGCCCAAAGCAACAGTACTCTTGCCAGTTGCAACTATCGAGGATTTGACGGGGCATACGAATCGTGGAAGGTCCGATCATTTGAGTTGAAAAGCCTTAGCGAGCCGAAGCTCCATTCTGGAAGATTATGAGAGCAGAATCGGATAAATGGAAATATAGACTATATCAGTGACCTCAGTCCGATTGCATTAATGGATTCGTTCTAATCTGCCCTCAGGGAGGACCTTTTGAAAGAAACACTGGTTATGTTGTCAACTCCGCTATTTGAATGCGCCGAGTCAAGTTTCGTCAAATGAGCCTTCTCATTTATATTTGCTTTCACTCATAACGAGATGTTGATTTGTCAAATATTGGACCTGTTTAAAATTTGCTCGTGTGCATAATTCCATTGCTCTGAAGGTTCATGCTCTGAAGACATATGGCGCACATGGAGTTGGCAGGCGAGTTCAAATTCAAACTCCACATGTTTGACGACAAATGCAGTTCAAGTTGATTGTTTCGTTCTCGGAGGTTGTTCAGCTGTTCCTCTAGTTCCTTCGTGCGCTCTTGCAAAGATTCTGTGTATTTTTGTTTTCGCTCCCGGAATAACTTTTGCCTAGCCAAACTATCAGTTGAGTTTTGTTTTCACGAGACACAATAATACGTACGCCAATCGGTTTTGGGACCTTTTTTTATCTACCTTTGTAGTATTTTTAGATAATACTGTCTGCTTAAAGGCGTTTGATGTTGGCAATTTATTGTTGAAGTCGCTTGTAAAACCCGTCATATTTTTAGTCGAATTGATCTGCGTTGGATAGGCCATATTGTGGTTTTCAACCCGATTCGTATTTCTGCACGAGTGCATAAACGGAAGAGTTAGTTCTATGGAATATAGCAAATAAGGAGTGATCAGTTTCTCACTTTGACTTAGTCCTCTGATCTGTGGTTGAGCTCGCTCTCGGGATTTGTGAGTCAGGATCAGTGAATGATGATGGATCCGTGAAAAGGTCAACCGGATATTTATTGTCCTTAAGGCATTTCAGCAACCACAAGTCATCTCTTTTAAAAGATTAAGATTGCAAACCTTCTGACTAGAAGATAGCCAAGAATAGTCAGGCTGGTGCTGCAGCCAAAAAAAGGGATAGTTCATTTGATCTATCGCCATAGTGAAGTGTGCTGTTTTTGAATTGTCACGGAGAGAAGAATAACGCGTATATGAAGCCAGAAGAAGATCATTCATAGTCTTGAAACTACGAATGATTCAGAGGGGAATATGCCATGCTTTTATCTTTGTGGTTTTCAGAGGGCCCGTCATGTAGGCAAGTCATACCGCTGCGAGAGACTCGGCAACCTTGGTTTGGTCTATAAATGAGCACGTCTGAAACCCAGAGAGTACAAAAGTCGGAATTTTGGAAATCGCCAAGTCAACACTCTCATGGCTTTTCTAAATCAACCAAATTTTGATTCAGAAAGTCTCGGGAATGTTGAAGGTTCAAGTTACTAGGTTTGGAAAAAGACCCCGCTTCTAGGCTCCGTTAGCAAAAGTGAATACAGCCAGCTCAACTTCAATAAAGTTAATGCTTCTCAATGGCGCCTAAGTTTTAGCATAGCTTTGACTTCAAGAGCTCGCCACATGACCTAATGGATGGTTTGTCTGAAGGAACCAAAGATAGCGCCCGCTAGCGTCCGCTAGTGCATCCGCGATGACTCCCGCTAGTGCTCCATGGTTCGTCCCCACGTGCGGCGGTTATTAGTGGCTGATTCAACCCCGTGAATTGCAACAAGCTGAGAATTGGCAGAATACTTGGGTGTTTGAAAATCCAACAGTGGCGTCAAATACTTGTTTTATTTGAAAGAAATCGAGACTTATCGTCATGCGACGTCATTCTCATAAGCCAAGCCTGCCATGAACGCAAAAACAGATGAGCAGGAACAAAGGTATCTGCTTTGTGGAGGAAGTCCGAAGAAAAAATCATCGGCAGGTATTATCGCCTACTTGGTAGGCTGTCCTTTTTTGTTTATTTTATTTTATTTTTTTGTTTTGATCCGACAGAGTCTGAGAAACGGAACAACGCTTTCAGCAATCAAAAGCGCGCTCATGTTCAACGGAATAATTGGCGCAAGAGAAAATGTGCATTTGAACAATTACCTGCGACCTCTTGATCACACTGACAATTTCGAAAACAGTCCAGGAAGGATTGGGGGAGTATCTCCCTACACGGACAAGGACATGGGAATTTGAAGGGGCGACGACTGTCGATTATGAAGACTTTCCTCTACTTTATGAAAATATTTCTCTCACTCTGTGAAGCTTTTGAAGCGGAGGAGCACCCGCTGAAGATAAAACAAAAGCTTCTCATTTATGTGGACTGGTTCACGTCTAATATATAGCAGTAGTCTCGCTGCTGGGCTATTGCGAATTTCTTCAAAAGAGGCGCCAATTCATAATATGTGGAATAGGTGATTTCCCAAAGGTGTTGAGAGGAGGGGGGAGAGAGAGTTCCAATATACTCTGTTTCATCCCCGTACCGTGATATGTCAGAGTTGCCAGTGGTCGCTGGAGGAGTCAGTACATGAGGAGATGCGAGGAAAAAATATATGTCTGAACCGGGCCCGTCAAATTCTAAGAAGTCATGCTCACGCCAAATATATCTACATTTAGGTCGGTAAGTGAGCCGGGTTCCTAGGCCGTATCTAAGTTGGTAGGAAAGTAGTGGGATCACGGTATGCAATCTACTGCGAGATCCTCTACTGCAAAGCCCGGGAGCTTTTCAGTGGCGTTCCGGCCGCTCACGGGCACCTCGAAGCTCTGGTCGAAATAATTCCAGACCATGTCATCCGCTAGCGCCCGCCGTACTATGTCTTTGTAAAAAACGTCGAGAATTGCATTTTAGTTAACCCAATATGGTCAATGCTTCTCAATTCGTTCAGCGTCAAATCCCGCTTCCCCACCGCCGCACCGCCCGCCCGCGACGGCCCCACCGCAACAAAACCACCAAAAACACCAACTGATCACGTGGTTTTATACGAGGTGCTGATATCATCACTAAGCGAGGTTGAAGTTGTGAGTCACTAGGCTATCTTAACTTCAACCCCAGCAGACGATGCTATGTATAAGTAACAGCCTCATCCGCAGTCGATCCCAATTTGCACCTCGCGCATTTGCTCTTGGTAATAGGACACGTTACACTACGCAACAAGGAAACCAACTGGTCAGTATGGGTACCAAGACTAACATCACTCTTTACACCGCGTCAACCCCAAATGGGATCAAGGTTCCGATCCTGCTTGAGGAGCTTGGGCTTGAGTATAAGGTGCGAGGAGACACTGCCCTATAACGGATAGAAACATGAAGAAACTCACACATGTGTTTTTCCGTTGGTAGTTACACCCGGTCCAGATAATGGACAATGAGCAGAAACAGCCGTGGTTCCTAGAGATCAATCCCAATGGCCGGATCCCCGCCATCACGGATACATGGACCGACGGGGAGCAGATCCGTATCTTTGAGAGCGGAGCCGTCCTTGAGTACCTTGTTGACCGTTACGACAAGGACTACAAGGTCTCGTATCCAAAAGACTCCCGTGAACACTGGGAGGTAAAGAGCTGGGTTCGTTCATGAATCTTTTAGAAACATATACCTCTGACTTAAAATGATTAACACGATCATTTAGCTCATGTGGCAGATGGGTGGCTTAGGGCCTATGCAAGGACAGCTGGAGCATTTTAGGAGTTGGTTACCGAGAGATGTGATCACTTAACTGACTAGATGCTGACTGGTTGCTTGTAGGATACGCAGCAGAGAAGATTGAGTATAGTATCAACCGGTACGACAAAGAAACCCGTCGCCTCTATCGCACCATGGAAACCCATCTGGCTAAGTCTCCTTGTGGTTTCCTCGTCGGTGATCGCGTCACTGTTGCCGATATAGCTTGCTGGGGCTGGGTTTCCTCTCATAGTAGGCCGTTTTCCTTTTTCTCAACGTTTTCCAGGTCTTTCTGTTTAGCTAATTATGATAATGCACTCGCATTTAGCTTCGGATGGCGTCTCTCTCGATGAGTTCCCTCAACTGGAGAAGTGGCTATACAAGCTCTTGGAACGCCCAGGTTTCGAGAAAGGCCGTCATGTGCCGAAGCGCCACACGGCGTTTGACAAGGAAAAATCAAGCGAGTAGAAGCTTGAGGTGTAGGTGGTGGCATCACGGAACTAGGCCTGGAGAGTTAGGAAGACGCAAAGAACTAAGAATAACCAGTGCTCTTAAGCGCTCACATGCGCCAACTGAGGTTGAGGCGGCTATGGTGTAAGGTGTTCCTCCTTTACCATGACTTCTAGATGGGTCAGCTCCTCTAGTGAATAGAGAAGCTATTTGCAGAGACATGACGAGATATAAGTAAATGCTGGGAGAAATCATTCACTTTGTATCGCAGCTAGTCTTGAGGTTGTATTCTTCATCTGCTATCGTGGTAGTGCCGCATCTGTCCTTGTTGAGTTATTGCACTTTTCCAGTTGTCGCCCACCCCCAACGACCTATTGCTGCTAGCAATCAGGATTTCGTAGTCACAACCAAGCCTTTTCAATTAACGCATATCGCACGGGCGGATGCAATGCGTACGAATGACAGGGGAAGAGGTATCCTGTGAGTAGGGAGACCTCGCCACGGCTCGCACGTGACCCTGGCGGCTCGGACCATGGCCCTGGATCATGCGAGGTCGTGGGTTGTTAGGTGTGACCTAGGAGGTAGGTCCGGTGAGATGCGAAGGGGTGGACCTCGGAGTCATAAATAGTGCAAATACTTTTGTTAAGATTACGACTGGCATAAATTATATGGATTTACGGCTTTGGGGCGTCTGGCCTTGGGCTTGACTGGATAGATTAAACTGACTGAATGAATAAAACGGAATGGAACACTAGGTGATATTTAGAAAATCCGTAGGAAACCAGCGGCGAGAAGTTTCACACTCTCTTCTTCACCGGCATTCAGCGTAGTCTCTGCGAGCATTTTTTTGATATCTGTGCTTGACTAATTTGTTATTTCAGTCAACTTTTCAAGATAAATTTCTAGGTCGCAAGTGAGCACACATGATTAGAAAATTATCCAGGGAAGATATACCTGCAATTCTCCACCGTTTGCTGAAAATTGACAGCATTTTCAACAAATCTTCAGTCCTTGGCTTATCCATTCTGGAACCCCCAAAAAATCCGGTTGTCTGAATAATTGCGGCCTGGTAAATAGAGAATGGGAGAAGGAAGTTGAGGGTATTCAGGTCAAATATTGTGGCGATTGAATTGAATCTTTTTGCCATATTGTTGACAGTTGAGCATGAGTCAATGACTGGTCCGAAGTACTGATCGCATAATTTCCGATGTCCTGTACTCTCTTCAACTTGGTGATACTGGAAGAGTAAAATGCGAGCACTAAACTTGATCAAACGTGTAATGCCTCATTTGAAATTGATGACAAACCTGTTGCACATACTGATTGCACCACAGAAGTTCATGCAATATAGGTCTGTCGCCTGCTGAGAGAGCAAATCGGAAAGAGTAGTCATAACGCTGTAAAGTTGAGCGGCCTCATTCGTGTTGAAAACAGGATTTGAAGGAATTCCCTTAACGTGAACTGTGGTGCGCCGTAGTAGATGTGCAGCTTGTACATTTCGTGCGAGAGGCCCCACTCGTACACTCTCGGGCGTCATCAGCGGCAGAGAGTCAGGCATGTAAGACGTCTTGGAAATTGTCATTTCTGTACACGTATATCCGCTCCACTATCAACACTCACACTCGTATTCCACAAATCATCCTCCACAGGTAAACAGTCATCTAATGACGGATCATCCGTGGCAAAATTGAAATACTCGGTCAGACTGGGAACGTAACTATGAGAAGTATTAGGCGAAGTCAAGACGTTCTTGGAGACTTTGGAACAACTTAACGAATCCAATATATAAATCGTCCACCAGACCCGTCTCTCTTCTTCCAATTTGAACCAACTTCCTATGACGTCGCACCCGGGCTTGATCTTTTTATTGCAACCAATAGCAATCGCACACCGTGCGACAGAGCTTACAGAAAGAAAGAAGGCCGGCTGAATCATGTGGCCAATTTCGTAAAGACAAATAAGTAAACGTCCCTGGATGTTTTGCAGTGTGATGTTGCCCTGTATCTCCATCGCTGGGACTATGGTCTTTGCCATGGCGTAAAGTGGAGATGCCTCGGGAGAAGTTCCAGCTTTGAAACGCTCAGTGGTGATTAGTTGCATGCATAAAAGTAAGAATGATGAGTCGATATTTGGGCGCAAATGATTGACATGGAGTTGCCCCATGAAACTGGGCCTGTGAATAAATTGAATCCAAGAATGAATGGTTCGAAAATACCGCCGCGCAGTTTCTAGCTGTGCCTCGTTATTCCCGATGAACCGGTGGACTTGATCTGCTAGAAAAGAATCTAGGGAGTCACGATTCAGAGAAATGCTGTCCAGGAGAGAGTGGTGTAAATAAAGCATTGAACTTGAATCATGGGGAGGGGCTGATGGCGGAATTCCAGAATGCGACGAATGCACCCCCTCCAGAGAAGGTCGAGCTGGAAAGGTGTCCTGATAGTCGTAAGAGCAAAATCGACCTACTCTACTCTCGAATTGTATTAGTGGTTTCCATTTGTCGTACAAACTTCTATATTCAATACCTGGCGCAGTTTGAACATGTCGGCACTTGCTTGTCACACTTTCTCTTGCGCTCGCGACAGGAGGTGCAAGCAGACATTCCTGACATTGGAAAAGTTGAAATTGAGCGAGAAGTACTAGGCGATTTGACGAAAAGAACTTAATCGTGATGTCTAAGCGGAATGTATTTGAAAGGAGTGACCGACGCCACTCAAATAATGAGCTGATGGTAACCTCGGATGAAGTCATTGACTTTGGAAAACAACTCTTTCTTGGCAAAAACGTATTTTTGTATTATATCGACAACCACGGGCCTTACAGCTCTAAGAATTTGTTCATATTTTAAGTGACGATGAGCGCTATCGTCTAGTACCAGTTTTATTGACAAAAATGGCTGCAATCGTTGCCATGGGTGCAAACGCGCATAAACCGCCTCCCGATAGGGGGTTTAGGGTGAGAAAATCAAAACAGTCGACGGTACCCCTCGCCCTCACTAGCATAGAGGAAATGGTCTAGGCAGCGTCGGTAGTGCTCTAGTACATCCAAATGACGCGTAAGATCTGAATTGATGACTATATTACTAGCTTCATTAAATAGGTTCGCTCGGACGCACTAAGAGCCTAGTAGGGCGACGCGATCGCGATAGCGAATTTGATTTGCATATTAATATATTTAAAAAGACCACTGGCTTTGTTTTGTCTCCGCAGATTATGCTAGGCTTCTTGGTTACGACCTTTATATTGATTACGAATCAGATTCTACACGAGGCACCACTTGGCTTAAGTTTGACATGGTCGAACGTGTTATCAATGCCGGACAGCACGACTGGATCTGGTACATGGACTTTGACATCCTTATCACAAACACCAGTATGGGTTTGACGAATTTCATCCATGAGAATCTGGCAAATGCGACAATGCCAGACACGATTGATTTCCTTGTGACGGACGATTGGTAAGCAATTCAAAAAACCGTGCAAAGTATAGCCTGCAAAGTCTGCTTTCTGATTACTGTTTAGCTGGACTCAATGACGGTTCATTTAGTGTGCGGTGATCATCACGCTTTATACAATTCCCCAACGTAGTCCGTGCTATCCACGATAGAGAAAAGAAACAGAGTGGAAAATCATTAGGGGACCAAGACTCCATGGCCGCATTTCTCAATAGCAACAACGCACTTACCAAGCATGCAATGCGTATTCCTCAGTGGACAATTAATGCCTTTCCTGAAGAAATTGGCTGCTATGATACGCACAAAAAGAAATGGGAAAAGGGCATATTTATAGTCCATTTTGCAGGCGCCAGGGCTCATGTAGCTGGGGAAGATCCAACTGGTCATCTGATGAGGAAATATGAAACTGAAATGCTTTGAGGGCATCTACAACAGAGAAATCCGTAAATCAACACGGAGACTAATATAGAGAAAGAAAATCCTTTTCATGAGCGTTTGACTACCCTCTCGAGCAGTTTTACCCCCGGGGAATCCAAGTAAGCCTTTTAAGTCTTGGAATTATGTGGAGCCGGGGATTTGGTTGGGAAGATGACGAACATAGACCCAACTAGGAGAATTACCGCGCGACAGGCGCTTGAAAATCACTGGTTCAGCAAAGCTTTTTAGTGAATTTGGGTTTATTTTTCTTGTGGATGTTGTGCAAGGCGAACGCAGGCAGTATCAAATCTATAACTTTAATGCAGCCCACTCTTGGAATCCTCAGACCAAGAGTATGAACGATAGTCGCTACTTTGCTGCCCACATATTTCGAAGGGGGTTGTCGGCATGTAGCACACGCAAGACGCAAGATCTAAGCATAGTCGTCCGGCCTGAGTCAACGTTGCCACCAAGATCGTGGTCTATGATCTGCATGACGGAGTGCACAAACAGTTCATCAATCTCTGAGTACTTCTCGACAAGGGTTTCTCTTCCGTATGCGGTAGTGTGAGAGGAGGCACGAGACACTCCGTGGTGGAGTAATTCCAGCTGCCATGGGAGGTGCGATAGAATCTTTGAATGGTTGGTTTATATCATACAGGCTTACGAGGTGAATCAATTTGTCATAGAGCTCAAGGATTTGAGTGGGCTCACTTGGCAAAACTGAATTGAGAATTTAGGACACGCACTGTATATGTACGTAGTCTTCACTCCATACATTCTTTTCGTTATCCCGCTGTTTCAATTCTAAGCAAGATAGGTGGAATACCAGTGATGCCAAATCAAAATACTGGATTGACCTTTCTTCCTTTCTGCCTAATGCACGGAGGTAATTCCTCCCTCCCGGGTCAAGATCTCATGCTCGCTTATGGTAAATCCACCTTTGTCTCTGTCTTCGCCTTTCTGGGGCCACAATATGTGGTGCAAGGCGATAGCTCGGATCATCATTCCAGAAACAAAGAAATACATCAGAACTAATGGAAAAATCATCACACATCCCACAATGTTGATAGCTTTGCAAGAAAATGCTCTCCCAATAGCAAATGTTGCAGTGATCAAAGCAGTGTTAGGAAAAACGAAGGAAAACCAATTCATGGAAAAGTGCAATCGCCTGGGGCCGATAACGGACCAGTGGGAAAAGCTTGCAGCCAGGAAGAAGAATATCGATAACCTAAAACTTGTTAGTTTCCTAAGATAGGAAAAGAAATTATTTCAGCATACCCCCATAGCCACAATGCAGAAAAATAGACTATAACGGTAAAAATTGCGGCGGTCACTGGCCCATTATCCAAAAAGTCTTTTGGAAAAGACCTTCGGGCCCCAAAGGCCAAATTGATCATACCTGCGACCGTAAATCCGCTAGGCCCTACTGAGACAAACATCCCAGGACGAACATTCTCTTTGGGTAATTTGTGCGACATGAGCCGGTAAATAAATGCAGAATATACCATCAACGAGACAAGAAATCCAACCCCCTGAATGGTCAACCCAACTAAAATTGTGGGCAAGGACTTTGAGGGTTCTATCTTGCCACAGAGGACACCGGCCAAAGGCCCTATTATTAGCATAGGGTATGCAGGGAAGATCCATATCGGCGTCATTTCGGCGATCGTAAGTGCCTGAGTTGACCAGCTAAGGAAAAATCAGCAGCTAACTTAAAACTCTGTTTGTTCACTCGTACAGAAGAACGTATATGCTTGTTGAAAATAGAACGGCAAACACTGCAAGGGTCCAAAATACTATGCTGATTGTCTCAGCAAGCCATGGACCAGTATGGTCGATACCATACTGAGAAATGTTAATCACGATCGTCTCTAGTGAGACGATAGATGCTGGGATAAAGAGAGACTCTGTAGGGTGCAGAAAAGAGGCCTTGAATGTGTAAGGATAGTAATAGAATCGGGTTAAAAGCAATCCCCAAACAAAGAGATATAGAGCTAGATCAAGGAGGAAGTTCACTACCCCTATCGTTTCTAGACCATAAAATCGATATGGAACTGAGAGGTCATTAGAAAGCTTTCATGATACACATTGTCAGGGGGTTGTTCACCTGAATAGAACACATTCGCCAAGCCTCCAGTAGCCATTGTCAATGTAAAGTAAGCCCAGGTAACATGACGAATCCTCCTTTTCCAACTAAGCTTGGAGGAATTTTCGTTATCATAGAGATGCTCTGGATCTGCACCCATTACTCTGTCTTCATGTTGCGATGTAGCTGCGCGGGACGTTCTCGGAAGCGCTACCTCCGCGGCCAAAGAAGACACAGTTCGAGTGAGGTATTCAGTATCTCTGCCAGTCTTCATTTTAGTTTTGAAACTTGGCTTTGACTAACCAAAGCACTTACTTACCTTTCTCGGTTGTATACATACAACAAGCTCGGCAAGTTCATGGTCGTAAAATCTTCAGTTTGTCTCGTGTCTTGGGCGTGCTACACAGAAGCTTAAGTTGGTCTTCGTGACGGGCGGGTCACTTATTTCTAAGTCCTAGAATAGCCAGATTCCAACCGCACTGGTAGCCGATGACAAGCCACTGAGTATGGCTGCCTAGAGTGAGCATATCCGGGCTTGAGTCGACCACCCAGTGGCACTAAAGTAAATTACTCACTTTAAGTGCAAGCAAACTAGTATGTGGCGGTCATTCATTCCGACTATGAGATCATCAGTCATAATGCATCACCTAAGTTTGACAAATAATTGAACCTTTGACTGTATACCGCAAATTCATCAATTCAGCGGATAATGCTGCTATACAGAATTTTCTGTTTTTTTCCTGACCAATACGTCACGTCATTACGGCTCATAACGCTACTTGCATGATACTACATCGGTAATTCTTCAGAACATTTGCGAATGTAGCCGAATTACTTAAGGGAAGAATTATCATTGCTTTTGGTTAAGTGACTGATGTTCAAAAACCACCTCACAGCCTAGTGTAGGCTGGGGTAGTTTTTTTTGAACGTATCAGTCGTGGAAATGTTTTTCCACCATGTCTTCGTCTTTTCTCCAAACTCAAAATTTGGAACAGATTTCTGGATGAGCTTTTCCAGAGGATCAAAATCATATAATGCACTCCCACCAGCACCCCACAAAGCATGAGCCAACCAGGGCACAATGTGCAAATCGGCTGCGGTGATATTATCACCGACAGCGTAAGGGAGAACGAGCATTGAGTCAAGATCATTAAGCCCAGCCGCGAAATCCTTATAGCCTTGATGTGAATCGCGGAAAAATTGCTCATGTTCAGGGCCAATATCAGTATCGTTGTAAAGTTGGTATAGCTTTCCATTTTCGTGCGTGCGAGAAGTATAAAGCGGTATCTCTGGGTGAGCAACACAGTACTTGAGGAGTCTTCTTTGCCTATTAGCAATGAAATCCTTCCAAGGACCGTTTCGCTTCGCTTTTAATTCCTGCGCATCACGTGCCTGGAGGAGGATGAGGTTTGTAGAAAGTTTGGGCTGATGAACATGTGCAATCAACTCCTCGGTTTTAGAGTGCTGTTTGGTATCCTTGGGGTATAAAGAAGGTCCTTCCGGACGAAGCGAGTCCAGATATTTCAGAATTTCCGTGCTTTCAATCAATGGCTTTTGCAGAGATGTTGATGTCAACGACGGAATTGTCCCGTTCGGATTAATTTTGACGTATTCAGGGGCGAAATTCTCTCCGTCCACTACAGCCACCACGTTAATTCCCTTCCACAATTATTCCTAATTACAAAGAGGAATATACGTACCAAGGTCAATTTGGCTGGTGGCGTACTCGCCAGAATTATACCCCTTTTGATCTAGTGCCAGGTGCGGAACATACGCCCACTGGGAAGCTGTGGAGGTATAAAGCGTGAACTGCGCTGTCAGCCAATGCGACTGGAAGAGTATTGTGGAGTTTATATTTACCTTAGCAGTTTCGGGGTTTGCCATAATGTTGACTTGTCATAGGAAGCAGCAAAATTAGTTGACTGATATTAGACACTCTGAAAGCGAGGGGAAAAAAGGTAGGTCTCTGGGAGAATTCAGTTGCTTTTTTAAGTACTTGTCTGGATTTACGAATCCAGCGACAATTTTAATAACGGCACCGTTCTAGACATGGCAGATATTAGCTTTCCCGAGTAGTTACCAATCGCCTTTCGAATTAGCTAATAACACTGGGATGCATGAGGTAAGTTAATGGACCAATCGACCTTAGTCAGTACCAACGATGTAACTTACGTAATAGGATACAAATCCTGACTAATTCACGGAACCAGCGTTCTTCAGCTGATAGACTTTGGAAGTGAGGTTATGGATGAGGTCGGATATACCGTAATACACCATGTTATTGACTAATAAATTTGTCGTACGCATGGGTACAAAATATGTCCAACTCTCTCGGCCCTCGCACTGTCATTATCAAATATTCGTGTTCTTCCAGCGTTTTCTTCGAAGATATATTACAGTACTTATTTCACCTCTTCCACTTCTTCAAATCGACAGCCTCGAACCTTGTCTCGTTCTTGTAAGGTGCTATTTCGACCGTCAAAGCTTTTCACATCGTCTTTTAATTCAACGGACCGATAAAAAATAAGGTCTGTTTTTCTTCGTCTTGGCCCAGATAATTTAACGCGACGTGACCACATGGGTTCCCCCTGGATATTTTCCATGGATACGAAGAAGTACGATTACATCGTGCTTGGTGGTGGCAGCGGTGGCAGCGGAAGCGCTCGACGCGCTGCAGGTTTGTTTGGCGCAAAGACTCTAATCATAGAGAGCGGGCGCTCTGGGGGCACTTGTGTGAATGTGGGGTGAGTATATCCTCTACAATGATCTCTTGTGCCTAATTATTGTTTTGCATTAAAAAGTAAACATACTAATGAATACTTCAGATGCGTTCCTAAAAAGATGACATGGAATTTTGCGCTTATCAACGAAATGATGGACGCCGGAAGACATTATGGATACGACATTCCCGAAAATGTCTCTATTGACTATAACCACTTCAAAAGAAGTCGAGATGCAGTTGTCAAGCGGCTAAATGGTACCTACGAAAACAACTGGACGAAAGAAAATATCGACCTTGTGCAAGGTCGGGCCACCTTTATTACTTCGCAGACAGTTGAAGTCACTCTCCAAAACAATCACCACAAAGTACAGTGCACAGCACCACATATCTTTATTGCCACAGGAGGAAGACCAAATATTCCAGAGATACCTGGTGCTCAGTACGGCACCACTAGTGATGGATTTTTTGAACTAGAGGAACTTTCCCCAAAAATCGCAGTAGTAGGAGCGGGCTACATTGCTGTTGAGTTAGCAGGAGTCATGGCAGCCGTTAATGTCGAGACACACATGTTCATCCGTGGTGACACTTTCTTGAGGAATTTTGATCCCATGATCCAGGCCACAATGACAAGCCGCTATGAAGCTGCCGGTGTTGTCATCCATCGGGGACATCAAGGGTTCAGAGAAGTGCAATTACTCCAGGACGGAAAAGGCCGAAATAAGTTGTTGAAGCTGATTGGCCACGATGGCTCTGAAATGATTGTCAATGAGTTACTGTGGGCTGTCGGCCGTAGCCCGGAGATCGAAGACCTGCAACTCGGGAGAGCCGGAGTGGAGCTTAACAAAACTGGTCACATTAAGGTGGATGAATATCAGAACACTTCAGCAGCAGGGGTTTATGCTCTTGGAGACGTGACCGGACAAGCTGATCTGACCCCAGGTATACATCTATGGCGAGATTAAAGAAACATGGCTAATCGATCTTGCAGTTGCCATTTCGGCAGGTCGCCAACTAAGTAGCCGCATTTTTGGTTCTCCGGAATTTGCATCTGCCAAATTGTCTTACGAAAACATCCCAACCGTCGTTTTTGCACACCCTGAAGTTGGGTCGATCGGATTAACGGAGCCTCTGGCTCGCCAACGTTACGGAAAGGAGCAGATCAAAGTTTACCATACGAAGTTCACGGCCATGTTTTACGATGTTATGGCACAGGATGACAAGAAAAAAAATCCGACAGAAATTAAGCTTATATGTGCTGGCCCTGAAGAAAGTGTTGTCGGTATGCATATCCTAGGACTTGGGGTTGCTGAGATGCTCCAAGGGTTCGGTGTGGCCGTCAAAATGGGGGCTACCAAAAAAGATTTTGACAACTGTGTAGCCATTCATCCCACTAGTGCGGAAGAATTGGTGACTCTACGTTAGTTCCATTCAACCAGAGAATAGGGACCTGTTTATGCAAAGCAGCGATCTTAAATGATCTCCATGCAGCAGCGGAACTGATTAGAACACGGATTACACATTGAAGATGAATAATTGGTGGAGAACAGGACACAAAATTTGCAGGCTGTATCTCCATGAGAGGTGGAAACAAGTTGCCAACGATGCTGAGAGTAACTGTGAGCCTTTTTATAGTTTGTATTATGCAAGCACTCTCACGATAGTACCACTCACTCCGTATTCTGGAAATCTTATAGTCTTCCGAAGGTAATTTGATTCTTCACAAGCATTGTTTAACTGACCTTATAACAACTCCAGCTCTTCTCCTCAAGTATTTTGAAGCCACCTTGACGTGAAGAGTTATTAATAGCCCACAAAGGAAACGTCGAGCCAACTGAAAACTCATCTTATCAGCTTCCGGCCCAGGATGCAATTCATTTTTGCGATAGACTCCACCTTCTCCCACTCCAACCTTTTTTTTTTTTTTTTTTTTTTTTTATATCGTAGACAAAGTGACATACACCGAGTGATGCTTCTGTAGGTAATAAAAATAATCAATACAAATGCCTTCCTTGATTCGTTCAATGGCAGCCCGAACCACGTATTTGGGGGATTTTGCGTTAAACCTGGCTAAGGTGGTCTGCAAGACTTTTGGCCATTTCAGCCCCAGAAAAAGTAAGGCATTGTTACTTGCTGTATCCCCTTCTGGGACGTCCCTGAGAACTTCCACTGTAGCATATACCCTCGATACTATCGAATCGTGCACACTAGGCGGAGCGCCTCGGGAGGAAACCTTACACTCACTGAGACCTGGCGATTGCACACCTTTTTCCTAATTGGGAAAGTACTGTCTGAATTCCTAGGTTTCTTGCCTTCCACCCTGTCCTTCCAGTATGCAACTTTGTATTTAACATCATATATATTGGATGTCACTCAAAACACTCATTTTTACTGCCTACTGCGATCGCCCCTCTTTTCAATTCGTTGCGTAACTCTCACAGGTCGTGGAGGTGGTCTTTTTTCTCCTATCTCGACCTGTCTGCCGCGTCAGACCGCCGTCGAGCAGTTCCCTCTTCAATAGCTATATCAACCAGTCTTTCCAACCTTTGCCTCCCGGAAATCAAAAATTTCACCGAAAGAGCTACGATTTTTCAAATAGAACAGATTGAACGCTGCGTAAGACATAAACACGCGAAAACCACCAGAAATCTCCAACTTTTAAACTGTATTCTAGATTATTTTTAGCCTTTCCTCTCATCTTCTTGGCGCTTTCAGGTGACTGGTGAAAAAATACAGTATTGTGACAATAAATCACCAATCATAGCCACATTCGGCGGAAACATAATAGAATAATATAATTGGATGAGCTTTTTCTTTGGGTTGGAAAATTGCAGTTTGTAAAAGAATCTGGTTTCAAGCATGTTTTCAGTTCATGACGTGTTTGTAGAAATATGTCGATCACGTAATAGAAACCTGTTAACCAATACATCGGCAGCTGAAATCGCGGATAAAACTGTACTTTGCTGTCCGACACATGAGAATGCCCTTGTCATTTTTTTTTCTCAAGGCCTCAGGATACTGAAAGATACCGAAATATCCTACAGAGATAATTGTCGCCATATCGTATATGCTGTAGTTAGTATCATCAACTGCAATCTGATCCAAAAACCATCCTTTGACAGCGAGACAGGACCGCTCAGCCAGATCCACTAGTCGTCATCACTACAGTCACCTGGTAATAACGCCTTGATTCCTCCACTATCAGGCAAGAATTACAGCAATATGATTTTCTTCCTATCGACAACAGTCACAATCGTCATAGGGTTGTCAGCTATGTATTTTTACTTCTTCCAGCGAAGACTTTCGGCACGTATCCAGCATAAGTTCTATTGTGGATGTCTCTCGAATTCATCTCTGAAGCCAGCGTATATCGAGTCGATTCCCGAGTCCATTTTCTCGAGTCAATATTTTGTCCTCTACGACCAATCTTCCAAATCAGTACCACGGTACTCGCTCCCTTTTGGCGAAACGACGGATCTTCTCAAGAAACTGGTGCGCCGCAATATGACAGCCTTAACATATCTTCCTCAGGCTTTACCTTTCAGGTTTGCAAGCAGGACTACGAAAGACCTAAAAACATTCAGATCGTCGTACATTGCCTCTCTGGACTTTAACGAAGGCGATACGGTCTGCGGGGCGTATCGAGTAAAGATACGCAGCAGAAATAAGGTCGAGTTCGAAGTGTGCATGAGAAACATGGAGTATCTGGATGGTCGAATGGTGATCGGTTGCTGGGAGCGCGGAAACGAAATGGTCTTTGGTAGCGAAGCAGTCATGTGGAGACGATGTGATGCGTCCAGGGCCATACCGTTTGAGAAGCCACTGTTGCGATGGATGCATGAATTAGCTGCTTGGTGGTTAGTGGACTCAGGCGTGGAATATTTGACAGAAATTGACAACTAATATCTAGTACATTTGGCCTATAGCGGTGTCTCCTGTTTAGCTTTTAGCTGAGAATCCTTGAATGGAAAAGGTCATACCCGACTTCCATCTCTCGCTAATTAATTTAAAAATTACACAAACTATGTACTTTATTTTGCTTGACACCCAGAGCAGATTTCCTTGGAGGTAGTCCCATAACGTAAGCTGTGAGAAAATCATTCATTCCTTATGTACATGGATATAGTGTCCGTATCGAGATTTAGAAACTCCTAGATACATCCTCCATGATGACAGAGATTGATCCTTTCCCCAGGGGCGACCCGAGTAAGATATGAGCTTTTTATTCTCACCTTATCTTAATATTTTGAATAAAAGCACTTTTTTAATTAACGGTGTTCTTCCTTCACATTCCGCCTGTTGATAATTATGCGTCCATGGAGACACGTGACCAATCTAGTTGCGAGTCTGATCAGTGGGCGCCAGGGCGCGTCAGGATGGGCCCGCGTCTTGGGGTGGTGGGGAAGGGGCCAATCCGGGGCGAGAAACGCCACTGGAGTCCAGCGGTCCACGTACTAAGGTATACATTATCGTCGGTGTGATGAGCCGCAGAGGAGTCTGCTGATCCGCTTTATGGTGAGCCATTGGGGGCACCGGATATCGCTGCCAAATCAGAGTTTAATTGATTGTCTAGATCACTTACAACATGAGTCCATCTGACCGGATTCATCTACTGTTTGTCTTGTATCTACATTTCCATGGTTGTGCAATGTGGCCTAACCTTCGGTGGCAGCAATTGGTTCGAGCGCATGACATCATTCTATACCTTGAAATGTATTTATTCTTACCACCATCCTGAACAACGACTATTGCTTGTAGCCTGTCGTAGCAAATTCTTGCTATTCTATAGTGTCCAACTACCCTCTTAGTACTCCAAAATGCCATTCGGCTCGCTCTCAGTATCCAACGCGGCCATTCCACAGTATGCTCCTCCGTATCCAGTGGATGGCAGCGACTATGCAAGTGACGTTCTTACCGTTACCTATCAAACAACGGTGCAGTGTGTGCGCCATCTTGTGCCGGACATGCTAGAGCTCGAGGACGAGCCACAGGTATCAGTAATGGTTTTGCATCACAAAATGTCCTCGTTTGGTCCATACAACGAGTATGTTCACTCGGTCAAAGTCAAATACAACGGCGACACCTTTGACTACTTCCTGTCCCTCATCCTGGACAATGACTCACCAATATTATGCGGCCGCGAGCAATTCGGCTTCCCCAAGAAGTTAGGGAACGTGGAGTTGGCGTTGAAAACTGGATCGACGGTCGTTCACGGCTACGTGGAGCGACCTGCGGGCCAAAAGGTTGTTGAGGTTGGTTTCCAGCCTGAACAGAAAGTGAAGGGCACGATTGAGAGCGCAATTCAGGGGTTAAATCTGCGTGTCATTCCTTCGGTGGTTTCGGGTCAGAGTCCGTGCGTCAAGGAACTGGTGCCAGTCGACATCAGTATGGAGGCAAGTGAGGTTTGGCAAGGCTCTGGTTCTGTCTGCTTCCCAGAGCCATCAAAGTTCGATCCGATGCACGAGGTCAAAGTCCTTCGATACGGAATGGCGACTCTGCTGCGGAATGCATCCCTTGCGATCCGTTTGCCGACAAAAGTTTTCCAGCTATAATCATACTGCGTGTAGTTCATACTGAAATGGATGCTTGCGAACCATTGGGATTTGAAGCAGTATGATTCAATCTCACTGAAGAGGAGCAAAAGAAAATCCTTTTGACGTTTCCCTAAGTGATATTCCGGAGCATTCCAGAATAACAGCCTTTATTATTTGAGTCACGCGATCTTCAATGCCTATATACCTCAGCAAAGCGTTATATGCCTCAAACTTCCATCCATGGAACTAGCAAAAGATAGAGACGATTAGTTTGATGCTTGCTGGGCAGCAGCATGAGCGATCACACTGCCGCATGCCCTCGGATACTGGGCCGAATTATTCTGACTCCCTCCATTGGCATGTCCGTTGATATGTCCATTCGCCTTAGCAAGGCCCCATCCACCACCTCCAGGCGTATGGATCACACACCGGTCCCCAGTCTGCATGCGGACCATATTCTTCGATCCCATATTGACCCAACGCACTTCATCCGTTCCATGCTCATTTTGGACCTTCCTCACCCAATAGTTCGCACCCCGCTCGCCATCACTTCCCCCTCCATTCCGTATGGAGGCACACTTCGACGCTCTGTGATAACACTGAAGCTCAGCGGAGCTCGGCATTGAATATCACGTACCACACCATCCCCGCCGTGATGATACCCGTTCCCACCAGTCCCTTCACGGATGGCAAACTCGCGCAAAATAACAGGATACCGCTTCTCAAGGCTCTCAACGTCTGTAATGCGCGTGTTGGTCATGTGTGTATGCACACCCGACGCGCCATGTTGCGTCGCCGTGGCACCTGAGCCGCCGCAAACCGTCTCGCCGAACGCGTACGCATAACCTTTGAGCTTTCGGCCAGCACTGTCGGTGCCACCTTCGCCGAAGAAGCCGATGCAGTTCATGCACCCGTGTGAGGCGGCAGCTGCACGGAAGGCTCTGAGGATCACGTCGACTAGGCGCTGTGATGTTTGCGTGTTACCGGCGCAGACGGCGGGTCCCGATGACGGATTGAGGAAGCTTCCTTTTGGGATGGTTACTTCAATTGGTGATAAGCAGCCTTGGTTGAGTGGAATATCGGTGCCGATTAGGAGACGAAGCGTGTAGATGATAGCTGAGTGGGTGATTGCTGGTGGAGCGTTGATGTTGCTTAGCATTTCAACGCCCGTGCCGGTAAAATCGAAGGTTGCGGAGCCGTCTTTGGATATGTCGACCGCGAGTTTGATCAACGTTCCGTTGTCCATTTGGTCGACGGCCGATAGATGGGGGCCGAGTCTGGCGAGAGTATCAAGCAGATAGGAACGCACAGCCAGCTCCGCATTGGACTGGATGGCCTTCATGTACATCTGGACCACGGGGAGAGTGTATTCCTCAATGAGAGCCTGAACTAACACCATCCCCTTGTGGTTCGCAGCAACCTGTGCTTTCAGATCGGAGATATTGTCTTGGATATGTCGACTACCGGTACAGTCTGGGTGCTCGTCAGGGGCTAAGAGGATATCGGTGATACCCTTCTCATCAAAAGTACCCCCGTGTATTAGTTTAAAGGACCTGATAGCAGCTCCCTCCTGCCATAGCTCAGTTGAGTTGGGCGGCATGGATGTACCACCCAGTCCGCCAATATCTGTATGATGGCCTCTGGAGGCAACATAGAAAGCCACAGTCGAGCCGGTCTTTTCAAATATCGGAGTAATAACAGTAATGTCTGGAAGGTGTGTACCTCCAGATTCCGGGTGATTGGCTACCAGAACGTCCCCGGGAGATAGATTGCCTTTGTGCAATTCATGCTGGTACTTCACTGCGTAGCTCATTGATCCCAAATGAACAGGCACATGGGGAGCATTTGCAACAAGATCACCTGCAAATCATGTGAGCTTGATTATAAAACAGCAATGGCCATTGAAACATACCTTCAGGTCCAAACAGAGCACAAGAGAAATCAAGTCGCTCTTTAATATTGAGAGAAACTGCTGTCTTCTGGAGAGCACGACCCATCTGCTCCGCGATACTCATAAAACGGTGCCCGAAGACAGAGAGCTGAATATAATCAACAGCAGCTGGCTGCTCAATAGGTGCAGTGGTAGCAGGGAGAACATCAATGACAATGTGCGAGCGGAGGACCTTGGCTACCGCACCCGGTGTCACAACAAGCGTTTGAGTCTGGTCGATGATCACAGCGGGCCCGTCAATTGACAGGCCGGGCGGCAAATTTCCAAGCACCAGCACGGGAGTTTGCTTGTACCCTACTTGTTGAAAGTACACAGGGACCTGCAACAATGAGTATCAGGAAAATTGATAGGTACTTCAAGGGAGAAACCTACCACATGCTCCACAAGCTCCGACGAGGCAGATTTGAAGACAGAACTGCGCAGTTGCTCTCCAAGCTCTTCTCCCTCCCAGTCTTTTTTCTTGCTTGCACCTATGCCCCGGACCCGCACATCGTCGACATAGATCGCCCTTTCGTCGGAGAACACGAAAGAGAATTCTCGGAAATGAATCTTCTGGAACTCACCCTTGAAGTCACTGTCGGCCGGCTGGAGAACCATAATTGAGGTTTCTGTACCTTGGTACCTCATGTTTAGATACCTCTCGTAAGTGATATCCGTTTCTCGGATGCCTTGGCTGGTCAACTGTTTTCGGACGACGGATTCGAGATTGGAAAGTCTCCTTTCCAGGGAACCGCGGGAGGATTCGTTATATTTATCCACCACAGGCTCCTGTGCCTCTTGAACGATATCCGCCAGAGCCATTCCTTAGATATATCAGTACATATTATGAAGCAAATGAAGGTGAATGTCTTACCGTATGCGGACAAGATACTCGAGAACTTGTGAATGATGATCGTAGATATTTTGAGCGTTCTAGCAATATCGCAAGCATGCTGACCTCCTGCACCTCCAAAGACAGCAAGATTATGATTCGCTAGGTCATGTTAGAAAGAAGATTCGAAAATACTCAAAAATGATTTGACTAGCACATACCAAGATCATATCCTTTCCCCTCAGTCAGCGCCCGGATGGGTCGGCACATGGCTTCGTTCGCAACATCCAGGAAACCACAGGCAACTTCTTCAGGAGTGAGTGATCGTCCAGTGTCCCGATTGATCTCATCGGTCAGTGCGATGAACTTCTTCTTCACTACCTCCAAATCAAGTGGCTGGTTTTCATCCTCGCCAAAGATCTTGGGGAAGAATTGGGGAATGAGTCTCCCGAGGAATAAATTTGCGTCAGTTACCGTCAAAGGGCCTCCTTTACGATAACAGGCAGGGCCTGGGTGTGAGGAAGCACTTTCCGGGCCTACTACAAGTAGACCATTTCTCCAGAACAAAATTGAGCCTCCTCCAGCGGCAACAGTATTGATATCAAGCTGCGGGCTCTGAATGGTCACACCGGCTGTGTTGCTCTCGAAGACATATTCGAAGTTGCCACCGTAGCGAGAAACATCAGTCGAGGTTCCTCCCATGTCGAAACCAACAACCGGGGTCTTCGTGTAACCGTCATAAGATGTGCGAGCATAGCCCACGACACCGCCTGAAAATTCTTAGTCTAACGTTTTATCATCGCTGCCATATGTTGATTTTTACCTGCGGGTCCGCTAAGGATACCTCTGAGGCCACTGAAACGGCTGTGACTTACGAGTCCACCGTCTGACTGCATAAAGTCACAACGCACACCATCCAAATTTCCATCTTGAAATCCTTTCGAGAATCCGTTGAGATACTTTTTGATCTCAGGGGTGAGATACGCATCCGCTGACGAAGAGCTTCCCCGTGGTACCATCTTAATCATCTTGGCTGCCACCGAAGAAGAGGACGACACATGTGCGAAGCCTTCATCCAGAGCCAATTCCTCGATTCGTCTTTCATGGTTTGGGAAGACATAGGAATGCGCCAAACACACTGCAACGGTGTCATAGCCTTGGGCCCGTAACTCCCGCAGCACTCGCCCCACAGCAGCTTCATCGAGCGGTTTCAGGATGCGAATCATATCACCGCTCGCGGCCCTCACGAGCACCTCCGGTATCTCCTTATCCGACTTGAATAGGCCGTCAAGGTCCTCATCAAACCCTTCTATTGTCACTCTCTCATCAATCTCCCGGACGTCGGTGTATAAAACATCGGGTTTAACGATGTCAAGATCAAAGAGACGCGGTCGGGATTGGTATCCGATTTTGAGCAGGTCTCGGAAGCCCTTTGTAACGAGGAACGCATGTTTGGTCCCCTTCCTCTCAAGCAAGGCATTTGTAGCCACTGTTGTTCCCATTCGGATGGATTCAAGACGGTCTTTCGGAAGAGGGACTCCACGAGGTATTTCCTGGCCCCTGTAGAGCGAGAGGACGCGACGAATACCTTCACAAATTCTTGTCAGCCACTTTTTTAAGACGTATTTGCGATTTTCTTACCCTCTGTTGGAGCATCGGCGTAGTTGGCAGGATCAACGGACAGTAGCTTTAGAACAACGTCGGGTTTTCCTGGCAGACTCGCCCACACATCTGTAAAGGTGCCTCCACGGTCTAATAGAAAATAAAAATAGAATTAGTGTATGTCTATTGTATAATTTCATCGCGTAAGTGTCCAAGAATCGTACCAATGGCAATCCTCACACCCCCGACAGTCGACTTCGTAACGGTCATCTTGGAGAATCGGGAAGAATTTGTTTTCATTTGTTTCTTGCATTCCGGCAGGTTTCGAAGCAGTTTTATAATTGCAGGTAAAATGAGTCTCCAAGTGACCTTGTCTGAGTAAGGTCGACACGGAGCACCAATCTGGACGCTTGGAAGGTTTGGTCGGCTCCCTTGGCTCCGAACTACAACACATGCGCAGGGAAGGTCGACACGGCCCCTAGCTGGGCGATTCACCAATCGCCGCGGATACCGGTATATATGTGTGGGTCTCCCCGCGAAAACTCCCTATCAAAGGATCAAACCTTGCGGGGAAATTCTCTCCCCTCGAGATGTTTGGGACAGGGGACTATAAGATTGCCTTCCGCGGGCGATTTCGACTCAGATAGCTCCTGGTCATCAGCACCCTGATTTTTACCTCATCTTTGATCTCACATGTCCGTCGCAATGGCAGAACAGAAAGGTGTCGTTCCTGTCGAGACACCGGGAGCAGAGAAGCAAGTTGTCTCCAAAGCCATGGACGAGGCAGCAGAGTATCTTGCTCACAGAGCTGGGTTTGCCCCCTTGTCTCCCGAAGAAGAGAAGAAGATGATACGCAAGATGGATTGGATTCTGCTGCCAATGGTATATTCCAAGCCTTCTCAGGGCACAAGAGTAAGCTAACCGGGTTTTAGCTCTTCATGACCGCTACCTTGGGTGCCGTTGACAAGGTCGCTATCAGTACGGCTGCCATCTATGGCCTCGAGAAAGATCTCCATCTTGTTGGCCAGCAGTATTCATGGGCTGGCTCCATCCTATCCCTTGGAGTGCGTCCAATCTTACTTGACAGTTTGATCTTTTCTAATTTTGTGGCAGGCCATCGTTGGCATGTGGCCGTCCACGTATCTAGTCCACCGACTTCCCTCTGCTAAATACCTGTCTGCATGCTCGCTGGGCTGGTCAGCCATGGCACTTCTCTTGCCTGCATCTCGCAATTGGAGCGGCTTGATGGCTTTGAGGTTCTTCATGGGTAGGTCAGCCGTGTTGAGCGGACTGAACGAATGACGCTGATAATATTGTCTAGGTTGCTTGGAGGCGATTATTGTTCCATCTATTTCTCTTATCATTGCCGGGTTCTACAAGAAGTCAGAGCAGCCGCCTCGCAATGCACTGGTGTTTGCGGCGGCAAGTTCCATCATTAACGGCTTCCTCTCGTGGGCGGTTGGTCACATTCCATCTACAGCATCTCTTTCCATCTGGCAATACCTCTTTTTCATTACCGGTGCCACACACATGCTTGACTTGGCACTTGGCGTTTACTTACTTTGTCAACAGGTTCTATTTCGGCAATTTGGTCCATTATAGCTTTGGTCTTCCTCCCAGACTCCCCCATGAACGCCTTTTTCCTGACCGAAAGAGAGAAGTACCATGCAGTCCAGCGCCTGGCCGAAAACAAAACTGGAATTACAAACAGGCAATGGAAGTGGGATCAGGCCATGGAGGCTGTCATTGATCCGAAGACATGGATTCTATTCTTCTTCAACATCGCCATCAATATCCCCAACGGAGGACTCACAACTTTCAGCGGCATTATCATCAACAACCTGGGCTTCTCACCAGTAAATACCTCACTACTTAACATGCCAACGGGCGTTATGTCTACTCTGTCGGCATTCTGCTTCTCCTGGCTTTCGGCTAAGTGGACCAACCGTCGCTGTTTTGTCACCATGTTGGCAGCCGGTGTTCCCATGGTTGGTGCAATCCTGGTCTACAGTGTACCGCGAACCAATTTGGGTGGTCAGATGGTGGGCATTTATCTAGTAAGCCAAGCTGCCGTTTACCACTGTAGATCCGACTAATCAGCTTCGCACAGCTATACACATACTTCGGACCATATGTTGTCGGCATCTCCATGGCTCAGGCCAACACCGCGGGCAGTACAAAGAAGACTGTGCAGTATTCTATCCTCTATATTGGCTATGCCGTCGGAAACCTCATTGGGCCGCAGACGTTTCGAGCAAATCAAGCCCCAGCATACACGGGGGGGTTTGTTGCCATGCTGGCTAGCTATTGCGTCTGCATCCTACTGATGGCAGTCTACTGGTTCATTGCGCACACGTTGAATCGCCGACGCAGAGCTGGCCTTGACCCTGGAGAAGAGCAGGCGAATGAAGATTTGGTGGATTCATTTGCTGATAAGACTGATTTTCAGCAAAATAATTTCAAGTATACAACGTAGTTAGCGAGTCCCATTTTGTGGTGCTGGAACGCTCCGTGTTTTGTTTGCCTCAAGATAAATTCCGAGTGAAATTGGTGAACGAACTTCGTCCATTCCCAGTTAGTGGTGAGGCTCGAGCCCCACTGAAAGTTGTGGCCTGAGCCCAAGTTCTCCGTGTAGTTTGGCTTTCCGCTCTCCTGGTTTTTCTTAATTCTTAGTGCGAAGATAACGGCCCAAGAGTGGCGATAAGACAGTGTCAACTGAGGACAGCCCCGCACCGTCTTCTTCCATACAGTCTCCCGCTCTCTAGCTGCGGTCCACCGTACCTCCCATGCCGCGCCGAAAACAGGACACTCGACGGCGAACTGGGTGTTTCCAGTGTAAATGTAAGTGTCTCATCCGAACCAGCGAGGCCCAGGCCGCTGACTCCCGGCAGCGAAACACGTCCAGTGCACAGAGGAGCACCCCCGATGCAGACGCTGCGAGAGGCTCAACCTCGAATGCGTGCGCGGACTAAAACTCATATTTCGGGAAGATGCCATCCAACGCGGCATCAGTTTCGGCCGTGAAGGTACTTACCGCTACTATATCCGTGACTGCGATCTCCTGACTGAGTTCGGCGCAATAGGGGTTTGGACAAAACGACCTGGCTCAAACGCGCACAGTTTGGGCACGAGTCCTAATTTCCAAGGCATTGCTCTAGGCCACTATACTAACCGCTGGGTCTTTCTGAATTTAAATGTGGGTGATTTTCAATGCGGCACTAACGTGCTTCAGGCGCGTTCTTCACCTGAGCCTCGGCACCACAGCATTGACCTTTCTACCAACTCCTTCATTGCAACTTCCATCTACCACCCTCTCCACTCTTTTCCAGACACGGAGAGTTATCTCCTTGATTATTTCATCAGTGGCATCAGCCCCTCTTGCTCTCTGAGTGAATCACATAATCCATATATTTCCCTTATCATTCCGCTTTGTTTTGTCTCCACCACCCTTCGACAAGCCCTCCTGGCGGTTGCTGCAAATCAACTCTGTCTTTTGGGGAAGGATCGCTTTTCCCATGAATCCTGTTACTATAAACACAAGGCCTTGCAAGGTCTTCGACAGGAAATTTCCGCTGGTCTACATGACGATGGCACGGTAGCCTCGGTCTTGATGCTTTGTTTTCAAGACGTACGGCTACTCCCCTCATATTCCCCGCAGCCTATTCCTTGTTAACGTGGAATATAGATATCAGATGGTTGTTCTCCTTCATGGATAACACATCTCCGTGGTGGATTACAACTCATCAATGACAATACGGATCATAGCTCGTCTGGTCTATGGAAGTTCTTCAGGATGTACTTTGTGGCTCATGACATTATGACTCGTACCACGTCGGAGAGCTGGTTTGAGGATGAAATCTCGCAATTATGGTCAGAAAGCGATAACCTCGAAGAGGTGAGCCGCGTCGATGAACCCTTCCCGGTAACTATGCTGATATTTCTTGCAGATCGATACGTTGATGGGCTGCTCGCGCGGTCTCATGACCTTGATAAACAAGATCTCGGTTCACGCGTCCACAAAAGCAAAAGTAGTTCCCAAATGTCCTGCCACTTCGAACCTTGTTCCTGACCGCGAGACAACTCTAGATATTGAAAAGCCGTCCTTTGACCTCCACTGAGTCTCAATTCTATGCCAATGCGTCCTCGAAGATTGGCACAGCACTTTTTTTATTGAAACAGAAGCTACCGAAGCATTCTGCGGGCAGAGAAGCCCTTGAGCGCATCGCCAAAATCAAGCATCTTGCTGCCTTGCTTTATCTCAACGAGCGTCTCGGCCCTCTCAAGCAGATTGGCGAGCGTAATTCGAGATGTTCCTCAGTACCTCTCAACACTGTATCCCGTGAAGACGGCGATGGAGGGCTGCGGCAGTACACGATCCAAGAAAGGCGCAGCTCAAGGGTGGGAAAACATCCAGCATTTGGGAGACAAAGCGGCGAGGAGCCGCTAGCATGTCACAGATCATTGCGGGACGAACCAAAAATTGGTGATGAGGAGAGTGTCGGGGTATATGCGGGATGTAAAAGCTGTCTTGTATCGTCGATAATTGAACTGATCTCGACGCTTCCTGATATCGCTACTTTGTTGTGGCCTTTGTTTGTGCTTAGCAATGTGGGCCTGGAGAATGAGGAACAGAAACGTTTTGTACTGGATCGACTGGCCAATGTCCAGAAGACGCGGAATTTGGGAAGTGTAAGGCGAACAATTGACGCTGTGAAACATGCTTTTGTGACGAGGGGTCTATTATGCTCGGGTGAGAGGGCGTGGGGACATGAAACCTATCGCTACATCAGTCTGGCTTGAAGAAAGAAATACCAGAAAAATGTTTTTTTTGTTTTGTGTCATCTGATCTCTTGATCTGATGAGGATTCGCATTTCCTCGTACCTGGGGTTAGTTAGGGTGTCTTAGATTAGGGGTAACGAGGTAGGAATTCGCCAACTTGATCAAGTACCTCACAACGGCTATCTAGGAATGAACCGAAAAGTCACATGGTAAAGACCTTATGTCTAAGTTGTAGGAATAGTAACACGGGCAAAATACTCGGTCGGGCTATTCTTGATTCGGGGGATCGGATCGACCTTCCTCTCCGTCTTCATACACTGAATGAAGTAAGCGTATGTTTCCGCATATCACTCGATAGACCAACAGCTAAAGTGGAAGCTCGACACGACCGATTTTAACAGATATCGATCTTCAAATTTTTATTTTTATTTTTTATTTTTTATTTTTTATTTTTTATTTTTTATTTTTTTCAAAATTTTTTGCCGTTCGTCTCAGTGTGCCCGTCTAGACAATCAGATCCCGGTGCTGCTATCAGCCCCTTCAACTAGCTTAAGATAAACGCTTAGGGGGTACTTCGCTGGACTCCGCTAGACTCACGTTGACCAGGTTTTACTCTGAGAATCACGCGAACTCAAATACCTTGTCCAATTGTCTCGCGGGCGAGACTAGGGGCAATCACCGAAAGCAAATCTGCCGTTGAAGACTAATCGTGCTGTCCTTGGACACTGCTAATTACTTGGCAGTTAACAAAGGTCTCTGATGGATTCCCACCGGCCAAGCGAGACAAAGAAGGAGGCAGGGACTACAAACAGCGGCTACAGCGGCGAGATGAGACCCCCGGTCATTCTCGGATGTATCGGTCTTGGATTGCGAGGGTATTGGTGCCTAATGTGCGCAATGTTCTCCTAGCAGCATGCGCCTTTGCGCTTACTTTGGTTGAAAATGCTGGCCAATTGCAGTAGTCTCAACACTGTAGGGCTGACCACGGTCAGAATGGAGATTTTCACGACTCAATCGCCGTAGCATGGGAATTGTTATGACAAAACGCCCAGAGAAAGTCAACAGAGCACCTCGTATTGCAGTTAGAGCGCTGTACTAGCATGTAACTTATTGCGACTCACGATGGATTATATTTCCTGCGGCGCAGGTGCAGGCGGCGTCACACGAGTGGAGTGGAGACTTCGCCAACTGAACAATATGTGTTGGATGCAAAGTTTGTCCAACTCTGTACTGTATCGACGCCTTAGCAGCTGCCGCTAGTCTTACTGTGCACGGCCATGTTGGATACTGCTATTCACTCTAGCGTTGACTATTTCTACTGCAGCCAAGATGCAGTTTGGATCAGACAATCTAGCCTAGTCCACCAGAGGCGAACTACGTTATATGCATCTCTTCTGTTCAAGATTGACTATACCCCACTACAGTGAAGCTGTGGTTGGTATCACGTCGGTCTAGAGAGCCGGCTATCCCGGAATGACCGCGACAAACTGTAGCGTGAGGACTTATAAGCCATTACTCATCATGGCAAGCACTAACCTAGCCCGGCGCAGCTGCATGTATTAGCGTTCTGGGTGTTACATTGATCACAAAGCTCGATAGCAGCCAGGGCCTCACCGTAAACAAATTGGAAGCAAAGGCCTTCTATCCGTGCTGCTAAGTACTTCAGATGGCACCGACCCTGGCAGGGGCCCTAAAAAGGACCCCAAAATAACGCGTTGGGTATCTATCAACCTTGGATTGGGTGGAACGGCCCCGCCATGTTACTGGATGATCCGTGTCAAGGCGTACGGGATTTGTCGGCTCATATTCTACATGGTACACTCCTGCTCTATATATTTGTAGCTTACAGGTCTATAAAAGAGGGCTTTTTGTCCCTCCTGGTTCTCTTTCAATTGAATCTTATACGGAATTTATAATCCCCTGCCTGTCTAGACGGTCACAATTTGCAACCATGAGAATTACGCAATGCTACTTAAGCATCCTCCTAGCATTCATGTGCGCAATTTCGACTGCTAATGATACCGTCTTGCGTTACAAGCAACCGATTCCACCCAATGTCCAAATAGTCGACACGAAGCCTAAATTCGCCGAAGTTCAAGACGCGAACCCTGGCGTGCTTGTCTACCCCGAAAACGGTGGTTACTACCTGAAGCACCCAGATAGCGGAAAAGTTGTGGCAATTTCATCTGACGACTTGAGTACCAAACTTGATCAGTCATTCCTGTCTCTATCTCGCAAACTTGAGGCCGAAGGCAATTACGAAGAGGCTGCCGTTGTACTCCAGGACCTACAAGAGAATGTAGGTGCATTGCAAAAGCGAGAGGAAGATACCGACTGCGGATTTGCCTGTGGTGGCATGGTTTGTAGTCATCCACATTGCGTCTATCCGGGAGTGCCAGGGAAATGCCCTCATTACGCAGGATGTTATCAATGTTCTCGTTACAATTGGTGCATCTGATGAGAGAGGCCATCATCAGGCTTATCGAATAAGGCAGCATTCTCTCATGCGAAGTTCTAGTCCTTTATTTCGTGCTCAAGCTTGGTATGGGGTATAATATCGGAGCTCACTCATTTTACAATCCTACTCCGATGTACTTGTTCTTGTTCAAGGCTTACAGTGATATATTTTCGATAGCATTGGATATTATGAAATACTATTCTCCTTTGGCTAGAAATAGTTTGCTAGTAATAACCGTTCTATTCACAAGCCTAATCTCGTGGGTATATGTATCCTAATGTGTCATGAATTCAAAGCAAGTATGATATCAATACTTAAGATAGGTTAGACCGCGCTTAGAGATCCGAAGTTTGCACTTGCGCACTAACAAAGCAGCGGATATCTGTGAAGACCCCGACGTCTGCTACGGCCTAGCCTTCGGCCGTTGAATATCATCACCGGCATCCTCTTCAAGACCAGGATCTATAACACATGCACCACTCTTAATCTCATCGCTCGTGTCTCTCTTAAGCCTATCTGCGTCGATTCCGGCTTCCCGTAAGTCGCGCATCACTTCCTCAGCCTTTTCGTGTAAGCCGTTCCTCTCGAGATAAAAGATTAGCGACATATGGGAATTGTCCAAAATAGAACACAGCCGGTCAGAAGCGATGGCTACAACCTCTCCTTCCGGATACTTGAGATAGTACCCGCCGTTTTCGGCGTAGAGGAGAGTGCCCAAATTAGCGTCCTGGATTTTAGCGAATGCAGGCTTCGTTTCGGCAATTTCAACGTTCGGGGGAATAGGCGAGTTGTATCTCGCAGTGGTAATAGCAGCACTTTTATTCAGATTCGCCATCATGCACATAGATTTCCAGTGAACATAAACAATGGGAATATTGATAGAGAGTGGAGGGTTCGAATAAGTAATTAAGAATTCTAGTAAGACGAGAGTAGATGAAGGGTGCTTGCGGCGTGATGGACCGAGTTGTTGAGCGGTCAGAATTGGGACTTCTCTGGTTATGCCTTTTGTTCATTCAGACGGAAGATTCTACGTGATTCTACGGATTCATACCGTATTTTAACAATGATTCATTTGCTACTGTCTTGCTGATACCGCCGTAGGTGAACAGGGATTATCAAGGTAACTAAATTTAGATTAGCGCGTTTTAAGTTAGGGTTTGGGAGAAAATCCGAGGGTTATATGGGGTAATCTGATTTCGAACATTGCGGTACTATGAAGAAGACCCCGATAGAGGATTTGGTTGTTTTCTCGAATGGTGTATTGATAACGTTGGTGCAAAACGAGGAGAGTGCTAGGGGCCATTTTCGGCACGCTGGGGTACCCATAGAAGAGGAGTAGGACCTATTGTTTGCAGTTGAACATCAAAGACGAGCTTCTCTCGCTCAGATATCTTCATCTTAAAGAATCGACTATACATACAGGATCGAGCGAAGTACGTGGAACTGGAAGGTTAGCCTGACCCCCTACAGGAGAAGCAGGAAAAGGGGACGATCAGCCATCACCACCATGGCCACTACCACTGCAACCGCTTCTTCCAGTATGTTGAGTGCAAACATTAAGACTACAGTACGGATAGTTATGATCGAACGTTTGCTGCAACCAGTCGTTTCGACCATCTGGGATGTAGTTAACGATCTGCTGCTGATCATGTCGCGAATCAGTCCGAGCTGGGAAGGTGCAAGTCGGCGCGCCATATTTTATTCCATTGTTCCTTGGATCGCAGAAATTGACTACGTTGTCAGAACCCTGAGGCTGTAAGTTTGGTTTGCTACAGTTCGGGCCCGCAGTTGAGCTGACTGTCTACTAGATGATCGTCCCATGACTTCCATACCAAACGTTAAAGGAGACATATGAGCATATATTTCTCCGGGTATGACCGCATCTACGAATTAGTATTCTACTCTCAATGAGCACTTGTATTCATTTAGAAATAACTATACATTCTCTCTCTCTCCTTACTTAGCGAAGCGAATGATTGGCTTTTCTTGCCTAATGAAATTGGATTTCAGCCTCACTCTCGGCGCGGGCTGTATCTAGCCGCTTTAGCGATCTGCGATGTAGTCAGTAATCTGCTCAAGATCATATCGCTAATGAACCATCGAGTAGCAGAGGCCAGATTTGGGGCCATTCTGCGCCGTGGGTGTTCGTCTGTTGGTTGGTTTGAAGTAGTATATGTTTCGACAAAGTCAGGACTCTCGCGGGCGGTAACACGTGCCAGGAAGTGTATGGGCCATACACGTAATCAGATGTTCAGCTCGTATTGGTCTTGTCAGGTATTTTACATTTCCATTCTGACAGACAGGGATAATATGCAGGCTACCTGCGCCAGTCCTAGATAGGCTTAGCCGTGGTCATGGCGTAAGGGGTTGACGTAGTTTCTGTGTGTAAAACATGGAAGCCGATTTCGAATATTGCTGTACAGCGGAGCAATAGTAAAAATAACCAACAGCTAAAGCGGAAGCTCGACACGACGAATTTCGAGATACTGACCATCTATCTTGTAAAAATGTTGCCGGTTGTCTCAGTGGCGCCGCTCTAATCGATCCTTCCCCTAGATTCTAGGAACTTTAGTAGACAGCAAGCGGTTGGCATCCGCGTAATGAGAAGGCCTAGAAGCATGACAAGAACTAATAGAGGCTAGATAGGAGCCAGCTGGTTAGGGTCCGGTTGGGGAACTTGGGAGTAGCGTAGATTCCTACCAGATTCTCCAGCAATCGTCCAGCAGGCCGTAAAAAATGCTGCGATACTGTTTTCAGTTTCGCAATAGACTTCGCGGGATCACCCAAACCATGATAGCCTTCCTAATCTCATTGGCTTCTTGGGGTTGGCAAGGCGAGGAGAGCGAACCGGCCAGCCGTAGCCAAGTAATCACTTAAAACACTAGCCACATGAAAATTATGTAGGTTCATTGATTCTAGTTACAACTTTGAGATGTTTCTCGGCTCTAGATTTGTCCATTCCTTTACTTCTTTGAAGTCCATGACGGTGTTAGGGCCCCCGAATCTTCCCAAGGTGTCATTCCAGTTCCTGTTCACTGCAGATTCAGGATCCCATTTGATAACCTCATGGATTTTCTGGGGAACTTTGTTCTCCATTGCATCCACAATAAGGCCTCCAATTGATGGGAGATACTTGAAACCTGAGAGAAGTATTTCCATTAGCCATAGAAACCGCGGAATTCTTTGAGAAGTTTACTGCTCACCTCTACCAGAAGCACCGCAGCCGAGAATAAGAGAAGGGTGTGAGGGATGGCGGTCGACGATAAACTCGCGATTAGCGGTATCAGCGCACCAGCAAATCCTTCCGAAACTGAAAGGACGGTCTGCCAATTGTGGCATAGTCTCCCTAAGCAGTGCCCTGATTCTGACTTCGGATTGCTTCGGGACCTGCGTCTTTTCAAACGGTATACTGCGAACTGACCCATCCTCAAACTGCACCATATTGACATATCCGGGATGTTCATCGCAAATCTTGATCTCGCCAGAGGAGTCTGACTCAAAGAAGAAGCCTTTTTCGATGTTGAAGATCACAGGCATATCCTTGTAAAGGGCACGCTCCTCTGGTCTTAGCTTGATATGAACCAATGTCCAGGCTGTCGGACGTAGCTGTTGTTTGAAATCGAGGAACTGTCCAGCGCTTGCACCGGCACACATGATCGTTTGCTCCGCATGCCAAATTTTGCCATCCGCAGTAACAGCGCCCTTCACATCATTGTTCTCGAATATGAGAGTAATTACTTTGCCTTTGGAATTGCCCGTCACAAATTTGGCTCCGAGGCGTTGGGCTTCGCGAGCTGCTGCAACAAGAGCGTCTCGAGCTTGAGCCCACCCTGCACCTGACTTGGCAAAATATCCTTTCCATCCCAGAAACTCACCTTGGAGCACTCCGGGAGGAGCCAGCTTTCGAAATTCCTCAGGTGTAGAGATTTCTACCAGATTAGAGCTGTCTCCCGGTCTAACACGCACTCCCAGTCGATCGAGACCATTTGGAGTGCAGGCGGACATTAATAGGCCCGAGTCATGGTAATACGGTTGAAAGAGGGGATCCTTCGTCCATCCCTCAAATGCTTGGTCACCAAGGATCTCATTGACTTCGATTTCATCCTTTCTGTTACTGTATTGTCCGGAAGATATCACCTTGTTGATGTCGTTGCCAGCGGAGATCGAGGACGGCACTGGATAAGGGTCGAGGACTGTGACATTGGTGTATCCCCGGCGAGTCAGATGGAGGGCAGTGGATGTACCCCAAGTTCCTGCCCCAATGATGAGTATGGACGAGGATTTCGCAATAGCCATCTCTATCGGGTTGGTTATTCTTAGACCGATTGAATACCGATTGAAGATTATCCATCTTCGCGGTTACTTACTGTGCGGGATGGAATGCTTCTTGGAATTGAATGGAATGGCCCTTAGAACCGTAGGAACAACAATAACCCAAATTTTGGTCTCTTAACAGTTGCCGCGTTGTCCTTTAAATAAAAGTAGTTCTCTGACAAAGGGCTTAGCGAACTCTTACGGCGTATAGTTGTTTCGAGGCCAGGAAGGTCCAAGCGAAGGCGATGGATGGCTGACGCACTTATCTCGGGCCTACCGACCACCGGCCCGGGATGCTAGTCGAAGCATAATTAGGCCAGGAGTGGCGGGTTCGTCTCTTCGACCTTCCGTGTCCACGTTACACTGCGTGTTAATTCGTTCCGTAACTCAATTTTGGATTTCCTTTGGTTGGAAGCATATGGAGGGTAAAGTGGGCTAACCCCGCAGATTCGGCTGCCGACCGCATTTTCTTTCAGGTCCTCCGTTTTCGGAGAACCTCCGACGTTTTGCGATTTCAACCTCACGCTAAATTTGAGTGGCTTACACCGGCATACCGAAGATAATAATGTTGCCACTCGCTTGGACCTTACCTCCGTTCGTATTTCTTTTGATACAGAGCACATCCGTGGACCCGGCATTATCAGTACAGGTCGTCTAAGCCAATGCGGGGAAATTTTAGCTACCCATTTTCCGTATTTTCCTTGTCCATATCCCATATCTACTCCGTATACTTTTGGCGTCGTCAGGGACGCTAACGGAGTTGCTGTCCAATTGGCGAAGAGGCGACAAGTCCAAGGTTTATGGTTCAACGCTAAGTTTGGGACCGCCCTGAACACATATAAAGAGGTCACTATACGCCAAACTATGCATCGTGGGGAAAAATCTTCACTTCCTCTTTACCCTCATTCATCCGGTCGAATAACAACTCGTCACTATGGCTGCTCGTCGATCCCATCGCGAGGACGATGTACAAACGCCCCATGATGAACCTACTTACATCAACGACCCCGAAACCACTAAGAAGCCGATTACTGCGGACGAGGCAATGGAAATTGCCATTGGAGAAAGCAATGCGGTTGAGTATACAATCGATTCGGACAATTCTCCTTACCTCGAAGTCCGGGCCAATGTTCCAAATACGGATGACCCTAGCCTGCCCGTCAATACATTGCGCATGTGGTTCCTCGGCGTAGTATTCACTCTGGTATAGGACCAACCGACCACTGAATGAACGAAACTGTTATGGTCCCGCTGACGCCATATTGGTCAACAGGTCGGAACAGGTATCAATCAGTTTTTCTCAATGCGGTATCCTAGTGTGACCATCACTTCATTGGTTGCCCAGTTGGTGAGCTATCCCATCGGGTGTTTCGTCGCCAAAGCACTCCCTATAAAAACCGTGCGCATACTTGGCCGCTGGGATTTTGTCATCAACCCCGACCACTATTTCAACATCAAGGAGCATGCAGTTATTACAATTATGTCGAACTTGAGTTTCGGCCAGTCTTGGGTAAGACATCCGGTGGACACTCCTTATACTTGGAGGCGATATTGACTCTCCGATAGGCGAGCGCTATCATCCAGGCACAGAAAGTGTTCCTAGGGATGTCTACTCCGGTGGGCTACCAGATCCTGCTATCTCTTTCAATGCAAATGTTCGGACTTGGCTTGGCCGGGTTGGCCTACAAATACATTGTTGAGCCACCACAGATGGTAAGGAATGCCTGCGACGCAGTGGACTATCCTTGTGTTCGCTAATTCAAATCAGATATGGCCATCCACTCTGGCAAACGCTGCATTATTTGAAACTCTGCATAGTGAGACCAATCCCATTGCAAATGGTTGGAGAATCTCTCGTTATAAGTTTTTCTTATATATTTTCGTTGGTGGGTTCTGTTGGTACTGGCTTCCGGGCTTCATCTTTACTGGGTTGAGCACATTTGCTTTTATTTGCTGGGCTGCTCCACGTATGTTTCAGTGTCCCCGCTGTGCCGCTGAAAACACACCATCTAATAAACAGCAGACAACAAGGTCCTCAATAACCTCTTTGGAATGACTACCGGCCTTGGATACCTGCCGACGACCTTTGATTGGAGTCAAATCGCGTACAATCAGTCGCCGCTTGTGATACCTTTCTGGGCCCAGGCAAACGTCTTTGCAGGATGGTTTTGCATATATGCAGTTGTGGCCCCTATAATCTATTACACCAACACTTGGTTCACAGCCTATCTTCCCCTAACTAGCTCTGATGCTTATGACAATACCGGGAATCTCTACAATTCCTCCAAAATCCTGGATTCCACTGGCGCTATTGACGAAGAGATGTACAAGGCCTACAGTCCAATCTATCTTCCCGCGACCTTCGCTATGTGCTACGGGGTCGGGTTTGCAGTCCTCAGCTGCCTTATTACCCACGTGCTTTTATACCATACGAAGGACATTATCAGCACATTTAAGGGGGCAAACAAGAAGGATATTCATGCCAGACTCATTTCTCGGTACCCAGATGCCCCTTGGTGGTGGTATGGGATTATGACGGTAAGTTTAGACCTTGCCAGATACCTACTGAATAAATCAATAACAAAGGATCAGATCCTCGTTGTTATTGTGGCTATCATTACACAGTATATATGGAAGACTGGGCTTCCTTTCTGGGGAGTGTTACTTACACTCGCTTTGGCTGCAATCTACGTCATTCCAGTTGGCATAGTTTTTGCTGTGGCGAATCTCAACAGCAACGTACTGACTGTTCTCGGGGAAATTATTTCGGGTTACGTGCTGAAGGGTAGGCCACTCGTTTTGCTGATCTTCAAGGTACGCCTACAAATAATCGTAATGGCCTTAATATTATCATGACTAAACACTAGCGTCCAGTTCTATGCATACACTGGAATCAGTCAGGCTATGATCTATAGTGCAGATATGAAGGTATGTTGCGATTTATTGTTTTGCTTTGCTTTTTTTTGGAACAATCAAACTAACCTGTTTAGCTCGCGTTATATATGAAGATTCCTCGTCGAACATTATTCACGGCACAGTTAATCGCTTGTATCTTAGGCAGTTTGACACAAAGTGGGTGATTTAGCCCAGGCTACGTGTTGTTCGATCTGCTAACGGAATTTTGTAGATGGAGTCCTTTTGTGGATGCTTGGCAACGTGAAAGATGTTTGTTCAAGTGACCAGTCTGACAATTTCACGTGTCCTCAAGGTCGGGTCAACTACAATAGTGCGATCTTCTGGGGAGGTACGTTTGATGCCATATAAGGCCACCGCATTTTTGCGCCATTTATTAATGCAATTATTTTAGCTATTGGTCCATCACGACTGTACAACTTTGGCAAGATGTACTCAGGCCTTTTACACATGTTCTGGATAGGCGCGGCTCTCCCACTCCTAACGTTTTTCTTGCGAAAGAAATGGCCCAACTCAAAGCTCCTTAGCGCCATCCATTGGCCGATCTTCTTTGCAGGGACCGGCAACCTACCACCAGCAGTATGTTAACTTCGTGGAGGCTTATCTTTAACGCAGGTAGAGTCGTGTCTCACTGACAACTGGTTTTAGACTGGTATCAATTACTCGTCTGCTTTCGTAGTAAGTTTTATCTTCAACAAAGTGAGTAATAATCAACCCAGTCTTGTCCTTGTTTCCGTGCTAACTCGGTTACCAGTATCTGAAAAGCCGCAAACCGCAATGGTGGGCCAAGTACAATTATGTTCTATCCGCCGCACTCGACTCTGGAGTGGCTGTCTCGGCAATTGTGATCTTTTTCACTTTAGTCTTACCAAGAGTTTCCCTTAGCTGGTGGGGAAACACCGTCAATAGTGGCACTGTGGATGCGCAAGGTATTCCATGGAAGGAGTTGGGAGTAAACGAAACTTTTGGACCAAAAACCTGGTCCTGAAAGGAAAGCGACATCTCGATCAATGGAATATGTTTTCCTTATTCTTTTTGCTTACAATCCGAATGATGGAAGCGGTCAAATCTGTCTTTGATCCAATCTCTGTCTTTAACCACCAAATCACTAATTGTGTCCGAGAAAATACTCAATCGCAGCGTCCCTAGTGTAGAGGACCCAGGATATCTACAGAACTTTTGGAGCCTAGGTCCAACGTACTTTAGCGAATCAGGCTGTTTTACAGGTGGATTTTCAAATATCCCACATAGAGGGGCTCTGAAAGGTCGTTGGACCACTCTGAAAGACAGGAAGAGTAATGATTGAATTGATTGGACAAACATCACTAGATCCCTGCACACTTTCTCAAGTGAGTCATACCGTGTGCATTTGGTAATACCCCATCAGCCTCTAGCTCTGAGAGAGATTTTTTCTTTTTCAATTTGAGGTTCAACCTTCTGATCTTGTCAACAATGGGTATTGAAGAAGCCCTTTCAGTTGAGCAGCGAGAGAAGCTGAGAGAGAGCTTGTTAGCCACCGACGACAGGTTCGTCATCGAAATCCCGAAGGTTGAACTACATGTACATATTGAAGGGACTTTAACTCCCAACCTGAGATGGAAGTTGACTCGACGAAATGGAACGACCCTCCGCCTTGCGAAAAATACTCCAGTGCTTAAAAGCCTAGAAGAATTGGAGGCGGCAATCGACTCACTTCGGCCCCAACCCACTCAGACCAATGACGAAGAGACAGTTCAGTTCTTCCAAGCATATTATGAAGGATTTGAAGCTTTGAAGACCAAGGAAGACTTCTTTGATCTGGCGATGAATTACTTTGAGCGTGCTGCCTCCATGAATGTTCGCTACTGTGAACCATTTTTTGACCCCCAGGGCCACACCAGTCGTGGAATTTCCTGGGAAGACATGATGAATGGTTTCAGGGAAGCCTCGATCAAGGCGGACAAAGAACTCAAAGTAAGTGCTCCATCCCAGGCAGAAGGGAATTTTTCTATCTCCTTGTGACCTCTCCCTCCGAGACCGGATATTATCTTACCGTTGCTTGGAATAGGTCAAATCAGCATGGATAATGTGCTTCCTGCGTGATCTATCTCCAGAGTCTGCCCTGGAACATTACAGAGCTGCACTACCGTACCGCGACATCATCGTTGGAATTGGACTGGATTCGAACGAGTATAAACGACCTCCGTCTCTTTTCGAAGAAGTTTTTTCACAAGCCCGACGTGATGGCTTCAGGCTCACAATGCATTGTGACGTGAACCAAGAGGATACCCATGAACATATCAGACAGTGCGCATCTGTCATTGCGGGTGAAGGACTTGACCGTATTGACCATGCTCTCAACGCTGCAGATAAACAGAGCTTAATGGACTTGATCTTGAAGCGTGACGTGGGCATGACGATTTGCCCGTGGGCTTATCTACGACACCAGTCACATGCAGAAATTGGGCCTAATATTCGTGTTCTATACAATGCAGGAATCAAATTATCCATCAACAGCGATGACCCAGCATATATGGAGGATTGCTGGATCCTGCATAACTGGTTACTTGCTAAACACCTGTGCGACTTTGGAGACACAGATATCGCTGTTCTGGCGAAAAATGCTGTCGAGATATCTTGGGCAAAACAGTCCATAAAGGACAATATCCTGCAAGAGATTGACGTGGTTTATGAGAAGTATCACAGAAGTCAATAGCTAGGAAAATCAAGCATAGTTATTTAGTCACAACCTAGCTCTCGTCTTCGGGCCTTTCAGCAAGCAGGATGGGATGTCAAACACTACCATATTTGTAAAAGCCGATCACAGCGCTGTATCTTCCTTCGCATAACCTCCCTAAGTGGGTCACGAATATGATCAAACCTCAAACAGGCTTTAATATATTCTGTCAATCCAAGCAATAAATACTCCAAGGTGAGCCCCAGCGATCCAGCGATCTTCACAAGATCGCTGGCTTTTCTGTTCTCCTTATTCTCTCTGAACAGCAGAAGCCAGGGGCCTCGAAAAGGAAATGGCCTTTCCCCGGCCTCTCTACACCTTCCCCGCTCGCACGCTCCCACGCCCATACCGCTAACATCAGATCCATAATGTTTTCATGATAATTGGTCCCAGGGAGATAAAATCAAGCAGGAAGCCAGTGCAAGGAAGCTGTTTGTCAGGGTAACAAGCCTGTGGATTAGGTAAAGAACAAATATCAGGATAATTGGGATGAGGCACGATGGTGTCCTTCCGTAACAGTCAACTATGTTGATCGTTATAGATCCCACCAATCTAGCAATGCACCACGTACTTGTCTTTCCCATGGAGAACAAAATCTGTTGGATATTCGTCCGAATATCCCCAGTCTTAATTCCTAACCTACACTTACGGATAATATTTAGGTGACTTAGGTTCGTGGGGCTTTTTTCTGTATTCATATCTCCATCGGATAGCCGTCCGTTCCGTCTCTTAAATTTTGTCTTTGACTCTGCTGGCCCACTGATAAATCAGTATACATACACAAAGTTTGGATTCTGCTTATCAGTCAGATCAGCGAAAGCCGTCGCATTCAGCGTCGGCCCATCTTCGCCCACTTGCTCACGCAAAATCTCACGTTCCTTCTCCTTTCGACGGTTTTCCCAGATGAACATGTAACGAATCACAAAGAACAACAGAAGTTCAATACAATTTGCTACCAGAAGAGAACCGATGCCCAGGCGATAGGTTGGTGCCTGGTCACTCCTGTAAAAGAATGGGCTGGCGATATTGCCAACGCATACGCCAAACCATATCATACCAGAAACGATCATTTTCTTTGATTGCCCTCCAACGTTGGAAGTGATAATGGAAAGGCAAACCACAAAAGAGGCCTGGTATGAGCCAGTAAGGTAGCTGTAAGTGCCGGAAAGATGATTAGCGATCTAGGACCAAGCATTGCAGATGGAACGAGCGCCCACTCACAAGCAGATCAATCGTCCGACGTAGGCGTCAGCTGGAGCAAGAAGAAACCCAAGACCACCCGCGATTGTTGGAACCATGAATAGAGCTGAAACCCAGGTTCGACTATTGTTCGGTAAGTATTGATTCGCAACGGCTCCTAACAGGATCCAAATCACCACAATTACACCCTGTGGTATGCCCAATAGTGCTGTGTAGAGAGTGTTAAATCCAAGGCCTTCAATGACCAAGGTTGAGAAGTTTGATATTCCGCCGTTCGGAATGTTGCTAACAACCCCAAGCACAAAGAATATCCACGTTTTGTAATCGAGATAAGCCTCCTTGATTTGGTCCCATTTGATTTTTCTCTGCTCAGCACCAGTCTGGTTATGTCGCAGGCGAGCAATTATCATCAGCCTCTCATCACGAGTAAAGCCTCGAAAAGTGGCAGGTGAGTTGGGAAGCACTAGGGCCAGTATAATTCCCCAAAATGAGCAGCAAGCACCGACTATGAGAAATTCATAGCGCCAGGACTCAAGTGCGCCCTTTACGTGACCAATTCCGTAGCCTATACATGTGTCTCAGCTAATACCCAAATGATGGCGCGGTGAACATTACCAATAAGCCCACCACCAGCCACGCCAATGCCGTTCCAGAGGTAATACGCTGCAATACGCCACGGCTGTTCCTCTCGAGTATAGTATGTTGAAATGATAAGCATGAACGCGGGATCTGCAATAGCTTCAAATGCGCCAGAGATTACCCGAAGAGCAGCAAGAGCGCTGAAGGTCTTTGATGCTGCTTCGCACATGAGTAGCGCTCCCCACATGAAAATGTTGAAGCTGAGATACCAGGCTGGGGGCAGCCGCTGCATGATTAGATTAGACGGAATTGCCCATGCCAACCACCCAAAATAGAAGATACTCGATAACCACGAGTACTGTGTGCCTTTGAGATGCAGAGAGTCCTCGATTCCGAATATTGCCGCATACGAAAGGGTAGTCTTGTCAACATACTTCAAATTGGCAAATCACTGTCAGTGGATTCTTTAAAAGTGCGAATCTTTAGGCGGAGATTACTCACGTAGAAAAAATAGCAAATTCCAAGAAGGGGGAGAATTCGCATATCGAGTTTACGTATGAGCCGTTTCTCCGCATCTCGATCAATAGAGTCGTTGACAGGATACTTTTGGAGTGCTTCAAGATATAATTCTTTGTGCTCCTGATGTATCATTGCAGTCGTCAACCCCTTGGGGTCATTTTCTCTTGATTCAACATCTTGCGTGTCCTCAATGCCCGCTACTTCCGCCACATCCTCTTGCTTGGAATCCATGGGGTTGGAGGATAGGGAGAAGGGGGTTCGCTCTATGCTCAAGTGTGATAGTTGCCGAGAATGCAACTGACAGCAAGGCTAGGTTGAGGCTTGTGGCTGACTTTCACCATTAATATACCGCAGCACCGAAGCTTTCCAGTCGATCTGATTACCTAAAACCACTTCTGGTCTCCACATGATGGTTTTTTATCATTTGTGGAAAAAGGAAAGCTCGCGAAAGCCTCCAATATGGGCGTTTTGACCAAACTTACAGGAGAGCGGGGAAGCAGAAGATGACCCGATCCGGCAACCCGACAGCATATCACCCCACACTAGTTACGGTTCCTTTCCTTGACCCCACGCTCCACCTGCCCCAGGCCCCGTTATCAGACCTCGTATCCTTTGTCCCATGTGACATTTCTTTGTCAAGTCCGTGGGGGTCGTCGGGATGTGTACTGTCGCGTCGGATATATAAGTTGACGAACAAGCTTACATTCCCTGGAGATATAATATTTGAAAAAAAAAAAAAAAAAAAAAAAAAAAATGCGACGAGGCTGAGAATATACCGGATGACTTTTGTAGACCCTCGAGAGAGAGCGACATCCAGGTCAAGAACCTAGAAATTTGTCCCACAAGTAGGCTGTTTTTCCCGCCTCTCTGTTGCACATAAATGGCTTCGTACAACGGTCCTCCCCACAAAGAACATACGGCGTATTAGAGGTTTTTGATTTTTACTTGAATGACAGCCGTCTTGGGCTCAGGGGTGGCCACAGTATCAGGCTCAGACGTTTGGCCTGTAAGACTTCAATCATCTCACTCAAAGCCAAATGGAAGGCACCATTCAGCGAGAGGGCTTAGGAAACCAACTCCTCGCCTTTTTGTTCTTCCCGGATGTAGACTCCTTGGCAGCGGCAGCGATCTTGCGCTTTCGAGTGCCCTCAAACGAGTCACTCCGCACCCTCGTGTGATGCATATATCTGACTTATATATCTGCCATATTTATTCAAAAAAATATGGCAAAGGCTGTATGGGCGACAGAAATCGACAGAGAAAAAGCTCTCATTCGCGCGTTCATAAGGTTCCACAAAAGAGATTTGGCTTCCGGTTTTCATAGAGATCGACAAGTTTCAAATGGTCCTCTTCACAATTGCCAAACGGCGTAGTAGAGAAGAGGCCGGATAGATGTGCCACTGCGTCTGTCCTTTGCCAGGGCGGCCATGTTATCGTGGTCTTTGGAGTATTACTTCACGTATTCTGCCATTCCAGGCGTTGAAGAATTGTTGAGAATAAGCATGGGGAAAGTATTGAGGCTGTCTGACATCCTGGTTCGCTCTGCACCAAACACCATGTTCATCGCCGACAGGATATGTAAAGATCATAACACCAGAAAATGAGCCACCAAAGTGAGAAGAAAAGTTCGTCGTCATGTTTGGATGAGACAGTGGAATCATCATATACAGTGATTTGCTTGTTGGCACCCATAGAAATGATGACGCATTGTGTACGATGTTACCGGCTGTTGATTATGTTCATGGACAAGGCTGAGCTGTTCAATGGGCAGAACTACCACATTTGCATGGTCGAGGTGCCAATCATCATTAAACCACGGTCCGCAGGACGCTCATCGCGAGGAAAGTAAACAGAAAGCCCCAATGGGCACACCAGAACGACAGTTCTTCGTTGGGCGTCATTGAGTCTGAAAGAAGTAAGGTGGTCCATTTTTTGGGGGCTGCAAGAGGTCGGCACAAGGTCTTCGAGAAGAGTGGTCGATTGAGGCATCCGCAGTTAATTTCAGCTGTCGAGCTGTCGCGTTGTCGCTGTGTTTTCAGAACATGTTGAGTTTTCCGAATCCAGTATAGTAGTGTCTATCCCAAGACAAGAGCCAGCTGGCCGCGAAAGAAAGGACCAGTGGTAGTCGGCAAGGTGAACCCATAAGGTCGACAGGTGTAATTGTAACCAGCCCTGTATGCGTTCGTTGGTCAGAGTCGCATTCTTCATTAGGGCAAGCCCAAGAAGTGGACGTACATGCTGCAAAGAGACGAATATTAAATGTTGTCGATCGGTTGGGTAACCGCACTGTAGAAAATGAGATGTTTGAATGAGCCAGGTCAGAGAAGTTGATGGGAAGAGAGAAAGGAAACAAGAGAACGAAGCAAGAGAAAAGAAACAACAGAAACTTTTGAAGCCAACGACGCTAAGCCTAATCGAGGCTATTCAGGTGCCTCTTACTGAGTTATCACAGGCAGTGGTGAAACAACGTGAATGAGTTATTACTGACGTGTAAAAGACTGGCACTGTCTTGGTGTAGCCAGGCGTTTAGACATTTGCCATACTATAGACCAAAGCGCCCGCCTCCATACAAAAATCTGTGGAGCCAAAAAGTGCATACATGATGATCCAAAGCCCCAAAAGTAGAAAGTCAACCAGCAGCCCCATAATGAAGCTGGCTCACGGGACAAAGCAGCTCGCTGAGAACTAAGACCGCGCACTATCTGATCAAAGATAAGCAAAATGTTGCCTCAGGCAGAAATTCAACACACCCTAAGATATCGAGGGATTTCGGTATCTGTTGGTTATTAGCTATCGCTGTCTCTAGTACCTATAGAGCATAGCAAGCTAGAATATACCACTGGTCTCATATCTGAGCACAGCGTGTTCCGAGCGAACAGGATAATGTGGGGATGGTCAACCTCGGCAACTCTGCTTTCTCCACATCTTCGGTTGCTCCCATTCTTCCAGACAACAAAAAGCCATTCAATCAGTTGATTCCTCCTTTTACCTCCAGTCAAAGAATTCCAATTTTACACCCCTTGGTCACTCCTACAAAATGACCTCGCAATCCTCACCCCCAGCCAAAACCTTCCAAGGCTGGGTCGCCCACGATGCGACCAGCCCTCTGACCTTCACCACCTTCTCTCCAAAACCCTTCACAGACATCGACGTCGAGATCGCCGTGACCCACTGCGGTGTCTGCGGAACAGACATCCACACTCTACGCTCAGGCTGGGCCCCAACCGACTACCCCTGCGTGGTCGGCCACGAAATCATCGGGACCGTAGAGCGGGTAGGCAGCGGCGTCGCAACACTAGCCTCATCCACAGAGTCGCGCAAAATCCGCGTCGGCGACCGTGTCGGAATCGGCGCGCAGAGCATGTCCTGTCTGCGGCCAGACTGCGAGGCCTGCGCCGACGGCCAGGAGAGCTACTGCTCACGCATGACGGGGACTTACAACGGCCGCTACTCCGATAAGAGCAAGTCATACGGCGGATTCGCGACGCACTGGCGCGGGCCTGCACACTTCGTCTTTCGCATCCCGGATGCCCTGCCGTCCGCTGAAGCAGCACCGCTCCTCTGCGGCGGGGTGACGGTCTTTGCGCCGCTGCGCAAGTACGGCGCCGGCCCGGGGAAGACGGTCGGCATTGTTGGAATCGGGGGACTGGGCCATATGGGGATTCTGTTTGCGCGCGCTCTGGGCGCAGACCGGGTCGTGGCTATCTCACGCTCGTCGAGTAAGCGCAGCGATGCGCTGCAGGGTCTGGGCGCGGATACTTTCATCGCCACCGACGAGGACAAGAGCTGGGGGAGGGAGCACGCGCGGTCTTTGGATATTATTATCTCGACCGTTTCCGGGCCTGGCATGCCCCTCAGCATGTACCTGCGTCTGCTGAAACGTGACGGCACCTTCGTCCAGGTCGGCGCCCCCGAGGACGCCCTTCCGCCGCTCAAGGCGTTCTCGCTGATCCAGAAGGGCGTCAAGGTCACCGGTTCGAACATTGGGTCCCCGGACGACATTCGCGCTATGCTACAGCTGGCTGCTGAGAAGCGTGTCTTGCCCTGGATCCAGAAGAGGCCCATGGAGGATATCAACGCCGCACTGGCGGATATGCATGCCGGCAAGGCTCGATATCGCTATGTGTTACAGAACGGGGATGCGCAGGCGAAACTGTAGGCTGCCGAGTAGGGTCTGGTTGAAAGGGCCGGCACCAGCCCATGGCGGACTGACTGTACATAGTTCCGGTGGTCCCGTAAATATACCGAATTTACATTTCAGGTTAAGGCGTAGCCTCGTGGCAGCACGGCCTAAACACTAGCCCCAGGATAGAAAGCGATACGACACATTCTAAGCTTTTTATTCTTCTCGGCGGAAAACTACCGATTGGCTTTAGGTGCCAAGACAAGGCGGGCTTGACCGGGGCGACCAATGTCATCCTTTATTGAAACTTGACCCGATCTGGCTAAATGTGCGAAGTATACATACTGGAACCCCCTTGGTGGAGTTTAAAATAATGACCTCATGATGAGAAAATATTCGTTTCTTTTTGCGTCTAATTTGTTGATTTGAGCGGGACCATTGTTGCGCTCGGTTACGTTTGTGGGAACCCATTCGAGCGGAGTCCACATAGTTGGGTTTCAGGCTACTGTTTTACCGGTGAGGATACAAGCATAGTAATAATATCTGAATAGTTCTATTTTTGCCACTTATCACTATGCGAATTATACTTGATCAATGTAATTCTCGCCAAGGATCTCGCGCATGGCCCAGTGCACCAATGGTCTCCACTGATCATCCAACACCGCCCACACGGCTTGGGCCACCCGCACACACCACTCGTCAAAACACCACCGGTGCTTAAGATACTGCAAGAGCACGCCATAATGGGCTAACATCACGAGGGCTAAGGGTTCTCGTTCCCGCAGGAGCTCCAGGAATCTCTGGGGCAAGATGATTGCCCACCTACCAGCAATCGTGCTAGTCGTCACGCCACCGCGCACCAGACCCAACATTTCTGCGAAATTCTCAATCGTCGCTGCAAACACGTCCGTTTCATGGTGGGCGTCGCGTAGCCCGCAGATACAGTTCGCTTCCTGTAGCCGAGTGACAACGGCCTTGTCGTCGTCGCTCAATTCCTCGTGGGATTCGTCCCGATGTAAAAGCGGCGCAAAGGCGCTGCCGGGCATTATGTCTCTGATAGATCGTATGACTTGTTGCACACCGCGTGAAAGCACGAGGACTTGGTAGAGATCATCCACGCAGTTCCAAGGATCTTGCACGTCGGGGGAATGGGGGAACCCAAATGTATACACGACCACAATCCCCGCAAAGGCAAACATCGCCTTAGAATTGTTTTCGTTGATATCCCCCAGCAGCCCACGAAAGAGCGCCAGCGCTTGGTTCTGGTGTGCCACGGCGCGGCCAAGATATGACGCCCGGCGAGCCGGATCCGGGCCAATCCGGGCGAGGTGTAAGGATGACAGGGCCAAAATGCCGTGCATGAGAAATGGATGCGAGAGCGCCTCTTCAGGCACGGCGTATCGCCAGACTGGATCGGTGCGCTCGTTGCGCGACAAGGTCTCGTAGGTCGAGTTACACCATTGCATCATCAGCTCCAGGTCGGCCATGTTGAGAATCGGAGCGGGTGAGGCCGCTGCTAGGTCCTCACCGCGCATCTGACCCAATATCCCCGAGTCCGGCGACCCGACACTGCCCATGATGGACTCGCCGGCCTGGCCGCTGTCTGACCCGGAGCCACGAGACACATGGAGAGAAACAGGGTCCTCGTTTGCCCATAGTAATGAGGTGGACGACCCGTACTCACACTCACTATGGCGCTTCGCGCAATTGGAGCACGTCGGCCGGGCTTCATCACACTACCATCCAATTATTAACACAAACCGGACAAAAAAGAAAAAAAAGAGAGCTGTCGGATAATTGAATAAATACCTTGACTCGCCGCCGCTTGCATTCCGCACAGCCATGGCGCGATTTGCGATGAGGTCGTCTTAGCGCCATGGTCATGCATACTGGCGTGCCCCCATAGTAGCCTTGGACTGGACAAGAAGACCCTGAACTTGGGAACCGGCGCTCCTTTAAACAGGCAACAGCATAAGCTTATACTATAAGATTATGTAAGGCCAGACCCTTGGCGATCAGGGCAAACGGGACCCGCGGAGCACGGGTTCCCAATTCCTGCCCGTCTGAAACACTGTGTGACGACGCGTTGCGCTTGGCTTAGTCAATTTTGACCACACATTTGCGCATAAATCACTCATTTCGATTCCTTCGTTGGGTCGTGTCTCCATTGGAACCAAACATGGCACAAAGAAAGGGGAAGAAAATTACAGAAAAAGAAAAACGACAAACGAAGGTATCATAAAACTAGGTGAAAATGGAGGGAAGCTTATCACGCCCGGCCCGGCCCCCACGGCGTGCACACTTTATTCAACAAAGAAAAAGCCAAAAAGAAGAAAAAAAAAAAAAGGCAAAAAATTGTTCGCTTCATCCCGACAGTAGTAATCATGCACCGCCTCCACCACCAGCGCCCGCGGCGGAGGCAGCAGCGCGGGCGCGACGTTGTTGTTCATGCAATGCAATCCCCGTGATGAGGGTCATCAGGTTGAATCGCTCGCCATAGTTGGCATAAATGTCGATCCGGCCCGCTTTAGATGGCGAAAAGGGATTTGCGGCTGACGAGAACACAGCAATAACTTTCTGGGTGGCATCATTGACCATCTTGTAGTTATTTGAAAAGCCCGACCCATGGCTACGGGTCTTCTTCCAGATAAAAGTCTCGTGCCCGTGCCCGCGGTCCACTTTGAACATGTAGCAGAGTTTCATGAAGCCGATGTTGGTCATGGTCTCGTAGGCGACTCTTTCAGCGGGGTTCGAAGGATCGCCTATACCGCATTCAATCGAGCGCGACATTTTGGCGAGCCGCGCTACGGCCTTGATTGGGCCATTCTCGTTGCTCTCGTGGAAGGATAGTGTTGGCTTGCCAGGGGTCCAGTGTGAGTTCTCCACATAGAATAGGGTCTGGTTACTGTTGGGGTGGGACACCTCGTAGGAATGTTTCCAGAAGGTGTGTGTGATGTTGTACGAGGCTTCTGGTGTGCTGGGCATGTTGGTGATTTGGAATGGCTAGTCGAGTGATACAGACTAAGATCGCGTGAGGCAGTCCACCTTAAATAGGTCTATGGGTGGTGAATGTCAACTCAGCCTCCCTGGGGCGCCCCGTTTCTAAGAATGTCGCGTCAAGTAAAGTCATGGCCCCTTCTCTACCGATCGCTACTGGCAGACCACGCACCGCTGACCTTGAGTCTTCCAGTCATGAACGGCGGCCCCCAATCTCCACTCGCAAGGCTTCGAAGGCTGTGGGCATCTTGTGTTTACCTCAGCGATCACATGATCCAATAGTCACATGATCTGGAGAGATCACATGATCATCGCGAACCGGCGCGTCAAGAAAGACATGCAAACACATGATGGAGTCTCGCTGACATTCGTTCCCTCTTCACCACCCACCTCTTTCGTTCTCACTTTCATCCACCTGCTCAGCTCACCCCTTGGATTGGCCATCCTTCCGGGGCGACAAGCTCGACAAGCTCGACTGCTGGAGCTGTTGCGGCCCAAACTTTCTTCTTTGGTGCCCGTTCTTCCCAGCGCCTCAACCACCACATCCCGCAATGACGTTCCAGGTCCCCTACGATGATGAGACACCCCCGTCAACTCCAGACAAGCGTCGCAGTCTCCTCAGCCATGTGACGACTACGCCTGCCGGCCCACCGCCGTCCTCGGCAAACTCCTTCACGCCGCAAGGGAAGCCTCCGTCCACTGCGTTTGGCAGTTCCCAGATGCAGAAACTCGACTTCCAGCAATCCTCCAACTCTCTGTTTACCAAGTCAGGAAATCTCAACACAAACGACAGCATTTTTGGCTCGTCCTTCGCCGGATCCAGCAACTTTCAGCAAGATTCTGCTCCCCAGTTTGCAGCGTCGCAGTCGCGCTTCGGTGCCTCCAATGGAAGCGCATTTGGAAAATCAGTGACTTTTGGGCAATCTAATGGATTTGCGTCGTCACGGGCCAGCGAGTACGAGGAGGAAGATGACGACGAAGAAGACATGGAGGAAGAGGAAGAGGAAGAATACGAGGATGAGGATATGGATGCGAGTACTCGTCAACCCTCGAATCGCCTCAGCTTCCTGGACTCGAATTTCGGTAACCCACTGCCGCCGCAGTCCCATGGCTTTGGCCAGCCCAAACCTATCTATTCCAACCCCACCGACGCCAGACGACCCAAGCTAGATGAACGCTGGGCCCGTCAGTCGCCTATTGGCAAGACCAAGCTCGCCCCCAAACAGCCCTCCGCAATGCCGTCCATCCTTCACACCCTTGCCTCTCGGTCCCGTCTGCCTGCTGTCGATGAGCCAAGCGATATGATCATCAATACCGAGGATGCGCTAGGCCGGGTCTATGATGAGCTGCGCGAAGCCGAGTACAGGCATGTCGACTTTGACTGGATTCTGTCCTACATCGCGAACAAGCTGGCAGCCACCTGGGACACGTGCGCCGACCGCAGTGGGATCTCCCGACCGTATGGGACTGGATCCAGCATTGGACCGGGAGAGAATGCGCCGAGTTTGGTGAAGGCAAGCTTCTTGGCATCGATTCTTCTGCAAATTCACCACCCTTCTCGCTCCTCTGCCCCCATTGCTAGCGCCTCCAACCCCGCCGCGCGGACTGCGCCCAACAGCATGGTGAAGGCCATGGCACGCGCCAGTGTCGCTACTCCTGTCCCACAGATTCTTCTCGACTGGCTCAACGGAAACCATTCCTCACAAACCAATGACCTGACAGCATTAAGACATGTTGAACCGAACCCAACTGCCTCTTCAAACTTCTGGGATATCATCAACGCAGCCGTCCTCCGCGGCCAGTTTGCCGAGGTGGCCGACGTGCTTCGATCTGCAGACTTCAACTACGCTCGGTCTTCTTTGGAAGATGGTTTGCCTCAACCCGGCTACCGTGGGGCCCAGCTACAAAATATCCAACGTTGTGTTAACAAGGCCCTGCAGATCTTGGATTCGTGTCCCGGTTTCCAGTACGATGATTGGGACATTACGGGACCGGACTGGACCCTGTATCGGAAGCGTGTTCTTTCCGCGGTCAATGATCTCGAAGAGTTTGCAGAGGGAGAGGAACGAGACGACGTCCCCGTTCCGGCACAGGACAATCATTTTCAGGCTGTCAACTTTGGACTGGGGAATTTGGGTGGGCAGAATATTTCATTCACCCAGTCGGCACGAATGGCAGAGAGCCGGGTTCCGTGGACGATTTACCAAAGCCTTCGATCTCTGTATCGCATTATCCTTGGCGACCCGACTGCTATCAAAGCCAATTCCCAGGACTGGGTGGAGGCGACTATTGGTTTGACGGCTTGGTGGGACGGCGAAGATGATGAAGGTCCAGACTTCCGCACCAGTACCGCCAGCAATGAATTCCGACAGTCTCGCAACTCCAAAAATCTACGTGCAGTAGACCGGAACCTGCGGGACGCCTATCTTCGACGTTTGGATCTGGCTTTCAGCAACGTGACAACCGAAAAGTCCAACAAGGCCGGGTTCCGGGTGAACACGATGAATAGCTTGGAAGTTGGCCTGGCCTCCGTTTTCGAAAGCAATGTGGAGGGTGTGCTGGAGCTGTTGCAGACCTGGTCGCTCTGTATCGCCTCTGCCACTGCAGAGGTTGCGTCCCTTGGTGGATGGCTCGAGACGAGCGGCGGTGCCAAGAAGATGCCCGGCTTGAGTGAGAACGACTTGATGGTTCTGTCGTACGGGCAGGACAACCGGGCATCCGCACCTCGTGTCAGCCGTGATGACATTCTGCACAAGTACGCCTCTGGGCTGAATAACCGCAAGTCCGTCGAGAATGAGACTGGGGTCCGCGAAGGATGGGAAATGGCACTGGAAGTTCTAAGTCGACTTGAAGATACGCATCTGATGAAGAGGGCTGTCGCTGAGATTGTCGACCAACTTCCAATCCAAACCACCGTCCAATTGGATAAATTGGTCGTTTTGTGTTCGGATTTGGGCTTGGAGGACGAAGGCCGAAGAGTTTCGGAGGTATGTTGAGCGCTCAGTGTGACTGATTGTGATATTAACAGCTCCTGCAGAAATTTGGCGATAACATTGTCGAGAAGTCCGAGAAGTTCGGCCTCGCACTGCTGTGCTACGCTCGCGCTCAAAACCGCCGCAAGGTCAAGTCCGTTGTCGACTTGCTCATCTCCTACAGTCTGGTCCAGTCCCGTGCGTATCCCGCGACGGCCGATCTGGACCCGGAGCTGCGGTCCATGCTCAAGGAGCCCAAGGCCTGCTTGTCGGCCATTGCATCCGTCGACGAGGAGGCTGCCCGCATCCTTCAATTCTACCTCAGTGGCTACGCGACACTACGCCGGTTCTACGAAATTCGCGACGAGGCCGTGGAGCTACAAGACGGCCAGCGCCCGCGCTTCAAGCCTTTGGCCAGACGGCGCGCTGCCGCTCAGGCCCTGGCAGCCGTTATTGGCAGCGCTGCGGACAATATCTACGGAGGTCTGTACGACCCCGAGCGGGATCCAGCAGTCCAGGTGGATGGACTGCTGGCGTTGTTGGGGGAGGCCTTGGTGTTTGTGAACCGTAAGTCTGATCGCCCCCTGTCATGGGCCATACTAATCTCGTCTAGAACCCACCCCTATCCTATCCGTCTCGCAACAATTTACCATTCTCTCGGCGATCGAAGACCTGGAAACGGTCACCCCGCGCGTGTACGCACAGTGCGAGGAATGTGTCCAGGCGACACTGCGGGAACACCGCTCTCCCGGCGCCGGTGGATCTGATAGCCATCTGGCTCCACCTTCGCCGCGGTCACTACTGAAGAAGTCCGTTTCCTCGCTTTCGGGTTCGACCTTTTCTTTCATTGGTAACGACATGCTGGAGTCAGCCCGCGCGCAATCCGGTTCCGGGTCTGGGCCGACGTCTGTGGGCAGCTCAGGCGTGCTAGTGCCTCGACCCAGTGGTAAGGATGGCCAGGGTAGAGGATGGGACTGGCGGGCGGGTCTGCCTGAATCGGCGACGGGCCAGGACGTCCTGCGGTTGTTGCGCCTGGGGTTGGCACAAGGATTGAGCTTTGGTGCTTTGGGAGTGGCTTAGTTATGGCTTCCCTGTATGAATAGGAGTCTGGGATTGATGACATTGATTATGGGGGTGATTCACACTTCCCTCGTCAGAGCTAATTTCGGACAATGAAGAGAGTCAATTAGTCCATTGCTGTCTAGCGTAATTGCATACTGTCCCGCAACACCTACCCAGCATCTGGCCATATGCATAGTCCGTCTTGGTGAATGATTCATCTCACCTGGGTGCCTGATGCTGCTAGTATTTAGGGAGCCCTTTTGAGCTGTCTGCATGCATACTATGAAACTATCTTAGCGACTCTCAGCCTCCGGTGGACCCGTTTTCCCTCAGCCCTACACCACCAGACCCAATACTGTCTGTCACCCGGGTTGTGTTCATCTGCTCACTGAGTACGTAGTCTTCGCCAACGAAACTAACGATCGGGCACACCACCGTGACCCCCAAGAATAAGTAATAATAATCCACGCTCGATGAATCATCGGCTCGCCGGGACACACTTGTTACCGGGACACACTAGTTACTGACTGAGTCTCAAGCCCCCAAACACCAAACCGAACCAAGTGGATCCGCTCCAGCCCCTCTCAGCCTCGTCAAGTCCCCCTGTGGCTCTCGCTCACCGACTCTCCCTAGCTAAACCGACGGGCCCACGCCTGGTTTCATAGTGGCTTCACCGTCACTTGCTGCTCAGCCACTTTCCCCGGCTGGAGATATGTTCCCTGCTAACCGTTAGCAGCCTGTCGATCTAACGTACAGCTGAGCCTTAACGCCTTGGCATGATGATGATGATGCTCTGGGCTTCACTGTGCCCACTTCGGACACTTACACGGCACCAAGGACGAGCACCCCACCCAAGCTTTTCTTGTCTCTTCAGCCTCTCCGACTGCTCCCACCTCCGATTGGCGTACACCCCGTCGGTCTTTTCCGAGTGGATTACGCTTTTCCTCTTTTCTTGGGTTTCTGCCTGGGACATTCACAGAATCCGGAATGGATTGATCGCCTTACAGCCCAGAGAACCGGTCCTGGTGTTGTTTAGCGTCATCTTTCCTGCAAATGGACATTCTCGTCTTATCTCACTCGTATTAATAAAGGAAGTCGGTCTTTACCTTTTTTACTTGGTTTTCCTCAACTTCGTTTCAGCCCGTCTCCCGATCTCTTCCTTTCCTTCCACAGGTGCCATTCACTCTTTTTTATTTACAAGCGTTGCGAGCGTTGTTGCGGGCTCTCTTCGCCGTCGTTCTTTCGTTATACTACTACCTACCTATTCTATTCTATATTGGCTGGCACACCCCCGTTACGGGCACCGATGTAATACTCTTCGAACACCATTCATTCATTCACCTACTCTCCCACTCACTCGCTGCATCTGCATCAACACTATCACAAACAACCACTTAACGAGTCAAGTCAACATGTGCTACCGAGTCGTCGAGCGCTATGCCGCCTGCAAATGTCTCTACTTTGAGCACTCAATCGACCCCTGCTCTTCCTTCGGCCAGCGTGGTCATTCTGTTCTAGAAAAGACCGTGCTGGTCGGGTATGTTTGCTCGAGACATACTCGCTGTAGTGCTACCGCCACTGCAGCGGCCCCTGCCGCTCCGGCGAGGACGGGCAACAGGAACCCCTGGCCGGATTCTGGGTACTCGAGTAAGGGATCAGGTCGGTAGATTGGCATGCATACATCTGTCCTGTGGGCACTACTGCTGCTTACTACTGCTGTCTATTTCTTGTGAGCACAGCTGCTAATGCTGGGTATGCTCCTGGTGGGCATCCTATGCTTCGCTGAGCACACGCTACGCTACTCCATTCTTTTTATGACCAATGTCTCTGTGAGACATGCCATTTTCTTCATGATAATGTCTTGAGCGCCTCAACGACCAGTCATGTCATTTCAACACCGGCTGTTAATGTCATGTCTGGTTCTTATGCTGATATGCGCTGACGAAATACGAGGTAAAACGTCTTGCCCTTCCTCCTCTCGCACTCTGCGCTCGTTTTCTGTGTTTGTGGGATGGTGTTCACTGGTGAGCAACGCCACAACGCGGTTGATGACTCGCACCTCCATTGCACAGTCTCGACCCGGTGTCGGGATTCTGCTGGAGTTCAGAAAACGCTGGTTCTATCTGGAATGGAAGCGCAGTTGTGGGGATGATGCGGGTGGAGCGGGAAATTATTTGACTATTGCTATTGCTGTCATGGGATTGCATCCCTTCGCGGCCTGACTGATTGATGATAGATAGTGACGGATGAAATGCCTTCGATTGACTCGACTGACCTGGTCTGATTGGTGGAGACATTACGTTGCATTGCCGGCGTTTGTTCGTTCTGTCGCTACATACCTTAGCGGATGCCGTTCAGTCTTTCTTTTGCATGTACTCTACTCTACGATGAGCAGGCTGGTCCTTGAATAGAATAATCCTCATTCATTAGTTAAATTCACGGGAAACAGTAGCACCTGAAGTCAAATCATTTCATGTATATGGAGTGGAAACTTATACAGTTACTCTCTGTATGTCTCCTGCACATCTGTCTCCGAGGCAACGACTTTGAGTGATTGAGTGGTTGCTTCTCTCCTATCTCATCTAAAAAGAAAAAGATCAATTTAGTGAACCATTTTCATAGCCCCTTGAGTCGATCCAAGAACGTTCCTATCGGCCAGAGCTCGGACCCGACAAGGTTCAGTCCGCCACCCCAGTACCAAACATTCCATCCATTATTGGTCTAGCCGCTGCCTCCATGCCGCCACCAGTCTAATTCCGGCGAATGAATTTAACCATAGCCGTCACACGACTGAATTCATCCGTTTGACATTCTTGGCGTTACTATGCCATGCCTTTTTGGATCGAGGCTAGCATGATCTAACTACAGATCCCTGCGTGTCTAGGGATATTATGTATTATCATTTGGCTGCTGGTCTTATCAAATATGTTAACTACATGTATCAATCATCAATAATGTGTATTCGGAGGAGTTTTGGAATATTATTCAAATACCATCCCGTTTTCCATCTCAACTTAGAGTAGCCGCCAAAGCAATGCTACCATGGACCAAGGCGCCCCTGGGGTTCTAGATACCTCCCACCTCGGTTAATGGCAGCTCACTCGGTAGTCAAGCTTTTCACCTTCCTCTAGATGCAAGCCTTAAATTATGCTGTCGCCTGTGTTAAAGACCTCGTTGTCTGTTCGTATCTGTTCTTCTCTGATCACCCCGAGAATCCTCAGATCGATCATATCCAAAATGATCTTATGATCGGTCCGATTTATTCGGTAACAGCGTCATGCCTTGGATTTATAACTTTCATGGTCATGACCAGGGAGACGAAACTGTCCTGATCATCGTTATCAACCTTCTGTTCCCGATTCTCGCAGTTTTCGCCGTCATCCTGCGATTTTATGTCCGATATTTTACGAATCGTTCCCCATGGGTGGACGATTATGCTGCTTTATCCAGTGCACTTTTGACGTTGGGGCGGGCGGGACTTGTCATTGCTGGTATGTTTAGTCACTTTTTGGCACTACCTAACCAGTGGCCAGCACGACTAATTATGGGTGGAACAATAGTGACACGATGGGGAGTTGGGTTGGATGACACACATATTCCACCGGAAAATGATCTCCCTATTGGCAAGGTATGTTCAGTGTGATGGGGTTTTTATTGGTTCCTGACTTGCTAACCGTGAATGGTATTCAGTTGCAATATATCGCTGGGCCTTTCTACACCCTCGGCCTCCTCGGTTTCAAGATTGCGTTATTGGCCTCGTACCTTCGTATGGGAGGCTTTATCAGGACATATCGCATTATAATCATTATTGTCCTCGTCGCCGTTACCATCAACCAAGTTTTGTTCACACTCCTCATTTGTTTTAAATGTACGCCGCTTGCGAAGCAATGGGATCCCGCTATTCCAGGGCACTGCATCGACTCGCTTGCTGTTTACTACGCCATTGCCGGTAGGTTAAGTCAATATTGAAATAACTGTTGAAACTAACGTTAGTTAGGAACGAGCATTGCCTTTAATCTCATCATCATCGCCCTTCCTCTGCCTGTTCTCTGGAGGCTGTCTTTGCAACGCAAACAAAAGGTACCATTCCCAGAAAGAAAGTTGTCCATAATGATCATCCTGCTAAACAGATATAGCTCGTGTTGACGTTCATCTTCGCGCTTGGATTCTTCATCACTGTTATCCAAGTCATCCGCATCTTGACTTTGGCAAACCTGTTAGTCTATTTCAACAGTCGGACTACCATTATCTGGAGTACTATCGAGCTCTGCTTAGGGGTAAGAGAGAACCAATTCTCGAATATGACCTTGTTGACGCTAATTAACAAAATAGACGATCATCTGCTGCGTTCCAACTTACGGCCCTCTCGCCAGGGCCGTTGCGACTACCCTCCGAGGACGTTTACGGATGCCTTCTTATCTCCTCAACTCATGGCCTCGAGCCAAATTATCCCGAGAATCCCCCGAAACGAGGCTCCATACTATCCATGGCGCAAATGAGACGCGGAATACGACGACAATTAGCTCTAGCCATCCAGATAATTGGTCAGACCTAAGCGGGGACGAGTGTGAGCATCATACTAGCCCAGGGGGTTTCCCCGGGCACATCCACACCACTACACAGTTCTCGGTTGAGAAGAGCATAGTATAAATACCCCACAATGTTTCTGTTGTTCCTAAGGTCTTTAGAGCACTCTGTAGATATATATACATCCACTATATCTTGCCAAATTCCTAGAGTCCTCAACTAAGGTGTCTATGAGCGTCAGACTGAACTATATACAAGAACCATTCATGCTACATGACGTGTACCTGTACGTTTCGGACTTTCTCTGCCAGGTGGGCTTCCCTGTCTGGGCGGCCGCGCATTCATTGAGGGCGCTCACTGACTGTGTTGGAAAAGTAGCAAGCATTGTGACTATGTCTGAAATAGCACGCCTGGTAGGCACATAACCCCCTCAATCTACATTCGCCGTTGAGGACTTATGACTTGGCTATATCTCGAGCGTGCTTCAGTCGATGCAGCTCATAGATCTCTTCATCCAGTCCTGGAGCCGGACCGTCAGCGATCAGACCCGGCGCCACTTGATTGATTGGGAGCGGAACAACCGATCCAGCTTTCGCCCCTAATTGCGTCCTCCACTGTGTAAGTTGAGCGGACGAACAAGCATAGACGATTCGTCCCAAACCAGCATATGCGTGAGCACTCGTGCACATTGGACAGTGCTCGCCAGAAGTGTAGACTGTGGAAGTAGCGCGGTCGGCGGGCGTCAGGTGCTTTTGGGCCCAAATGGCCAGCGTGAACTCCGGATGCAAGCTGATGTCTGCCTCGGTCTTGGTCCGGTTACGATCCTCCTTGAGAATCTTGCCGGTGGCATCTACAAGCACTGACCCAAAAGGATCATCACCCGCCTCAAGAGCTTCGCGGGCTAGATTCACACATCGACGCAAGTAGCCAATATCTGCGCTGGACACCATTTTGCTCTGTTATTGTTGATTTCACAATAGCAAGGAAGACACTTTGCGAGTTGGATGAACAGCTTTTCCCGAGGGTGGAGTCCAAGGTCGATTGTTGGAGGATAGAGGTACCCCACTAGGTGCTCGAGTGGTTGTCAGGTAGAAAAGGGAAGCGGCCAAGACGAAGGGAAGTTTCTCATTTAAGGTGGCTGGGACTCGGAATGATAACGGCGAAGTACAGGAGGGTCCGTGCGCCCGATGGGCATGTGGTGGCACAGAGGTTGCAGGTGTACAAGAGTTCCGTGTAGTATTTATGACAGAACGGAGCAGCTTGGACTGCTTAGAGGAGTGCTCAATTCTACTCAGGAAGCGAGAGATGGTCAATAAAACAAAATAAAGCCAAGACGTGCCAGGCATTATCCAGTCTTTATGTGCATGTACAGATACCATCTATCTACAAGGCCCTTTCCCAATAACGCTCTCCAAGAAATCAAACCCTTCTCGCTGCAACCACCAAGTCTGCGATCCAACCTTCATCATCGCTGCAAAAGTGTGTTCTTCATCTGGTACCTCCGTCATTCCACAGCGCACACCAGCCTCTTGCAGTCTGCGAAGCAGCTCACGACTCAGTTCAATCGGGACCATTGTATCCGCCATGCCGTGCACGATATAGGTCGGCGGAAAATCTCCACTAACATTACACACAGGATCAACGAGGTCCATCTTCGGGTCTGTAGATTGTGAGGCTGGATATATCGCATCCAGGACGGTTCCGCGCGAAATCTGTGTGAAAGCGAAAGCGTCGCGTGGCCGTGAGAAATTCGGGCCCTTTGCTGCGCCACTTTCTGTCTGTCCTTCCAGCGACACAGAGCTATCTGTCGGTACGGGCTTCTCGTCGTATACCTTGTTCAAGAAGGACTCTTCCAGATTGGGTGGCAGCTTGGCCGCGACGTGCGGGAGTGGTTTCTTCCAAAACGGGTCCGTGAAGTTCACTGCGCCATAGAGCGAGAGAATTGCTTTAACTGGTTTGAGGACACCGAAACCCTATTCGTGTCAGTCTTCACTTGCTTTTTGAATATTTGAAAGTTGAAAGTACCAAACTCAGGGCCACGTGGCCGCCTGATGACGTCCCGAACGCAGCTACATTCTCCAGATCTGCGCGCCAAGTCCCCTGAGACAAGAGACACTCATCCAGATGTCCTTCATATATCCAAGATAGCAAATCACGGATGTCTTGCATTGGCCCGTCCAGGAGATTCACCCCCGGACACAGCCGGTGATTCGGCACGAGCACGATCCAACCGCGGCTGAGACAGTCGTTCACCTGAGGCAATGAGACCATACGGCTATGGCCGAGCATGAATGCGCCTCCATGAATATCGATGACTGTTTAATTAGTCACTTGGTTCTGGACGGCGGAATGGACCATGCCATGGACTGCTTACTTACCCACGGGATATTTCCTCGGCTCCGATGCGGCGGCCGGCAGGTAGATGTCTGTCGTGATTTTGCTACCATTGGCCTCCTTGTAGAGGACTGTCAATGGATTATCAAGTGACATGGTGACTGCGTCTGTATGGATGTCAATTGAAAACGGAACATTCAGGAATATTTGGTTGGCTTGGATATTTAAACGAAGGGCGGATGCGGGGATGGAATTCCCAGCTCGGGATTTCCGGCCGGGTCAATTCATTCCCCAGCACATTTCCCGAGGAGTTCTACAATATAAATGGGTGTGTTTCCTTGCATCCCAGTATGCAGCACTAATTAGTTATTGTTGTTAAAGAGTAATACCCGATCGAGTAACTATTCTGTGATCGTCACTTGGCCCCAATTGTGGCAACAGGCTCAGCCTCAACTCCAGACTGAGCCTTGCTACGTGACCAGGGCTGCCCGCTTACGGTGTATTCTTGGCGGGGTCCAAACCAACTGCGATAGATATAAAGAGAGGCTGTACCCAAGGGTGAGTTGAACCGATCCTACACTGGAAAGGCACAATCCGAACAGCCCTAGAAACACCGCTCTAACAAGATCTTCCATCTATCATTATTATTCAAGTCTTCATTCATCCCTCAGCTCAGCTATTACTCAACGAAATCCGGGTAGACATATTCCATTTTATCCACAGCTAGCTATCCGAATCTGCTCCCACATCTGCCCGAGAATATTCTCTTGTTAAACAACATGTGTTTCTGCCCCGCGACAGATAAAATGGCTCCGCCACGGGCCCATCCGATAATCACCAGGTATGACCGCGACGAACTTCCCAGGCAAGGTTATAAGGAAGCCATACGCAAGCAGAATAGGCAGCACAATGCGGCAATGGCTGGATCAGCAGCAAATACTTCTAGCGGGATGGCTGCTGCCGCCGCCGGTGCTGCTGGTGCGGGGGCTGGTGCTTCTTTTTGTGGTGGTGTTGGTGGAGGAGGAGGAGGAGGGGGTTGTTAGTTATGGTTGCAACTGATCTGTTTGTCTATTTATGATGTATATTATTATTAGAATCACGAGCTGAATGATCTACTAGTTTATTTTGTTTCGCTATGATTTGAGGTTGCCCGCCGGTATTGGGCACGGATGAATGTATATATCAGCGGGCATCCGACCGATTTGAAGATTCAATATTGTGTCGGGCTCGATTGCTATTCGCTCTTCATCTTTGGCTAGAGCTGGCTATACAACGTAGCACCCACATCTACATATTTCTCTAGCAAACAAACATGTGTTTCTCCTCTGATGAGGATAAAAATCCCCTACCTGCAAGACTCAATATGCCCGCCATGATTCACGCCGAGATGAAAAGGATGATAAAGAAGCCAAACGCAAGCAGAGGAAGCCGCGCAGACCACACAATAATGCAGGGTGGCGTTTTGCTGCTGTACTTGCTATTTCCAATGGAGGAGTAGAGGAGTGTTAGTGGTTTTGATTGATGCATATTATAGTTGTTTATTTTCACCCCAATATGACGTGGGTTCGGTCGGGTTTTGGGAATAGTTAACATCTGCGGCTCTCTGACATTTTAGGCAGCCTAGATCTTGCGCCTATGTTTTGTCTACTCCTGTAGGCAGATACCATTAATTCACACCGTAGCTAGGATAATCCACGCAGTTCCCCTCTTTGTCTTCCTTCGGCCGTGCATCTGATCCCCCGTGCTCAGTGACATCTAACCCTATTGGCCTACACTAGCTCTCACCCCCTCTCTTCTGTTTCGAAAGATAACAACTGCCCCAACCCTCTCGTTCGCTTCACCTTTTAAACCCCTTGACCACTCACCGCATTGTATCTGATTTGTCTCTCTCTCTCTCTCTCTCTCTCTCTCTTGTTTTGTTCCTGTCTTAAAAGACAAGCCCTACGGTGTATGGATTCGAATATCCAACGGCTGCTCACCATGAACCCCTCGTGCACGCGCCCCTTGCGAATCGCTTCCATCGCAAGCTTTTTGATCGCTTTCCCGCTATGCATCGCTCACGGTGTGCTATCTCACAGCACAGTGCCGGCTGTTGGCCTTGTTCCGCTCGGCACATCGGCCAGCGCAGCTCTCTGGTTCCTATTACGCCGGCCAAGAGGCAGCGACAATGAGGCTGCTGGGGAAAGTGCAGATAGCTCCGGGGACCAGACAACAGAAAATAGCGCGGAAGCCCGTCGGCCAATACTTGTGTTTTTTGTTGATACGGTGCACGCGGTGGCTCTCATGGTGGTCCTGGTCTTCACCTGGATCCATACCCGACGAAAGGGGAACGCGGCGCTGAGTATGCTCGCTGCATATGCGACCATTCCGCTGCTTGTCGATTTGTGAGTGTCTTTCAGCCACCGGTCTTGTTAATGCTTTCCTCGTAAGTAGTATATCTAATAAAGAACTAATAGCTTCGCACATCTCTATCTCGCCGTAGGCGCATTCTATACCGGCTTCGCGCTCCGTGATCTGATGCAATACCTGGCGTGGCAGACCGTCCCGCCCGACTGTCCTAACTGCAGTCATCGTCTCCGACCCGCGTCGCGTCCGTCGATTCCTTGGTTCCAGTCGCAGGGCAGTGGTAACCCGCGCAACTGGAAGCTCAAGATGCCGTCCATGCCCGCCATCAAGACCCCCGAGTGGAAAGTGCCCGCTTGGCTCCCGGGCCGCAACAGAGATGCTGATGCTAGTCTCTTTACCGATGAAGAGGGTCGATATAGAGATTATCCGGAAGATGGGGAGCCGTCCGAGGTTACTTCGCCTGAGCCCGTCGACGTTGTGAGAAGGGATAGGAAGAATAAGAGCACGCCGCTCCTGGACTGATGGACTAGTGATTGGTGATTCGATGGAGATTTGATGTTATGCGATTATGAGAAGAGGAGCAGGTGAAGGTCACTGTTGTGCTCCTTTATTAGTGAACGGTTTCCATTGGTACAGTATTGTCTTTGACCTTGAGCCCGAGAACATAATACCCCCAGTTTATGAATTGAACATTCACAACTATGGTCACTTACTGAATTGTTTTTTGAGAAACTGCGCCAGCATGGTAATGTTGTAGAAATCCCTAAAATTTTGGCGGAGAGATCCATGGGTTATCTCAGGACATTCTGGACCAACGCCACGCTTACAAGGTCAAGGAATTCCTGCAGCGAGAATTCGGGAGTGATCAATGATTTGACCGAAATCGGATCATTTAATCTTGTCGGCAAGCCGAAGCCTAGCTATGGTACGGGGTGCAGTCATGATGTCATGCCGCTGTATCCTGCACTTTGCATTCCGGGAGGCTTAGAATTGTCGAATATTTGCGATCATTTCTTCCAGAAACGCAAATAACAAGCTGCGTGTATTTCATACTCAACAGCATGGCGGTGCCGTCCTTGGAATCGTCATGTTGGACTTTCTCGAACGACGCACCTGACTTTCTAACAGACGAATCCCTGCACGAAGCCTATGAGTTAGAAATAAAGGCAAAAGACGGCAGCCCTCTCCGGTTTGGTGAGCTCGTGGCGGGAAAAGGAGACACAATAACTACGATCGTCATTTTTGGTGAGCAGCCCAGTCTTTTCGAGTGATATTGGTCTCATACATTCCAGTCCGCCACTTCTTCTGCGTCTACGATCAACACTACGTTCGACACCTCGCCACAAATATGACCCAGACTCTTTTGGACACAATACCACACAGCGCAAGACCAGCACAGGTCATAATAATCGGGTGTGGAGACTATTCTGTTATCGAGCCCTACACGGACGAAACCACAGACGCCTTCCCTATATACTCCGATGGATCAGGGAAGATATATGAGAAGCTACATATGAAAAGAACCACGCAGGGATTTACGACGCCGCCACCATACGCGCCAGAGTCCTTTACTAGCGCGCTTGCTCAATACGTCAAGCAGATGAGCAAAAACTTGATGGCGGGGCTCAAGGGGGGTGCTATCGATCAGCAGGGGGGCGAGTGGATCTTTCACCGTGGAAAGCTTCGGTATTCGCATCGGATGGAGGGGGCGAATGATCACCTTACTGCAGAACAATTGTTAGATATATTGAAAGCGGATCAGGACCTGGATAGTCGTCCATCCTCTGGGATGTCGCAAGGTCAGGAAAAGGGATATTCATAGGATACATATAGGAACGAAATACGTTATACATTCACTGGCCGGTCTTTGAATCAACCATCGAGCTCTGTAAGGGTTGAGTTAGGAAATTCTTTTCATGATCTTATCATATCAACCTAGTCGGTGCTGGTACCCGAAGGATGAGTGATGGGAAGAGAGGAACAGGACGCAAACAAGGTAGATAAAGAAACTCAAATTTAAGAGAAAATATAAAAACGTGACTAGGCAGGTTTGAACCGGCTTCCAAAAAGGTACCAGGCCACTTGTACAAAAACCGTGAGGGGGCGATCCAGTCCCTGATAGGGCAGCCAATGATCATCATAGCATATCGCTCGGACGTACCACCAGAGTAGAGCTAGTACCTTTAGTAGTAGTAGTAGTACACTTGCACTTGTATATGTTGGAAGAAAGAATATCCCAAATAAGGACCGGGATTCCAATACGGGGCAATATGAATAACGTTCGGTTACCGTGCCTGTCTAACACGAGAAGCCGCCAATTGAGCAAGAGACTGAAGCAACGGAAATAACACGTGCAGAGAAAGGCGAACAGCCTACAATCGAGTGTGAGAAGGATAGTGTTGAAAAGTTCGAGGAATTCGTTTCGTACCTCTACTCACACAGAGCCATCTTCAACCTGCTCGATATGTCGAGATGCCGGCATTTCTTTCTCTGCAATCCGCTTTGCGTCTAATTCAATATGAGAGCTCGGCACCCATTTAGAACGAGGAATGAAGACAGGCGATTTTTTGAACAACTCCTCCAAGTCTTCCAAGTTAAGCCCCTTGGTCTCCGGCAGGAATGCCCAGAAGAAAATGGCCGTGGTGAAATTGCAGACGACAAAGACGATGTAGTATTTCCAACCGACTGCACTGATCGCGATAGGTGTGACCTGTCCTACTAGCGTATTGAAGGCGAAAGAAGTCATCGTACCCCATGACACACCCGTGTCGCGCATGGCATTTCCAAAAAGCTCGGGCGGAATTGCCCATGATAGTGGTCCACTAGTAACGAAAAACACAAAGTTAAAGACCCAAGTCATGACAATAAAGCCCCAATGCGCACCGGTGTTGGAGACAGAAGCCGGGAAAATTTTGATCAAGGCAGCGTTGACAGCGAATGTGACGGTCATGATCAGCGAACCCCCAATCTCTAGAGGTCGTCTTCCTACCAACTCGATGATCACAATGCAGAGTGAGGTGCCTGCTAGGCCCACTAGTGCATTGACAGCTTGCATGAGAAGTGTCGTTTTGACGGGAATACCAAGCTGAGCAAATATTTGGGGCGAGAAGTATTGGATAGCACTAATACCAGTTCCCTGGCAACCTGCTTGAATAGCCATGATTATGATGATGCGGCGGAATTGTGGCCAGCTCCTGAATAGGTCAAGATAGTTAGGTGTCTTTTCTGCATGTTCCGCTTCAAGCTGGGTTTGGATGAGGTTGAACTCTGCAATCACATAGGCGTCGTCCGCGTCGCCATGAGAATGAAGCCGAGCGAGAGTCTTGAGTCCTTGGTCTGCTTTACCGTGGTCACAAAGCCACCGTGGGCTCTCAGGACACTGATAGACTAAGCTGCCCAGGAAGAGTGCAGGGATGATTTGAATCGCCAAGGGAATCCGCCATTCACGACTGTCGTTTGTGCTGTTGTAGGCCGCGTAGCAACCATATGCGACCCAGCCAGCAGTTACTTGCCCCAAGGCACTGAAGAGTTGCTGTAGGGTTGTAATTCTGCCTCTTATACGGCGATGTGAAATCTCTGCCTGATAAATTGGGATAATCATCTTTGCTGGTTTCAGCACACTTTCGAATTTGAGAATCAACAGCAACTCACAACTAGGAATCCCGTTCCAAACCCGGCAAGTAGCCTGCCAACATACAGCATCTCAATTCGAACACCAGCAGACTGGATGATGCCTCCAATTGTAAAGATAATACATGCCATCAGTATTGTTCCCCGACGGCCTAGCCTATCTGTGAATCCGGCTCCAAGAGCGCCAAAGAAGCAGCCGCCAGTGTAGAGAGAAACCACCGTACCGGACTTGGCATCTGCATTACTCTGCAAGAACAATGTCTTGAATGACGAGGCAGCAACAACCTCAGCAATCACACCAAGATCATAGCCGAAAAGGAAAGAACCAAAGGCTGCAAAGCAGCCGATTAGGAATTGGTATACCCCAGATTTCATTTTGGCTTTATAAAGTGGAGTGACATTATGGAGTCAAACGAGCAGAGGTGGACCCTGAGAAATGCTTATATACCGGCCAAGACTTGCGCTTGGGCACTTTACAAGATCGCTATCTGTGAGAAGTCAAGGATGTGATTCGTGATAGAACGTGGGGGTACAGAAATTTTGTTCATGGCTTCAGAGACGAATAGTGAGCGGGTGTTTTTTTTTCGCTGCGGGGAAGATTATCGAGACAGAGCAGATCGAGCTTACAAGAGTATAGCGTTGGTTGAAACCCAAGCTTCCTGACAAGGTGCTGGACAAAAGCGGGGTTTCCTTTCAACCAATCCGATACTTCCCGATTTATCCGATACAGGGTACAGGAAGCCGGCAAGAGTACATTGCAAGATCTGCAGAAACCGTGGGGGGAAAGCTACATGGAGATTTAAACACGTAATCTTCGATAGAACACGTTCGAAAACGATCCTCGAGAACATGAATAGCACTAGTGTCTTTCATGCGTTGTCTCATCCACTGTGTTTGTCTAGTTGAAGAAATCACAAGGCGAAGATTCGCAGATGTCCTGGCCGTCGTTGCGAAGAAGGCCGAAGGGCAACCACCACTGATCCCAACCCTCGTCACTTCCATCGGGCTGGGGAATGTAGCCCAGACCCCAGTTTTGCTCGATAGTGACGACCTGGGAGAAGTCTAGGGAGCACATATATCAGTGAGTGCGTTGACGAACAGCCAGCAGATAGAGGTACTCACGGTTATAGTACTGCTGGTCGTTGCAATTGTAGCACTGAAGGGTGTCGTTGCCCAGAAGGACGGAGTAGATGTTGTTATCGGTACCGAAGTACTTGGGAGAGTAGATGTCTGGAACACTGTTAGTATATACAATGATTTCTTGCAAAACGGAATTTCATACCGTTCTCGTCGAAGGTGATGAGAATCATAGTGTTCTTCATGAACTCCGCGTTGTTCAACATAGTGTCGACGTAGTGCTGCAGAGCAGGAGCAGCGTAGGTGACGTTGGTGTTGTGAGCGTCGTTGTCCAAGTTTGGCGTAATGAACATGTACATCGGGGCATCGGCACCCAGAGCAACATCGTTCACAAAGTGTTGCTCGGCATTGACAATATTGCGGCAGCGCTTGGTGTTGTTTCTGATGTTGTCAAAAGACATGAAGGGGTTATGCTTGCTGTTTCGCATATCAGCGGAATTATCTTCCTCTTTGCCAAAAATGGGACCCACCGGACATAGAGAGTCTCATCGTCCTCGCTGATGGGATTGCAACCACCATTGGAAAGGGGAGTGTAGCCCTCCATATACGCTCTCCAGGTAATACCGGCGGGCTCAAAAAGGTCAATCAGACTCATTTGAGTGGTGTTGTGGTCAGCATCGTCGAACACACCACCCGCGATAGTGTTGGAAATCATGGTGATGTAGTTGGGCTTCGCGATTGATTGTTAGCAGCATCCCATGCATCCACGTTTCATCGCATTTTTACCTGCGAAGGATGGGTGGTGCCGTGGAAGTCGCCAAGCACCATGCCCATCTCAGTGAGGTTGTACCAGTATGGATGCCCGAAGGTGACATCCTTGTTGTTGTTCTCAAAGACGATCACGACATAGCCTGGAACCAGAATTGTCAATATTCGTTTGCCTTCTCGGCTTGGAGAATTGACTAACGGTCAAACCATTTGCCCACTGGCTTGTCAGCTCGGTGCTGAGGCATGGCAGCAGTAGCTGCGGCCATGCCGAGAGCAATTAAACTGGTGGAAAACTTCATGTTGTGTAAAGACAATGCAGCGACTGGTTTCGGTAGGTGATCGCGTGAGAAGAAATCAGGGCGTTTTCGGGCAGCGACGATCTCCTTAAATACCTACACTTGGTACCCATTCTTAAGCAAATGAGAAGCGAAGGATCCACAGGTACGGAGATATAGGGCCTGTAATCAGTGGGTTCTAATTTGCTGCAGCTCCGCAGCGTTGTATTCGGTTCTCAGAGTGGTATCTAATTCCCATACCCCCTTCCCCCGAGGATTATTACTAGTGCCTATTGCTATATTCTTATTCATCTTAATTAACCCCGAACATTCCAAAACGGTATCCGTAGCCAACTTCCTAACCGATTTGGAAACATAACTCGGTGCCGCTGGACCCTGAAATGTGGAGGACGGGCGACGCAAGCCCTGCTCTCCACTTTATCACCAAGGGGCAGCCTCATCGTCATAGGCCAGCTGTTTTTGGTCCCACTCTAATTCAGGCTTAGCCGATAAAGAGTGCGCGGAGTAATCGGACTTCTTCGGGAGAAACAACAACACCTGGCCTCTTCCCGTGTTTGGCAGCAATTGAGGTGTGGGCATGGTCCCAAATAATGGCCTTTCTGTTAAAGATCAGCAGGAGAATGTCGTGGTGAGGCTTCCGCCGATCAACCAGGGCGGTTGGGCGGTTGTCTCCGACCCCGCTCTCTACTGGATTAGTACGTCGTTAACGTGGAAAGGCTGCCCTTCTTGGGGTTATCTCAGAATGGCAATGATTATCCCACACTTACCTGAAGGAGTGGGGCCATGAAATTACTTGGGCCATCTCTGGTCGAAGAATATGTCTGCATTGGTTTGTGAACTGGAACTGGGACATGACGGCAGAGCTGGGCATTCATGTATGACATTTTTTGGTCTGAGACTATCTTGGCGAGTATATAATGCCTCCCTACAACCCCGCAGCGAGAGAGATAGTAGGCTCTGCGAGGACTATGAATCTAACCCATTGAAGCTCATATAAAGGAGAGTGTATCGTATCTAGCTCGGGAAACAGACCACAAAAAAAGTTTGGACAAAACGGACTGATTGTAACACGCACACAGTATAGTACGCTAAATAGTGAATGCTAACCAACGTAAATGCGGAAATATTGCGGCGCTGTCACTACAGCAGGAATAATGACCTCAATTGCGATTATGCCAGCTGATAAGGCGCTCGTGGCACCAGAGGTGCTACCACTCCCATAGTCATAAGTACTCGTCCTATTCCAGTAGTAGTAGCAGCAGTAGTAGGAGTAGTATTAGGAGCAGTGTGGGCGCTTAGGAGAACATAGGAATGGTTAAGAATGTCGGAATACTAAGTAGCTTACCGTCTGAACAGCACATGTGAGATTGATCCTAACTGTGCGTTCGGGAAAACCGTCACGATCGCATAGCATTCAATGTCGAATTGCATGTTGAAAGAAGCCCATCTCCCGGCACCATGTAGGGCTGCTCATCTTCGGTCGTTTCTACCATCGTTGCAGTTGAATCAATTGCCTCCTCACCAGATGGCCAAGCCCCAGCGTCTGGGTCTCTCGGTGATACCATCAAGCTATGGGATTCTACCAGCGGCCAGCTACAGCTGACGTTGACTGGTAATTCTACATGGACTGATTCTATTACCTTCTCACCAGACGGCCGAACCCTAACATCCAACGGCTCCAATGTCAACATCGAGCCGTGGGATCCCATTAGCGGCCAGCTTCAGCACACGTTGAAAGGCCATTCTGATATGTCTTATGTGCTACATTCTCGCCAGACGGTCGAACCCTGGTGTCTGAGTCTCACAAGGGGATCACGATGTGGGACCCAGTCACGGATCAGCTGCAGCGAACTCTTGCGGGCCACTCTAAGTGGACTTGGTCAGAGTCCAATGTTCAACTGTCTATCAAAGACAATCAGTGGATATGCCTAGAGGGTGAAAGGATTTTATGGCTTCCTTTCGAGTACCGTCCCACTTGCTTAAAATTGAAGGGTGGTATCATTGCTCTTGGCCATGCATCTGGAAGAGTTTCCCTTGTCTCTTTCTCTCGGACACTCGTCTAGTGTACCTCTCTTTGGCTAGTGCCTTGGCAGTGACTCAGAAACAATCAATATGTCGTGGTGAGACTGGTTTTGCTGCTTACTGGATTACAGGGCTCAGTCCACCCGCTCTATACGAGACGGCTGACATTGGGGTAATCCCTTCCCCCGCGTTCACAGCTGACTCAATCACGAGACTCTTCTATTGTCCTTAGCAGCGCCTCCTCTTCACGTCTGTCTTTTGTTAATCTCTACACTCCAGAACTACAACATGGCTTCCCCACCGCCAGTCCTCCTCGTAATCGATCTCCAACAGGGCATCGTCGAGGCAGCAGATTGGGGACCCCGCTCCACCCCCAGACTGACCGAAAATGTCGCACATCTCCTCCAGACCTGGCGCTCCCGATCCTGGCCCGTACTACACGTCTACCACGACGAGCTCAATGAGCCAGACAACCCCGCGCAGGTGAAATTCCCCGAAACATTCGCGCCTCACACCTCTGCGGCGCCGCTCGCATCGGAGCCCCAATTCATCAAGCACCAAGGTAGCGCGTTCGTGGGCACTAAGTTGCAAGAAGAGTTAGAGCGGTTGGAGAAGGACGGAAAGAGGAAGATCGTGGTTATTGGCATGGATGGGTCACAGTGCGTTAATAACACTGTCAGGCATGCCACGGATCTTGGGTTTCAGATGCTGGTTGCGGCAGATGCGTGTGCCTGTTATGGCATGGAGGACTGGAGGACGGGGAAGCAGCTTGGCGCGGAGGAGACGTGGGAAGCGGCAATGGGAGTATTGACTGGTTGTGCAAAGGTTGTAGCGACAGACAAAGTGTTAACTGCTTTAGGGTATGAGTAGGTTACTGCGGATAAATGCTGGCAAATTCTTGCGCTTACGAGCGCTGAGAGATGTGTATGGGAGGACTCTGATGATTCTATTGTCTATTGCCTTTGGAGATGGCTTGTTGCCATCCCATACCTGAAAAACAAAAGCTTGTTAGCGAGGACGATAGTAACCGTTTATTATGGCCATTACGCGTCCACAGATCCTCATTGTATAGTGCACCTTCACTTACGACTGAAAAAGGTCTTATCTCATTCCATCATCTCGAGTTCAACTATCGCTATGTTGATAAAAATAATCAGTCTATCGGAAGCAACCAGTCTGGTTCATACAATAGACCGCGAGATACATGGCGTATAGATGGGAGTCGTTCATTCCGCACGGCTGTGATAACCCCCAGAGGGAATCACCACAGAGCAGATAGAGATTGGCATTGATTCATTCAAGCATTGCTGGCTCGTGATACTCATATCATGCACCTTCCAGCCGAGGCCGGTAGGTGGGTATAGTAATGTCTGGCTGGCACGAGGAATGCGACTTGTCGACCATTATCAAAAATGGGTTGCTTCTCGTTCGGGGGTCTCGTCTGCACCCTCCCCTTGTGGTTCTCCTTCTTCTCTTCATCATCACGACCACTCTTCTTCTCTCCTCTTCTCTCCATTCCACCCACTTCCACTCCAACTCCTCTTCTCCTTCATCACCACCATCAATTAACATCCACGCCCAACCCACGAAGCGAGACCGGCTCACCCGCGGCTCAGGGCTTTTTTTTTTTTTGAGTTTAGTGATTTTCCCAAGCGATCAAAAAAACCAACAAGAAAGGAGCGTGACCTCGTCCCCGACACCAAGCGTAAGAGTCTTCCTCTCACCAGATCCTGCACAATGCAAAGACCCGAAGAGAAAAAAGACTCCAATCAATCAAAGAACGTATCCTATCGTATCTAGCGCCGCACAACAATACCCTGGCGACGAGCACCTGAGCGCACACGACGATACTCCTCGTCCGAATCCTCCGACTCGGAACAACTCGCTTCCGAGCTCTCGGTGATATACCCACAGCGGTTACCGCCGCAGTCGAGCTTGACGCGGTCACCCTTGCGGGTGATGCCGTAACGCTCGCAGCGGCATTGGGGCAGGGGCGGGTCGCTGAGCGAGGAGAGCGACGACGGAGAGGTGGATCCCGAGCCTGACGACGAGCGGGAGGACAGCGAGGAGCCGGCCGAGCTGGGCGGGCTGTTGGAATACGAGTACCCGTCCGAGTCTGACAGGCGGGAGCCGGCGAAGCGGCGCGTGAGGTCCTCGACGGTGGGTGCGGCGAACTCGGCTTCGCGGAGCTGGCGCGAGGCGTATGGCTTGGATGGCTTGGGGTGTTGGATCTTGGACGGCGATAGGGCGCGGCCTGTGGCAACGTTGGTTGAGCCGCGGCGGGCTTTCGGGGCGCTGCTGCGGTGGCTGGTGCTGGTCTTGCCGCCGGGCACGTCGAGGATGTTGAGCTTGCGGCCCGTTGTGGGCTCGACGGTGTACTCGACCGCTGGGTCGTGCGAGACGTGGTACCCATCCATGATGTACTGCAGGGTCAGTTAGTATTTTATCAAGAGAGAGAGAAACAGAGGGTAGGACATACGTAGTACCAGTAGCGACCACCCAGTTGCAGCATGGAGGTCTGGAAGCGGAACTTGCCCAGCCAGGCACCGGGCTTGTCCTCGGCGGACAGCGGCAACTGGCGCGAGTAGTTGTCCCAGGAGCCGACCAGATGGACGGTCTTGACATTGGACGAGGTGCGCAGGGCGAACTTGAGCTGGACGGCGGCCATTTCTGCGTTGCTTTGCTTGATGGTTGATGATGATATTTCGTAAATAAAAAAGTGAGTGAAAGTTGTCAATGAAACCAGTTCACGACAGACACGAGACAGAATATAAATTCGAGCGAGATTATTGGCGTGGTCTGTTGGATTAGAGCTGAAACAGCAAGGTAGACACGTCGACCGGCGACGAGTGGCACAGCACTGCTGTTTGTTGGAAATGGAGTTTGAGAGAGAAAGACCTGCGGCAAGGCAGACAAGACAGAGGCAAGACCACAGAGAGCACAGCTCGTTCTGTGGGAAGGGATTAATAAAGTGTAGAAGTATAGAAGTATAGCAGAAAATAACAAAGAACCGGGGCAGCCAGTGCCTAGGTCTCACTCAAGGGCAGCAAAAAAAGAACAGACGACTCGCTGAAGAAAAGAAGAAAGAGACGAACAGGGTGGGCAGTTCTGGCATATTTTTAAGTCCTGTCCGAGTTGAGGGGTGGTGAAGGGTCGGCGGGTATTGTGATGATATGGTTGGCTGCGTGCCGAGTGCGTGGTGATGGCCGGCACGGGCCAATCGGGGGACATCGTTATGCGCTGCCACTTCGGTGCTCTTCTCGTATGTAAGCACTGCAGTAGTCTCCTGTACTTCGCACCGCTACTAGACACGATCCGTACTAGGCTCCTAGGCTCTTGCCTGTCTGGAAACAACACCCGCACTAGGGCCTAGTCCATGCCTTGTTCGTCGAAGACAATGCCATTCCCACATCTGCCCCACCGGCGACAGCATGATCCTCTGTTGCTCCCGCAGTGGGATCATTGGCCATAGCTCGTCGATCGCCCGCAAAGGGAACGCGGACTGCTAAATCTAGCCCCTCCCTCTTTCCTTCCTTCCTCGGCCTGGTGCTGTTCGCCCGTATGTTGTGTGGCGCGGGACACTAACCGCGAACTAGCATGATTGACACCTTCCCGTTCCTTAACACCGTTTCTTAAGACTCCGCCCTCCCCCCTTCCCGGAGACATCCGTGGGCTGTTGGTGATTTCTGCACAATAATAATTATAATCCGCAGTTGCTGTCTTTATTATTTGTCGTTCGGTGTGTACTAATTCACTGGAAATCCCCTCGCCATGTCCGAGCAGCCCATTGCGGTGGTACGTGAATCGACTCGTCTCCCCGGTCGCATTTCTTCTCAGATTCTCATCGCAACCAGGACCCGGACTTTTATGCCGCCCACGATGCCTACCAGCCTAGCGATTTCGAGTCGTGCGTTTCTCTAGACCGGGACATGGGTGACATATGAACTAATCCCCCGCAGGGAGACGACCTCGCTCGCCTCGTCGATCTATCGCGGCGTTATGGAAAATGGCCGACGGTATGCAGGTCAACATACAGATTCCGACAATTATTGACAATTGTCCAGATACCAAACGATCAAAGAGGGCGAATACTGGTAATACTGTCTTTCCGCTCTGCTCATCACTATCGGGTCTGACCGAGTCGCCAGGGGTCCATCGGACGAACAACAATTCGAGAGTCTGGAAGCAGGGTGCGTGAATTGACCCCTCCAACACAACAGGACCAAACTGACAGACAACACCAGACACCTCGTCTGCATGATCCTCGATTCAACCTCGGAAAATCCGCTGTTCCAGGCTCCCGTGAAGAACCCGAAGCATATCCTCGATCTCGGCACTGGCCGAGGCAACTGGGCCGTGTAAGTGCGATGCAACGTTCTTGTCTTAATGATATACACCACTAACAATATGTATCGTCTAGTGATGTTGCCGATATGTTCCCGGATGGTAAATATCTCCGATTTTCTGCTCTCAACCACGCCTAACCATATTCTAGCGAACGTGCGCGGCGTCGACCTCTTCCCGCCGCCGCTGGACTGGCTCCCGCCCAACTGCGTCCTGGAAGTCGACGACGTGCTCCAGGAATGGACATGGCGCACGCCCTTTGACCTGATTCATCTGCGGCAGATGATCGCGTCGTTCACGCCCGAGGAATGGGCCAAGGTGTACAAGCACTGCTACGAGTGTGTGACCCTCCGTCCTTCTACTTTTTAACCCCACAAACAAACCCTAATAAGAACCAAAGCAACCTCGCCCCTGGCGGCTGGATCGAACAATGGGAAGGCGACCCCCTAATCCGGTGCGATGACAACACAATGCCAAAAGACTGCCACGCTCAGGCCTTCGGAGTCGCCGTGCTGGAGGCGGGCAAAAACTGGGACCACTCGCTGGGCACGATGACCGAGATGCGGCGCGGCATGGAGGAAGCTGGGTTCGTGGACGTGCACGAGAAGAACTACAAAATGCCCGTTGGGCCGTGGCCTAAGGATCCAGTGCTCAAGGAGGCGGGTCGTCTGCATTATCATCAGTGGGCGTCTGGTATGGAGGGCTGGGCGCTCTATCTCTTGACCAAGCATGGCTCGCCGCAGCCGTGGACGAAGGAGGAGGTGCAGGTTCTGATGGCGAAGGTTAGGACCGAGATTCAGAATCCGCGGATTCATGTTTTCCAGCGCGCGTGAGTTCTGCCTCTCTCTCTCTCCCTGCTCTGCTGGGTAAGTGCGGGATGTAACTAATGATTATCTATAGGAGACGTGTCTGGGCGAGGAAGCCTACGACTGAGGAGCTGGCGGCGAAGTCGAAGTCGCAGTCGACGGAGAAGCAGGGATCCGATGTGCCTCAGATTAAGCAGGAGCCTGCGGCGTGATTTATTTGATCGTTGATTGCGAGATACACCTTTGGCCCATGACATCCATTCCTTTTTTGTTGTACAGTCAGTCAGCGTTCCAGGCATTACCTTCGTTACCTTACCTATCCTACCCACCTCAAAATTGAAATTCAAACTGCAAGAACTCGTTACGAGCACGACGTAGATGAATGCGCAATAATGTGTTCATTCCAAAACTATGTATGATGCGATGGCCAGATTCGATTTCTCCCGACGCCGCAAAACAATCTCGCAAGTCCGTACAGACTGAGCAATTTTAGCAACCATGATGAAAATTAAAGTACACAACACATAAAACAGAAATCACCGCACAGACACCCCGGAGCGATTGGTAAACATCCTCGCGGCAATGTTCATCGAGGCCAGCTCTTGGAACAGAAGCTTGGCGGCGTACGGGATGTGCACTTGCGAGATGCGGTGCTTGTTGTTGCACAGGCGGCACTCGAAGAGGCCCTTTTTCAGTTTTCTATAGCAATTCAAGTCAGTA